AAAAAAAAAAAAAAACCCTTTTTCCTGTTCCGACCTCGCCCCAACCAGCGTATCGCCGCCCGATGGTCCCCCGACGTCTCAATGGCTGCCGCACCCTTTGACAAGCCTGGCGCCGGCAGCTCCTACGCCTTCGACATCTATAACGACGCTCCCTCTCTGCGCGCCAGTCTTCCCCCCGCCCTACCCAGCGGTCCATGCAACTACACCGACCAAACGCTTCCGCGATGTGGTTGTCGTCGTTTTTGGAGCCGCGCGTCCTTCTCCGGCTCCGGTCCTAGTGCTGGCGCCAGCGGGCAGCAGGACCCCGGCGCCATGCCCTCCAACCTGGCCGAGGTCTGCATGTGCTCGCACCATGCCTGCTTCCATGAGGACCTGCCGCCTACTACTGCTGCCCAACCGACACAGGCTGCCTCGGGAGCTGCGACGAACCCCGCGACTCAGGTAGGACAGGAGAACCAGCGGCCGAAGGGACATCGAGAGCCGCTGAGCCCGTTGCAGGACTTCCAGTCGTTCCAGATGCCTGCTAGCCTCGGTGCAGCATTGGATTTTAATCTGTTGGAGTTCCATAACCCCGGAAGTCTACCGCGGTCGGCGGCGATCGAGGAGGCCCCTCGGCCGGCGGAGAGCCAGATCCCGGATACGTGCATTGGCTGGGGGGATTTGATGCCGCCCCCGCTAATCCGGAGCGACAACAATCATTCGCCGATGCCCGCGCAGTCTTTTGTGACGCCCCCGCGGCCGCCATCGACGGCGTCGTCGAGCCAGCTGCGCTATCTCAAACCATTCGCTGGCAAGGGGCTGCAGACCCTGGGCCCTCCGAAGGATGCCCGCCGGCCGGCGCAGAATGCTGATGACGGCGATCCCGATGCGACACAGGATGCTGCGGAGGTCAGCGCGCGGGATTTGACTCCTCGGCCGGATCCTGCCGCGCTGCAGAAGCTTTCGGAGAGGGTTGATACCCATGAGCAGCGGCTTGGGAGTCATGAACAGCGTCTTGAGTCGCACTCTCAGCGTCTGGACAAGCTGGAGAGCACATCCTTCTCGCTGGTGCCTAGTCATGACGATTGCCACGAGCGCTATGACAACGTCGACCTGCGCGTGGCCGATCTCGAGAACCGCGTGGAAGAGATGGAGAAACGTCTGGATGATAACATGAGCGTGGTGGCTAGCCGTCGCGGCGCCGGCGCAGACGATGCCACGGCCAGCGTCGTCTCTGTTGATTCGAACGCTACTGTGCGCGGAGGGGAGCTTTACACGAAGTTACAGGCTCTGGAGGCGACCGTCAAGCAGCTCCAGGCTGTCGCGCCCCCGACCTATACCAAGCCGTGGGAGGTAGAAGTCGTCTTCCTGCCCTTCCCTCTGAAAGGCATCTGGGTCTCGGCGCGAGAGTTCTCCAACCGCAGACGGTCGACCGGCGACGACTGGACGCAGATGCCTAACACTCTAAGCCGGTCAACCCCCGATCCCCAGTCGCCCAAGTTCCACGAGTGGCCTGGCCAGGCACCCGACTCAAACGCCCTCCTGCCGAAGGCCTTCCCTCCGGGAAAAGTCATCGACCAGCGGCTCAAGAGCCGCGGCTTCATCAAAACTATTCTCGTGCGCGGGCCCGACTTCCGAAGCGTCGACCTCGCCGTGCACGAGGCTTTCGTAGACATCTTCCGCATCGCAACCCCCGCCCCGGGCCTCAGAGAGGAACTGCTCGCAGGCGAGTACGCCCTGTCCCGCTACCAAGCCCTCCAGCACCCCTGGATACCCCTCCGCAAACTCCACAAGGACTCCCGCTTGCGCTTTCTTGCGCCGCATGAACTCATCACCCCGGGCCTCTGGACCTTCGAGTTCCTCGTCTCCTCCGTCGTCATGAAATCGACACCGATTCAAAGACTCTACATCACCCAGCCCGAGGCCTACCTCCAAGACCACTACATCGGACAAGTCTCGTTCGAAAGCGGCTGGACCTGGCACAAGATTCGCCAGCTCAGCCGGGTGTATCCCGACTCCCAATGCAGCGGCAGCGAGCTGTCTGCCTCGGCCAAGCCCCCGGAAAGTGACGTCCCCGAGACGTGCTGGCAATATCATGACCGCCTCGATGACCCGCCTCATCAACAGCCGCCGAATCAGTCCCTGCGTCTGTCGACGCATCTCTCCCGCTCCTCCGCGGCTGCGTCGTCGAGACCCTCGTCAACGGAACCGTCCTTCTACACGGGTATCCAGTCGCCCATGATGTCGAGCGCGTCGGCCCTGCTAAGAGGGCAGTCGCCTATGCCGGGGTCCTCCGCCCCCATCCAACAGCGGGTGGAGAGAAAGACGTCGGTACCGCCGAGGCTCAGATTGGGGTCTGTTCCCCCCGAGGGGGTCGGGGTGTCCATGTCGAGGGCCATGCCCTCTCCTGCGCAATCTAGGAGGAGGATGTCGCATGCTACGCCTTACGAAAGACGACAGTCGCCATTTGTGAGTATGGGCGGCGCAAGGCCCAGCCCCAGACCAAGTCCTCGGCTGAGCTACGCCCACGCAGCAGCCGGGTCGTCGTTGTCATCGTCTGCTGCTGCTGTCGTGGCTGGACATGGCTACAACAAGAGGAGGTTTGCCACCAAGTCCCCCGCGCCGAGCATCATTCAGCGAAACACCCCCCGCTGGAGTCGGACCAGTTTGTCACGATCACCGTCGCTCGCGCCGAGCGGGCCGTATGGGTATGATAACAATCGGGATAATCGTGACAGGGAGAGAGAGAGGAGGGGCACGACGCCAGGGTTTTATTACAACACTCCGCATAGTGAGGCTGTGCCAGAGCATGTGTATGGATATCATCGCGCGGGAAGCAGACCTCCTCCTCCTCCTCCTCCTCCTCCTCCTGTGTTGAGGAGTGGCTATGAGGACGATGGTGAGGAAGAGGATGAGGAGATGACCGATTTGAGTTGCTATGATGATGGGAACGGGTCGGGGACGGACCTCTACGACGACGACTTAACTGCGGGAGAGGAGAATCATGGCCGGAGTAGTGGAGGACGGTCTTCGGGACGCAGTTCCCGCCGGCATAGTGGGTATTATCAAGATGAGGACGGGGACTTGGATTTTGATGTGTACGAAGATATGGAGGATGATGAAGAGGAAGAAGATGAGTTAGACGGGATTGAGACCGATGGCGGCCAGCCCAATCACTACCGTTCTCTTCACCCCGAGTGGCATGGCTTTGGCAGTCGTCAGCGCTCTCATCGTTCCTCTTATCATCACCATCAGCCGCAAATCCTCTCCTCCTCTCCTCAGGGGCCCCTCCGACCAGAGGACATCCCCTGGGCAGGCATCGAAGATGCCCAAGAACAAATGCATAACCCCCATCATCGCAGCTACCACAACCACAACAGTTCTTTCGCCGACGACGAAGACTTCCCGATGGACTCCGACAGTGAGAACCACGAACCAACCTCTTCCTCCTCCTCCTCCTCCTCCTCCCCCTCTTCCTCCTCCTCTTCCCCTTCTTCATCTACCCCCGGCCCCTCATCCGCATCCTCCTCCTTCGCAAGCGCCCAACAACAACCCCACAGCCACCACAACCGCCCCGCCCGTCGCAGCCTAAGCATAATCGAAATTCACGAAGACGACCCCACTACCACAGGGGTTTCGGCACACGATATGACGACTACTACCACGACCACCACAACGAGTGGGAATGGGAGTGAGCGTGATGACGACGACGACGATGATGATGATGATGATGAGGAGGAGGAGGAGGAGGAGGAGGAGAAGGGAAGTGATAACGAAAGTCGGGATTTAGCACTGCAGGATGCTGACGTCGATGGCGACGCCGAGCTCCGGGGCAAGGACGAGGGGGAGAGGGAGGAGGTAGAGGAAGAAGACATAGAAAACGACGCGAGCGTGAGCTCCAGCCCGGGATCTAGTTCTCAAGCGCCGAGCGAATACTCGAGCCGACCGCCGCCGGGAGCTTGGGCGGTTGTGCAGCAGCATTATCATGCTCACCAACCCCATCATCATGGCCATCATTATCATGCCCACGGCCATCAGAGACATCACTCTAGCAGCAACGGCGGCGGCGGCGGCGGTGGGGGAAAACATCAACTTCTGTTAGGGCCACCGCTTAATGTGGGGATTAGCACAACCGCTGTGCCAACTGCGGGCTCTTTGCCAGCCCCTGCTCCAGCAGCTGGGAGCGGAAATGGAGGGGCGATGACGGCAATGGGCTTCCAGATCCATGAGGACGCCACTGCGACGGAGGGGAGGAGGGAGGATGAGGGCGATTGGCCTTGATTGTTCATTTGGATAGCTTTTGGAGGGAGTTGGATATATACTAGAGCAAGCCGTCTGTCAGCATGGGAGATCTTCAGGGGATATATCCTGCATAGCTTTCTATCTGCATCTACACCTGATTTTTGGGGTTGGTTACGTTCGTCACTCTGAGGGTTGGTTGGTATACGGCGCCATGGCAAGGTGTATACAGCGAGTGAGCGAGCAGGTGTTGTTTTGGCTACGGCTACGTTTTCTCTCTCTTTTCTTTTTTTTTTTTTCACTTGCTCTTTTTCCTTTTCCTTATTGGGTAGCAATCGGGTTATGGCGCAGGTGAATAGGATCGGTTCTTCTCTCGGTATCGGATTGACAGGGTTTTGGTCAGAATGGGTGGTTATATATATCTCTTTGGTTGACTGGTATAGGAGATCGGGGGTTGCACAGTGCATTACGACTGGATGACGGCGGCTGCTTAGTGGTGTAAAGGTGTCTGGGAGTAATGGATTGGTAATGCTCTTTGTTCCTCTTTTGGTTTTGTAGACAGGTAGCTAACTTCATTTCTGTTGTTGATCATTCATTGTACTCACAGTCAATACACAATTCCACTCCCAAAATGTCTAGTTCCAGGGCTTGTTGTGACATCAAACGTTTCTGTTCAGGGTCATTGAAAGCTCCATGCCTGAATTTGGGCATCGATAGTGATGTTCACACATCATGTTCACTTGACAAACCAGAGGGAGGTGGTTTTCACTACTATGACTATCTCTTTATTTTCCTAAACCACCACCTATCTGCTCTAGCCCAGCTATCTTGGTATCACCCAGAGCCTTGCCCGTCAGTTACTATCACGTCTCCAGAAGGCAGATATGTACTATCAGGATGACCCTAAATCTAAGGAGGAAGCTGGTCGGCAAGAACGTAAGTATCTAAATCTTAGCGCCGCCTCTTGAAGACATGAGACAGCGCCTTACATAGGCAGCCAGCACACTCCTCCTCATCCGAGAAAGATGGTATCAAACACAAACGTCAAACATGCAAACCACCTACTTTCCTTCCCCTCATTACTCCCAAGGAAGCCAAACCGAACCGGCCAGACCAAACCAAACCAACTCCCCATCATGCAGACCGACTCCTCGACCAGACCAAGAGAGGCCAGTACGTAGAAAGAAAACTAGTAGAAAAAGCAAAACAAACGCGGAGAACTCCCTGCCCATGCAAATCCCATTGGATGCTCCATGTCAATGCCGACCGACCCAGCCATAAACCTTTGTTTCCATCCTGAGCGAGTGACCGATCACGCCCAGCCATCCCAAAGACCATACCGATCCGATCCGAAGTAATAAGAAAGTCATCATCTTTGTCGGACGTGACCGAAGAATCCATGCTTGCGCTAAATCCATCCAGCTTCTGTATCTCAAGAGGCAAAACCGAAGTCCTAAACCGGATCATAAAAAAGGAGGCTCTTTCCCTTCCGAGTAAAAGAATTTTTCTTTAAAAAAAGGAGGGGGGTAATCAGGAATGGCGTGAGAGAGTTGTTAAAGACAGACCTGGTCATCCTCTCTCTATGGTATGACCAGAAAAAACCAGGTATTAAGTGTAAGATTATTAAAAGTATTAGTACGTTTAAAAAAACGCCGGGCTGGTAAAGAATCGAAAACCGAAGACTCAAAGCAAGCGAAGAGTCCAAAACCGTGGCTTTGACCGAAAGCCACAAACGTGAGGGGGTGTCGAGGTATGATCTAGGTAGTTCCAGTATCACTGGAACCTCCAGTACATCCTGCCGTAGACGGAGGGGGCAGAAGGCGATAACAACATAACTAGTCGTCATCCAACACAATAACTTCCACCTCCTTCTTGGGCACAACAGGCACCGCCGCAGCCCTATCCATACTCCCCTCCTTCTTAGCCGCGATCGGCTTCGGCCCCAACGCCACTTTCTTCCTCGCTGGGCCCTCATCCTCACTCTCCCCGTCATCCTTCTCAACGACAACACACCAACTGCCATCGTCTTTGACTCTCAAGCTCTTCACCCCGTTCAGCCGGCCCTCCTTCTCCAACTGCTCCCTCACCCCCATCAAAAACGCATCTACCCTTAGACTGCCGGGTCTTGCATCCCCCATGCAGATCGGACACCGCCACTTATCCGGGTTAGACGGCTCCGGACGACTGCAGCACGCTGCTTGCGTGGCATTCAACCCTCCATGGCCGTGAATGCACTTCAGACTGGCCTTAGCAGGCCGAGTGTTGAGCCAGGTTTCCAGGTCGAAGCACTCGAGATGAGTGCAGTGCATGCCGCGGGCGGGAACCTTCCAGATCGTAGCTGAGAAGGGGTCGGCCAGGTCAATGGGCAGATCGGGCTGGGCGACTACTATACCATCGTCATCATCGTTGAGGGATGAGGTGCTGTTCAGGCGACGCTTGATGGTAGCAAGCGTATCGGCGGCGGGGATAACACCAGATGACCAGATCGTGGACAAGATGGTGCTGTGGCTGAGGGTCTCGACCAGCTCGACGGCGATGAAGCGGTCCTTGGCCTGATCGCGGTTGCTGTGGTCGGGGATGCCGACCTTGAGCACATTGGTGCCGGCAACGATGAACTCGGTCACTTCGGTGGGCAGGTCCTTGCCGTTGTGGGGCTGGTGGCGGACAGAGAGAGCTTGCTGGTTGAGAGTCATGAAGATGTTAGGCGGCCAGTTGACGTCCATAACGGCCCACTGGTGCTCAGAAGGAGGCGAGTCAGGCGAGCGGTTGACGCGGCAGCACTTGACACGCCAGCGCAGGGCGCCATTGAAGTGCTCGATCACCGGCAGGTAACCGCCATGTTTCTTGGAGCGAGTCGCAGCCAACGCCAGTTGCTCGGGCGAGACCTCGAAGCGAAACTCGTAAAGCGTGTTCTTGGGCGGAATAGCCTGAGGGCCAAAAGGAAGCGATTTGATGCTCTGGTAGAAACGCTCCGGGTTGAGCTCCTTGATGACGCGCTTGGGACTGCGAACGTGTGCTTGATGTAGTGCCACTTGGATCGCCCTCACATCTGACGGATCATGAGGCCACTCGTTACGTGGGATCTGATGGTTCGGGGGCGGGATCAAGCGATCAGTCGGCGTCTCGGGCGCGTGCTGCGCTGGTAATGCTGCCTGAGGTGAGGGTTGCTGGTTCATAACAGGCACAGGGACAGCCGAGGGAACCGACGGGAAAGGCTGAGGTGGCTGGAGGGCTGCCTGGGGGAAAGATTGGTTCAGGGGGGTAAGGGGTTGTGGTGTCGAAGGCTGCCGTACATCTATCGCCGGCAGGATGGGGCGGGCGAGGTTGATGTTGAGATTGGTAGGACGACGGGTGTTGGCAGCTCGAGAATTGCGCATGTACTGCTGCTGTTGCTGCTGTTGCTGTTGCTGCTGTTGCTGTTGCTGCTGTTGCTGTTGCTGCTGCTGCTGCTGCTGCTGCTGCTGTCTTCCTGCCCAAAGCTGCTGCAAGTGTTGCTGCTGAGCATGCTGCGACTGTTGCTGGGTGCGCATGACAGCGGCTTGGGCTTGCTGGTGCTGTTGCTGCTGAGCCTGGACCTGCGTCATGTTTTGGTTGGGTATCGTTGAGCCCGGCGTATAGTAAATGTAGGCAGCCCCGTTGTGGTGATGCACTCTGATTTGAGCTGCAGGCATCATAGGCTGACTCGTCCCTGGGGGTGCTGTGAAAGAATTCTGTGATGGGACCATGGTTGGTGATGCCAGCGGTGAGTGACCCGGTGTACTAGCATAAGCAGGCATAGAGAACTGAGCAGGAGGAAGAGGTTGCGCCTGTGGTGCATTGACCGTGTTGCTTGTGCCAGGGAAGGGCTGATTTTGGAGAGGCGTTGTCATCTGCATGCGTAGACGTGCCTGCTGTTGAGCCGCAGCAACGACCTGTTTGTAGCGGGGGATGATGTTATTGCGATGTTGTCGCTCCTGAGCCTCGGCAAGTAGGAAATGTGGGAGATTGAAGGGGCCCGCGCGATGGCGGTTTTGGTCTTCCTCAAATATTCGCTCCATCTCGTTTTCACAGCCGCAGCCGTCCAGGACACCCAGGCGCCGGCGGCTTGCAGTATAGATGATTTTCTGCATGTTGGAAGATGTACAGCCAAGTTGGAGCATCTCCTCGACAAGGAAGGGGTAGCCTCGTGCAACGACCTCGTTGACCATGGTCGGGTACCGGGCGCCCAGCTGCATCAAGAAATGGGTAATCACCTGGATCAGCCTGGGGCAGGGGCTGTTTGGGTCGTGTACCTGGCCATCCGTGTAGGCTCGGGGCCACTCTATGATGTCGTCGGGAAACATGGCGAGCCAAAGCTGATGGACTAGCGGCATCTCGTCGTTCTTCTTAAGCAACGCCTCGAGGATGCTGAAGCCATTCTCGATGGCGGAGGCGTTCCACCCTGTGGTCCTGGTCGGATCGGGTGCGAGAGTCTGGTAAACCTGTTCGCGAGACTGGGACCATATAGTGAAGAGCTGGTGCAGGGCGAGAAAGAACTCGTCGTGGTCGCGGCAAGCACAGCGCAGGAGAACGAGTCGAGGTTTCAAAACCTTAGGTTCGAGAGCGGTCTCCCCGCCGCAAGCCCCAATGTAATGGTCCAGTTTAACGGCCCAACCGACGCATCTGGGACATGGAGAGAGCGGCCTAAAGGACATAGTCAGTACCCTGTCGATGGGCAATCCGTTTACCCGCGTCACCCACTCAGTGCGTCTCCTCTTGTTTTTATTGGCCGTAGCTTGGGCCGCAGGCTGGTTGACCGGTGAAGGAGAAGGAGCAGGAGCAGGAGCAAGAGGAGGGAGAGGACGAGGGGGAGCAGGCTGAAGCCGGGGTAGGGGCTGGGAAGTCGATACGGGGCGAGGGGGCGGCATCGGTGCCATCGCGGGGCCAGCAGGGAGGGCAGGAGATGAGGTCGACGCGACGGAGAGCGGAGTAGGGGCCTGCGCTGGAGCTATGGGGGCTAGGGCCGGCATCGGGCCCGGAGCTGGCGTCGAAGCTGCCGAGGCTGAGGTAGACGACGGGCGAGACGACCTCGAGGAAGCCTGTGCGGTGAGCTGCGCCCCCGGGACTTCTTGTACATCATCGTCGACAGCTAGGACGGGTGCGAAGCGAGTCTCGGTGACGTGAGCAAGAGAAGCGGCGGCTGGAGCGGGCGTCTGCCTGGAGTTCTGAGCATCGGGAAGGGGGGCAGCCATGGCCCTCGGACTCTCGAGCGAAGTGGACTGGGCAGGGCTCGGTTCATCGCTGGGAGCCGGAGAGGGAAGTATGGGGGGCGCTGGACTGGAGGAAGGCCTGTAAGCAAATCACACCGCAGGACTTGTGCTGGGCTGGATGACTTACTGCTGCTGCGGCTGTTGATAGCTCTGGATTAGCTGCTGCTGGTGCCCCTTCTGGGGCCGCTGGGGTTGCTGGGCGGTCGGCGAGGCTGTAGAAGTTGAGGTAACGGTCGAAATCGGAGCCTGCGTTTGATTTGGCTGGTTCTGGTCCTGAGCCTGCGCCTGAGCCTGTGCCTGTGGTGGTTTAATAGCGGGCTGGCGACTGAAAGTCAGACGGGTGCTGAGCTTTTTGACTGAGTTCGTAGAGGTTGCAGCAGCATTCGGATTGAGCCATGCCGGCTGACGGCTGCCAAGGAAGGCCTGGGCAGTAGCATTCGATGAGGCAATCTGGAGACGATCGGCATAGGAGACAACGGCTGTGGACAAGGGACGTGAGGCCCCTCCAGGGCCAGGACCAGAGGGTGGCGCCGGCATTGTGAAAGATCCTTTCTCCTGAGTACTTGTCTGTCTCACAGACGAACACAGCTAAGCACAGAGAGTCAGACTCAAGCTGACTGGTGGGATCTGACTGCAAAGAAAAGTATTGGCGGAGATTCGCAGAATTCGCAAAAAAAAGCTCGAATGGGCGCGGGCGCGGGCGCGGTCAGCATGACGTCCGTCGTCGCCCTTTGTCGGCCGGGCAGGATGCTGGAGATCTAGGCTTGCTCGTGCGAAAGACAGCGCGACACGAAAAGTTGAGATGAAGGGTTGCCAGATCTTGCAAAGTGCATGCAAGCATTGATGGGAGCAAAGGAAGAAAAGAAAAGGTGAAGGAAACAAAAAGGCCACACAAACTAAGAGAGCATCAATGGCTCAGACTGGTGATAATGATGAAGTGATAACGGCAGGAGCGATTGAGCAGACTGGGCAGACTAGGTAGATAGCAGGTACGATGCACAATGTTGTGACTCTAAACTCCAGACAGGAAGGCACAGATGGCCAGACAGAGGGCAGTGACTGCCACTTTTGGCCAAAGATATTAATATGGGATGGCAATAACGTTCGCTGAGAAAACAAACACGGGATAAGTGGCAAGGACGACTCTTGGGTCCGGAGCTTGTAGGCAGAAGCGAAGGAAGCGAGGTTCTGGGCTCTGGAGATGAGATGGCCAGAGGGCGACTGCACAAACTGCTTGACTACATGAAGAGGGTGAACCCAGATAGGGAAGGATCTGTGGGTGGCCTGTTGGTTGCACGGGTAGTCGGGTGTTGCTTGTGAGGAGTGTTGCTGAGGTGCTGGTTGCTTCAAGACCAGTTTGAGCTTGACGCGGTAGAGCTGCAGAATGTAAGTGCACACAGGTGAATCGCAAAGCCGTGAACGTCTACACCAGGTTTTTTTTTTTGTTTTGTTGTTGTTGTTGTTGTTGTTGTTGTTGTTGTTGTTGGCGTTGGAGTTGCCAAAAAAAAAAGAAGCAGATCAAGTTCACACGTTCACACAAACTTTGCAATGCCCGGGTGCAAAGTTCATCTAGATCTGCAACCAGCACAGAGCAAACTATCCCCGGCCCACCCTTCATTTAAGAAGTCCCCGGGCGGATGGGAAGCATTTCATTTTTCCACTTGGCAGCTTGATAGAGCTAGGCTCGAAGTTTTGGGAATATTTGGCCCATGATGGGTCTGGTCGGGATGGCTCTTTGGGGTTGGGCAGAGCTGCTGACAATGACCGCACAGCACAGCACATAACACGTAAAATTGATCCATAAACCTGCCAATCAAAGGACGGCAGTATTCGTGGCAAAGAGACATTGACTGGTCCAAATGGTGAATATTCATTCTGACAGCGGCTAGGTACAGAATCATGATCAAAGGTCCAGACACATCAGCTCGAGAATGGCTAAAATGACAGCAAGATGGATTGTCGCGTGGTAGCTCTTCACCCGAAGTTGATATTTTGCGCGTCCTCCAGGTTCCCATAGATCCACGCCTTCCTCTACCTGTGCCCTATCTCCTGAGACACTCTTGGATGCGTCATCAAGAAGCATGGGGTTGGTACGGAACTGGGGTAGCACAGGATTTTGGTAGACTCTCATGATCCTTGAAAGGAAGAAGAGGAAAAAGAGAGCATAACCCGGACGGCGCACCACGATTTTTGAAGGCATTCGAGCTGTGGGGCCCGGGGCCTTGGCTCGGATACCGGATTGCTGAGCGGGGTAGACTTCGGCTGCCAATCAGATGAGGGTCTGAATTGAGTGGCACCCACACTGCATGTGGACCCATTTGACAGTCTGGCCTCGGGCAGGCTTGGCGCGCCCCGCAGGTCTGGGCTCCTCCAAAATTTCAAAAAAAAAGTTGAGCGATAGGCGATTGATCAGAAACCCATCGTCAACAACAACAACAACAACAACAACAACAACAACAACAACACCATCATCCGCAACCATGGCAGCCGAGGTTGTCCCGCTGCCCCAGCTCAAGCTGCCCTCGGGGCCGAGCCCCATAACGGCCGAGCAACGCTACTGGCGTTCATTCAAAAAGCAAAAATCGCATACATCGACTGCGAATTGGCCCATTTCGCACATCAGTTTCCCCGCGTCTCTCGGCACCACCGCCTTGGTTTCGTCGTCGCTCGTCGCTGCTGCTAAGACCAACGACCTTTTCGCCGTCACGGCTGGTCCCCGTGTCGAGATCTTCTCCATCCGCAAACGCGAGCCGCTCAAGACTATTGGTCGCTTCGACAGTGAAGCCCATTGCGGCGAGATCCGTCCCGATGGCAGAGTTCTGGTTGCCGGCGAGGACACTGGCCGGATGCAGGTGTTTGATGTCGGTCAGGGCACCCGCGCCGTCATCCTCAAGACATGGCATATCCATAAGCAGCCCGTCTGGGTGACCAAGTGGTCGCCCACGGAGCTGACAACTCTGATGAGCTGTTCCGACGACAAGACTGTCCGCCTCTGGGATCTTCCCTCCAACGACCCAACCCGCCTCTTTACAGGCCACACTGACTACGTCCGTTGCGGCGCCTTCATGCCAGGCTCTGCTAACAGCAACCTGCTCGTCTCCGGCTCCTACGACGAGACTGTCCGTGTGTGGGACGCCCGCGCCCCCGGCGGTGCCGTCATGACCTTCAAACACGCCGATCCCATCGAGGATGTCCTGCCCCTCCCCTCCGGTACAACCCTCCTAGCCGCCTCGGGCAACGCCATCTCAGTCCTCGACCTCGTCGCTGCCAAACCCCTCCGCCTCATCACCAACCACCAAAAGACTGTGACCTCGCTCTCCCTGGCCTCTCAAGGCCGCCGCGTCGTCTCCGGCTCTCTCGATGGCCACGTCAAAGTCTTTGAAACCACCTCCTGGAACGTCGTCGCCGGCGCCAAGTACCCCTCGCCCATCCTCTCCCTCTCCGTCATCACCGCCGGCGCTTCCCACGATGACCGTCATCTCGCCGTAGGCATGCAATCTGGCGTGCTATCCATCCGCACACGCCTGTCCGGCCCCGCTGCCGATCGCGAGCGCGAGCGCGAGCGCGTCGAAGCCGCCATGGCCAAAGGTCCCGAGGCCATCGCCAAGCTGGACGCCGCCAAAGCAAAGCGCAAGCGGGCTGCTGTGAGCAACAAGAACATGGACCTCCTCGGCGAGTCCGCCGACGTGATCATCCCCACCGCTGACCCCGGCACGCATCCCCGCGGCCGTCGTCCTAAGCTTAAACCCTGGCAGAAAGCCTTCCGCCAGGGCCGCTATGCCGCCGCAGTCGACGACGTGCTCAACACCACCGCGCCAAGCTACGACCCGGTCATCGCTTTGACCCTCCTCACCGCCCTCCGGCACCGCTCTGCCCTCCGCGAGGCCCTCCAAGGTCGGGACGAGCTATCCGTAATCAACATCCTCCGCTGGGCAGGGAAGTACGTCGCGGATCCACGATATAGGAGTATCTGCGTGGATGTGGCGTTCCATTTAATCGACCTGTACGCGGAGCACGTGGGCGGGAGCGCCGAGCTGGCGACACAGTTCCAGCAGCTGCTGGCGAAGGTGAATCGGGAGGTGGAGAAAGCCGAGTTGGCAATTGTTACGGGGGGCATGGTGGAGAGTTTGATGATGAGTGTGGAGGCTCAATAGGCGAACGTACCTACCTCGAGTGAGGGAATATGCCTAGAAAGTTAACTAGCCATGGTGAGATATGGGAAAGGGGTGTGGGGGAGGTGGGGGGGGGAAAGGGGAAAGAAGGGTTGGTCGGGCTCGGCGTAATTGCATTGCGGCGGCGTTTATTCGGGATTTAATCTATCTTTTTGCTTTCAGGTCGGTCGGTATAAGGGGATGAGAAAACAAAAGTAATTGATTGTGATATCTGTTGTATATTGGCTTATTGGCGGCTGTCATGCGGTTCACTAAACATACAACTTAGCTACCTACTTAGAATGATGATACCTTTCATGATAGGTTCGGGAATCAAATCCAATGGTTCTGGTCACTTGTCTTTTATATACTGGTTCCCGTGGATCTTGTAGTGCTAGTGTATGATGATAGCTCCCTTGCAATGCTAATGATAACACCTCTTCTTGCTATACTCTGACTTCTGCCCGTCACATCATCCTTAGCGGCCCCTAAGAGGATACATGTTGACGGCTCTGCCAAACCAGCGCCCGTCGTTTCATGATAGCTCAACCTCAGCCAAAATAGAAAACCAGATAATGTCCATATATCACTTGTAACTGGGAAAAGTAAACAAGCTACAAGCAGAGGAAATTGAAACCCTTACGACCCATTCATTCATTCATTCATTCACTCATCAGCGATTAAACTACCTCCCAAAAAAAAAAAACCGTGGCCCCTATCAGACCATCCGTATCAACAATCTTACCAAGCACACGCAATGTATCCTCTTCAAACAAAGGAACTAAACTCAAGAAAAGGACACACAATGAAACGGTGACCTAATATCAACATACAAAGCACCCTTCTTTCTCTTTTTTCTGACTCCCCTTACGCAGAACCGGACCGCTTCCATTCAAACTTCCACCGATATGTCCTTTGGTACCAACACCTGTACCAATAGGGGGCGAGGAAGCCTCAAACCGGTTCCAATAATCCTTATATGCCTTGACCATCCTCTCAAATAATCGCTCTTTTTCTCTTTCCTCCGTAATTCCCTGTTTCACTTCACGATTAAGGGAGACAGTCCCAGCAGGTGTCGAAGAAGGACTGGCAGTTGGTAAATTCCGACACAGGGAAGCCGGCACAGGCGCGGGGAGGGATGAAGGTCCATCTGCCTTTATCCAGGCAATCGATGAGCGCCAAAACCGGAGGTAGTGGTCCCATCGCTTCTCATTCCACCACGACTCCTCTTCCCTATCCTTCTCCCTTGGCCTCTCCTTCTTCTCCCTGTCCTGGGACCGCCTGGCCCCATCAATGACAAGTTTCTTCAGCCTAGCTGCCAGCGCGCTGTCCCCTTCCCGCTGCTTGGGAGAAGAACCTTCTTCCCCTGTGGTAGCCGTCACCGTCCCCGTCCCCGCAGACACAGAACTCTCGCCACTCACACCCTCACCCCCACTCCCCCTCCCAGGCCCAGGGCCACCGGAGCCGACCGCTCATCGCCTCGCAAGCTCGCCCTCAAGCCCCTGCATCTCGGTATACTCCTGCGGGCGCGGATCATCCGCGGTCCACTGCTGCGCAGGGCCCTGGGGCATGGGGACCGGCACAGCTTGAACATTAACCTGCAACCCGTGGCCCGTGGCGCCAGGCGCAGTGCGCACGAGCTGGCGGAAGCGGAAGACCTCGTCGAGGATCATCTTGCGCATCTCGTTGATGTCGTCGACGGCCTCGAAGTCGAAGTTGAAGACAGAGGGACACTCGGGCTCGTCGCTGGGGTCGTGCCAGATGGCGAGGTAGGGGTGGGCGAGGGCCTCTTCGACGGTGATGCGTTTGGAGGGGTCGAAGGCCAGCATCTTGTCGAGTAGGTCAAGGGCTTCGGGGTTGGCGTTGGGGAAGAGGGTGTGGAAGGGTTTCTTGGCCATGTAAGGGAGGTTACGAACGTATTCTTGGGCGCGGGGCGAGCCAATACGGGACAGGGTCTCCTCGTTAGGGGTACCCAGGATGTGCAGAATCTGGTTGAGCTGGTCGACGTAGTCCCTGCCCTTGAAGAACGGGCGTCCGCCGAGCAGCTCGGCGAGGATGCAGCCGACTGACCACACGTCGACTGGGATTGTCTTGTTAACCATCAGTCAAAACTAAAGCGCTAAAGAGAACGTACTGGCTTTGGTGTAGTTTTGGAAGCTGAGCATGATCTCGGGCGCGCGGTACCATCTCGTCGCGACGTACTCGGTCATGTACCCGACATTTTCCTCGGGATCGACAGAGAAGCCTCGCGCAAGACCAAAGTCGCAGATCTTGAGCTCGCAGTCGGCGTTCACCAGCAGGTTCCCCGGCTTCAGGTCGCGGTGCAGCACGTTCGCTGAGTGGATGTACTTCAGGCCGCACAGAATCTGGTAGATGAAGGACTGGAAGTGGGCGTCAGTCAGGGGCTGGCCTGAGCGGATGATAGCCGCAAGGTCGCACTCCATCAGCTCTGGGGACAGTTAGCTTTTATCCTGAGCTTTCCGCAAAGGAAACTTAGTCCTACCCTCATAGAGATACGTCTCGTTAAAGTTGTCGGGCCTAGGAATGTCCATATCATACAGACAAGTGATCTATGGGGGAGGAGAGGGGGGATTGAGTCAGCCTAGGAACATCATGTCAGGTATCGGGCTACATACGTTGCGGTGGCCCCTGAAGTGCTGGAGAAGCTTGATCTCGCGCAGGGCGCGCTTGGCCAGGATCTTTTTGCTGAAAACATTTGTGACCTTCTTGATGGCAACACCCTCGCCGGTCTGGTTGTTAACCGCGGCGCTGTAGCCCTCATCATCAGCATTGGGCTTCTAAAATCAAAAGGTGAGGTGAGGGGGAACATACCAGACAATGCCATAGGCACCCTGACCCAGCTCCTTCGTCACGGTGTACCGCTCATCGACGATGAAGTCCTGGTTGAAAACCTTGAAGATCTTGCGTCCCTGAAGCTCGCCCATGGTGATCAAGGTGCAAGAGGTCGATCGGTGTCTGGCGTTGGCGTCGTTGGCAAGGAGGTCGTGGGCTCTGCTGGGCGTTGATGTGGGGTACCGCAGTGGGTCGGACGAGACGAGGCCTGGCGGGCGAGCTGACGGCGGCGAGGAGGGGAAGCTGGCAGATAAGGGGCAGCACTGCTTATCTCAGCAAGGGGCTGGGCGGGCTGAAGGCCGAGTGCCCTGGGGTCCAAGAGGGGTCTAGGAGGGGCGCACTCGGGCTTCAAAGGGGACGAGCAGCGCAGGGGACGCACAGCAACAAAGGAGGAGAGTAGCAAACCAGACAAGGACACGAAAGCTGGATGATGGAAAGCAAGAAGATGGATATATGCCACGAGAGAAAAAAAAGCGCAGATTAAGGCCGTATATACGGATTATGGGTTGCCGGGCTGTGATCAACGAGTCGCTGAAATGAACCAGCAGCCAGCATTTGAAGTAGGAGAGCTCTGAAAGCGGGGATCAAAATGAGGCACGGTACCAATCGCGAAGCCCCTGTGCTTCTTTGCTCAATCTGTTGGCTACGTGTGGTTAGAGGCGCCACCCATTGAGAGCGAAGGGAGGGGGAAGCCTGCAGACGCTCAGCCCAAAGACAGAGAGGGAGGAACAAGCCCCACCATTTCCCACTCCCGTCCCCACATCCACCCACGACTGCCGCAGGCAGAGCCCGGCACGAGCTGTGATTGGATAGCTGGCGCTGACTTCGCAGAACAAACCCCGTCACCAACGCCGCCGTTACGCGCGCGACAAAAGCATCCAAGCGCAATGGCATCACAATGTCTAGGCTGCACAAGGTATGGACAGCCGTTTTGGTGCTAGCAGCCGTGTGAATTTGATGCGACAGTGCGAATGGAATGTCTGAGAGAAGGAGAAACTCTGATGTTGGGTTGTAGAGATGGAGTCTGGACTCTTGGGAGGGAGCTCACTAAGCCAACCGTGAGCTTCAATTGGCCTGTGGTTTCATAGCGGATTTTCGTATTGAAAAAATTGGCTTGGACTCGGCAGTGAGTTCCAAATGGTGAGGAAGAGAAATTGGAGCTATTTCCGAGGAGGCATTATGATGCATTGAGCTCGAAGCGCCAATCCATTGCTGAGGTCTGCTTGTCCAATGTCCACCTGGCACCCCTGACGGCCCGCTATGGTCGACGTCAACGGCCGTCTGATCTCCCGCGGTCACACGATGGGCCATCTGGGCCTGTTCCTGGCTGTAGGGCTAGCGCTCGTCGCCTTCCAGAAAATTGAACATCAGGTTTCGAGGATCCGGAACTCTGGCTTTCTGCTGTTCTAAGCTTTGAGGCCTTGTGGCTTTTCTCCCCGCTCTTGAGCTGTAGTGTAGACTCATTCAAGATTCCGAGCTCACGATGTGACGAACCAGCTGAAGAGTTAAGACGGCAAATCAAGCTGAAACCGAATTCTGCTATAGTTAGAAGAGGACGGCGTAGCACATTTCGGCGGCAACTAATGCAACCGCGACGCTAGCATAGCCATGCGGCACATTGCCGTATTGCAGCCGCTCCATTCAGCCATCACATGCTTTGGCTACGGCAACACCAGGCTTCTCATCATGGCAAAAGATCCATTGCACTGTACCGTGGTATCTTAATCTATCCTCCAAAATGAAACGCTAACTTCTCTTATATCAACAAAGCCTCCTAGCAGACACCCCTCAAAGCTGGCTAGGCGGCGTCACATCAGGGAACACATCCTTCAAAAAGTTGATGGAAAACCGAACAGCCTGCTCATACGCCTTCTCGAATCCAGACCTGCCGCCGTAGTATGGGTCCTGGATGACCTCAGCCTTGCCGGTGCCAGAGTACTCGCCGAACAGCATGACCTTGGCCTTGCTGTTGGGCTTGCGGCGTCGCTTCATGTCCAGCAGGTCCTCCAGGTTGGAGCGGTCCATGGCGAAGATGTAGTCGAAACGGTCGAAGTCGTTGTAGGTGACCTGGCCATGTTAGATATGGTGTCCATGAAGGTTAGTAGAGCGGGGACATACCTGGCGGGCAGAGTGCTGGTAATCAGTGATGCCATGGTCATGGAGAGTGGACATGGTCCGGCTGTCGGGGTCCTCGCCGGTGTGGTAGCCAGCTGAGAGCAGTTAGCTTCTGTTTTGAAGAGGTGGCAATGTTTGGTGCATGCCTGTCCCGCAAGAGTCAATCTCGCCGATGAGGTCCTTATATGGCGGTTTCCTCGCGATGGACTGAAAGACACCCTCAGACATGGTGGAGCGGCAGATGTTGCCAAGGCAGACAAACAGCACAGAGATCTTTTCCGGCATTTCGGAGGAGAGAGTGATTATATCTTGAGCAAAGAAAGATTGAATATAATAAAATGAGAATGAAAGTTTCTGGGACAGTTCGCAACTGAGATCTCAGATCTGAGGACCCTGAGAACTGAAACCTCCCCACTTGAAGCTGTGATGGAGGGGCAGCGCGATAAGATACGGATTCTGATCAGGGTAGCAACAACAGTCACGTGCTACACAAGCACCAAAACCCCAACCCATCCCAGGTCTCACGCTAGAGGAGCGGATGGACCGTGCACAACCGCTAAGTCACGTGCACGGATTTGCAGACTGCTGACGTGCACAGACCCTGACCCTCAAGTATAAATATTTCCCAGACCCTTCCCGATTCTTACTCTGTTCTTTTCCTTTTTTTCCTCATACTTACCTTGATTGGGCACACCTGGATCAAGAAGCAGGGGTGCCAGGGCGATAGGCCTGCATTGCACATCGTGGAGCCGGTCGTCTTGGATTGTCCTTCGGGGCCGTCCCGGTCATAATTTTTGATGTCCACCTCCTCTCACGAGGATTCTTTTTCGCTGTGTGCTTGGCTGGCTGTCGGGCCACGGAGAAGAAGAGCTTGAGTGGGGAGTGTGCTCTGTCTATTGTGTAGCAAGCTTCGACTGCAAAATCCCACTGTCACTGCAAGTGAAACGTGAATCACATGTGTTCCAAAAAAAGTTCGACATAAGGGAATTTGTGCCAGAGAATTTGCCTCGAGGTTGAATTTGTGGAAGTTGCCCTGTTGATAGTTTCAGCAGACAGCTGATGACATCAGCACCACAACGATCTGGTCGATTTGCCAGATCTAACCAACATCAAGCCATCACCTTAGCCACATGAAAAAAACCATCTCATAATCCAAAATCTGACAAGTTCCATACGTCCATCTTTCTGTTGCCCAGCTTCTTTGTGATTTCTCTCTGCAAGGGCAATCACGCAAGCTTGCGCAAGTTCCGGGGTGTCTCGCACACATCTGCAGCGCTCCCGTCAGTCCCGCTATCTGCGCGTCTTGTCTGCGGGGTCACGAAACGGCGGACTGTGAGTCGCCACAGACATCCCGGCAACCCCACCACCGCCGTGGCATCGCATCGTATCGCACCCACGGAGGGCACGTCGATCAAATTGCGGCCAAACAACGGGCATGCAGAGCTAGGGAATTTACTTCCCAGTGTAGATAGAGCGTACGAATTGTGTATGGAGCTTGCATTTGATTCATGATCTGTGACCCCAAATTCCAGCCTTCATGGAAATCTTTTTGGTGTCCTGCCTTCCGTCCATCCATTCACGATCCCATATCCCCAATCCACATACCGTATCTTCTCCCCGGAAGAGGACTCAAGTCCGATAAATCCGCCCCGATCTCTGTGTTTGCCCGCGCACTTCAGACTTGGGATAAATGACGCCCATGAAACACACATACTCACATGCCAATCAGAGGCCGTGATTTGACAGGAAAAATGGAGCTTTGGCTCTCACGTTGCAAGCGATGGGCATGAAGGGCGGAGACGTTGCAGAGCTCTGTGAGTTTACGATTCTGATTTCGACTTCTAACTGAAGAGAGAGTGGGCTCCTCCATGCCGAGGAGAGATAGAGGAGTGCAGTCGCCCCGCGCCCGGCTAAGCAGGACATGGCGGCCGAGACATGGCGGCTTGCTGCTTGCTACGTTTTTAAAAGTCCCCTGATGAGGAGACTAGGAGCACGAGTCGAATAGAGGAGGAGCTTCTCGGCCGGTCGGAATGACGGAGCTGCTGCTGCGGTTCTTATTAATAAAAGGATTCGATGCTGTCTGTGGACTTGTTTTCAGTTTCCATTTGTCGCTCTTACTTGTGATTCCTGATCCAGGCCCTAGCATTTGCATCTGAAGTCGAGTGAGTTTAGACTTCGACTCCGATTCTAGTCAGCCTCGATCACCTCCTTTCCTTTCCTTTTATTTTATTTTATTTTTTTTTTTTACATCGGCACATCTGAGAAGTATACATCATACCTCCTTCGCCTCTGCACCTGTTGGTATAAGAAGAACCCTGACTGGCTTGCTACCTATATTTAACCCTCTGTAGCATCAGCGACACCCAGAGCTCACCTTAAAGCTCAGTTCTCCTTCACCCAGGTCGAGATCCGAATTTCACTCCACCTTTCGTCATCCGTGGCAAAATCTTCGCAAAAACTTACACTCAAGCCAATCCGGGGACCCGATCCAGTGTTCTGGAAACTTTCTCCCTCATCAAACGCACTTAAAACAAACCTGGGTCCATCCTTGCCGATAACACCCGATTCCCGACGATACCTGCACTTCCGAGCGGAACACCGTTGAAAACCGAAATCAATAATCCCCCCCGTTGGGTTTTCAGTTGCGCAGAGTGGAATATTTCCATCGGTGGGCTTTTGATTGCTTGCAAGTTTGTTTGGGTTCCACTGGACGGCGAACGCGGCAGCTTTCCGTTCTCCGCCTCGGTCTTACCAGGGGTGCATACATACCTAACGGGCCGTTGAACAAAGAAAACAGTTTCTTCTCTCTGAGTTCCAGAAGCCATTAAAAGTCGGGTTCTGGACGGGTCGTTTCCCCTGATACAAAATCGTCGAACCAACCCAACAAGGAAAAAGATAAACACACACCAGCAGCTAAGGAGGGCGGGATCGACAACGGGAGATCGACACAATCATCATCCTCGAAAGAAAACACGAACTCACCAAACTAAAAGTTCAATCATTAAAGATGAAACAACAAGACAGCCCCCCCGAACACCCCCGCGCCCGTGCCCACGGCCCCGTTCAAAACAGCGAAGTCTACCTCCTTCGCCAACACCTCCCTCCCCCTTTCACCTCCATCCCCCCTCCCTCCCCTCCATCCCCCATAACTCCTGCCGAGCCAGATTACCTCGTCGACTGCTCCGGCGCCGTCGTGCCCGCAGTCAACATCTCTTCCCTGACACTAGCCGACCAAACTTCGTTAGCAGCCGCCTGCGACGAGAAGCTTGCCGCCGAGGATCGCGTCTCCAAGGGCGTGCACGTCTTAGCCACGGAGGCAGCTGCCCTGCAGAACCTGGCAACCATCTACTCCGGGGACAAGCCGACTCGTGAACGATTTGCGCGGGCCGTCGACGTGCTCGTGCGCACGGCAAACCAAGGGGGGAAGGTCGTTGTGATCGGGGTAGGCAAGTCGGGGCATATTGCGCGCAAGCTGGTCGCAACGTTTAACAGTCTTGCTTTGCACGCGGTGTTTTTGCATCCGACAGAAGCGCTACATGGGGATTTGGGGATTATAGGGGAGAAAGATGCGCTGTTGTTAATTACGTACTCAGGGAAGACGCCTGAGCTGAGGGCGTTGTTACCGCATCTTGCTAAAGAGTTACCTTTGTTGCTGTTGACGGGGCATCAGAAGCCTGAAGGGGTGGAGTTGTTGCGGGAGAGTGCGGACAGGATGGCTAGGAAGGGGGAGACCATTTTGTTGCCGGCGCCCGTACATGAGCTGGAGACGGTTAGTTTTGGGGTTGCGGCGCCGACGACATCGACGACGGCTGCGTTGGCCGTGGGAGATGCGTTGGCGATTGTTGTTTCGCATGAGGTGCATGGGGATAAGGAGGGTGGTGTGGCGGGGGTGTTTGGGAGGAATCATCCTGGCGGGGCGATCGGGAAGGCGTTGGCGGAGAGTCAAGCACGGTCAGAGCCGCAGGATGATTGCAGGGATGCGGGGGTCTCGGAGACAGAATTGTCGTTGTCGTCGTCGCCGTCGTCGGAGTCGGAGTCGTCTTTGGGTTCGACTTCGTCGGATGAGGAGGATGGACGAAGCACGCCGACGAGTGTGACCAGCTTAACGGAGTCGAGTACCGCTGTTGCCAGCGCTGTGGACGATGACGGCGAAGAGGATGTGACTACCCCAACAATAACGGCCAAGCCTCCGACTTCGTCTACTCAGCCTACGATCCTCTCCATGGCTGTCTTTCCCGAGCAAATACCTCTCTTCACTGAAAACGACGACTCCGTGACTGGCGTGGACATTCTCCGGGCCGCCTATGCCAGTCCCTCGGGCTGGCTGTCCCTTGACGATAAAGAAATCATTTCCCCTTGCCGAATCAAGGCTCTCCCTACGGCCGAGCTATCGCTCCCGTTGCCACAGATCCGTTCCCGGCTGGCCATATCAAAGGAGAGGATGGTTCCTGTTGCAGCAGGGACTGACGTCAATGTCGCGAAGGCATGGATCAGGGGGTTGAGAGCGGCCATGGGTCCAGCATCTCAGTATGGGGATGATGGCGTGGTGGCTGTGTTCGAAGGAGGTGAGACGGTTGGGTATTTAGAGGTTGGTAAGCTTCTAGGTTAAAGGCTCCTGAAGTTATTTCCGGGTAAAGAGACTTTATTGGGTTGTTTCTCTCTGGTATCTCTTGGGATATCCTGGTTGATGAGATCATGACGGTATACTCAAAAGAGACCACAAAATGGCAGGCTAGACGGCGGCTTGGGAGGCTATTTGTCATTTGGTTGATTTTACTTTCTCATGCGCGATTGAGTATGGGCTGGCATGTCTCAGCATGGCGTTTGCAGGGGTGTTTTTGTTGTTTTTGAGTTTAAATTCTGGGAGCACAAGATACCTAGGTACATATCTTAGTATACCTGTAAGAGACTGGGTACCTTATCAACCTGGTGGCAGTACAGTTATGGATGGCTAGGCACTTTCAGCATTGGCGGCATTCCATAATGAAGACTATAGATCATTGAGTATACATTCATCAGGCTATGCATTGGTATCCATCCTGTTTGCATGGCATTACATACAGCAAAAGTTCTCTCGATTAGATCCGAGTCCTATAGACCGACATTAAGATGACCTCTTAGTCGGAATCCGAGTCATTGCTACTGCTGCTGCTGCTACTGCTACTGCTACTGCTACTGCTACTGCTACTGCTACTACTCTCCGAAGACTCGCTCTCTGCTTCCGACTCTGAATCATCTGCCACATTGTCCGCTGCTGCATCCGAATCGGACTCTGATGAACTTGACTCTGACTCAGAATCAGATTCACTCTCTGACGACGACTCGGATTCAGACGAAGAGCTGCTCGAACTCGATGACTCGGTCGCACTCCCGTTCATCTTCATCTCGACATCCTCGTCTTCTGACTCGTCACTCGAGTCGCTCTCCGAAGACTCGCTGTCGGACGACTCCGACTCAGACGAACTGCTGTCCGAATCGATCACCTCAGTACGGATGTTCCTTAACCTGCGCCGCTTGGCAGGCTTTTGCGGGCCATCAACACTCTTATGAACCTCGGTCTTGGGCTCGGCGGTCACAGTAGACTCTGACGCTGTTGTTGTTACTGTAGCCACACTGGCTTCTGATGTCGTGCTCTCACTATCCGACAACTCCTGCAAAATCATCTCGGCACGGATGCGCTTGACAAGCCGCTGCTTGACCTCGGGCGTCGCCGTGCGGATGACGTACTCTACCTCCTCCAGAGGTCGCTTGCCATTGGCGTTGATGCCATTGCCATTATGCTTCTTCTTTGTCTGTTGCTGCTGTTCCTCCAGATCCTTCAAGAAATGCGAGAGGGCCTCCTCGTATTCCCGTTGTTTGCCTTCCTTATCCTCCAGCGAGGCGGGGAACGCACCTGCGCCGCCCTCCATATCTTTCTTCTTGATGTCGGCGGCCGTATCTCGTAGCCGTGTGCGTGACCCGCCCTTCAGGTCGCGGATGTATGCGTAGAAGATGCTGATGTCGGACGAAGGAATCTTGTCGTCGCCATCAAAGACGTACTTGATCAGGAGGGTCTGGTGGTTCTTGTTGAACTTCCACGCTGCGCGGTTATTGTGCCACGTACGGAGGTAATTGAGCGACGGCTCAAGATTGGTTGCAGGCTTCGGCGGCTCGGAAGCCTTTTTGAGCTTCTTCTTCTTCTTCTTCTTCTTCTTCTTCTTTTTGTCCTTTTTGGCTTGTGGGTTCGAGGGCTTCGCGCTGTCCCAGGTGTCAGGAGCGAATGTGACGGTTTTCTTGACAGAGGATGGTGTTGCCGAGTTTGCGAGCGCTGATTTTGAAGTGAACTCGTCCTTCCGCGGTCTCTTGTTGGGGGTTTGTGCTGCGGCAGTGCTCGAGGCTGGCGTTGGCTGCTTTCTCTTCAGGGCGCTGGCGCTCGCTGGACCTCCGGTGGCACAACTCTGACTGGCAGCATTGGGACTGCTTGTGGAAGCGCTGGACACACCTGTGGTAGGTGTGAATGTGGGTGCGTTGGCCGCTGCAGGTCCCTTGAGCTTGAGGCCCAATCGCTTCCATGCCGGGACGTGGGAGGACATGGCGGCCGACCGGCAAGGGAGAAGAGGGAATTGAGGTGCCGATCGGGAATTGGGGGAGCTAGAGAGGCTTGGATGGCAGCCGAGAAAAAGTTCCTGATGCTTGGGAACTAAATGGATTGGATAGTCAAGCCCTATGCCCAGATGGTCCCCCTAGCTTGGAGAATTTGTCCACAAAGAAGCTTGAATCTCTGTCAAAAATCTCGAGAAAAAAATTTTTAGATGCCAATTCTGCAGTCTGCGATCCCCTAAGCCCAAGCCGTCGACAGTGTCCCAAGATTGGAACCCTGGAGTTATGCTTATTGGGTCCTCTCATGTCTCTTGCAGTGTCGCGCAGCCGTGAGCAATAGTCCTGCAGCAAATTTCTGTCCACCCATCTTATCGCTGCCTTCGAGCAGGGGTCTGGTGCCGATAAGAGATCAAGGTGGGGAAGTGGGGCAGGCTTTGGCTTTTGGTCCTGAAAACGGGGGTCTTCGCTGGTTGATGCCTGAGGCTGCCGCAATTGTCCAAAGCTTTGTCGCCTGAAGTGTAAGGCAAGAATTTTGAGGACCCCGCCAAGGTCCACTTTAGCCCGACACGGAGGCGGCAGCTGTGCCGCCAGCCCAGCCCAGCCTGGCAGCTCCAGGCAAACCGTAGCAACGCGTCCATCATCACTGCGGGACAGGCCACAGCTCCCGTCCGCTGCGAACCCAAGCCAGCCCGCCGTCAATTACACGACTCCCATCCAACCCAGGAAAAGACCGTTGTTTTTGGTGCAATAAGCCGTCCTGTTTTCAAATAACCACACTTACCCTTGACTAATTTCCTAATCGTCTGTCAAGATGGCGGGTATGGGATTCTTGACCCCTCGCTGGCTGAAGGTAGCTTGGAGCTCCACTGGAGTGGTCGCTAACATGTTGGCTCGACACAGGCAACGCTGGCTACGACAGACATATCACCATTTTTTCGGAGCAGGGACGGTTGTACCAAGTCGGTATGTGCGATGGGCAATGTGCGAGTGTGAGCGGCGGCCCTGAGCGATGCTGACCCCGCTTCCGCATTATAGAATATGCCTTCAAGGCTATCACTGCCGCCAATATCATGTCGATTGGTGTCCGGGGCAAGGACTGCGCTGTTGTCCTGTCGCAGAAGAAAGTTCCCGTATGTGCAGTCAGTTGGTCCTAAGGGTTCTTGGCTTGGGACTAACAGCAAGCTAGGATAAACTCATTGACCCTTCCTCCGTCACCCACATTTTTCAGATCTCGCCTTCGATCGGCTGCGTCATAACTGGTTCCATTGCAGATGCGCGCGCGTGGGCGCAACGCGCTCAGTCAGAAGCTGCAGAGTTTAAGTACAAGTATGGTTATGAGATGCCATGCGATGCTCTGGCCAAGCGCCTGGCCAACATCAGCCAGGTTTACACACAACGGGTATGTTGGATCGATGGTCGTTCGCTCGGGAATCTTGTCACGCTAATACTGTTGGCAGGCGTACATGAGGCCCTACGGTATTGCGACGACGCTCATAGGCATGGACGAGGAGTTTGGCCCTCAGCTTTTCAAGTGCGACCCGGCCGGTTACTACATCGGGTACAAGGGGACAGCCGCTGGTCCCAAGCAGCAAGAAGCTATCAACCATCTTGAGAAGAAGCTAAAGAACAAGGACTACGCGCCAGGCGACTGGAAGGAGGTGGTCGAGCTTGCTATCACTACGCTGAGCACCGTACTGAGCATGGACTTCAAGAAGACCGAAATCGAGATCGGCATCGTTGGTGGCCCGCGCCCGGACGGTAAGCCGGGGACATATCGGGGGTTTAGGACGTTGACGGAGGACGAGATCGACGAGAGGTTACAGGCGATCGCGGAGAAGGACTGAGAGATGGTTGTAGCAAGGTAGGAGATGATGTTGCGGGAAGAATAGGACGAGATGGCCGGTGAAGATGATTGACATGTCTCACTTCTGCTCTGCTAGGTGGTTGACATGAGTGCTGTTCTTCGTCGGCTGTTGAGCTCCAGCTCGGGGATTGTGCATCAGGAGCGTACCGTACCTCTGAGGCTGTGGCTCACTTGGTGAGGATGATATCCCTGAACCTGACAAACCGCGATCCTATGTGTGTCACTTCGGACTATCTTTTCCAGGCCGTGCTATCATGGATGCAGCATGCCAGGGAAGTTGTCCAAGTTCACAGATGACTTCCCAATGATATTGAGATGATGCATTCTCACCAAAGCTCTATCGGATACGCCGAGTGCTTGTGTGATGCCCAATGGTGAACGGCCGTTGAACAAACAAGTTTTACGTCCCAACAAATCTCCTGAGCTGACATGAGTCCCTTACCTCCTACTTCTGCAGCTCACCAGGAATTTCACAACCACAAGGCGTTCAGCAGCCATTAGCTGGCTGCCAAGCAACCCTCCGAGGTAATCTTTCCTGACGATCTCACTGCCCCTAGCTTTGGGACCGTCCCGGTATCTTGGGCCCGTCGTTCTGGGATGCACGCCACAAAACTTGCCACTATGCACACTTTACCCGGCGCAGTGGAATCAGTGATGGAGTACAGGATGCCGCTGACGAGTAACAGTCAAGAACGGGCTTGATGGAAGAGAGCTGGGCCGCCGCGGAGCGTGGGACGGCACCTCCAGAGGCTGGCTGCATGTTTCGGAACCCTAGAAGCTGAGGTGCTGACATGTAAGTGTAACCTCTTGAACAAACTTGGCAGCCGATGTCCATATCACCGCTAGACAATCGGATTGGAGTGGGCTCATTCTCGCACCGAAAATAGCGCTGCAGCAAAAAGCGCTGAGCTATGGTATCAAGCCGCATCTGGTTTGGGTGCAAGTCCTACTCAACACAGCCCGCGATGGCGTCTCGAATATTGATGACAAACTTTACAAAGTAAAGAGCCCAGCGGCGGAGGCCGTTTCAGTGCTTCGAGCGCCAATTCCAAGCGTTGAACCACGGGTGGACCCGGTGACAAGTCAGCACGGGTCGACAAAGACAACACAATAACAACCAAAGCATCATGAATCGTGAAGGTGGCGGGCCGGTGCTCGATTGGACTCTAGCCACAACGGCTGCCTCCAAGAGTTCTGCATCATCTTGGACGAGTTTCTCAATCAGGCGGTTGCGCTTTCCCAGGGCGGCGCTGAAGCTCGCCAAATTATCCGTTTTCGTGGGAGCTGCTGCATGTTGATGCAGGCCGCAAGCCACACGTGGAGGCTCTTAGGGCCGCCTGGGGCGAGGGGACTCTACGCGATGCTACCGACCCTAGCCTCACCGTGTGGTTCTCCACCCCGAAGCGGACAGAGCGGGCATCCGGCTAGTTGGGAACCACTGCATCGTCGGCGACTGCGGCCCCTCGGAGCACCAGCCATGCGGTGCGGTCCTAACTGCCGGGCAGCAAACTATCTGGCTCTACAAGTATGTACATGCGTGCTCCAAGAAGCCAAGCCTCTTTTCACTCCATCAGAGTCCAGCAACTTCGGACAGAACACGTTCGCACGCCCCTCCTGTTATATTCCGCAGTCCCACTTTCTGCACGTTCCGTCCTCAACTCCCTCGAGGCTCGCCAATGGCCTTGCGTGGACGCCCTTTTTGTTGTGGCAGCCCTATGCCTGTCTGTACATACAAGGTAGCTCTTCCTGCAAAATACCTGCTAGACTCCTAGCCGTGTAACCTCACAGTCTGGCTAGGCTATGACCTTTGGGGGGCGCGAGGTTCGGAACACGACAGTTGGGTCATGGATCCAAAGCCCGCTAAAAGTCTTTTGCTCTTTCCCCCGCCGCCTTGTTATGGGCAGCTTCCTATTGGATGCTGATCGCATCACAGCTCGCTGCAAGTCTTCAGGTGGGAAGGCCTCACAAGGCTGGCTGCTGATGATGGGTGGACAAGATCGATCTTGGGGAGAAGCTTTGTGGCGCCCGGCTGACGACGGGAGGGAGAGAGAACGAAAGGGGTCAAGGGGTTAAGATGCGAAAGATTGTCTCCGCTGACCCCTCCCCTAATGCAGCCGAGCTACGCACTACGCTCACAGCACACATGGCACACAACATGCTCGTGAGCATGACTGGCCGCTCAGACCGTTGAGAGATATCATGAAGTGGAGTCACACAGCCCTCCGAGCAGGACAGAGAAAGCCGTTGTGGCTTGCCAGTTCTACTACAGGCTCTGCCATTTACGGCCCCATTGTTGACTCCGGTCATAGCTGGTAGCTCATCCCATCGTTTGGTAGTGACCTCTTCCAACAAGGCCACGAACATGTACACGATCGTCAGGGGCACAAAGTAAGTCTTTGGAGACCTCACAGATCTCTTCCCTCCTTTTCCTATGCCCATGCCCGGCTGAGGGTTGTGGCAATAATCTACAAAAGCCGTTAGATCTCTCCTCTCTGTCGCCGACGATACTCTCTCGGCATCCCCGTTCTCCAGCTGTCGACGACATTCGCTCCCTTCTCCTCAGCTCTGCTGTCTTTCGGTGACCGCCTAGTCCACCACTCTTCGTTCTTTCTATCACACACTCTCTTCGTGCCCGTGGCAACTCTCTCTACTCTCTTTCAGCTACCTTTGCTCGTCGTGATCGAGGATCACAGCTTGTGGTCCACTTGGATTTTCCTGATTGCTCCTTCCCCCCGAAGGCCTAGTATTTTTTTTTTCAGCTCGACTATCCCGAACTACACACAAGACATCCCAACCATGTCGGACGGCCGTACGTTGCAACCTCAAACCCCCACACCTTCCTTGGCCCATAGCCCTCTTTGCCACATACAGTCTTCTTCCCAGCCCTGTCAAGCCCTATCCATCGACATGGAGCAGCGGATGATCCCGATTTTGGGGCCGTCCCGCACTAGTTGCCACTGCCGAGATGAAACAGAAATCGTGTGCACGATTAGCTGGGAGCGCGGAGATTTTTTTTTGCGACACTAACATGGAGAGGATCACAGTCAACCCTCGGCGTACAGCTCGCGTTGCTGAGCTACTCAATGACTTCCGCACGTTGCAGTACTGGATCACTGAGGGGCCCAAGGGGCCGGTCCATCCGGACGATTACTACGCCGCCGGCTGGGTGGAACTTAGGCAGTGCCTGGAGGACGGAAAGCACATTCTCGATTGTGCGGCCGACATCACGGTGCCGATGGCTCATGGCGGGCCTGATGAGCAAGTCAAGGCCCAACTTCAACAGTATGTCACTCACTTTCCCATCTTGTCGTTCATCATGACTCTTTCTGGAATTTTTTCCGAAGCAGAGCAAAAATCGTCTGATGTTTTGGGAACGATCCGCGCGGGCTGACCAACAAACTTTTTTTCCCCCTCACTCATAGAGTCCTTCTCGACGCGTTCGCTCGCAGGCACGAGGCGCAAAAGATCTACAATCGGACGCAAGCGGCCTTGACTTGGGTTGCTATGCGCGACCAGATCCTCGCGGGTGGCAGGCCGCACGCGGGGAACGCAGCACAGTTGATGGCTCTGGATCAGCAGCTGTGGAATGTACGTCATACTAACGTCTTCCCTCTCTCCACACTTTCCATCGCTCGAGACAAAAACATTGGGATGAATAAACTGACAGTGAGGCAAAAAGGACCTGGCTCTTATCACAGACGAAGCGGTCTACGAGCAGCTGCGTGTGTCCGATATCGCCTCAGGCCGCTGGACCGGCGCAGATCCCAACCTGTACGAGGTGCAGTGCTGGATCGCCGTGCGGAAGCAGGGAGCAGCTTGAATGCACTTGCTCGCGCAGTAATCAAGTGATAGAATTTGGGATGAGAGATGATAACGACACCGAAACAACAACTTACGACGGCGAGATGATGATGACTCGATGATGATGTCCGAAACGCGAGACGTTCGAAGACACAGAGCCGATGACAGACGCCAGAAAACAATCAATTTTACGACAAGAGACAAAAGCTTGATCATAAAGCCATCAACATGACGCCCGCCGCCATAGGCCTTATGATTCGACGATTTACGCGACGGGTCTTGCGCCTTAATCGACAAACCAAACACAAACCCTTTTCGTTCTTTTGCTTTCGCTTCATTTTCTCCTCCTTTCTTTTAATCATCAACAAAACCTTCTTCGCTTGCATTCTCATTTCTTTTTCGTCGTATTCTGTTTGCATTGTTTGAGGGGAAACGGCACCAGAGATGAGATAGATTCCTTTTCTATTCTTGGATACCCCAGGGTTACAGGGGAAGTTGGGTCAAAAGGCATGGCTTTGCAGGTTCTTGATTATTTACGCAGGTTGTTGTCGAGGCAAGGAGATAGCGTCTGGTACGCTTCCCTTGGGTGTTGATATTGCGCCAGCAGGGAGCAGAAGGGCCGTGTTGTGGATAAGGAACGGTTTTGTTGGCTCAGCTGCCAGGCGCAGGATAAATAACTGATTACGCAAGGAAAAAAATATACAAAGATATCCCAAAACATAAATAAGTATACAAACGTGGTTTGAGCTCCATGCGTCGAGACTAATCAGCAAAAACAAATCCCCTGAACTGAGTTGACGAACTCAGCCCGATGCTTTCAGCCCCTGTTCTTGCTATGAACGCACAAAGCGATCCCGGCAACCGACAATAGCATCCCGATAAGAGTATCTCAGGATGTCAGCATCACTTTAGACAAAAGCGATATTAAGCAAGCAGACATACCTCGGCTAATGACTTTTCTCTCAACATACCACTCCCCAAGCACAGTAAACAAAAATGCCAGAGTATTAACAATCGGCACCGTCAGGCTCAATTCTGACCATCTTAGTCATTAATGACCTGTTGCCTAAACCTACAAGTAATACATATAAAAAAAAGAAAGAGAGCAAAACCTACCGGCCTTCCCAATCAACAGAAAAAACCACACGCTCCCCGTCAGATTGACCACCAACGGCACCGCATATCGCGGGTTCTTTAGCAACCCTACGATCGCCCGCCACGCCTGGCCCAGCTTCCTTTTCACCCAACCCTTGCTGGCCTCGTCCTCTGGCGTCGGAAGGGGCTTGTAAGTTCGGGCTGCGGCTCGCATAAAGGGGGTCGTGAACCCCCAGGCGAAGCCGACGAGAAGGAAGGAGAGGATGTAGTTGATTATGGGGGGATGGGGAGGGTTGGGGTTGGGGTTGGCGGTATCGGACATGGTTTGGGGGAGGGTTTAAGGTTGTAAGTAAGTTCCAACTTGCCGGCCGGGCGGCAGGCCCACCGGGTCGGTTAATCGGGACGGGAGTGTGGATAGATTAAACCCGAATGTCGGGGCTGAGTGCAGACGGGATCACACAAGGCGGTGGGTGTGTGGAAAGCGGGCGGTGATCGGATCGGTGAGAGCGCAACCAGTGATGAGCTGGAAGCCGAGACGGACGGGATGGCCGGGCACGAGTCAAGTTGGGGCGCTGTTGGCGGTTGAAGTCCGATGAATGGCGGTGAAGCAAGTCAGAAAATGGGAGTGTTGTTTTAAGTTTGAAAATGGAATTGGCTTAAAGATGAGCCCAATATGTGGGTTCAGCTGCGATCTGGTCCACCGGCGTGTCCGGGCTGCTGGAGGTCTGGACGAGTGAGGCTGCGTAGATGCATGGCCGATGTCACGGTGTGGGTTCCACAGCATTGGTTTCTTATCGATAAGAAACCTGGGGGAGCGGTTTAAGAGAAGAGGGTCTAGACCCATCTATTGGGGTTTCTTGAAGTTTGTTTGCCTATTGACTCGATCATGCTCGCGGTATGATGAGCGTAAGTAATTGATCGTGAGCCGCTGTTTACACAGTTCTTCCGAGACTTACCCTTGATCTGTTGTCGGATTACAGATTGCGTCGATCACAATGTCCAAGCCTTCTTGCCATCGCCCGACTCAACAGCAGATAAGTTATAAATTAGGACGATAGCGTCACCTCCAGATATGCTTTCATCAGTTTCCTAACATTCTCGCCATCGCGAAGCAGTGGCTTTGCCCTATCGTCATCATACTTACTCCTCACCAACAATCACATTTCACGAGTCTCGCCGACGTCGCAAGGTCTTGCGCGGCAAGTAGGCTTGGCACGCCAAGCCCTGTTCAACGGTGGAGTCTGAAAAGGCTTGGCTTTCGTCACATCCCGGGCCTCCCTGCTTTTCTCGTTTGCTCCGCCGCTACCGATCGACATGGTCCGAAGGGAAATTTGGAGAAAACCCATGCTGTTTGGCCTGGTTGGATGGCCAACGAGCAGGGGTACCGAAGAGTGAGACAATAACAGAGATAGAAACAAGTTGAGTAAGCTCGAGAGTGCTGAACATCAATGCCATGTCAATGTATGATCGACCCGATGTTTTTCTGCGGTACACTGGTGTTATTTTGCTGTCCTCGAGACGGTAGGATCCGTCTGATCCGTTGATCGTGGCTGTACGAAACCCGCGGAGGGAGAAGAAAAGACTAATCACGAGCCTGTGCCACAGATCCACAGAGCGAAAAGGCCGGGCCGGGTGTTTCAGGATTGCTGGTCGAGACGAACCTCTTGTTTATGCTGGAATAAAGCTGAGCAGCGAGCTTCAGAAGTCAACACAAAACCTGGAAGTAAATAGTCGGCTTAATTGGAGTCAATGTGATGCTGTCACAAGACCGACCTGGTTCCTGTACCCGCGGAAAACGGCCAATGGCTTGTACGATTCCCAGACTCGAGAGAGCGATGGAGTTCTCGAACAGCTCCAACGTGGATCCAACATGCTGCTCTCGTGGATGGCCTGTCGCAAAAGAGCTGACACCAGCCACCGCGGTGAGCCAGCGTTAACCGTAGGACGCAAGCTTAGCTTTCCAGAGAATCCCCTCCCAGCCGTGGGCCGAGTGCAGGGATTGATTGGAGCCAGCCACTGGCGTTTCGAGGCCAAGCTCGAGCCCCATGCAAGAAAGCGGCCCCACCCGCGAGACCCGCAAGGGTTTGGTCCGCGATTGGCATGAAGCCATTGGCTGTCGATTGGCTTTCGATTGGTTGTCCGGGCATTGCAACACTGCAAGGCGCGGCGGGCGCTTCCAGCTTTCCCGTGCTTTTTGCTGATGGTATGCTGATAACCGTCCCTAACCCTGGGACTTCTGGCTGATTCTCTCTCGCCGCACACACCTCGCACCAGACAGACATCCATCGACAAGACCATGGCTCAGTGACTAATCTTCGTATCGTTCCGAGGGTGTCGTCATCGCGTGGTTCGTGTCCCTTCGATCGATTGGCGTCGGGTCTCCTTTTTCATCCGTTCATTCGTTGGCCCAACAGCAGCTGCCGCGCGGGGCACAGAAGCACCAAGCACCAGCCTCTCCAACGTCACCGTCACCGCAGTCGTGACCGTGTTCCTCCATTCGCTTGAGGCTTTCAGTAACCAACCCAGGCTTTGGCTGAAGCTTTAAGGAGCTCCTCGGTCGGCTCCTCGACCATGTCGAACAAGGCCAAAGTCAATCCCCTCCTCACGAAGATGCACACAGCAGGCATCTTCTCTGACATGAGCGTCGACGGCCCCGAAATCGGCACGCTCGTTGTCGTCGTCGACCGCGCCAAGAATCTGCCAAACCGCAGGACCATCGGCAAACAGGATCCCTACTGCGCTGCTCGCCTTGGCAAGGAGGCAAAGAAGACGACTACAGATATTCGTGGCGGACAGACGCCGAGATGGTAGGCGATTTTTGTTCAAGTTCGCTCGACTCTGACACTTGCTGACGCTGACCGCCCCAGGGACCAAGAGCTGCGCTTCACCGTTCACGACTCTCCCGATTACTTCCAACTGAAGGTGTCCGTCTTCAACGATGACAAAAAGACCGAGTTGATCGGCGAGTGCTGGATCGACCTGCGCGACATTGTCCTGCCTGGCGGCGGTCAGAACGACCAGTGGTTTCAGTTGAACTACAAGGGCAAATACGCCGGCGAGATCCGCATGGAGATCACATACTACGACAGTCGTCCCAAGCCCGAGAAGCCCGCGAAGATGAAATCATCGAGCCGTCCCGAGGGCGAGAGCAGCACGATAGGCAACCCCAGGACCGTCCCAAAACGTCGTCCCCTGCCATCCGATCCAGTCACGGGGAAGCCTGGGGCTCCTCTTCCTGCGCCTGCGTCCCCCGACAAGGTCGAACCGCAGCCACCAAGGCCTCAGCCAAGTCCCAATGCCTCTCAACCACCTTTGGTCCCGGCGAACTATACCAATGCTCCGCAGGCAGCCCCTGTCCAAGCATATTCTCAGCCACAAACACACCACCACCACCAACAACAACAGCCCTATCATCAACCGCAACCATACCCTCAGCAGCAGCAGCAGCAGCAGCAATATTCCCAGCAGCCATATCCTCAACAACCAACACCGCCAGAACACCAGTATCATGGCCGTGACCCGAACGGTTATCCCGTGCCGCCTCCTCGTCGGGATGTCCCCCCGCCCCCTCAGCATCATCATGTGCCCGAAAGACCCAGAGACCATTACTCAGAGCCAGGTTACGCTCACAGTCCTCAGCATTACCAGCCCCCATACGATCAGTATGCGCCGAGTCTCCGTGATATGCACTTCCCGCAGCCCAGCGGGGTAAATGGCTACGAGGAAGATCGGCCGCCACCGCCTCCGGTCCATAGAGTCAGGGCCGGGACCATGCCGGCGATGAATCCTCCCCATGTGAACGGTGTTCCCCCGCCAGTTATGCACATGCGGCGTGATACGATCAGAAACGACGCATATCGCCAATCGTCTTCTGACTACCCTGGTCGCCCGACATACAAGGCACAAGACCCAGGCCTTCCTCTTCCTGCGCCGCAATATCGTAACGACCCTCCCCCACCTCCCCCTCCTGTCCGACATTACTCTTATGACTCGACGACATACGACATAAATAGAGGTATGCAAGCTCCTGTTGAGGATGTGCCGGAACCTATGCACCATGGCGATCCGAGAAGTTCAGGTCGCTGGGTTCCACAGCAACCATATCCTCAAACGCAGCCCCCTCCTCCTCACTATAACACCGGTTACGACGTACCTCCGCCCTCAAATCCCAGCCCAAGAGCCAGCATGGCCGGTATGGATGCTCCGCGCTATGGTCCCCCTCCGCCAGAGCCGCAACGGCATTCGATTCCGAACGGTTACCCAGCCCCGCCTGCCCATGACGTCCCGCGCAGGGAACCGCCTGAATATCAGCAGCCCTATGGCAGGCATTCCGAGCCAATGCTGCCACAGCAGCAACCCTATGGTATGCCCAAGGCCTTGACGTACAGGAACGAATCAGAGGGCCCAGTACGCCATTCGGTTCCTCCCGTTCCTCCGTCCCTTGTGCCTGGCATCGACCCGAACATTGCCCAAGAGATTTCGGAACGTTTGAACCAAGATCGGAGACAGACACGGCAGTACACTCAACAACCAATCCCAGAGCCACCCAGAGGTAGGACCATGGAGCGAGGCTACGAGAATGGTGGCTCGCCTGCTGCTTACGGAGCTGCTCCGCCGCTGCCGCCGCCGCCGCAAAATCGTGCCCCTGTCACATACCAGAACGGCCCCTCAACATCCAGCGTCAATGTGGTGATCAAATCCCGCGCTTATTCCCCGATGGGCCGCGACCCAAGTCCTAATCCTGCTCCTGCCCCTGGATCTACCCCGCGCTCTCAGCAAACTATCAAGCGCAAGTCTGTCAGCCCTCGTCCGCCGACAGCTGAAGACCGCAAAATGTCGAGCGTGCCTTTCAGCCCCGACTCGTACGATGTTCTTAATCCAAAGGCCTCGACTGCCGCGCTCCTGGATCAGCCCGTTGGAGGCGGCCACGATTACGATGAGGAAACGGGCAAGATTATTACCCACGATGGGCGGCGGGTTGATCCTACCGATCATCTGCCGATGGAGAGCTGGGCCCCGGAGCCGGAGCCGAAGGGGACCAAGCAACCTTCGCCGCCACCGAGCAGACAGAGTCCAGTTGGGCCGCAGCCGCAGCCTCAGGTTCAGAGTCAGGCGTCAAATAGCGGGAGTGGCAGTGAGGGCAGGCGATTGATTCGTGTCGGCGGCAGACCGCAGAGCATGATGCCTGTTGCGAACACCAGCTCATCCAATGGCTTCGGCAGCGACCCTGTCAAAGAAGCTCCCACCCCGCCAACCTCAACAGGTCGCAACAAACTCCAGAAAAAGGCCATTTACCGCCAATCGACCTCCGCTTTGCCTGCTCCCGTCATGTTTGGTGCCAACGGCTCAGGCTCTTCTTCCAGCACGGCGAGTCTTACCAACAGCGTCACGGGAACCTTTAGGAGGCACAGCGGTGGCCGCGAACTAATGGATCACCACAGCCAGGCGCTGGCTACCATCTCCCGTGGGCAAAACATGCTCCCAGACAACCGCCAACCTCTTTCTCGCGCCTCCACGTTCGATTACCCTACCAACGATAACTACTCTCCGACCGGATCCGGAGGTTACCGTGGTTCTTCATCGCCCGGTCGCCCAGTCAGCGCGGGTAGTGCAGCCCCGCCCCCATTACCCGCCAAGGTACCCCTGGCGCTCCCCGCGCCGGGGCAGAGTGAAGGAGAGAGCTCGGAACCTGTTATGAGTGGGGCGCTGCAGCTGCATAGTCGGAGCAGGAGGTTTGTTGAGGGAGGCGTGGACGGGCAGTTAATGTCGCTGGAGGAGGAGCTAAGGCAGATTGATATTGGGACGGGGAGGAGTGCGAGGAGGGCGGCTGCGGCTGCGGCAGGGGGGTATGGGGGATACGGTTACTAGGTGTTTAAAGGGTTTTTTTCGGCCGCATCTGGGAAGCGGTGTTGGCTATCGGGGGAGGCAACTCGAACTTGAAGCCGAAGGTCAAGGCTGAGATTCTGGTTGGAGGTGAACTCAAGGCTGGTTGTGCGGTTGAGGAGGAGAGGGATGAGATTGAGGGGTTGGGGATGGTGCCTGAGAGGAGGCCGTGGGAGGGGGTAGTGTGGCTTTGGATGGTATGGTGGATTGCAAGATGGATGAGGGGCGGGTATGGAGAGGTTCGGGGCTGGTGAGCCCCTGCTTTACCTAGGTGTACCCTTCCACATCTCCTTCTCAAGGAACAGGCTGGGGCTTGTATGTCACAACTTCGGACTGTTCACTCCCTCCCCACCGACGTTCTTCACGGAGTCACGCAACCCAACGAAAGAAACTTGGATGGAACGAACTCACGAACAGATGGATAGATGGTTCCAAACGTTGGATTCAACGGGATCACACGGGATCACTTTAGTTTCTGACACACACATTACATGAGCATTATCGGCATGGTATTGTTGGTTTTTGTTGCTTTCTTAGCCGTGTATTGCTAGTCTGTCATCAGGTTACGAGCACGTATTATACATAGAGTTTGGCATTGGCGTTGGGAGGAAGAAAGAGAGGGATCGGTTAGATACATAAGGAACCTAGTTTGAGTTTGAGTTTGAGCGAGGGAAACGACTTTGCTGAGAGTTTGTTGTCCCGGTTTTGGATATGTAAACGTTGTAGCTCTCATTGCTGGCTTGCCCACCAGTTTCACAAAAGATGCCATATACCGATTATTGCGTACGAGAAGGATATATACATAGCACATGACTGAGGGGAATCTTGACGGCATCAGATATATGAAAGTCACAGACAGAGGAGAGCACAGAGCAAATACAAGTGGCCACAGTTCATATTTTTGTAGGATACAGCCAGCGTTATGTGAGCAATCCTCAGCAAAACCCATGCGACAGTCTTGATACCTGACCCGTCTCCGAACCATTACCCTTCATATGTAGTGTTCCCTTTCTGTGCAGTTCCCATCCAGATCACACACCTCCCTTCCCGGCTGAACCATCCTATGTCCCATTATTAGGACAAATGTATGAACACCTAGTTGATCATCCCACAACTCGACAATCGGACCCTCATTAGCCAACCGTCTTGGCAACTCCAAGACAATCGGGGGTATTACAAGGCCTGAAAAAAAAAAGAAAAGAAAAGAAAAGAAGATATTAACAAGCCAGAAAAGAAAAAGAACAGACCCAGTACAGGCATGTTCATACAACTCCAAAGGACAGCCCAAGCCAAGTCTTCAGGCATCACCAATCGCAGTTCCCGAAACAATGGTTGCTTGATAACCATTAACTTCATCATCCTCATCATCCAACATGACAACATCCCTATTCTGCCTGTGCAGATGATGACGACTCCTCACCGTGACCGGGCTCTCAACATCCTCATCAACATACCCGCCACCATTAGCAGTAGTTACAATACCCACATTCGTCGTCGCGGCGCTAACAGACGTCATCTGGGACGAGGAACCCGCCTGTGAGGTAGCAACGGCGGCGGTAGCGGCAGCCACCTGAGCCTCTCGCTCGCGGGTTTGGAGGTTGACAATGATTTCCATTGCTCCATCAAGCATCTCCTTCTCTGCATAAAGATCCTTGCGCTTTTGCTCAATCTCCGGGCCTTCGGACATGAGCCTGGCAAGAACTTGCTGGTTATTCGCGCGGTCGGTCAAGCCAAGCTTCTCATGCAAGTATGTATCGATCTCCTCCGAGACGGTGGGCAGCAAGCCAGACATTACGTGGATGCAGACGTAATCGACAAAGCGATGAGCCGCGGTGAGGTAGTACCCGCGTACGTAGGCAGCTACTTCTATTTCCTGCTCGAACGGGTCCGGGCCGAGGTTCTTCAGGCCCTGCTCCAGCTTGCGGGTTTCCTCCTTAAGCTTCTCCTCGTTCAGCTCTTCCATCTTAGGGATGCGGCCGAGTTCTTCACCGGCGTGCGCAGCTACGCGGACGTGGTTGCGGTGCCAGACGAGGATTTTCTTTTCGTTGGCGCGATGGCGCTCGAGGGTCTCGACGTCTTTGGTGAATAGGCGCTGTTTCTCGAGTTCGTAGATACCTTTCACCTTTTCGAGAAGGCGCTCGCGGTGCGATTCAATAAACTGGTGCATTAAGGCGAGCGATTCTTTGTAAATCACTCTATTCTTCAAGTGAGAAAGGGCGCCGTCCAGGGTCACAAGCATCCTGTGCTTCAAAATGAACAGAGTCTTGTCGACGAATTCCCGGACAAATGGTTCCCAGGACTCCGCAGCCTCCTCGAAGAGAGGCTTGTAGACGCTGGCAGAAACCAAGCCGGGCTGCCCGGGAACGGCGAACTTCTTAATCAAGGCACGGATATCCATCAGGCTTTTTGGCTTCGGGCGGGAGGGCGTGGTTGCCGGGGCGTCAAGACGAGGATGACGAGGTGTGGCAGGGAGGTTGCCAGTCTCGGGCTTCACAGTCGCTCCATTTTGGGGGACCCGCTGCCGCTTGTTGGACGCTCCCTGCCTCTGGTCGGCTGTGGCCGGTGCCGTACGCTTGCGGTTTGAAGAGGGGGTTGTCACAGGAGAGTCACTATCAATCTCAATCACTTCGGGACGAGACCGCTGGGGCATAACATCGCGAACATTGAAGATCGGCTTCCTTAGGAGGATGTTCTGCCGGAACTTGTCCGCACACTCAACGTCCCACAGGTTCATGAACTCCTGGAGGACCTTGTTCTTCACGTTGATAGTGAATTCTGCCAAGCTCTTGATGATTTCAAGCTCAGGATTACGGGGAGGGTCGGGGTACATGCTCAGCTGAGCGTTAATGGCCTGCAGACGCAGGTTTACCTTTTCCTGGACTTCGGGCAGGCTGATTTGGTTAGAGTCGCTTCTAAGTAGGTACACACCTCAGGATAAGGCTTACATTCTTGCGAAGCGGTTGGCAAGCTCTCGAGACAGGAACACGGTGAGCTTTTCAACGCCACAGCGGTCCTTGAAGGGTTCAAACTGCTCCGGCCAGTGGCCAGTAGCATCAGCCGTCCGGTTGAAGAAGGCTTCCTCCATCTTGTTCTGCTGTTCCAAATCATCACCCTGTCTGGAAGTGATGAAGTAACCGAAGCCAGTGCGATGAGCCTGGTTAGTCAACATAGCAAGGCAGTTGGCGATGGAGTTAGGATCATTAGGCAAAAGATCGGCCTTCGTCATCACGCCGATGCAACGGTTCTCCGCTTTCAGCTTCCGAATGATCTTCAGAGCCAGAGAGTTCTCAGCATCCTGGTTCATTGGAACAGCGCAGAGGATAAGCGCGCTTTCCCTCTTGATGTATTCCTCGGCAAGATTCTGAACAACGCGCTCCAGAAATGCGTCTTCTGCACGCCTGGCTGTCATGAAGACACCGGGCAGATCGTAGAAGTTCAGGTCGGGAAGGTCGGGGCCTTTAACCTCCAACGCAACAGTATTCGGTGAAAACTGGGCCTCGGGCTTTTCTTCCTTCGCGAGTATTGTTTGGAAATGTCGTTCTCGTTGCTGGGGGTCGTCCTTGCTTTTCGGGACAAACATCTGGTACGGATGAGTGGGATTTAAGATAGCTGTTTGCGCGCAGCGCAGGACCGTCTCGATTTCCTCCGTATCGAATTGGTCCCGTATGACTTTAAAATCGTGCCGGACCCGGCGATTCGGCTCAAGTAAAACCCAGGGAGGAAACTTGTTGGTAGGGGTAACATCCCGCTCCGTTATTGGGTGATTGGGCGGCTTGTACGCATAATCGATCTTCAAAAACACACTGCAGGACCACTCCTCCGCGCGAGAGACCCGGATATGGATTGGGCAGCGCGTGCAAGTGCCACTGCTGCGTGGAAGTCGTAAATCGGCGATGGCAGACATCAAGCTCGACTTGCCCGATGATTGATCGCCAACAAGGACGAGCTCCGGGAGACTAATGACATGCTGGATGCCGCGCGCCTGGAGCTCACCCAAAGCGTCGTTAATGTCCTTCAGCTTGGCTCCAATCCCTCTCAGGGTGAGAGTGCTCCCACTGAAGGAAGTGACGAAACTCTGATGGGCCATGGTGAGCTGACTGTCCGGTTCAAATTTTGGGGAAACCCTCCGAACTTCGAGCATTACTGGCTCGGGATCCTCGACTTCTTGGGCCTCCGCGGCCCGGAGGTGAGGCTGAGTGACGATGCTAGCTAGAATAAAGTTAGACTTTACTCGAATCAAGGATTAGAAGCAGAAAACTTACGCGCTGCAGACCTAACGCGGCGAGTCCTAAGGACAGCGTCACTGGGTGTCTCGGATTGATTGTCGCTGTTGAGAGCTGGAATGTTGGAAGGAAAGGAGGAACCGATGTCCTCTTGTTTGATACGAGGAGCCATGTTGACCAACCTAGCCCTGAGGCACTTGACGAATCTGCAAAGGAGGATTGAATGAGTGGATGCTTGTTTCGAGAAGTGGTCTATCGAAATGAAGGAAAAGATCGAGGGCTGGAGTGAGTTGTAAACAGAGTGAAGAAAGGCTCTCGAAAAGAGCGGTCAATGGGTTGGATGAAGGAAAGAAGGAAAGGCGCTCATTCAAAGCAAAAGATGAGCGATGATGAGAAAACCAAGCAACGCAAAAGGTTGAAGAACTCAAATATCGGGAGAGAGGAAGGAAGTTGATGATTCGGATCAATCTACTTCAGGTTGCAGCCTGCTCACACCTCACTCGCTTGTAGGATAAAAGCTGATACTCGGTGCTGCAAAAAAGAGTGGCAACCATAACAAAAATTATCATGCAGCGGAGACCAACATGAGTGAGGTACCTTGGAGTTCAGGAAAAGGCTGGGGAATGTGGGTCTTCAAGAAGCTTGAAGTTCAATGGCAGCCAAGGATTTTCGCGAAAGTATCTGGAATCTCACAACAACGGACCAAGCCAAAGGACGGACGAACCAGCACAGTATCAGTTGAAAAAAAAAGTAAAACATGGTAACAGTGAAACAATGTGTTTATGCAGAGTTCTTATGTTGCTCTTTGAATACCACAGGACTTCGAGATCTTGCATATCATGCAGCGGACTCATGGCCAGAGTTTCGACTTATATGACAAGTACTGTATGAAGCTGTATTTTACAGTGGACATGGACCCTCTTCAAGAGTAGACTATCACACTTACACGTATTCAAATCCGGACTTGTTGGGGCAAACCCAGTCAAATAAGCAAGAAAATAAAATAAACTTAATTGCAAATAGGAAAGAAAACTGTTTGGAATCCAGGTTGGATGTCCAGAGATTCTTCTGCTTATCGAAGATATGAGCTGGAGTTTTGCGTGCTAGTAGCATGTACTTAACGCACAGACCATTCTTATACCGAAGCTGGAACCCTGCAGTTTAATGCACCACATGGCAACCAGGAAACCCCACTGGGAAACACAGCAGCAAGTTCAGGGGCCCAACCTGGACGCTGGACCGTCATTGTTGGAACTTTGGACTGTCCTGCGTTCTGTTGCCCCTCAACATCATCACCGCTCCTTCGTCCTGCCATTGTCCTTTACTCCGTGACAGACACAGAACACAATGTCGCTGCAACTTCCGCTCCGCGAAAGGTCCAACGGCATCCCCGGTGTGACCAAGGCCGTTATCCTGGTAAGTATTCACTAGCAGGACGACCCTCGTCTCTCCAGCTAGCTGTGCTTCAGGTTCAGATTGTTGACAGATTGTCTCTCTCAGGTCGGCGGCGCCTCCCGTGGCACTCGTTTCCGTCCGCTCTCCCTCGATGTCCCGAAGGTATGCCATCCCGTCGTGGCTTTTGGACTTCTGCCCCGCCATCGACACTGACATCGTCTCCAGCCCCTCTTCGACATCGCCGGGCATCCCATCATCTGGCACTGCTTGGCTGCCATCAGCAAGGTTCCCTCGATCCACGAGGTCTACCTGATCGGCTACTACGAAGAATCCGTCTTCCGCGACTTCATTAAGGACGCGTCGCTGGAGTTCCCCAACCTTTCCATCAAGTACCTGCGCGAGTACCAGGCGCTGGGTACCGCCGGTGGCCTGTACCACTTCCGCGACACCATCTTGCGCCACCATCCCGAGCACATCTTCGTCCTCAACTCCGACGTCTGCTGCAGCTTCCCGCTGAACGAGATGCTGCGCCTGGCGGAAGAGAAGGACGCCGAAGCCGTCATCTTGGGCACGCGCGTGCCAGAGGAGGCGGCTTGCAACTTTGGCTGCATCGTCTCCGACTCGCACACCCGCCGCGTGCTGCACTACGTCGAGAAGCCTGAGAGCTACATCTCCAACCTCATCAACTGCGGCGTCTACCTCTTCTCTGCCGACGCCCTGTTCCCGTCCATTCGCAGCGCCATCAAGCGCCGTGTCGACCGGCCGCGCCTGGCGTCGTACCGCTCGTCCGAGAACCTGGCTGCGTCATTTCACCTCGAGGACGACGATTCGACCGAAAAGCCTGAGGTGATCCGCCTGGAGCAGGACATCCTCAGCGACATGGCGGACAACAAGCAGTTCTTCGTGTACGAGACCAAGGACTTTTGGCGGCAAATTAAAACGGCTGGTTCTGCAATCCCTGCCAACGCGCTTTATCTCCAAAAAGCCTGGCAGAACGGCTCGCAGGAGCTGGCGCAGCCCTCAGCGAACATCATCCCTCCTGTCTACATCCATCCGACGGCACAGGTGCACCCGACGGCCAAGCTGGGCCCGAACGTGTCTGTTGGTCCCCGCGCAGTCATCGGCGCTGGCGCGCGTGTGAAAGAGTCGATCGTGCTGGAGGACGCGGAGATCAAGCACGACGCGTGTGTGCTGTACTCCATCATCGGATGGAGCTCGCGGGTGGGCGCCTGGGCTCGCGTCGAGGGCACGCCGACGCCGGTCACCAGCCACAATACCACCATCATCAAAAATGGCGTTAAGGTGCAGGCCATCACGATCCTGGGCAAGGAGTGCGTTGTGGGAGACGAGGTGCGCGTGCAGAATTGCGTGTGCCTACCGTTTAAGGAGCTTAAGAGGGTAGGTCCTCCAGTTTTCAATGTTCATCCCCTTCCAAAGTGCTGACAGGCTTTCAGGATGTTGCCAACGAGGTGATTATGTAAAACCACCCACCGCAAAAGGAGACGGTGAGCGAGACAATGTAGGAGTGATACACACCGGATTCTGCTGGGCAAAACTGGCGCTACTCTTCTTTAATCGATTTGCATGTTCCGGAAAATAATAGACGGCAGGATGACTTTCAGCGCGTTTGTTTGACTTTTGTTCGAGGCAACATATTTGTTTCAAATTCTATGATGATCCATCCTACCTAGCATGTGTTGCGGTTGGTTGAGTCTTCAAAGACAGCATCTTGGTTAGAAGCCCGTACAGCGTGTGTTTGCTCTGGATGTCGGTCTGTTGTGATTTGGTGATGAGTGCTTGTTGAATCAGAGACACCAACCACACTGGATGATGAAGTCCGCAGCTTTGCTGTCAATCGCAGGATGTACCCGAAGAATCAGGTAACCATCTTCATTCCCATGTGGACTCTCCAGTGTGGTGAAGCAAAATGCAGTTGACTTCCCTCATCAATCCATCCAACCAAGTTGAAGTCATCACCACTACCCCGCACAAGCCAGAATATCACGACGGGTAGTCACAGCTAACTTTTGTGATGCAAGGCAAGTTGAGAGCACCTAGGCCAATCAGAGATTGTCCTCCAGAGCAAACAGCGATGTGAGGAGGCATCTTCATCATCTCCTAGTCATCAACCCCGCTCAGCCTACTCAGGCAAACTGCAGGCCTCAATACAGTTCACTGCATGTTCCCATCGTTTAGTCAATTATTGCCCCGCTCGCAGTCATTCAGCTAGCAAAATCTCCGTCCAGCATCATCAGACCAGTCGTGATGATGATACCTCTTGTCTGAGCGAAGGCTGCCATGGGAGAAGTCTATAAAGGCACCTTCCCCCCCCCCCCTTACCTCTGCCACTTCAGACCTTCTCCTCTTCAGATCTCTGCTAGCCACCGCTCACACCCACAACCACATCCACAAGAATTCACTGAACTCAACATCCTCAAACTAACCAACAAATCAAAACAAAAAAAAAACAATCATGTCGGACAAGACCCCCATGAGCAAGGATGCGGCTTCACGCATCCAGTCCACTCAGGTACGTCCACCCTCCGCCTCTGACATCGATAAGACGATCAAAAAGGGCATCAACACTCGCTGACATACTGCTGAACGACTTCCAGGCCAGATCTGGCGGTGACATGTCCTCTAAAGGGTTCGCAGCCCGTGCTCAGAGCGCGGCGGATAAGAATGCCAATGCTTCGGGACAGAGGACTAAGTGAGGGGTTGTGACTTTATCATTGGAATGTCTTCATGTTTGGTAAGAGGAGGGAAGTTTTGGAGGGGAATGACCATGGTCGGGGGATGTGTAACTTGGATGAGATAAGTTAGGAGAGTGAGAATGAGAAATGCCTTGGGCCCTGGCAAGATTTGATTTCAGAGTGAAGAGTGAAGTGATGTATGATGAGATTGAGTCGAGTTTCCCAAATATCAGCGTAGATCCTAAGAAACAGTAAGATCTCGTGCCTCGTCTCTTATCACTGCTTCTCCATTGGGTTGGTTAAGATGATAGATCATCAGTGTCAGACGATCTCACCTGGTTGCTCAAGAAAGGTCCATCTAGTCACGACATTCAGAGACTCTCAATATCAACATTCTTTCACAGATAGAAGTCGACTATATCCAGTATACAGATTGCGGTAGCTTATAATTTATCTTGGAGGAACACAGTTGAGTGAATCATTAGGGTTGGGCTCCACGCCTGCGAGATCTTGCAGTTGAGATGACAGTGTAATGCTCCTTTAACCTTAAGAACGGCGACAAGTGCCGAGTATGGTTGACATGTAAATCAATTAGGAGAGCGCGCTCGGCGGCAAGAGGCACCCCCTAAAAGGAGGAGAGCTCCCTGGGTCAGGTGTGGTGGGAAGAAGACTTTGGTATTTTTTATCCCATAGAAGGACGTCCGACCATCTCTTTGTCACCATCCAGACTGCTGGTTCCCTTTTGACAACAATGGCTGCGCCAGTACTGCCTCAGCAGTATGCCGCTCCAAGCCAACCTTCGACCTATAGCGAGAAGCCCACACAAACAGAATGACAAGTCTTCTTTTTTCTTGAGTCACCGATATGGGTTCTCGTAATCGGGATCGCGACCTGCGTGCTCGATCTCCTCATCATCGGTCTCTCCAGCCATATCATTCACGGATACTATGAGCACTGCCTTGGTTAGGTCATCCTTTGTCTAAGTTTCCTGGAACATTATCAGACCGGCGGTAAACCTGCTAACATTGGGCAACCAGGCCGTTCTTACATGGTTGGCTGTCATATATATCAATTTGGAAAAGTCGAGTCAGAGTCAGCCAAACAGTTGTACCACGTTTGGGCAACTCTGTTTATCGACTTCATGATGGTCATTTTCTAGCTTCCTGCCTGCGGTTCGGTGGCCGTTTTGTGAGCAACGTTCATGGTCAAGGTCACACCGCACTATTACTGGAATGATGACAGAGCTGTAAATTCCGGCCATTGTATCGTCAAGCGCGTCGCTGATGCTACGGATGCTGTCTGGCTGAGCTCAGCGCCGTCGCTGGTGTAAGCGCTCTGATCTCGTATGTGTTGTCTGTCGTAGGATCAGCTTTGAACTTACAGAGACGGGAGACTGATTGTGACCGCAGGCTCTTGTTTCTCGCCACCTTGATCTACGTTGTTCACGTGTACCGCTTGTGGTACTAAGCTGGCAAGAAGTCTACGGCCTACAACGCTGGAACCGAGATGCAAGCCCAGTCATCACCGCAGCAAGCTGCTCAGTCTGTCGCTCCCGCAGTTCAATACCCTGCTCAGCGGCAATATAAGGCTTAGTATCCGGTGGAAGCTTCGGTTCAGGCTCCTCAGGCTGCGGTCTATCAGCAGCAGCCACCACAGTGTACGCGGCCTCCTAGGGCTTTCCCGGAGTTGCCTGGCGAAGTCTAGCACCAGCAGCCGCAGCAGTACCAGACTTATTCGCGGTATCAGGGACCTTAGTCGTCTTATGTTAGCCCGATCAGCCTTGTTGGATCACTAGCGCCTACCCAGCCGGCTTATTATCCCCCTCAGTAAACGCAATACCTGTTGGATGATGGGTTTGGTTTGTGATGATCTGGGTGTTTAAAATACTTGTCCACGATGTATTACGTCAGTTTGGGTATCATGGTAAGGGTAATGATGGATACAATTCAACTCCAAGAGCGTTCATGCTTGTGTTATGAGCCTCGCCATCGCCCGTTGTTTGCGCTTAAAGTGATCTGAGACAGGCTAGCATATGTATTGTCGATTTCGCAGCTTATGCCGTCTATCGCCCAGACTTGTGTTCACAGCGACTTCGGAGAATGAAAACTTGATGGTTTGAGCATGTTGACAACTCCCATTTTTACAGAAACTGATGCCAGATCTGGCTTGTTACTCCCGTTAGGCTAAAACTCCCACCCAGCCGGATGCAATGCCGGGCATGACGACTGGTCACGACATTGTGACATCCGTGCCTGGGGTGTCCTCTCGGTAGTATCTCCACCGTTCAACCGAGGGTGCAACGCCCGTGATGGCGGTACACGCTGCGACAGTAGAGGCTAGTAGCTTGTGATAAATCACATCGGCAAAATCATACAGAGTGAGGTCGGGCTGGTTCAAAGTCGATGTGAGAGGTCCTTGCCTGTCTAGGGCTCCAGCCCCGAGGAACCGAAGTGTTTGAGAGGGCTGTGAGAGCGCTAACGAGAAGATTGAATTGTGAAGGCAGTTACAAGTATCCCCAATAGTTTGCCTGAATTTTTGAAGTCAAAATTTCCGCCCATCTCATTCAGTCGGCATCGTGTCTTCCTCCCGGTTTTGTACCAGGGAAACCGCACACTGCTTTTTCTAGCTCTGGCCTGCAGTGGCCTGGCGGGCGAGAAATGTAAGAGACACATGAATATATTTTGATTCTATGACAGCTAGAACTCCAAATTTAGATTGCCATGCCATCTTTTACTCTGATATATGAGAGTTTCGACCTTTGAAGCCCTCAGCCAATGGCGGTCGTCGGTGACGGAGGTGGGGAAGCTTCTTCGACCAAGCCTGCCTAGCATGCCAAGCCAGAAGTTGGTGTGGGGTCCTTTGCCATGAACCCCACCATGAATGATCCACTGAAGTGGAGTTTGAGGAGAAAGATTTGACGATGGAAAGTCAAACTGACCTATGTGGGTGTTCAGTCGTCTTGTCAATGATTGTCTTTTCCTGTTTTCTCCAGCGCATGGACTCAATGAAGGCTCTAATCTATTTGGAAACCTGATTTTGAGTTCTGAGAGCTCATACTTCGCAGGTTGTCCGCTTTTGACCTTCTACTCGTAAACATGTTCGAGAATACCCAGAACCATATAGCCGACCCGGCCGTTGGAAACTGCTTGACACAAGCCCCCAACATTGTCCACATCTTCAGTGCAAGGCGCCTACTGTTTACCTCCTAAGCTGCAAGTAACCGCTGCTCTGGGAAAGATGCTCACACCAAGCAATTGGTTTTCAGTTTCAATGTTTGCCATTGCTTCCCGTGTCAGACAGGGAGATTGGGTTGGCGATAAGCACACAGACTTGCACCGAAGTCACTGCGGTCACGGCAAACAGGTACAGACATCACAAGCTTTGATGCTTGATATTATTAACCATTCACCACCAGGACAGCCGGTGTTGCTTGGATGAACACACAGATCGAGCTTGTTTTTTTTGTTTGCCCCTGGTCAGGGAACAGTATACTAATAGACCCTTGATCCTTTGATCCTCTATCGGGTGGGGCCTCATGTATGTAGCCCAGTAAGTGGATGCTCCGCTGGGGATGCAGTTCTCTCTATATTACACAAGGTCCAGCAAGTTTTGCGACAGCCGGACATCATCTGTTTTCAGTCCGTGACCTGAGACATCGGCCAAGGACTTGCTACAAATTCGATCGCCCAGAAACCTGACGAAAGAAACAGTTCTCAAAACACCAGGCTATATGCCCGCCCAATGCATCAGGGCTGATTCTTCTCAGCGTGCGGGATGATGAAAGCAGCAGACAAGTGCACAAGTGAGCATTCGTCGGGTAGTTGGGACTGGCTCGGAGAAGACATTCCCTGTCGGACGGGGGCGTTAGCATACCGGCATCCAATTGCATTTGGGTCCGTTCCTGCACCAGTGCGTTGGATGCTCCCTAGTGGGCTGACTGTGGTTGCGTGTTACATGCCATGTGTTTAACAGTCCTGATCAGCAAGCATTTCACATTTCGCATCATTCATGGAACTTCAGACTGCCTAGCAGATATTTTGTAGGAACTCAACTTAGACGTGATCTCCATTCACATCAGCAACACATTGACCTGCCAAAGATGGACTCTCCAATCCAATGGTGACACCACCAAGGCTGTGAAACATGACTCCTATGTCCAACAGGCAAACTGTCTCCCAAGGACAGCAGGCGGTTCCCTGCATCTGCATAGCTTGGGACCTGCACATCAGTCCGGGCGACACGCCAGATGATGGGTTTGTCCATGAATAAGTCCGGATGGACACCTGACCAGTCTGTTGTCTCTCATCCTATCCATGTCTCTTGTTCCAACACATGGACAGGAGCCAGCGTCAATAAGAACATTTGGTGCTCCATCGAGTGCATACCCGATGGAAGCTGTCACTTGAGCCTCTTTTGCTCACTTTTGACATCTTGCTGCCAGCCAGGCACACTGTCAGCCGTCGCATCCCGTTCGTTGCGATAGAGTTGGCTGGACCTCACTGTCGACAGCTCGGCCAACCAGAGTCCTCACCATTGTTGTATACATCTCAAATCGCTTAACGCTATTCGATCTACTGGGCAGCCAACAAAAAAAAATCGACTTACGTGACTAATACAATCGACTTTCACGCCCAATTTTGCTCTTGATTTCAGAACCGAGTGTATGTGTTCATCCAAGTTTGTGAGTCCATTTAATTGTGATAAACTTGGCTTAGCCTGTCGTAGCTGGTACTGATAGTAATCCCAAGGATTGAGAGATCATTGCATTATTAACACGACCGACTGTTATCGCAAACGTGTTAGTGTTTATCGCCACTCGCTGAGTACCGATTGTTGCAGAGGAGCTTACGTGCATTCCGTCCGTCCTGAGTCGCTGCTGACTGTGACTGAGAAGACTGGTGCTGTTGCTAGCCATTCCATCTAAGGATCACAACTGACTTTTCACACCCAACTGTAATAGTGACTCACGATTGCCTGGGACAATTGATTGTTAGTACCGACACTGATAGAATTTTCGCAACCGATTATCGTTGGTGGACGTGACCTCGATTATACTCCTCTACCTCATCAGATGAAGTTTACTAGACAGAATTTGTCCATGGTTGCTGACTTGTTGTCAATAGACACCAGGAGTTTGAAAACAGCTCAAACTGCTTTGGACGCTGTCATCACAGGGCTTGGACTACCAAGTGTTAGTACTTGGTACAGCTTGCTTGGTCCAGTTCCGAAGGAATCTTTTACAACATTTGGTCCGCTATCGAGTGACTCCCGAGAACAGGACTAGTGCTTACCTGTCTTCCGCTCTTTCTGGCTGTCACGCTGAGTATCGAGTGAAGATTTCACATCTGTCCACAGCTCTTTTGCTGACTGTGCTGCCCAGGTTGTGCCCACGGACACGGCTTTGCTATTGGGCTCATTGTGACCTGTTCGAGCTTCCAGCAGCAGGCGAACACGCCAAAACGATCTGCCCGTTATAACTGTCCTAGATGACCCCCAGGTTGGTTGTGGTGTGCAGTACTCAGCCGTTGTCAGCTGCCTGCTGTCACTCCTAACAGCTATCGCCGACCTTGACTTGACGGGCAGGTACCGCAACCCCGTGTAACTTGTGCCGTTCCAGCCCGCTGCGCCAGCTCGCTGCTCACTTCTCTGCTCACTGCTGGTGCCAACATCCGGTGGACGAAGCAGGACCCGTCGAGAGCAGCACGTACCTCCCTCCACCCGTTTCTTGTGCCGACGTCTCGTGCAAGCTGGTGAACCCTTTCTCCTTTGCTGGCACAGACATCTGGTGCCCGAGGTTAGGATCCCCGAAGCTAGACCCGCCCGGAGCCGGACGCGCGATGCGCGACCCCGCCGGCCCAGCCCCGAAACTATAAAATCCTCCTCCAGTGCTTCCCCGGCTTTCACTTTTCCCCGATCCAGACACATACTTCCCTGCCTGCTTTATTCTGCTACCGCCTTCGCAGCAGCCACACAGAAATAGAACATCTTCTCCTCTTCTTCTCGCACTTGGAGCAGGCTGGTACCATGAAGATCCAGGCTTTTACTCTGGCTGCCTGTGCGGTGGCTTCGGTTGCTGCCCAGGGTGTCACCGAGCCCATTTCTCCTCCTGGCTCTGTTCCTGTTGGTTGCATTCCATCCATTGATGGCAAGTTTGAGATCACCGTTGTCCAGATCACTGATGCCGAATCCCGTTCCGCCGCCCTCATGGTAAGTCTTCCAACGATCATGTTTTTGACTTTTGTCATTTTCCCCCCTCTTTTTATCCATCCATCCATCCAATCATTCTTCAGTTCTTCCTTTCTTCTCAGCTTTCGAGCCTCCCAGAACATGACTTTGTCATGTTATGTTGTCTCCCGATCAGTCCCTCCACTCCCCCCTCCCTTTTTGAGCTTTTTCCCACTTCTCACAGGTCGACCCAAGATCTCAAATTTTGAACTCCCCTCCTTCCCAGCCACCAGAGCTTCATGCTTGCTTGTGTTTGTCTTGAAGAATTTTGCCTACGCTTCTCAACAATGGTCATTACTGGCATCGTGAACTCGAAGCTGACTCAGCTCAGAAGCGGGCCACTTGCTCAGGTGACGGTGTCTTGGTCTCAACCCTTCGCGACACTGTCATCAAGGATGCTTTCAATCGTACAGGCTACATCGCGTCGAACTTTCAATTCCAGTTCGATAATCCGCCCCAGGCTGGCGCAATCTACACGGCTGGTTTCTCGTTCTGCCCCGAAAATTCGACCCTTGCTCTTGGTGCGACCACGACCTTCTATCAGTGCCGTTCCGGAGACTTTTACAATCTCTACGACCGGTACTGGGCTCCGCAATGCGAGCCTGTTGACATCATTGTTATCCCATGCAATGATGCGACTGAGAACTCCGGAGCCCCTACTCAGACTGTTATTGGTTCTGCCACAATTCTGACCACCATCGTGATTCCTCTCTCGGATGGTCAACCGCAAGTGATCACTACCGACAAGGTAATCCCAATTTGCCAAATCGATGATGGTAAGTCCGTTTTTTCTTCCTCTGTCACCCAACTTCTGCTCTGCTCTGAGAACTCTTCGCTAACTCTCCGACAGGGCAGATCCAGGGCCACACAGCCCCCTGCACCGGCCCCGTGGCCACCATCACTGCCACACCCTTGATCACCCAAATTTCTGATGGGCAGATCCAGGTCACCGGAATCCCCGCAACAGTTACCGTTCCCCTTGTGACACAGATTAGCGACGGGCAGATTCAGGCTCCGCCTGCGACCACGACTCCAGTTGGCCCATTCCAGCCCACTGAAGCCCCCCCGGCCAATGAGAACGGAGCCGCTCCTCTCGTAGGCGGTATCCTCGTGGGCGCTCTTGTAGCGGCAATCATCGGTGTCGCTTTGGTTCTCCTGGCCTGAGCTCATCTCGACACTCCTCATCGGACTTGCCTCGAGAACACGTAGTCTTGCACTACAGCTGGAAGGGACGCAGCATGGCCGCAACATTCTAATCTGGCTTTGCGTTAACTTTCGCACTGATCGTGGAGAATGGAAATGGATGGAGGGACACGGGGATTCTCCACGTGGTGAGACATTGGGGGTTTCTGATGGTCGGCTCTGTCGCTTGTATGATAAGGTTTGCTCAAAAATGAACACACAGAGAAGGATGAGGAGCCTTCTAGCGTTCCGGGGCTTAATTATGCAGCTAAGTATAATGGTTTACGCCAATCTGATGTGGTTCTCTTCTTGATGGTGGTGATGTGAGGTCAGTTGTGATGGTGGGGTGTGGCCGTCAAGGTTCTCGCGTAGCGCCAAGACAGGAAATGTGTATGTAAGTTACTGTACGTATGGCGTGAGGTGTATTGTGATGTAAAGTTACCATCCCGTTTTGTGGCTGTCGCGACAACGGCGGCATGACGCTGCGCAACCAACTTTCCATCAACGTCAACCTCCAATATTCTCAAGGACGGCATCCAGAATTCAATTCCTCACCCACTACCTCGTCCAATATCTTCCATCGGAGATTCGCTCACACAACCTAACCTGTACATCGAATCAAAATGGCCGACTACTGGAAATCAACGCCCAAATACTGGTGCAAGCACTGCCAGACCTACGTCCGCGACACCAAGCTCGAGCGCACCAACCACGAGGCCACCGCCAAGCATCAGGCTGCCGTCAAGCGCGCCCTGCGTGACCTACACCGCGCCGCCGAGCAGCAGGAGAAGGAGAAGGAGAGGGCGCGGAAGGAGATCGAGAGGTTAAATGGCGTTGTTTCGGGCAAGCCGAGCAGTTTGTCGACAGGGCTCGGGCAGAAGACAAGTGCTGGGGGAACAAAACCGAGTGGGGGTATATACGGTGTGCCGCCGGCGACGATTTCTGAGGCCGAGAGACAAAGACAGCTGGAGCAACTTGCTGAGCTGGGTGTCAACATCCCGACTGAGCTACGAGGGAACATGGCGATGGCAGGGGAATGGACTGTTACGTCTACAAAAATCATCGAGCACACCCCTGAAGGGGAGAAGACCAACAGCAGTGAGGAAGCTGCGTCTGCGGAAGGCCGCGCAGTGGGAGTGAAGAGAGAGAGGGAACAAACGGAGGAGGAGAAGGAACAAGAAGAGGCGATTAAGGGGCTGTTTAAGAAGCCTAGAAAGTGGGGGGTCGACTCGAAGGCTATGCCGACGCAGGAAGATGCGGAATTGGAGGAGTTGTTGAAGGGGCCTCTTTTGAAGACGAAGAAGGAGGAGAAGAAGGTGAAGGAGGAAGAGACGGAAGTTAAGGAGGAAGACGTCGAGGACGGGAAGGACAAAGGGGAAGTGAAGGCGGAGGGGTCACCTAAGGTCAAGAAGGAGATTAGCGAGACAGTAGGGGTTGATGCTGCGTTGAAGGAGGTCGAGGAGCAGAAAGAGGGTGCGGGGGAGCCGGCTGTGGTGTTTAAGAAGAGGAAGGCTAAGAATATCAGGCAGAAGTGAGCTTGGCTGTTTGCGACGGCAATGGTGGTGATTAGATGGTTTGCATGGGAAGTACCAGGAATCATGGATATCACTCATGTTTGGACCAATGTTGACCCATGGGTGAGTATATTGTGGAAGTGTATGTGCACAGAGTTAACAATAGAAACAGAATCGATAAGTCATCACATCAGGATCACCATGATCAGCATCATCTCCCTTCCCTCCCCTTCTCTCCTTCTGGCGCCAGCTCTCCCTCCAATCCATCTTCTTCGACCCCTGACCCACCTCTTCAGAGTCCAATCCTCCTAATCAAAAACTGTGGTGCACTAATAGTCGACTCGATCGTATACAAGAAATGCGCCGGCGTAATGAACAACGTGCCCCAGCACACCGCATCCGACACATTGCAGTACACTTCGAGGCGATCATTCGGATAATTCGGGATCTTCCCGCCATTCTGCAAGTTCTTGGTGTAACCAAACAGCACAACGCCCTTGATCTTGTCGCGCACGCTCGACGACAGCTCGCTGATCGCGTTGCTCATCACCGCCGTGCCCTGGCTATACCCGCCTGCGACGATCGCTGCGTTCGGGCACTTGGTGCTGGCAAGGTTGAACAGGCGCTTGGCTTCCTCGATGGCCGCGCGAGAGGTGCCTGCGGGGAGGAAGTTGTCGGCCAGAGAGGCAGTGTAGGGACCGCCGACGCCCTGGACCCAGAGGTTGGAGCCGTAGCGTACGGCTAGGCCGTTGGCGACGTTCGGGCCGGCGCTGATGCCCTTGTTGGTATTAGCATTCTTGCTCTGTTAGGAGTTGGGGGCTGAGAGAGACATACCATGTTGCCCGGCTCGGTCGAGGCACGGGCAAAGATGAAGATAACACCCGGGCAGTTGTTGGAGCTGCCATTCTCAAGATCATTGCGCGTCGTGGACTGGCGAGCTTCGAGATGAGAAGCAGTCTCCTCAACGGGAACAGTGGGAAGGGCGGCGACCAGGCCGGCGGCAGCAAGGAGGGAGAGGAACTTCATGGTGAAGGTGTTGGAGTTTCAAGAAGTTGGTCAGATGGAGAGTTTCGTTTCTTTTCAGATCTCTAGCTATCCAGAGCAGAGAAGCCCGAGCTGTTGAGCGAAGAACACCATTCTCAACGCCGGAATCGATCCTCTCTTTATACTCATCCCCATCGTGCCTCCTCACGCCGAGCGTTTGAATTCCAAAATCGTCTTACACTCATCCGATCTCATTCCCCCTCCCATACTGTTCCTACTGCTCCCTCTAGTCAACCACCAGACAGTGTGTTTTACGCCCCTGAGCCCCGACCTTGCAGCGCGTCCCCAACACTGACTGCCGCGGCTGCCGCAAACATTCCCCTTTCGGGTTTGGCGCCCGGCTGGGCGGCGCGACCGGGGCCACGCGCCGTTGCAGAAAACTGCGATCGAAGCTCCACCATCACCGCGAGGCTTTCGCCAGTCGCCCAGTGAAGGCCACCTTTACACCTCCGCCCCTGCTTGCTTACACCCAAGCCATGCGAACAAGACGCACCCCGCATTTTGGTGACTGCAGCGTTACAATGCAGAGCAGAAGAGTTGGAGCACTGAGTAGCCGCGGACCGAGCTTGCAAAATCTGGGGAAGTGATGTGATTAGATCAATTTGATGAGGAGATTCCGAGTGATCCCGTCACTGGGATCGCGATCCGACCCTGGTTCTGTTCACGAGCGCCCGGGAATTGGGAAGCGCCTGTCTCTTCTCCGCATCGCGGATGACCCGGTTCCCTGATCTTGGGTGTGGCGTTTGCAGGGTACTAGCGCAGTGCTGTAACATCGGGCTCCTGTTTCAGATCGGGTCTAACACGAACACGTTTTTCTTATTTTCCGTTTCTTCCAAATTCTACAATGCCTGGCCCAAGTGCCGAGGCATGATCGAAACAATGCCCAATGATCTACAAAACGGAGCAAAGGACACCGAGGGGCGTCGACAAGATTGGGAAGGCTGGATGAGGGGATCGTGAGCTTGGCCTAAATCGGGTGTGCTTGCGAGCGTTGTGCTTACGCTAGGCATGACTCCTCCTCCTCAATATCATCATGGGATCAGAGGGATTGTGTCGGTGAGTGGTGATGCATCGATAGTTTCTGAAAATGAGGGGCTAGATGTTTTCTACGAGACGAACAAAGATCCCGAGGACCGAGGAAGTCGAGGTCGAGGAAAATTGAGGTTGGTGGCGAGAGATTGAGTTAACGGACGAGGCGACAACGATGGCTGACAATGACAGCAGCTCAAACATATTTGTGTCCCTTGCATCAAGACCGTACCCGTCTGCTCTAAAACCACTGCCCACGTCGCAGGCCATCTTGCTTGCGAACGATGCCAAAGAAAATGCCCAGCTTCTCGAGTCACAATATTGTGTCACAGCATGTCGGCATTTCCCGTTCCCTCGGATCCTGCCATCAAAAAAGGTGAAACATGGTTATTATCTGCTGCTCCTGATGATCGTCTTTGAGACTTGACCAGACCTAAGGCTGAGGGCGAGGCTGCGGCTGAGATGTTACACACTTCAGCCCTACGCCGGGAGTGCTATCTTTGGTGAAACAAAGGTCCGGTTGTGGTCAATTGTCAATTACGAGGTGATTGACCCCAGTTTACCGCCAAGATTTATCACAACCCTTGTCGGCGTCACTCTCCAAATCTGGCCTTCCTTCCAACATTTGCGGGAGAAGCAGCAATTAGTGAAATAGAAAAAAAAGCAAAACAAAAAAAAGCAAGACATGCATAGTGGGTATCAATGACTCTGAACCTTTAACGGCAAGTTCGTAAAAGCAATATGCTTGACTGATGCACCTGATTGAAACAAAAGTCTGGACTGTTCGGCAGTTCAATCCCAGTACCAACGTACTGATAACCGTCTTCAATGAAACCAAGGATAATCCATCCTACACCCATAAGCTGCCGTGTGCTCCAGTCAATGACGAGCAGTAAGCGGCAATATACAACGCCATGACGTCGATGCGGGGAGCGCCACTTGCACCACGCTTCCAACACCACATGACCATTTCCAACGACATCCTATCAGATTTCTCATCTATTCACTCTTCAGAAGCTCTGAACATAAACTTCCAAACTTTGGTTTCTCTACTAAACAGCTGAACCCCCATACTCTACAAGTATAGCCTAGCAATTGTCAGCAAAATGTCCTTCCAAGGCCACTCCAACGTCGGCTTCCCCAGTCTATACGAGTCCTCCAACCAAAAAAACACCAGGCAGGAGGAAGTCGAGGAGCTGACGCGGCGTTCTGGAGAAAATGTCAAGGCATTCCTAAACAGTATGTCCTGAACTCCATACAGAATCTCAAGTTTTGAGAGAATCCGACCGAATGCCTTACTAAGACTTGACATTGTGGCACAGAAAGCCAAATGGATGAAGTAAACCGCCTCAGGGAGAAAGAGGTTCGTCTTAATACTTCACCAACTCTTTCATGCTTCGTCCATATAACGAGAGAGCTCATCATGTCCCCAACAGATCGAAAAGAAACGCCAAGAAAGACTCCAGAAAGATCCTACCTTCGCCGTAAGCATTAATACCGCTCTCCTTCTTCCATCCATCCGAATGATTTGAGCATCTGAGCAAGAGCCCTATCCATTTGTTTCCTAAGGCTAGGTGTTAATTCTTTTGCCAGGCGACATTGCACGGCAACAAACCGCACAAAGGTGCCATCATCGATAAGGAGCTGCAGGAAGAGGACGAAGCGATACTACGTAGGAAGGCTGAGTCCCAGGCCATGAAGAAGGAAAGGAGGATGTCAACAGGACGGCGGCAATGAAGGGGCGTCGAGCAATGATCGACCTAATGTGAGGGTTGATCCTGTTGGGAGAAAGGTGTTTTGCAAGAGAAGATGCGATGCAGTTCAAGGGGGGAGACAAGTTGCTGTCAAGATGTGACAAGTCATTAGATAGGTCACTTAAGAACAGGCAGCTGACTTTGTATAACATTGAAATATTCCAGATAATTCTGTCATTGTTCCAAAAAGAGCTCAAGATATACACGATAACTTGAGCTTTGTCGCCAACCATCACAATTTAAAGCCATGAAATCCATTGCATGACCCCTCCCACAACAATGGCCTGCGGTCTCCACGCCAGAGAAAGAGACCAACGTAAACCGAAATGCTAACCCGAAGAGCCCCAAAGGAAACTTCCCGATCCCATTGCCCCTTCCCCATATCATATAATATCCTCCACTCACTCCTCCGACCTCATACGCTCACAAATCCTTTCCCACTCCCAGTCATCATCCTCTTCCTGACCAGGGACCCTCCTGTCCATGTCGATAACGACCCTCAGCAGCCATCGGCTGCCGTCTCCACGGAATCAAGCTCGCGGTCCCGAATAGTTGCAAAACGACCGCCAGTAAAGATAGCATGAACCGGCAGCTTTATCCTCCTCACCAAATTCTCGACACGGGTCACTAGCTCCTCTATCCAGAAAGCAGTTGCCACTCGCGAGTCCTCAATATTACCGGATCCGTGAGCTCGCGTCCCGGGGCGAGAACAAGGCGACCTACAGTCCGAGGATGCCGTTGCGCTCAACAAGTCGCAGCAGGAGTGAGATTCCGAGCCGGCGCCGCGCTGGGCGCGTGTCGAAGACCTGCTTCGTCGAGCGACCAGACGAAGCAGCAGACGCTACGAGCGCCCACGCCTCGCCGATCTGGGCAAAGAATGGAGTCCACACACCTTGCACGGTGACGGCGCGCCCCTGGGGTGACCACAGCTCCTCAGCGGCGTACTCCAAGAAGCCGCCCACGTGACCGAACTTCTTGGACGGCCACCTGAGGCTTCGTACCAGTCTTGGCGTTCCTTGTTTAGTCTTACAGGCCACGGGAGCGAGGGAGGGGGTAAAGGGATGGGTCAGATCGGCGCTGGGTGGCATACTGTGGTTGACACATAGCAACAGAAACAGATGCAGGCCAAGCTCGTCAGTCGACTCATTTGGCAAGTTGGGTATGGGACGTCATGCAAAACTATGGATACATATCGACTTCAGTCTAAACGCCAGAGTCGGCGCTGTTGGAGTTCAGCTGGCCAGATATCATCTGCCGCAAAGTGCTAACATTTCTCCTTGTCGCCTACGACGGGGACGATATGCCAGAAGCAAAGTGTCTCGCGGACTCGACTGCGGACATATTGTCTCTAAGATTGCGCCTTGTTGGCACCTCTCTCGGAAAGAAAAAAAATACTCTCTTAGTCACCTTGATATTTCACCCCGAAGAGCAGACCCAGGGACAAAGTTGGTGTTGTCCGTTGCCCATGGGCAACGGACAACGCCCCTGGGCGCCCCACCTCAGTCATCGTCCCCCAAGCCTCAAGAACAATCGGTGTCGTTAGGACCGAGATCTTCAAGAGATAGTATATTGGAAGGTCAGAATGCATGGTATGACATACTAAGATATTTCCTTCCGTAGAAAGTGATTACAGAATGAATCTGTAAAGCAATCTATTCAGAGACAAGTGGACGAACCCCCAAACCATCATATACCCAGAACACATGAAGCCAACCACCCATCAGTCCTTTCAGACACGCGTTCCCTCTTACGACTTTAAGGGCCTCGCATAGAAAGAGCGGTATGCTGCTTGCACAACTCCTCCAACTGCGCCCACTTAATCTTCTCTGGTTCGGAACCCATCGGCACGACCGCCTGGATGATAGACTGGATTGTCTTCCACCGCAAATCATACTGTGAAAGCGTCTTCAGCCGTGCCGGAGCCTGGTTCGCTGTGAACCCACATTGCGGATTGAGTCGCTGCTGTATGCCACATGCCCACAGCTCGTACCGGACGGCTGGGAGCGATTCAGTTTGCAGGAGGGAGAGAAAACTGCACAACCTGCTCTCAATCTCTATCAGCTGCTGCGCCAGGACCTTATGTCTCGGTTCTGACTTCAGCCGCGACGCCCCAGGCATTTTCAAGATAGCAATGCCACTGAAAGTATCGAGGAACTGGACCACTGGCTTGATGACTTGCTTCTCGCGCGCAGTGACATCTGGCTGTGCGACTAACGCCTCGAGGATGTCCTCAATAACGAAGATGCACCCCCATCTTAGGTTGTGCACCTTCGCCTTGCTAAACACCGCCTCCAGCTCCCCAGCCCAACGCGATAACTGAATCCGATACATTCCCCTCTTTGTCACCCTCGATGCGATGCTCAACGCAGCCTCGATATTCCCCCCATCCAACCCGATCACCACCCTTGTCTGACAACCCTCCTCGCTTTCATTCGTCCCTTGACACCAACTCCTCACACTCTCTTTCTCCCACGGCGTAAGCAATCTCTTCAGCGACCCCACCGCTTCATTTCCCACTAATAACTCCTCAATCTCTGCGTCCGGCCATTGTTTGGGTTGCATGTTGCGCACAAGGAGCTTCCGCCAGACGTGGTCGCGCAGGGAGAAGCCCGGTAGGGCGTAGGGCATACATTGCAGGGTTTTGTTGTCTAGCTGTCGGTCTTTGTCGACAGAGGGGGGTATGCGGTAGAGGGCGCGGATGCGCTTGCGGAGGGCGTCGGATTGTTGAGAGAGAGAGGAGGATGAGGAGTTGGGGGAGAGGTGTTGAGGCTTGGATGGGGGTGTCCATTTGGGGGTTTGAGGGGAGAGGGAGGTTTGTTGGGTATACAGGTTGAGATCGAGGATGTACTCGCCGTTGAGCTGGGTTTGTTAGCCGGGTTTGGGGGAGGGGAAGGAAGGGGGCTTACACTGTCCTGATGTGGGTCGGTATAGACCACTAAGCCTAGCCCGCGGGTCAGCTCTTCAACCTTCTTACCACGTTGGATGAGGTACTCCGGGTCACAGTCCTTGGCCAGCGATAGCGGCACAACTTGTAGGGAAGAAATAGCGACGGGAATGCCGCCTTTCTCTCTTGACTTGTCTCCGAACAGGGACCGCGGGATGCGGAGATGGAACTCGGACGTGGACTGATCCCCACAGTACCAATCGTGCTTGTGGCGTTTCACCGGAATCTCGAGGACTTCTTCAGAAGGTTCATCCGTTGTTTGGATGACCCGAGGAATGCCACTTTGCTGGAAGACAGCGATATCATTGTCGTTATTTGGAGATAATTGGACAACTAGCTCGCCAGGGGCCTGACAGGTGGTGAGTTAACAGGGCATTCAGAGCCTGCAGGGCGACTCACAAATATGAAAGGAAGCAATGACCAAGTGATCGTGCTCTTCAAACTCTCCAGACTCTGGAACAACCCCCGACTATGCTTCTCCACAATCTTGAGCAGAGTCTCAGTCGCAGCCTCGACTTCGGTAACCGGTCTCGTCATATTGGCCAAGTGCGCTCGAATTCTTTCCCAATTATACAAGTACCACTCATATGGCCAGCTCAACTCCATCCCCACCGCAAAATCAGGCCACATACCCGCGTCTCGTTTCCAGAACTCCCCCATCAACTTCTTCAACTCCTTCGCCAACGCCTCCGAAGCAATGTAGATCTTCGGCTCAGAAGGGACAACCTCCCTGAACGTGCCGAATTCATGTGAGCACGTGTATTCCCTAAACACTAGGAAGAAGAGCTGCGAATTCTGCGCGAGGTATCCCTTCAAGTTCTTCAGGGGCCTACAACCCGAGAGGTGCAACGCCTCGGGGTTCTTGAGAGGCGAGTCCTGGTCGATGAAGAGCCATTGAGTTGATTCACGGGGCCCGACAGAGTAATAAGTTGGCGGGTCAAGGAAGATACGGGCTGACCTGGTCTCACAAATGACACGGTGAAGTTCTTGGTGACTGAACCAGGTTTGGACACTGGAGGACTTGGCTGACGAGGGGGGTGTGATAAGGTACCAGTCTGGTTCGTCATCTTGGGGACTTGGAGGGTCATATGGAGGGGGTTGGGGGTCCTTGACGTCGTAGTCGGTTATGGTGAGCTCTGGTGTGGGGCCTACTTTTGCGCTGGCTTGGATCTGGGCCAATCTGAGGGTTGCGGCGTCTGCCACGGGGTCAGAGGTGCCGATGTGAGCTTCCTCGATGATTGCGAGCTCGTCAGTGTCATTGATGCTATCCATTTCGGCACGGATGAGCTCTCTCTGGAGTTGAGAAACGTTGAAAGGGCTGGTAAGGTTTTCCAGATCGTCGATGAAATCCTTTAGATGCTGTATCAGTTCGGCAAACTTGGCCTTGTCGGAGATCACCCAGCGCATTGGCGTTTTCACATCTGTCCCAGGATGTTTGCCCGAGGATAAGAAGTTTGCTGCGAAGTTTCCGACCCCTGAGTGTGCGGCATGACTCTGCAGCTTTAGGGCAAGATTGACTATTGGTTCCAAGGCTTTAGACGCAGAGGATCTCCTCCTCCCCCGAATACAGTCCCCCATTACTCTCAAGCCATACACTTCGTGGAGCTTGCGACGTTCCTCAAAGAGGCAGGAAATCCGAGTTAAAGTATCTGAGACTGCAATGCGTGCATCTTCGGTCCAAGTGATGTTAGCCACCTTGGGAGGGGTGATATTCTGAGGGGCCAAGCCACATGCACGACCCCATGCCAAAAGGCGTAGGCGCTGGTTCATGAACTTGGTTTCAAGAATATGGTAATCCCGGCCGAGATAGCGGCCTTGCTGCGCAAGATGGAAGCATTCTATGCAGTTGCTGAAGAGCCGTGTGAGGCTAGCGACACCGATAGGCTCCATACTGCAGGATGATGGTCTGGCGGTGAATGTGAATGAAGGATTCCACACCTGCTGTGATTAGGGCAGCGTCTGACACTAAACGATTTCCAACAAGAAACACCCGGACTGTGGGAGGAAAATAAGCGAGGTGATTTGATTAAGATAGGATAAAGAACTTGGTTCTTTTGTTGGGTTCTGTTTGGCATCAGGGACATGATATGTTGCAGCGTGGATGAGTTGGCAGTCACGTGCTTTGCATGCAGGAACTTGTCCAAGTAACTCTGATGATAGCGCAACCACTAGCCAATAGTCCACTTAAAAAGCCCACAGTATTGAATTAACCAATCAGATGTGTTTTTTCAAGGAAAGTGAGTCGAAAATGGTAGGAAACATAGTTAAGTTCCGAAGCAGGTGACGCAAAGTGATCAACGGCATATTCTTTCCATTGAACACATTGACAATCATGAAACAGCAGCCTCTTTTTACAAGAAACAATGTACCATCCATGCAGAGGAACCAAAGAAAAGTTTGCGTGACCTGGTTCAACAAATAAAACAGAGAGATAGAAAGAGTGGCAAGATGGAAAGGAATAAAAACGGAAGAAAGGGGGGTGGGAAACTGGCAAACGTAATAAATACTGGAAGCCAGAAATTAAAAATTCTTGGAGATCCTGGACCTTCTACTACAATCATTTAGTTGACATTAACTTAAGCGACAGCAATGGTCGCAGCCGTGGGTTTCTGTATGACAGTGACATGATTCTCGCTCAGCTATGCCAGCAGGTCCCAGTTTACTTTGTCGGGCGTTGTATTTTTATATCGGCCGCCTTCTACGCCGTTTGTGGGGCAGCCGCCGACCCCATTACCAGCCATAACATATTCTATTCTCTTCGTTGAATATTTCCCACTTTACTATGAACTTGCGATTTTAAATAGGGGTAAAAAGATTTGGGAGCCCCATCTAGTGCTGGGAATCAGAGGATTGCCGATAAGTCAAATGTTAGATGTCAAAGATGGGATTAAACAAACTTGTAACTTATAATGATATTATGCCTTAAAGCACTGAATGAGAGAGATAGGGATAGCCGGAATGTTCGTCACTTGCTCTACTTAGTCCTGAAGCTTGGTTCGGATAGCTTAGATCCTGCTATAGACATCAATTCCACTGAGCTGATCCAAAGTTAATATGAAATCGAGCATTGATCGCACCTAGCGACTGTGCACTGCTGAGTCTGTCGTTCCATCTCTTGCAGTGCGTGAAGTTTCTTTGACCTCACACCATACTCTGAGGCCTTTCTTTCCAATGAAATTTTTTTTAGGGCACCACTACTTGTCTTTACCCGGAAACCAAGTATAGTTCTCCACTCCTCTTTTTGCGTCAATATCAAGTCTAATAGCACTGAATCTGATAAGTCCATGTGGCATTTTTGGGATCAAGAGCTCAATCTCCCCGCCAAACGCAAGATGCTGTCAAGTACTAGCGGGTAGGTCACAGGCGAGCACGATCCTTTCGACTTCATTAACCCAATTTTCTCTTTGTCTTCACAAAAACAGCTCTCAAGTTGTCCAGCTCTACATTACTCCTCGACACCACCTGGAGCATTCGAGTTCACTGGTCCGGCCTCAACCAATTCTAACCCAACTGGCACAATCTCTGTGTCCGCAAACGCCCCCTCGTTCGCATCAGATAGCTTCACCCACCATGCAGTCCACTGCTCAAACCCCGTCATCGGCGAAACCCCTTTAACAGCATACCACCTCCATCCATCCTCCACATCCTGCTCCGGCCCATACCAGATTTTCAGCGTAGGCTTGCACTTCGATCTCTTCAGCCTCCAATCCTCATACCGGAAGCCAAACGATTGCTCCTCCTCGAGACGGTACGTGTAGATGAGCTGCCATGCATCGGGAATACCGGCACGTGCACTCAGTCCGTAGTAACCCGGGACCGGAGGGGGATGCGGGTTCGTCGGAACGACGTACAGGGGACCGTGTGGCTCCGGCTCGGCGTTGTACAGGCTGATACGGTTGAAGTGATCTTGCGGGTTGTGGGGTGCGGGGGTGACGCCCGGGGTGTTGGTGAAGTTGCCACGCAGACGTTGGTAGGTAAGCACCTCTCTGGGCGGGTTACTGTGCGTGAAACGGAAGAAGTAGTCCTTGAAGGTAGGGGTGACTGCGGCGCTTGCCAGGGAGACATATAAAAAAGAATGTAAGAGGAAAGAAAAGATGGAAACTCTTTTCTGGCTCATTTGGAGATGCAGATGGGTGCAGAGACTTGGGACGTTTCGTTGGTTTTGAGCGCTTTCCACACCGGAAAGAAACCCAAAATTCGGGTCCAAGTTTCTCAATGGTGTTTGGAACTGTCTAACCTTTGTCGTACAACAGCAGAACAAGATTTTCGGCAGACATCTACATCTTATACGCCTTCGAAGGTCCCAAATACACAACCATATAACAATTCAAGGCCCACCGGGAGTGAGGTTAAGACTTGAAGTCTTGAACACGAGCTCGGAAGTGGATCGCAGTCCACGAGGTCAAAATAGGTGAGAGGTGGTCCGCCCTGTAAGCGTGACGGTGTCCATACCTCGCCCTTATTGGCCGAAAAATATCCGTCGGAGCTCTACCTGCTGCAGCAACTCTCGTATTTGCGCTGCCACGCTAGCTATGCATCGGCGCCACAATTGCGCTAAAGTGAATGTCTCATGTGATGGCGTTGACATGGTAAGTGATGGAATTCGACCATGTACTGTATGGTTAGCTGAAGTTTAGGTCCACGAAATGGAGAATGGATATCGCGTGATGAAGGACAACAAGTATGCTCCTCGAAGCGAGTACAGATAACGAGACAAGATAAAAGATAGAGTGAGAATACTGCCTTTTACCGCATCTCTCCGAAGCCGTCGATATCTCCTTTGCTGCAACTTTGGCCCATTCCCTTAAAGGTAAAAAAAAAAAAAAAAAGACCTATCAGTAGGCTCAACCTATAGCTATTTCAATGATAACCGTACAAGTTAGTATATCTGATGCACCTTCAACATACAACTAATAATAATTAGCATTTTTAGAGTTGATTTCTCACGGGAGCCATAATCTCTTTTCAAATCACATTTGAAGTATTGCGCAAGAATACATTGTCTCAATATCAAGGCTGCTGCATTGGTTTTATAGGTCTACCTCAATCCAGAACTCTGATTGGCTAGAGGTTATTGATAGGCTTTTTTTTTTTTCGTTTTCGGGGAGTGTGACAATTCCACAGTCCCCTGAGATGGGTTCGAAGGCAGTGGCCGAGTTGCAGAACCTGAGGGACTGGGGTCCTCACACAGTGGAGTATGTGGTTAACGTCGTCACCAGTCGTAGGTTGACAACTGTTTCTATTGCTGACCGAGGGATCCTCAGCATGGCTCTGGGGGATGGATAATTCCATATACATATTGATAGTCGAAGTCATTGGTTTGCCTGCCACTGTTACCATTGCTTATTTGGGCCTTAATGATGGCTTTCTCTCACTGATCTCAGTTTATCGCAGAGCGAGAAACTACGATGCCTGTGCTTCTCCTTTTGCATCTATTCCTTTTTTTATTCTTTCATTCATTTTTCACTTCTCGGTTGCTATTTATTCTATTCGGTTAGCAAGGTATGATATCGTTGATCATGATTTGTTTACAGTACTTGGGATCCACGTTATACGGTGCGAAGAGACTTTCTCTTGCTAAATGTAAATGGGATTAGCTAGCTATAGTCTCTTGAGAATTCTCTTCTAGTTTTTCATCGATTTTGTGCTGACTGGAAACTGTTAAAGGTGGTTCTATTGGTCTCAGTTCTCTCGGGACCTTGCGAGTCGTAGGGCCAAATATCGCGGTATTCACAGTTAACTGATTATCACCAGTAGACTGCTGGAGTTTCTTTGCCAGCGCTGCGTTCTTGATTGACTGCCTGTATCATAGCTGGACGAAATCGCAGCTTCAAATCGTAAAATGTAATGGTACAGCTCCCTATGGCACCGACTGATTATAATAATAAACAACGTCTAAGTGGTCTTGTTCTGACATTGGTAATCGCGGTCTTGAAACAAGTGATATTCACATTACAAACTTAATCAGAGAGGGTCGTAGAAGTTGGGACGAAATGCACTGCTAGAAGATCGGCAAATGTGTTTGATACGCCTACATCAAAGGTGGAAAGTCATATCTGAGAAGGGGGACGGCAAAGCTTCGAGTTAAGAGAATAACTCCATGAGTTCCTTCCTAAGATAAATTGGTCTAGATGACGAATTGGGTGCCTAGGTGCAGTTCATGGTGTTGTTTTTTCATAGGCAGCCGCAGAGAAGGAGGTGTAAACGCTTTTCTCTGATCAATTTGTTAGTGCAGGGAGCCATCCATGATCGACGGATTATGCATATTTTTCAGCTATCTGAAGCCCTTAAAAGAGTGCACTTGAAAGCGAGATCTATCTCTTGGCACGGATAAATCACACAAAACAAGGGTACAGTTCAATCTCCATTGACGTGGTGAAGACTTGCTTGCATTTGCAACTTCAATTGTTTCGAAAGGGAAAGAGCCATGTGCTAATGCTTCATGTTCAGAGCAGGAACCCTTATCAGGCCAATCAAGCGGACTTCTGGCCGTCGACGAGACAACACCGTCATCAAGACCGACATTAACATTCAGCATTGTTATTTTCAGTCCTCAAATCATGCCTTTATCCTTTCTTATAAGCCATGTTTGGGATAATTTTACGCAGCTCCTAACCTGCCGTAAACCTGGCACGAACGCCCCAACTCCTCGCCCCACCACATCAACCAAACCCTTCTCTCCCACCAGCCCAATGCCCCTCGCCCACTTCGAGCTCTTCCCCCTCCTTCCCTTCGAAATTCGCTCCCAGATCTAGGAACTCGCCATCCCCCCGCGCATCATCACCCTAACCCTGCGCGCCAACCCCCTACTCGTCTCCAGCACCGGCATCACGGACGTGCAGTTCGGCCTGGTTGACCACTACTCGGCGCCTATCTTCAACCTGTTGCTGACTTGTCGTGAGGCGTACCACGAGGTGCTCCGCTGCTTGCCAGACACCTTGTCGGTCCGGGAGGATATTCTGTCTGGCAAGTCGGGGAGGTATTTTACGATACGGTACAATCGGAAGAGGGACCTATTGTGTTTGGAGCATGTGTCAACGTTTATGGAGAGCGCCAAGAAGATTGTGGGGTTGCCGGAAGGGTTGACGCTGCCTGTGTTGGGGGTAGAGCTGGGGTCGGGGATCGATCATGCGGTGAATGACAGCCTGGATTGGGAACCCGACCGGGATATCATGGCTGCGGTAAGGCTGTTGAAGACCGAGAAGCTTTACCTTGTGCATCCCAGCGTGACCAAGGCCCTGCGCGTACCCATCCCGACGATGACGATTGATCTTCGCACAGCAACCCGCGCGGAGATAAAACTCGTCATGATGGAAGTCTGTTATGAAGCACACGGTTACACGTCACCATTCGTCGAGATCGAAGTTAAGTGCGGTTGGCGCCAGATGGAGCGATATTTCCGGGACAATTCGCCTGGCGCATTGCACTGGTACTACCTTGGTCCCGTGGACGATTCGGATCGGTACAGAAAACCCAGTGATGCAGGTCAGGAGGCCGTGAGTGCGGAGCGGAATGGGGTGGGAGGACAAGGTAATCAGCAGGGTGAGGAGTAGGACCCGAACGACTGGTTTGCGGAAGGATAGTGAGGTTTCTCAATCGGTTAGACTCAAGGATCGCATCCAAGTTGAGGACAAAGACTTTGCTTGACCGCTGGGAAAACATAACGAACTACGCACGCAGTCTTGGAGAGTCTTGGATGTGGTGCGGTAGGCAAATTGTTGGATACGCTTCATAGGGCATCTGGCTGTAACAGTATTCCAGACAGCATCATCACTCGTCACAGCGCTATCAAACTTGGCATAATTGAGCATGTTCGAAGCGATGAATAGTTTTTCTTCGAAGTGGATTGATGTTTGTTTACTTCTAAAACCCCTGATTTGTGTAATTTCGGAAAAAAGGGGCTCAGGGGGCGAGAAGCTTCACATCAACCCTAACCCTAACGCTGCAGCAAATGCAGGGGTAAAGGCAATAACATCATTGCAGGATGGCACAGCAGCTGGCGGTATAAACAAGTAGATTTCTTGCTGGACAAATGTCTAGAGCGGCTATGTACTGGCGATACAAACTATGTGCACGAAGAAAATAGGGGAGTTGAGTACAAAATCCCAACAGATCCTCCACTTCCCATATATTCAGCTTTCACTCGTTACTCATCAGGGGCAAAATGTCATGAGTCAGACAGCAGCTGGCTTCATGTCAGAGAGACTTGTCTTAATCTCCATTTACTTGCCAGCGCGGTAGTTGTTCCAGTAGCTGACCATGCGAGCCTGCTGACCGGCGGTGAACTCCTCGTAGCACGAGCTGTTATCCTGTTAGTTTTTGATCGGATGCGAGTTTGAGTCTTAGGGATACTCACTCATAAGAGTAGTCCATGTAGTTGTGGATGGGGTCAAGACCAGGCTGAGACGGGCAAGAGTCACGGCCAATCGGGCAGCCGCTGGAGGCGGAGGCCTGAGCGGGGGTATCGGAGACGTAGTCACCGCTGCCAGTGCAGCCGCCCTGGAAGGTATGGTAGAGACCCATCCAGTGGCCAACCTCGTGGGTGGTGGTGTGGCCGAGGTTGTAGTTGGTGAGAGAGCCACCGGGGACGGTGCTGTAGAGGACGGTGCAACCGTCGCGGTAGAACGCAGTCGAGCCCGAGGTGACGGACTGAGGGAAGTAGCAGTAGCCGAGGTTACTACCCATCTCGTACAGGTAGTAGACATTCAGGGTACGGTAGGTGCCCTTGCGGAGGGACCTCTTCATGGTCATCTCGTAGCCCTTGGTGTCATCAGCCCAGTTGGCATTGACGGTACGGGTGATACCCTTGAGGTTGAACTGGAAGCCGTGAGGAGCATAGGCGGCGTTGAGAACGTTGAGCTGGTTGTTGAGCATGGCATCCTATGTGAAGTGTTAGCGTTATCCCAAGCAACGTCCTGAGTAAGTGTGAGAGTGTACATACGGTCAGGTAGCCACCGCTGAGGGAGGTGTTCTTGGCGACAACATGGAAGTAGGCGTCAATGGTGGTGACAGCCTTGATGGAGTAGTTGCCCGAGGCAAGAGCCTGAAGCTCCTGGGTGGCGAAGGCCTGCGAGATCTTGATATGCTCGGGGCTGGGCTCGGGCGCACCGCAAGAGAAGACCTTGCCCTTAGTCGCGACAGCATCGCCGGGGCGGCGGGGGGCAGCCATGGCGCCCTGGGCCGCGACAGCGGCAAGGAAGACCGGAGCGAAACGCATTTTGATTGATGACCGGAAGGCTTGGTTTGGGGTGCTCGCCTACCTTTGAGGATTAGATGTCAAGGGCAGTGGTAAAGAAGACCTTTGCCAGCCATAGCCGGGAGTTGACAAAGGCTTATATAGAGCATTGCGCCGTGCAGACTATATTTGGGTGGTTTGATGGTGCTTGGCCCGTCGTGAACTATGATCGTCGCCCCCGCGGACGCCTACGCGTGGTGGCCGGTAGCCTATACCCAGAATGGCCGGTGCTCTTGTCGCATTCTGGAAGGTCGAGTGCAAACGGGCCATAGCGGACCTGATCACGGCTATGTCCACTGACGATGTGACCTAATCCTTTAGATGGCTGCCTTAGGCTGGTTTGCTGACTGCCTTCCTCATCGGAGAGGGAGATATGCAGGAGCGAGCGCTTTGCGATACCAGTTGCAGCCTGCGGCTCGAAGGATCAACTTCAGTGAACCGTTTGTCCCGTCTTTGAGGTGTGGTTGTGCGAGATATGGCCCGTAACTCGGGGACATGGTCTGTTTTCCACCAGATTGGCCACTATGTTGACGGTTGTATCACACAAGCACATAGTTATCGAGGGCAAGCCTGGTCCAAGGCTCCAAGCGGGAAACCCCTGGCTGATCCCACGTTGTGTGCCCGGCCACAGCATGTCGCCTCAGGGGGCACTGCGGTATCGGGATCATGGCCGGGGTCTGATGCATGACATGTCCCGAGATGGCCGATATCATGAGCTTAGCTTTCGCCCAATGTCGTTGTTTGCCCGGTACTTGGGCCCCGCCAAGAGAATGCCCCAGATAGCAGACCCCTGCGGTCGTATTGGAAATAATGCAGAAGGCTAGGGGCGCTCCACGGGCGCGGCTGCGGAGTGGGAGCAGCGCTACGGCAATCTAACAGTGACCTCCCTGATAGGGCAGTTGGGCCCGTTGCGGGGCACTAGATAACGCTGTCCAACGGCTTTTGCCAAGCGCAGCCAAGTCGTCATTTAGGCAGGAGTTTTGAGGCTGCTGCAACGCTGAGGTGGGGTGTCTCTGGCCCTAAAGGCCGAGATTAGTAAGGGGTCTTGTGGACATACGCTCGCTACTCACAAAAGCCACTTCCATCTCCCAGAACTTCATCTCTATCATTGTCGTGCTGCATTTGCCCAAAATTGAAAATCATTTTGGGAAGGCTGTAGGCGACGTGGGCAAAAGCTGACATTGCGCGGGCATATTCACACCTACTCAGGTGGCAGCAGCGAGCTGCACGCCTGACCCTCGATGATGATAGAAACACAAAAGTTGAGATGTTGCTATCTCGAGGCCCCCGGCTTTCACGTGTTCTTTTACCATTTGAGGCATTTTGCATCCTCGTTTGCGATCGTGGTCCACTTTTGCAAGGGTGATGTTCTGATGTTTATCTCGACAGGTTGTTCCAGATCAGGTGGCGAAGCTTGATCATGTAATCCTGCAGATGGAATTGCTCTCTTAATCGTCCTTTGCGGGCCTTACCCACCCCAGCTAGCCCTCCCGCGCGCCATACGGCGCGGCCCGCCATTGGAAATGGGCTAGCGGAAACCGTTCAAGGAGCTGACCCACGACCCAGATTCGTCCGTCTCTACGTGCTGAACTCCTGAGAACAGCAGAAACCTAGTCGATTCCACGATGTCGGAAGATCGTGTCGACAACGATCATTCAGGTTATCGCATGAGAGATTATTAGCATCGGTAGACAGAAACGATGAGGTGGTCAAGCTGGAGGAGGGGGGGTTGGGCCTGGAGATAGCAGGCTCTCTCGCCAGAAGTGAACCAGGACCTTGGAAGAAGCGGGGGCCCTCGGATGGTTTGGAATCCTAGAGATTCAAAATTCTGGACTCAGTGCAGGTGTGACAGAGGAGGGCTGCGAACGGACTGATCAATTAGGAGGGCCAAAAACACCCGGGCTCTTGTGAGAAGGCGATAACCTATCCTCTCGGATTCATAACTTCCGAGGGGGAGACGGTCGTCGATCGTGGCACAAATGTTAGTTGTGTGACCCGAGGAGGGTATAAAGTAGCAGATTAGCTTGCGAATTCAATATGCTATGAGCCTGCAAAGGGAGATATTCCTTCTCTGAATGAGTCTTGTGCCTACCTAAGCCGTAGAGGTAGTTCCTGCCTGAAGTGAAGCTGTTTGCCGGACAATGATCTCAGGATCAGGCAATTTTATCTTGTTCACCAACTGTGTTAATACCCACAACCAAATGCTCCTTAGCAACCTGCTAGTTCCTTCATCACGATCTTCGTAGGGTGAAGCGTCCTTAACTGCTTGCTTTGCTTTTTCTCAGCCTTTCACACTTTTAGCTGCTATCAGTGTCTGCATCATCATCACGCCTTGAACGAACTAAGGTCTAAAATGGAGTACCGCTACTCGGATCCTGTTAATTTTGATCCATCGAGTCCCTGGGTCTGCGATCTGATCGGCAAGTTGCCGGTACGAGCACATCGCGACAATGAACTTGCGGATCGTGGATGCCTTCGAGCGCAAAGAGACTGGAAGCAGCTTTTCGGCGACTTTCCTCCGGGCTTCACTGGCGGCGGAATGGGTCTCAAGTTCAACAGTGTGGCGCTTTGTGTTCCAGAGGCATTGCCGGATCGGATTGAACATGTTGCGTACTTTTTCGAACTCTTCAACTTGGTTGATGACGCCATCGACCATGCCGAGTCCCCTGTGCAAGTAATAGCCCCATTTGCAGCTGATGCTTGGAGAACCCTGGAATGCATCAAGTCGAACAAAGACTTGGTTAGAAATGGACAGGAACATGGCCTTACCTTCGAAGAGATCCTCTGCAACTTTGTGAGAGCAGTGATCGACCTCGACCCCGATGGCGCGGAGATGATATTGCGCGAGATAGAGAACTGGATGCTAGCTTTGATGAAAGACAAAACTCGCTCTGAAGCTCCTGATTTGGACGAATACCTTGACTCTCGAATCATTGATGGTGGTTTGCTGTACGTACCCCACTTATGACATGTGAAGAAGCTATGGCCAGTGAGGGTTTGTCTAACGTGCCATCTAGACCGGGATTTCACTTCGTTATCTTCGCATTGGCCTTGAAAATGCCAGAATATGAACGAAAAGAGTGTTTCAAAATTTCCAGACCCCTTTGGCTCCATATGGTCTTGGTGAACGACCTCTTTTCGTGGGAAAAGGAGTATGGTGGGACTCAAAAATCAGGGGCGACTCAAGGTCCCATGAATGCAATTCGTGTTCTGATGGAGAAACATGGAATGACCCTTGACCAAGCAAAATCAACATGCATCGAGAGAGCCAAGGAGCTTCGTGACGAGTATCTCAAGATTGCGGAGGATAAGAATTCAAGACCTGATATCAGCAAGGACGGACTGAGGCTTCTAGACAACCTTCGTCTTTTTGCTGGCGGGCATGTGTTTTGGTCCGCAGAGTGCCCCCGTTTCCGCCCAGAGCAAGAACAAGATTGGAAACTCAAAACGATGGAGAGGAACCAGACGAGAGATACAACAGACCCGCTGACAAGTGATGAAATGGCCAAGCCAATCGACACCCGGCAAACAGTGGTGGAGGACAAGAGGAGAGCCGATGGTCATAAGTAGGAGACTGATCCGACAACATATGCTGGTCAACTTGTCGCAAATGCTGCGGTGCAAGATGCCCCTGAGCTGGGCACAGAGGTCAGATGATTCTCCACTCTCCTGTTCTTGTACTTGAGCGGAATGAGTTAACGTACATACAGCTTTTGAAAGCTCCGTCCGATTATCTCGACTCCCTTCCATCGAAGGGCATCCGAGATACGGCTATTGACTCCTTGAACTTCTGGTTTGAGATTCCGATAGAGCAAGTCACTAGAGTAAAAAAGATCGTTAACTTACTCCATGGTGCATCCTTATTGATGGACGACATCCAAGACTCCTCAGTTTTGAGACGTGGCCAACCCGCTGTCCACTTGGTGTTTGGGCAAGGTTTGGCCATCAATGCAGCTGGATACCGTTTCTTGGAAGCGCTGAGAGAGGTGAGGCGTCTGGAGAACGAGAAATGTCTAGATGTATTCTGTGGTAAGTGACCCAGTTCTTGTCCATTCCCACGATCACTTGATCACAGCTGACGGAATCTATTGCCAGATGAACTTCATGACTTGTATGTCGGCCAAAGCAATGATCTGTCATGGACAAGGATGATGAAGTGTCCTTCAGAAGCCGAGTACCTTGCCATGGTAGACGGAAGTAAGATCCTGTTGTTTAAAAGATTTCATGTTAAAGTGTATCTGCTTGCTGACATGTCCAAAGAAACAGCTGGGCTGTTTCGCATGCTGGCAAGAATGCTTGATGCCCTGTCAAACTCTCCTCGAAAGCCAGATGTCAAGGTCTTGATTCGGTTCATGTCACTTTTGGGGCGTCTCTTCCAGATTCGCGATGACTACATGAATTTAACCTCATCAGACGTAAGTCAGTGCATTTCACTCGACTTGTTCCCAGCTAACATGCAACAAAAACAAAAGTACACCAAGCAGAAGGGGTTCTGTGAAGACCTGGATGAGGGCAAGTTTTCCCTTCCATTGATCCATGCCCTAGGACGGTGCCGAGAAAAGCCTGACGGAACAATGCGCACAAATTTGATCTGCAACTTGTTGTCTCAGCGGCATTCGGATGGTCGTCTGTCGAAAGAGCAAAAGAATTTGATCCTAGAGCAGATGAGAGCGGGAGGAAGCCTCGAGTATACGCGCAGGGCATTGCATGCTCTGCAAATGGAGCTCAAAATACTGGGGAAGAGGATGGGTCTATTTGAGAATCGGCAGTTGGGAGCTCTGTTGGACAAGTTGAAAGTGTGATTGATGATGGAAGCAAAGGAAGGAGATCCACGGATGGCTACCACGTTTGTAGCATGACGCCCTATGGAGAAGATGGAGATGCAGTCAAGCATTATTATAAGTAGACCTTTGTGCATCAATTAATTGATCATGGTTTGGGGAATATTTCGACACTGTAAAGTCGGTGGTGTTAGAGTGCGAGAGCTATAAAAGTAGAGCGGACGTGACAAGGTGTCTTCCTTTGTGCACCATGCGTAATTTACGCAACAAAGGTCTGTATCGTGCAGGTGTGTATGCATCACGGAAACGCCATGGAACTGATCCTATTGGATAGCTACTGACCTATGGACCGTAAGTTTACCAAACCTATGCTGTCCCGCAACTTCGAATCCATTTGTGCCAGAAATGATCTCGATTGACAAAAGTTCTGCATTTGCAACCCGACTCACAGCAATGGAGGACTACACGACGCGGGCCGCCATATTTCATTTGCATCGACATGTTATACAAGGAAGCAATGCTGGCCAATACATGATAGGTCGCGCCAGACGCTAATTGATAATGGATTGTCCAGTATCCCTATTGCATGATCCAATGAAACTACTCCTGAATCGCATCTCTACGTGACCTCTGCCATCATTCAATAGTAATACGCCATTTAGTTCTTCTTCTCAGCCTTCGCGCCGCGCTTCTTGAACCAGCCCCAAGGCCAGCCGCTGCCGCCACCGCCAGGGAAGCCAGGGAAGCCGGGGAAGCCGGGGAAGCCAGGGAAGAAGCCGCCACCGCCACCGATCTGCGAGATCGGGCCAGTAGGGTTCATAACGCCGCCCTTCTCAGTCCAGAAAGCGGCCGGGTTGATGGGGTGGTTGGCGTTCTGGTTGATGCCAAAGCGGATCCATGCGAAGAGACCCTCAGACAGGTCATTGCCGACAAGCGCGTACCGCACGATCGGGTCGTCACCGTTCGCCCCCTGCATAAAGAGGAAATCGGCCGTGTTTGGTGTAATGGGCATGCGGTTCGTGTTGTATGGCGCCCGAGACTCCACCTGAGAGATTAGGGACTGGTCGAAGTAGATCTGGCCGATGTGCGCCGCGCGACCGCCGGTAATGGTGTTGTTCGGGAGCTTCTGGGCACCGAGGTAGACGAGGGCTGAGTGGACGTCAGTCAGCTGGATCAAAGATACAAAAGGACACCAGGGCTACTCACTGTGGATGTGAGTTGCGCGTCCCTCGTAGTGACCAGGGAAGAGGGAGTCGAAGGAAGCAATGCCGTGGGAGTCAGTCGGCTGGACACCACGAAGTGTTGTTCCCTGCAGGATGGACGCATCGTTCGGGTCACCCATGCCCGGATAGCCTTGAACACCGACGTAGATACCCTGAAGTGAGGCGTTAGTCTGGAATTCAGGGCTAGGGCTGTTTGCCAAATCATCCAGCACTCACAGTCGAGTTCGCGCTCCAGATGTCGACATAAGCGTTCGGCACGACCTGGCAGGTCGAGTAATCGACCACTTGGATGACGAGTGTCAAGGGAATACCGCGCTCGCCGTTGGTAATGTTCTTCCTGACCTCCTCGCCCTGGACATCTGCGAAGTGTCAGTGACATTTTCTCCATACGTCTGCCATAACCTAACCACTTACACAGCGGGCCCAGATCGACAACAGGAGTCAGCATGCACGACCCATAGTCAGAGAAGAGTGTGCTGAGATCCATATCCTTCGACACCGGCTTATTGCTCTTGTGGTCAATCCGTGAGACCGAGAGGTAGTCCCGGGGGCCAAGCTTGGACCTGAGCTTGTCAGCCACATCTGAATTCGACGTTCGCAACAGCAACCACTCTTACTCGTCCATGTGATAGCCCAATGACCTCCGCACTCTGGCGAGCTCCCGGCCATAGCCCTCAGCTGTCCTCTTGATGAACTCGGGATCGTTGAACTCCCTTTCGCAGTGACGAAGGGACTTGCGCTCAAGAGGTTGCGCGGAGTGCGCATACACCTTCTCCCTGTGCCCTGGATGGGCCAGCGCCAAAGGCGACGCCAGCAAGAGGCTGGTCAAGAAAGTCTTTAGAGCCATGATCGTTAGGTGATGCTTCGTCTGCGGCCCAGCAGTGCCCAACTTGTGGAGAGGCGAGGAAGGACGAGAAGAAACCTTCAAGGCCAAGATGGCCCGGTGTTGGCTTCCACACCCTTCTTATTAACACCTGCACTGGCTCCCGGGAAGTGGGGGATATCGTTTCTCCATGGGCTTCCGTGCCATCACAGGAAAGAGCGGGCGAAGAAACGACGTTTCATGCGGAGGAAATTACTGTCGTCATCCATGCAATATCACCAGGATCACCATTGGCCCCGGTAAAGGTCTCCGATACCCCGTTGCTCGGTTTCTGCTGCCTCGTCGTCGACGTCGCAAGTTACCCAAAACCACGAAAGTTCTCGGCAACCGTCTCCGAGAAGCTCACGGAAGTGAACACACAAGACCACCTCAATATCGGCGACACATCACCTGAACTCACCCTGCTCACTACCCCAGTCTCCCCAACCAAGCAGATCTCAACATCCGCATCACATTCAATATCCATATGGACCCTCGATATCACCCAAACCTTCCTCCCGTCCGGAACCGGGCCTCGGACAAGGGAGACAACCCACATCCCACAGCGAAAAGGCAGGCAAGCTTGCAACCAGTGACAGCACCAAGGACCCCAGGGAGTCGGATGCTGAGAACGGCAGCATCCCCATTGGCTCGCAAAAGACGAACGATTCTGCCAAGCGGAGCACTTCCCCGGATTTTTCATCTCCGCTTCGTTGAGGTTTTCGTTCCTTCGGTAGGTAGGTCTACGGCGGCGGAGGCGGCGGCGGCAACAGCAGCAAGAAAAGTTGCAGGATGCCGGTCAGTTGCCGGAGTGGGCAGGAAAGTTCTTGTCGGAGGTTTCAGCAGCGAATCGGGTTGTTCGGAGAGGGATGGAAATGTTTCGTTTGGGGAGTTTAGCATGGCCGGGTAAAACGCTATAAAGTGTGCCCCGCTATTTCATTTTGTCTGGCAAGCTTGTTTATTTGACGCTTGCTTGATTAGGCTTTTTCTCTGCTTGGGTTTCCTGCTTCAGCAGTTGCTGAGTTTGGGAGGGTAGGGGGTGTGCATGACGGAGTGTCACCCCTGTCAAGCTTTTACCCAAGTGGTCCTCTCCGATCTAGCTTCTCGGCAGTTTCGCTGCCGTGGCAGGGCTCGTCATACTACGGTTTAATTTTATCACCCCTCTGCCCAAATAAACAAGCCCAACGCTTCTGTTGGCCTTGAGATCCAGGAGAACTCACTGATGTGGCTTTATGTTAATTCTCTACAGCCCAGTCAAGACAGGTCTTCTAGCAAAGGTCCTAAGCGTTGGTGAACCCTGGGGGGTCAGATCTACCTTCCCGGTCACAGCAACCGAGCAACGTCGCAGCGGTGACCAACTTGAAAATGCGATTGTTGCAACAAGACTTTCTTCCCTGCCATTGACACCTTGCTGGGCAAATAGCAGCGCGACTAAAACAGACGAGATCTCTCACGGCATCGTTAGCCGACGTTGTATCCACGTGCCCCTAAGGAACTCTCGAGAACAAGCAGGTAAGCAAACATCCAGAATTCTTCTCATCCATAGGAATTCCAACTCCTCACGGTAAGAGGCGATTAGTTTACCCCCAAACGTGATTTGCTGGATACAGCAAGTATCACACACCCTCCACTCTTCCGTGAGCCGGCTGCGTCTGCCGCGTCATCGGACAATTTAGGCCGGTCAGCATGACTTTTGCCGAGTATCTCTAAATGCTGGCTGTGTGTTGAACAACGACGAGTACGAATGAAAATTTTGTAGGTCGAGCCATATCCTATAATCCCATCATCCTCACAGCATCATCTGTTCGGTATTGTCTGGGATAAGTACGAGCGCAAAGCTCTGAAACAGACATGGATCAGCATTGCCTTTCATCAGCATAGTTACCTCAGACAAGAGATATGGACTTACGGGAAATCCCCTTTTCCAGATTTGTACCGGCCAGAAAGCGGCCACAATGCCTGCGATTACTGTGCTCTCCAGCGCGGCCATAGAATATCAGGCAACTGACGGACTTGGCGCCGGTTTGCCGAATGTAACCTCTCGGTCCCCGTTCGTACGAATCTGTTCATGAGGTTATCCATTAGGTCTAGCTCACCATTATCATACTTATCTACCGTCGCCCCAAAACTCACCTTCAGCGACCTGTATCAAATCCCAGCTTAGCCTGCGATATGTAAATTTTCACAACGCTCTCACCCTCCTTGCCATCGATCTCGAACCGCACCTCTTCGCACTTTATCTTTCCCAGACATTTGGTTGTTATCTAGGTTCATGGTGTGCGAGTCGACGTCCTTGTCTTGAAACGGCGTTGTCAACATCGTAGAGAAGCTAATGACGTGGACATTGTACCCCATTGACACTATCGGAAGGTGTTACTATTTCCGTCGTAGTCAGTGCACGAAGCTCTGCTAGGCGGGTAAGGTCCCAGGTGGTCGTGGCCCAACGCCAGACCCTGTGCCCTATGAACTCTGATCTGTATCGCTGATTTGTGAGGGTCGATGCAACGCTTGGGTATGTCTCTAGTTGCGCAAAGGTCTGTAATGGGGACCAAGTTTGAAGCTTTTGAGGCTCGAGTAGGAGCAGCCGGTTAGCGGTGCTTGACTAGAGGATGTAATAGCAAAGTGATACTGAGACTCTGCGAGTTGAGCGAACGAATCAATAAGCTTTACTAGAAGCCCAATACGATCGATGATGCCCTCCTAATAAGAATTTAGTCAAGCCTACAGGTAACGCCACGGACGCTGGGAGCCCTGGTTGCGGAAATGTGTTTGCAGGCCCGCAAGGAAGTTGCTTTCTGCACAGAACACAAATGTTGATGATACTTCTTGATCGTGTTATTAGAAATGCAAAAATCTGGGTAGGAACAGGTATTTCACTGAATTAAGTGCTACCTGCTTACGAAGCAAGATTAGTCAAATCAAGAATGTCCTTTGCTGATATGGAAGTCAGCATTGCATGCCTGCACATCAGTAGGAACCGGCGGAGCTCCGGAATTGTGTCTGGAAGAGCATATGATAAACCCGAAACAGGTGATTCAATTAGCAGGAGGGGTGAGCGTGCACTCTCGAGTAAGGTTCGTAGAAAGGAACCCGTTCCACGGGGCTCGTACGGAGCGCAGTTCACCTGGGACGCGGATGAATATTTTACCAGCGCCTCGGTTTGCGTATCCCAGCAGAGAGTGAGTATCGATGATCGGCCTTGTACGTCCTCATGAGACGACATGAGTTGTTGTTTGATCACTGTACCATCGCCGTGATCGCCTGGCCTGCTTGGTCCTAAACAGGCGGCATGAATATACCGTCGCTAAAGTAGACCGCATCGAAATCGCAGCTATTGAAAGCACCTTGTTTCGTTTTCTGTTAGTATGGAATTACAAATGGTTCACAAGTTACCCATATACGCCTTCTGTTTGTAACTGCAAAGTACTCCTTTCATCCCGTAACGAGGTGTCGTGTAGGTTGTGATCCAAAATAGAGGAACCTGAAGCTAAAAGCCTCTGGTAACGGACCATGCTCTTTCGAGAGCTTGATGGAGTTTAAATAACCATGGCATGTCCCTGTTCAATCTGTATCTTCCAGAAGAGGCTCCAACCCTGCGTCTCAGAAAACACGCACAGCGAGGCAATTCTAAGTGCTATGATGGAGTCTCTTGGGAAATAGGACAAGATAAGCGATAGAACCTTACATGGTAACAGGGCAAATGGGTCCCATACAACTTTTGAGAGGTCGTAAAGATTCCTTCAGTGATGGTTGTTTCAATCTATTTTCCAGTAAGAGGATGTCCCCGAGGACAGTGCTTTTGCTGTGTGTGTCGGAACTTGGATTCGTAATAGAATATTGGAACAAAGGTTAGCTGAAAAATTGCTAATGGAAAGCACGTTTGTGATATCAGCGCTTATTTTTTTTTCCCTGTTGCTCACGGTAATCCGCCGTCCTGCTTGATGCCTATGATATTTTCATAGTTTAGTCACAGCCGAAAGCTATCACGCAGGGTGCAGAAAATGTCGTACAAGCATCTGCATCAATGCTTCCATAACCAGCCGGACGGAAGGTATTCCAGGCAGTTTACTGGTCGAGATAGTTATTATTACTGATTTGAAGGATAATGAAAGGGCTAGATTTCAAAAATGAAGAGGATATTGTAGCAGATTGGCGAAACAGAAACACCATAACCTCATAGTCACTCTCCCACCACCGACCCTATTTGTAAATAGCATGTCTTTTCAATGTTTCAGTGTGCCTGTGAATGCATATGCTGTGACACATATTATATCTTGAAGGTACAAGCTTGCCGCCTTCTATTTAGCTGGCAAAAGGGTAGCTAGACAAGGAATCGGTGTCACACGGACACGGCAGTCCAAGGAAAGGGGTATCCCAACTGCCAATACAAGGGATACAAGAGATAGAATGATTGTTAACGGCAAACACGTGGTTGATTTCTGAAGATATATGGAGCCACACGACCGAATGAGCCAGATGGCCGAGGCAGGAGGACGAGACCACTGAAAAGCCTGGTAGGCCGCGGCACTCACAAGAACAAGGGGATTCCATAAAAGAAGCTGCCCGGACACGATGAAGGGACTTCTCTTGGTTCTTCCTCTTCCTAACACAAGGACACGAGAACCAAGAAAGATTATTACACGTATTAATTGACTTCGTCGTGCACCCCACATCATCAGTCGCTATCATCTAATTCATTTGACCCATTGTCAATCCCTGCCTGCACCAGACCAAGTCCCCCGTTACAGTCGGCTAACCTCTGCGCGGTGCTGGCGTCTCATCACAACAGGGGTCTCAATCTTGGTCGGGCCCAAATGCCAGTATTCATAAACCAGAAAGTGGGAAGAGTTTCAAAACTAAGTGGCTCTGGAACCCAAATAGCTGGAGTCAGAGCCTCATCTTCTGCCAACATTTTGTGCCTGGATCTTTTGATCTGGTTATCGGGAGAGCATATAGGTGAAGTCTGATATCAAGTCTTGATATCAGTAATTCAGCCCATCGACTAGAAGTATCCCTGGAAGCACCGAGAAAGCTTTCCAAGAGCATTCTGAGGCATGATCCTACACTTGTTTAAAAGTAGTTCGCAACAAACCTGATCATGTTTCTTCTGCGGCCATCGTAATCGGGATTAATCATCGGTATGACTTGTCCCACTCGAGAGCCTCGAGGGAGAGAAAACGGACAGCCACAGATTTCGCAGCAAAAAGATGTGAGCGTAATCACACCGTATATGTAAACCGAGAGGCATTGTCGACGAGGTGATCAGGTTTAAGCAGAGATGAGAGGTCTGCTAAAGTTCAACCCTTTTCCACATGGGAGACACGGGAGACGGTTCGACTGTTTGGGGAGACTTGCCAAGCCTAAGTAAGTGGGTCGGGACCCACGATGCAGGACAAAAATGCGATCCGACAACGACCTTGGATCTTGGCATCAAAAGCCCCGCTTTACGGTGGGGTCGTATACACCCCACTTTGAACCTCAGCAGTTGAAGATCAGCACTTCAACCACAACTTTGAGAAATAATACATCGAAGAACTGGCCGAATTATAGTTGAAGTCTCAGAATACATCAAACATAGTCCTATTGAACAATGTGCGACCGCCAACCAGCTCCAGCCCAGCCGCAGGAGGCAGCTCCCTCCGCAACACCATGGTGGGCAGCCTACCCAGAGCCCCAGTCCAAGCCTGCGAGAATTTCGCGCGAAGAAGTATTGCAAATGCTAAAGACGAAATCTTTGGGAGAGAGAGACTTCATTCTGGTTGATGTGAGAAGGAACGACTTCGAGGTATGTATACATCTGTAGATGTTACTAGATAGGCTACAACTTGTCCCGCAATGTGCCATCCCGGTGTTGGAATCAATTACCTGGACTGTCTTGCAAGAACAATTTAGCATGGAATTGTTACAAAACAAGAATATAACAGCTTTCCAAACGCAAAAATTATTCTGATCCAAATCTCAGGGAGGGACTGTCCAAGGCTCAATCAATCTCCCCGCTCAAAGCCTCTACCCCACTATTGCAAGCGTGTACACTGTCTTCAAGGCAGCGGGCGTTAAGAAAGCTATCTTCTATTGCGGTTCGTCCTCTTATTTCTTCAACTATCCTACTCCTTGCCCATTGCCAATCCCGATTTTTCCTAACAACCCCCAGGCTCCTCCAGCGGTCGTGGCCCCAGATCAGCTGCTTGGCTTGCCGACCACATCTCCCGTGTGGGCGACACCACCATGGAGAGTCTCATCTTAGAAGGCGGGATCAAGGGATGGGTAAATGCAGGACCCGAGTATGTTGAGTGGATGGACGGGTACAATGCAGAGGTGTGGAAGAAGCTTGATGGCGGTCACTGAGTGCTTGGTTGCTGTGCAGCACTTTATCCACCGTATTTTTCGCCGTATGGTTGTCGAGTCGCTTACAGGAACAAGTGGGATTGTTATTCGGGTTCTAGGTTCTGGCACGTCCACTGGGTTAGGATGACGGTTGCTGATAAGGCTGATATGGGGGCGGTTGTGTAGTGAGGTATGGGTGATATTCGGGGTCTGAGACGTCCCTGCTTGATGCTCCCACCAGGTTTTTTGCTGCTGTTGCCGGGGGGGTGGTGGTGGTGGTGGATTTTGAGCTGGTGCTGAAACAGGTTCATGTTGGCTTTGACCTGGGCCAGCTAGCTGGATAGCTCTACATCCTCTCCGCCAAGAGGTCCTGATGATGTTCTGGTGTAGACATGACGAGTAAAATTTCCAAACCACAACCGGTTGAGTCCACCAATCTTGTGCAACCTGCTTCAATTTCGCCTGTAATGACTGAGTCACTTCTCACCAATCTGCTACTCAAAGAAGTAAAAACGAAATTGCATAGGTAGCAATGCTTACAATTGCTGTGGCAATTGTGAACTTTTTGATGTTGGTGTTTCGGGCGTAATCCTCGAATAAAGGAGTACTGAAGAGAGTCCAATACATGCGAGATATTACTTCAATGTTGCGTTTGTAGCCACAGAAACCTGGAAGTAATGGGAAGTGGCATCTAGACATACTGCCGTATAATTTGGAGGGACAAACAAAACGATGACAATGGAAAACAATGAATATCGGTTCATCACGGTAGACCTAGATGCTTCGCGCAAAGATGTCGCACCAAAGAGCTAATGTGAGATAATGAATTAGTTATCCTGACACCTGCCGGTTATGTCCCAAGGTCAAGGGGAGTACAATTGCTGGTTAAACACTTGCCCCATCTCTGAGACCCCTGATTTCTTCGGACTTCTCTGCAATTCGTCGTAAAAGCCTTTCTTGCCTGAGAGTGATGCTCGCAAACTATCTGCCCATTTTGCCAAAGAACACTGTCCTCTTTGGGGTTCTCAACAACAAACCAACACACAGCTGCCATACCCCAATAGTCTGTATTATTTGCCAGTAGCGTCCGTTATAGTATTCAGGCGCGTTGAGATCAACTCTTGTAACTCCCTATTTATCGCTTGGATCAAATTTTAAATTTTTAAAAACACGAAACAATTCGAGCTCCTGGACGCATGCCTGAGATCGTTCAAACGACGTTTCGAAGATCAGATTCCGGCTTTTGGCTTGTCCAAAATACTTCAATCTGTGGAAGCGTTACTGTCTCCTTGTCAATCCAATAATTTTCAGCCTTACCATAAGGACTTCAAAGCTCTGTGCACCCACATTAGTACTGGTTACTCTCTCCATGCAGTCCGAGAGTTTCGACCAACCATCCTCACACGCAGCCAACACGCAATTAGTTTATCCACTGCGTCAATGCCAAGCAGTGTTTGCTCCCTCGATATCAAACCCATGAGATTCTCAACCGCTATGTCGTTGCGCTTACAATCATGATGGTGCTTTATTTACCTCCGAATTTTACAACGGTGCAGCACGCGTCAGTCATCCCTTATGTTAAGCTGAGCATTATTTTTATCCATACAATCTTCGCTAGCGCTAACACTGCTATCCCTGCCGGGCACTCTTCACTCCAATGCTCCAATGTTTGAGGGAGAGGAATCTACAGTCACAACGCTTTACCAGCTTGTTATTACTACCGATATAGCCTCTGGTATCACCTATGCGCTTGCAGTCATTCTCAAATGGGTGGCCAACCAATGGGACATTGCCAGGTTTCTCTACCAGAAACGGGTCCGGTATCCAGCAGGCCACTTGAAGTCGGCTTCGCCCATATCTTCAGCCAAGGAGTCCCCTCCATATTCATAATATCTGGCGACATTTGCGGGTGCACTTCGCTGTCCAGCCTTCGCCAACTTCAGCATCACCAAACGTCGACACAGTTTTCGAGGGCTTCGGACATTAAGATGCCTTCAACTTATGCAACCCTGATCGTGTACCTGAGGAATAAATAAGGCGGCCAATGCTTGGAAGAGTCGTCCAGTCAGAGATCGAGCGTCCGTGCAAGGGAACGGCGCTCTAGTTCATGAATTGAAAGTATTCACGCTCATGGAGCCAATGAAGCCCCTTGGCCTCGGCTACCGTCAAATCGGTGACTGAAATGTTCTGATGGAGCCTAGCTGCTTATCTTTATGGTGATCTCGAGCAGGCTGTAACTTTCCTCGCTCCTCCCCCATCAGTTCCTCAATCCCTCATTTAATTTTACTTTCAATTTCTTTTTCCCCCATTTACATGATGATCTCTTATTTTCAGCTCTAGATCTCAAGCTCTTTCGAGAGCAGATGGAGAACCTTACGAGACTAATTAAACCTTTTCACTCTGGCCTTGCTTATCCCTCATCTCTTCTGAACCCAGCTAAGTAGCTGTCAGTGATAACTGCTTGTGGACAAGTATGGGCCTGCAGCCCTCGAGATCTCCGAGGCTCTAGCGCGTCTCCAGCTCCCAGACCTGCAGCAGCCGCCATCGACGTCGTCGACGGTCTTCCTGCCCAAACGTCGCCCGGGAACCAGTCAGCACGAGCTCTTCTTGCTAATCCGTGAGGGCAGCCGCGCCGCCAAGGAGCTGGTTTCTGCCATTGCTCTATACCATCGCTGGTTTTCTTGGAGATCTGATGTCTACCAATGTTAGATGGTGCGGTCTCTAGATCCAGAGGACTGTCAACTGCCTTGTTTAGAGCCAGTCCGGGATTGATGGGGGGGTGTTTTCCATCACTCTCTCGCTCTATAAAATTTTTTTGCTGAACGTCGAGTTTCGGTTTTTGTATGTGGCCACGTTCTCCAGCAAAAGCTGGAGACCCAGATTTTTTTCGGGTTATCATTTTGAGCGATCCCATCACAAAACTCACGAAAAGGCTGGAGGAACGTTCTAATCTTTTTCAGTGGTTCAGTATTATTGATAGACATGCTTCGTGTAGTGATGTTACGCTAAAAAGCCAACAATACTAATAATATTCAAAAATCATTCAAGGTGCCTAGGATGATTGAACAATAGACTTACTACATCTCTTAGGCGTCTTATCTCCTCTGTCTTGATCGCGATACGTTAAAGGATTCGGTCGTCGGCTCTGGAAAAATAGCTGGAAAGAATATTTCAGTTTTCAAGTGCGACTGGATCGCTCTCACAGTCCTTGACAACAAACTTCTTGAAGATAACCTAAGCGCAAGAGTTATTCAATTTGGATGAAGGAGAGAGAGAGGGATCCAAATCATACAATGGTTCCTGCAATAAGAAATCACAACTGATCTATCATCCTTCGACTCAGAGGTTAGGGAATCCATTGTTTGTTTTCATCCAGAACCTTAGTCGATCGTTCAAACAATTCCCGGAGCAGCTTCTTAGTGTTCCAGATTCGGGCAAGAATATTTGCATTTGAACATCAGGATGTGACGAACGATTTCCATTGGGACCACGGTGTTCTGGATGGCAATAATCCGCTTTGTGAGAGTAACCATGGTTGAAGTGAAATATTTAAGAGTGAGCGAGAGGGAGTTTTCCATTATGGCAGCCTGGTGATGACGAAATCAAGAAGGAAGCAGTAAGCAGCTGGACAACTGTATTTTGAAGCAGAATGATGGCAAAAGAGAGAGGACTGAAGTCTGGCAGTACTTAGATTGTTGGATGGACGAAAACAGAGCACAAACAGGTGTAAAAAAAAAAAAAGGCCGTCAATCAAGACTAGCATTAGGTTAAGACCTAACAGTGAACCTAGCTGTCCACCTCGTAGCTACACGGTTACATTAGGCATCTGCATCTCTCCCTCGTTCTGCCCTTAGCTAGGTACCTTACAGCTGGCCATGTTCCTCAGGAACTCCTGCTTTCAAGTTCTTTAGGGGAAGAAAAGGGACCGCTGAACCAAAATACAGCGACCATTCATCCATAGCCCTCATACGTACATGAACAAACACTCCGCGATTAAATTAGCCAGACACACCTCCTGCAATGCTCACCAATACCATGCAGTGGTTGGTTGATTGGTTGGTTGCCAGCACATTCTCCCCCACCTTTCCCATCACAAATTTTAACTTTTTTTGTTGGCTCCTAACCCGCCTATCCCCAACCCTGACCAGAAGAAAGAGAAACCGGACAACAGCCAAGTAAAGAGACCAAACGAATAGGGCGAACATGTAGAAACAACACAAAAGCAACTATCCTCACCATGAAAACTCAACCTCCAGCCCTCAGTCTTGTCTGATCAAACACAACAGCCAATGTAAAGAATGGCTAAGACTCCAAACATCCCTCCCACTCGTCGATCCCATGCACACCACCCTCAAACCCTCACGCCCTGGTCCTTTCCCTTTTCCCTTTTACCAACCCATCCCTACCCCTCTTGAGCGACTTGCCAGTCTAAGTCTGAGTCTCCTAACCCTGCTGCTGAGATTGTCCTTGGCCCTGGCCCTGTGGTACGCCAACAACAGAAGCAGGAGCCATAGTCCCCTTATTAACTGGCGCCGGGATCGCCGTTGGAATCGGAGCTTGAGTTGGCTGTGGGTGTGGAGGAGGAGGCGGGATCTGCGGCGGAGGAATAGGTGTCTGCCTTGGGGGACCGCCAGCAGTCGTCGTTGGGGCAGCAGGCATGGGAGGGATTGGAGGAGGAGGGATAGGGGTTTGGCGGATTGGAGCCGGATGAGGATGCGGTTGTTGCTGTTGAGGGGGAGCATGTTGCACCTGCGATTGAGGTTGATGCTGGTGTTGAGCAGGCTGAACTTGATGGGTATGAGGTTGCGGTTGCGGAGGAGGGGGATGCGGTGCAACACCGGGATGCTGCTGTTGCTGAGCTTGATGGTGATGATACTGCGGATGAACCTGTGGATGCGGCTGACCTTGGGCAGGGTGATGCTGCTGCTGTTGTTGATACACTGGATGAACCTGCTGATGCCCCCCAGCAGCCATCTGCTGCGCCAATCTCTCCCGCTCCCTTTGCTGCTGTTGCAACTGCTGTTGCTGAGCCTGCTGGGCCTGGCTCTGCTTCTCCAACACATTACTCAAGTAAGGCAGATCCTCCCTCGCGCGTGGATCAGCCTCAAAGATCCGCTTAATCACCTCCCACTCCTTCCGATGCATATTATGAGCCTGCGGCAACAAGAACGCAACCGTCGGAGACGTAATCAACGGCCCCAAGACCTCACGGGCGATGGCTTCCCCTTGCCGTTGTCGCTCGTCCGGGTTCGGGGGGATGAACGGGGCGGGGGGTTTCGGAGGCTGAGGAGGCGAGGCCGCGGCCGCAGGGTGGTGTTGTTGAGGGGGATGGGAAGCAGGCGGATGCTGGACGGGGTGCCGTTGCGGGGGAGGGGTACTGGGGGAAGGGACCTTGCGGAGAAGTAGGGGAGAAGGCGGGGGCTGAGATGGACTGCTGCCGGACAGGAGGAGCCTGGAAGCCTGTTTGCATGGGCGTCGGGTTTCCTGGGGAGCCCTGAACTCCGGAATTGGGGGCCCCCGCGCCGTGTGCTTGGACTTGGGCTTGGGCCTGGGCAGCGGCTTGGTGCATCTTAATGACGTGGTTCGGGTCGGTGGTGCCGTGAATGCGCTGGATGGTTTCGGGATCATTCCTATAAACGAACACGGCGAGCATCATGGGCTCGGTCCTTTGCTCGGGGATGTAGTTGTCCGCAAGGTTGAGCATGAACTCGGGCTGCGGCGCTCCGGGCAGGACAGGCACAAGGTAGGTATCACGAACATTGGCAACTCCCTTATCCCCAATCACACCATACCGCTTCTTCGACACAAAGTAATCGATTAGCTTCTGCATACCTTCCCTGGCAGCAGGCGTCGTTGGCTCGAGGTTGACGACCACCACGTCAGTCGGCAGGCTGTACCTGAGACTGCACAGGTAGACGATGGCCTGCTGCTCGTCGATGCGGCCGCAGACCGTCAGAGTCTTGGGAATCAATTTGTTCCACGGCAACCCAATGGTCTCGCTAAGGTTGGCACCTCCAGCGTGCTTGGCTATCACCGAGACGTTGGCCAGTGTGTTCATGACGAGATTCCCGCGCCAGACGACATCCGGATCAAGTTCCTCCTTAGGGGAGTATGGCGGTGACTGGGTGCCATCATCAAGCAGGCGGTCGACATCGGGATCGACGCCTGGGCCAGCAGCTGGTGCTGTCGGTAACGGGGCCGGCACCTGAGTTTGTGGTACACTAGGGGCCTTGACGCTTGAAAAGACCTTGTTGAGGTCAAAATCTGCCCTTGTAGGAGACGTCTGTGCTGAGCTGGATCTTCGCGAAGCATCCTGGAGCATCTCGGTAGTCTCCTTCGGTTCCTGCTTAGGGGCTGTTGGCCGGCGTACCGGAGCTGATGGGATTTCTTCGCTAATCTCAGCAAACCCATCATCACTGATGAACTCTTCACCTTTATGTGTTTTCCTGATCCTTGGGAAATCATCCGTAATCTTGATCGACTGCTTCTCAGCCCTTGCTCTCATTTCAGCCGTTTCCCTCTGCAGCTCCTTAGACGCAAGCTCCTCCGTCGTCATGGATGCCAACATGGCCGGGGTTAGGTTTTTTTCCAGTAGCCGGGTAGTAAGCTCGGGATTACCCTTGAGATTGAAGGCCAGTGTACGGATTTGGCTGGCATAGGAGCTGGTCGTCGGGTGGCTGTCATGCACTGCACGCTCGATCTCAAGTGCGAAGCGCTCAGCGCGCTCCGCAATGGACATGCCATCGTTTGGAACTTGCCCATTCTTGTCAGCGATGCCGAGAGAAAAGTTAAGCGACTTGCATAGGAGTTTCGCAGGACCCTGGCGAGTGTCTGGGAGCTCCGAAATCTTGGGACTCGCTTCGCTTGCAGGAGTCGTAGATGGTGCTGATGGTGCCGACGGCGCTGGCGGGGCTGCCGGGGCTGACGAAGCTGACGGGGCTGCCGGCGGCTGCACGGGTACCGCTTGGGTCTCCGTAACCTTGCGAATCTTCTGCTGTCGATACGTCAGTCAAGAACTAATGAGACAAAACAGACACACAACTCACCTTCGCTTCCTTCTCCTGGACCCCATCTGTAGTTTTGCGCTTCTGGCCAGCGGCCTTAACCTCTTTTTTCGGCTCAGGCGGCGGCGGGGGAGATTGTTTTGCCTTTTGCAAAGCCTCTTCCTTTTGATCGCTAGCGCGCTTCTTGCCCTTCTTGGGGCCTCTCTTCCTCTTCTCAGCCTTCTCCTCCTCATATGCCTTGCGACGAGCTTCCCACGGCCGTTCGCCAGCCTGAATGCCCGCCAGCAGTTCCTTATGGTTCTCGGGCCTGCACAGCTCACAGAAGTACTCCTTAGGCAAGTCTTCCGTGTACTGGCTCATGCCCATGCAGATGTTATGTTGCCAAGCGCCGCACTGGTCGCAGGCGATCCAGGGCTCACCCGAGTCCTCATCTTGTTCAGTAGCGCCGCAGACGCAGCGGATGATCTCTTCCTCGGGCTGCTCTTCTGGCTCGGGCGCGGCCTTCTTCTTCTTACCGCCGCCGCCGCGGCGCTTCGGGGGCTCGCTGAGGAGGTCGAGCTGCTCGAGGGCCTTGTGTTGACCCTTGGTTGCTCGGACCGACCGGCGCGGTTCCGGGTCTGGCGCTGCTGTTTGATGGGAGGTTAGCGACTGTTGCTGCTGCTGATCCGCTAGCTGCTGCTTCTGTAGATGCTGCTGGTTGATGATGCGAGTGCTGCGACGAAGCGCCATCCTCGGAGTAGTTGCGCGCCAGGATGACACGACGGTCCTCTCCTCGTCTCGGCGTATCGGAAGAGGGAAAGCTTTTTTCAGGGAACAGCAACTTGCAGAGTGGGATGTGGGAGTGGAAAGAAGGAGCATGAGGGATGTTTTCGGCGAAGATGCTTACCAGACATGGTCGCGCTGCGGGATCTGGGATCTGGGATCGAAGCAATGCTCACTTCAAGCAACCCCGTCTGTGATGCGCAATCCGCAATCTGTGGCAGGATGGACAATCGACCGGCTGCCAACTGCCGTCAACAGGTGCCTCCTCTTTGTGTTCTGTAAGCGAACCTGGAACTGCGCGTGTCTCTACTGGCAACCAAGCGGGCACTTTGCAAGCGGCAACGCTGCAGATGGCTGATTGCTCAAAGCACACGCCGGTGGAAGGTTGCACGCAGCAGAACTCAGTAGAGTAGATGAAGGGAATGAGGATAGGATGTGGATGGTAGAGATCACGTTTGGCCAGATCCAGTCAGGAATTTTACGCTTGCATGGAACTAACGACGGCAATCTTCAGAGCAGACCGAGACTGTGAAACAGAGACAGAAATTATCCCCGATTCTATCGCACCAAGCACCCGTAGCACTCCGACTGCAAGCAGTTGGATCTTGACAGTTGTGCTTCCCTCTTAGAGGCGTGTCTGTGGTTTTGGGTTGTAATGATTGATATTGGTGGGTTGGGACAGACGGAGTAAGGGTTTGGATGGAAGGGGAATGCGAATTTGTGCTGTGCGTGTGCTGTTCTTGTCAACCGGAGTTGAGCAAGTGTAAGTGAAGTGCAGCGAAGCGGGAGTTGCGGCTGATGGCCCAAGCTCCAACGCGCCGAGTATGGGTGGCGCGCAGCTCCAGCTCCAAAAACAAAAGTCCGGCCTCAATGGAGCGCGTGCCGCAATTGTTAGAACAAATTGGCACTGCTTCGCAGTTGATCGTTGGCAAATGCGTGGCTTTGTCCTGGGCACGACTGAAACTCAACGCCAGTTGATCGCCGCACACATGCGACGATGGGTGCCGGGGCGCTATGGAAGTCTTTGTGTGGTTAGCCGTGCTATTTGGCCGTCTTTTTGGGACGGATTGATGGGACTGAAGGCGGGCAGTAAGAAGTCGCAGGATGCAGGAGGAGAGTTTGCGGGATGCCGGGAAAACAGGCTCAGAAACATGACGAAGGTGCTTATCTAATCATCAGGAGGGTCCACCTTTTTGGGAGGGGCTTCTGCGGGGATACTCACACAGTTCAGAATGTGTCATGATTCACACTGTACCATGACCCCACCAAACGGCAAGGCAAGCCAAGATGCCAAGCTTTGTGGCAGGTTACGCGTGTTAGCGCTTGCCTGGAGCTCCAGCCTTAGCCTGGCGGCAGAACAGGCGAGCTACGCTGTAGTGCACTGGAGTCTAGAGTCTGGAGTTGGAGGTCCTACATCAACACCAAACCAACGCCCGACCTCAGCATTGCTCACCACGGTACCGCGACCCTTGGGTGGACCCTTTCCTTGAACCCATCCAACTTCTGTTCCCGCAGCAACCTCGAGAAACGCTTCCCCGAAGGCCCAATCTACCCCGCCATCGTCATCCTCGTCTATTTCACCCTCCCCTCCTGCTCCTGCCCCAGTAACCAGTCGCCATGGCGAGAAGATACGATTCCCGCGTAAGTCGGCTCCCTGTTGGCGACGCCGACTTTGTCCTGTGTCTGTCGAGCGCGCAAAATACTGGCCTTGTCGGGGGCGAACGGAAGCTTACCCAACCGTCTAGACAACCATCTTCTCTCCCGATGGCCGTCTCTACCAGGTCGAGTATGCCCTAGAGGCCATTTCCCACGCCGGCACTGCTATTGGCATTCTGGCTAAGGATGGGATTGTCCTGGCTGCCGAGCGCAAGGTCACCTCAAAGCTGCTCGAGCAGGACACATCAGCAGAGAAGCTCTACGTGATCAATGAGTCGGTATCCCTCTCCCCAGTCATCTCTCTTTCACTTAGGCTGACGCTCTCCCCAGCAACATGATCTGCGCTGTGGCCGGCATGACAGCCGATGCCAACATCCTGATCAACTTCGCACGGCAAGTTGCCCAACGGTACCTGCTGACCTACAACGAAGACATTCCGTGTGAGCAGCTGGTGCGGCGGCTGTGCGATCTGAAGCAGGGCTACACACAACACGGTGGTCTGCGGCCCTTTGGCGTCTCTTTCATCTACGCCGGTTGGGACCCGCAGCGTGAGTTCCAGTTGTATCTGAGCAACCCCTCGGGAAACTATGGCGGGTGGAAGGCGACTAGTTCGGGCGCCAACCACGCGAGCGCCCAAAGCTTGCTCAAGCAGGACTACAAGGAGGACTGCACGCTCGAAGAGGCGTGCGACTTGGCTGTCAAAGTGCTGAGCAAAACCATGGACGCGACGAAGTTGAGCAGTGACAAGAGTGAGTACCAGACTCTCCATCGACGCCGGACGTCCGCTAACTTTGGACAGTCGAGTTTGCTACGGTGGGCAAGACCAAAGACGGCAAAATCTACCACAAGCTATGGAGCGCCGAAGAGATCACGGCGCTGTTGAAGAAGCATGACCTGGCCAAGGACGAGACGACGGAAGAGAAGTAGGATAGAGTCCTGCGTCATATTGACCGCGCGGTAATAGGACTGCTTTTAGTGCTGTCTGATGTGGACTCCTGCCAATATGCCTTACCGTTCCTGCTATGCCAATGTCCCAGGGTATTCCGATTCCAACCGTGTATCTGATCTAAAACCTGCTTACTATAGCTTATGCTATGCCTTATGAATACTGGGAGTAATAATTTTTCGGGGGGTAACAATACTTCTTACGGATCGAGCAGGGAGATTGCCTGGAAGGATCTGCGTCAGCACGCCTGAATTACGATCTTATTTCGTTCAGCTCAAAGCCTACATTTCTGTCCTCTCCCCTTCCCAAGCTCACAGCCTCCTCCTCGTCCCTAACCCGTCCATACCTCGCCGCCGCCGCCGCTTCCTCGATTGGCAGCGGCGCAGCATAGGGCTCGTTGCAGTAGGGGCTGGTAAGCCGGGGCCTGTGAAACATTAGCATCTCCAAGGTCATAATCAAAAACACGGTATACATACCAATATCTCCTGTAACTCCACCACCCGATCGCAAACCCTAATAGAGCACCCACCGAAACGTCCCACACATCATGCCGATAATCCTGCGTCCGACTGACTGCAATCAAAATCGCCCCAATCAACGGTGAGCCGCACACCATCGCCTTGATAAAATCACCTCTCACCACAACAGCTGACCTCTCCTCCCCCTTCTGTCTAAGCACAAACACCTTCGCTTGCCCACACAACCACAAACTGAGATACCCCAGTCCACAAAACGCAAAACTGCTGTGTCCACTAGGGAAGCTGCGCCACCCGTCCTGTAGGATAAAATCATCATCCTGCGTGCACACCTCAATTCCCACCAACTTGTCAGTAGGTGTCCCCTTGGCGGGGATACACCTTGCCAGTAAATCCGGCCTGGGCCTGCCTACAGCATTCTTAATCACCTCCGTGACGAAGGGCGTCAAGATCATGGCGAGCAGGAAGGGCATCAAGCTAAGGTGGTGGTTGCGGGCGGGGGCGCGGCGGAGGAGGTTGACGATGGTCATGACGATCATGGGCGTGGCGAGGGAGTAGAGGAGGGCTTGGCCGAGGGGGACACGTTCATGTTCGGCGTGCGGGAAGGAGATGCGTGTGTCGTGGAGGGTGAAAAGGCGGTGGAAGGGGCGGGCTGTGAAGACGAGCTGAAGGTCGCAGGTTAGTTGGATGTTGTTCTGAAGGTGTATAAGTTCAGTCGTCGGATAGATCGGGTGAGAACCTACATAGGTATATCCCAAAAACAAAGAGATAAATCCAATATAATCAGACGCATAGCTCCTCTGTAATATCATGTCAGCCCCATCCGGTTCTTGCAAGTCATTTCCTTGAGTTTGGAACCTGCCCTCCAGAACCGCCCAATAGCCCCCATTACCTCTCCATTCCCACCTCTTGTTGACGCCATCTCTCCCTACTCAGAGAAAAAAAAAATCGGAGCAACGGCAAGTTAAAAAGACGGCGAGCAAAAGTCACAAATCCAATGCCCAAAATTCCGTAGGGACGAATCATTGGAGGAAGCAAACGATGTTAGGAAATCCCAAGAGATGCTGCGGAAGAAAGTAGGGGAACTGCTAAGGTTTAGGCAGACCATCCAACACAGGGCGGCCCAACAACTTGAGGCGAGAGCAAGGCTGGAGAAAATGAACTTGTCAGGCTGGTTTCAAGGGTCCGCCTGACCCTGGGGAAAGGCCCTGCTGCCCCTGCCGGGTTGTTGGGATCACCCCGCGATAAGACTTGGCTTCGGGAACGGTGGGCTTGGCGGCTGGGGCTAGGTGTTCGTCTCCACCCACTCGTAGCCTTCGAACATCAAGCTCACATCACAACGACGGCACAATGGATTGTGGGAAGCGATCATGATAAAGCCAAAAAAGCAGGGAATATTTATTCATTCGTCCCTTTATCATGATAACATACTTATCAAGTATGCGGCTTCCATACCCGTCACTTTGCACTTGGGTAAGTCCCCCAATAACTTCATGCACGATGCACTAAACACCATTACCCTCGCCCTCGTCACCAACCCACATGCTCGCTCGTAAAGAAATGCCCATCTCATTCATTGTTTAGGTATCAATAATCCACAGCCAACCACTCACTCAGTGAATCAACTCAATCAAGCCAAATCAACCCAGTCAGTCAGTCATAGCAAACACACGTCAGGAGTAAAAAAATGTACGTTGATACAGCCGCCTGCTCTGCTCTGCATTGCTATGCCATTCCCGCCAGACTTGATGACCGTGAAACCTTGGGAAATAAAAGGCCAACCAACCAGATAATACTTCGTACGTGTAAAAAGAACCCGCCATTGCAAGTACAATCCCATCCATTACTTCCTTGTCCATCCATCATGTCAACGAACCAACCATCCATCCGTTTCACACGCATGATGCCATGCCCTATAGTGATAACCGCAATCACGGCCATACCGTACAACAAAGTAAGAAAATCTGGAAGCAGCCATCTCCCAAGCGCCCAGCGTGCTGATGACTCTGTGTACACACTCGATTGAGGAAAGCATATACTTGGGCCCGTCGAACAACAGACCAAATTGCTCCCGGAACCCAATACTGCTGAGGGCGAAGGATGTAAAGCCCGAAATGATGCTGTATTCGTACTCTGATCTTGTTTACTTGACGTGAAGAGACAACGATTATCTCTCAAAGATGTGGGGATGCTGACTCAGGATTCCTCTTCAACCAAACGCTGGACTTCGTCCTGGTTGAGCAGGATGCGATGTCCAAGCTCGTCAGGCTTGTAGCCATCGCGGGCTGCGCCAAAGTCGAGGATCTGCAAAGACTTCGTTAGCAAATCGTTCGTCAAACAAAACTCATTGGATGACATACCTCAAGATAAGTAAGGTTCCCCCTCTGAACAGCCGCCACACACCGGCGCCAGTCAAACTTAACCTGCCAGACGCTGTTGAGATCGGTAAGAAGATCCTGGACGCAGTCGCCTGTCTCGATATCCCACAGCTTGACCGTTTTCTCGCTGCCGGAAATGACCTTGCTTCCGTCATGCTGGAAACATGTGATGGCGCCGGTATGGGCGTCGAGGACCTTCTTACACTTGCCCGTCTCGGGATCCCAAATCCGCAGGCTACTATCCGCGGCGGCCGAGACGAGCCTGCCCTCGCGAAGATCCAGAAGGCCCACCAACATAGAGTGGCCTTCAAGGTTGTAGAGCATCTCGCCCTTGTTGAGATCCCAGATCTTGACGGTCGAATCCATGGAGCCGGAAATGCACCGGTTGCGTCTGTGATCCAAGACAACCGAATACACCTTCTGGTTGTGACCCACAAGTGTGTGCAGCAGCTCGCCTGTGCTGATACGCCAGACGCGGACTGTGGTGTCATAGCTGCCTGACACGAGGGTGTCTCCATGAGCGGCGATAGCGCGAACGGAGTGGTTGTGTCCGGACAGGATCCGGATAAAGTACGGGCACTGCTCGTCATTAGGGGGCGGCCCGGTCTGGATATAGCGCCGCGAGCCCGGCTCGGGTAGGCGCCAAATGCGCAGTTGGCTGTCGCGAGAACCCGTGATGATCAGCGGCTTTGGCGGCATCATGATGGGCTTACCATCAGCGTCAACCTTGCCGGTATCAGAGGGCATGAGGATCTGAAGACAGCGCACAGTACTAGTGTGGCCGTAGAAAGTGTGCGTGCATTGGCCCTTCTGGATGTCCCACACACGAACTGACCGGTCCGTGCCTGCAGACACCAGAGTGTTGCCCTCATACTGCAGCGCCCACACACCGCCCTCGTGACCCTCGAGCCGTTTCCGTAGCTGGCCTGTCTTAGTGTCGTAGACATGAATGAGCGTGTCGTCACTGCCTGTAATAATCTTGTCGTCGTCAAACTGGAGACAGGTAATGACATGGCGAGGATGAGCAGCAAGAGCGATATGCCTGGGCTTGGCGTCTCCGCTCATCCAGCTTCTGCGAATGAGGTAGTGGCGACGATAGAGTGACTTGAACAAGTGAAGCTGCCGTAAGCTCGGAAGACCAATGCCGGGATCAGGGACAGCAAGCGCGGCGGCATTAGCAGCCGAAATAGGGCCTTCAAACTTGAGCATCTTGGCAGTCTGCGAGTTCTTGCCGTCAACTTTCCCGTCGACACCAGCGCGACGCTTGGCCGCCCGCTCGTTAAGACTGGTGAGGGCACGCTTTCGCTTAGCTGCCCTAGTCTTGGGAGCCGGCTCAATCTTCTCGCTCTTAACAACGGATTGCATGAGCTCCGACTCGCTAGCCGTCATCCGGTCGGGCTTGGTCAGATCCCTCTCGTATTCATAAGGCCCATAAGGATCCTGCCAACCCCAGCCTTCCTTAATGGCCCGCTCAAGTTCCCCCGGAGCGAGGACAAACCCATCGCGGTCAAAAAGCTCTTTCCAACCCCTTTCGTTGCCGTCCACAATTCTACGCCAATGTTTCGACACCTGTGCAGCGCGGCACAGGTCGCGATGATCGAGATAGGAGAGAACGTGCCAGCTGAGCTCAAGCGGGAGCTGCTTGAGGAAATCCGTTTTCAAAGCTGGGTTGACCACGTCAGCGACGACATGAAGAGTATTCCTCGAGCAACGCCGGAGAAACTGAAACATCATCCATGTTTTCAGCTTATCTGGCATAGCATCGAAGGTATTAAGCATGGTTGCGGGATCCACGTAACGGGGACGGCCAGATCGTGATCGCGATATCGAATTTTCGTAGTGGACGGGAGAAAGATCCATAGGCCCTGCACCGTCGTGACTATCTTCGGTGATCTGAGTCTCATCTGCCCAGTTTTGCCGAGAACGCACTAGTTGAGTCGAAAAGGATGTCTCGTAGTCGTCGGCATCGTCATCGGCGTGGCTTTGCAATTGAGCGGCTGCTAACGTAGGTGAAAGTCGCGGACTTGGCAAACTGACATCCTGTGCTGCTACCGCGTTAATGCTTCGCCTAGAAGCTGGGCTGCGACCAATGCTCAGCGGGTCATCGGTCGCTTCGAACGGCCGAAGATCGGTATCTGTAATGGGTGGAGTGGCAACATTGCTGAATGCTGCTTGGGAGTCATCCCCAGTCGGACTTGCTGCGTCATAAACGGCTGTAGATTGGCTAACACCCGTATCAAAACTGTCCGTAGGAAAGGGACGCATATTCGTGGATCGGCTAATGGCTAATTCGGAGTTATCTGGAGTTGTAAAAAGTCCAGAGGGCCTGCGTATGGCCTTTTCGGCCTCTCGACGAGACCCACGCGTAGCAGCACGACGGAGCTTGTCTGGCTGGGCATACGCGATGAGTGCGGGCTTAGCGGCAGCAAGGCGCGAACTCCTAGTAAGCATGGGGGTGTGGATAGGCGAAACTGCCCGGATTATTGATCTGCGCGACCTACGCGGCTGTAGGAGCTCTGGAGGAGGGACGGGAGTTTGCGAGGCAGCCGCCATGGGGCTCTCTATACCGGGCTCGACTTTTATGTCACGAACGTAGTCGGTACTCTGTGACCGCCGAGCCTGAAGTTGGGCCGTCGTGTGAGCAGGAGAGTGCACAAAACCAATGATGCCACCCGCAGTGCTCACCTGAGAATCCAGAATGTCGTCCTCTTCTTCGTCTTCATCCCAGCCCACTGTCTGAAAATCGTCGATCTCGAACGTCAATCGTTGCAGTTCGGGCGGGGTGGGCTTCGAGGCAAGGGGATACTCTTTGGAATCGAGCGAGCGGACGTCGCGAGGTTCGCGGAGAAAAATAGGCGGGTAGGACCGCTTTGTTGTGGTTGTGGTAGTGACTGTTTTTGTCTCGATGCACTCGTCGGCAAACTGCATCATGCGATGTGTGACGGTGGCCTCGTCTTCTTCGATGGTCATCGAGACCTTATGACTTGACCGTGACCGGCGGGCCTCCATGTTTATTTTGGCGAGGAAGGGGTATAAGGCCGAGTCGCGGGAGCTGAGGGGGTTGTGGAGAGTGTAGTGGGTGGTTGGGAAGGCTGAGGCTGCCGAGAAGGGGAAAATTAGAGGCTTGTACTCCGAATATGTTGCAGCCAAGGCCTGTTCAACGTCGGTCAAACTGACTGCTGGCGTCGCTAGGGCCGAGAAAAAAAATGAGTTAGGGCTGTTCTGGGTCGGTTCAACGCGTCCCAGACACGGAGCGGCCGACCGTCTTCCAGAGCGTGTCACACCCAAAAGGAGTCCTCCGCCAGTTACCGCGCGTCCAGCAAGTCAAGGCCGGTGTATCATGGTACGTATCCCCCCACTGCACGTCACGATAAAAAACAGCGATGGGTGATGTGGCCGATCAGGGGCAGACGTCGAAAGTCTCAAATTCACGGAAGATGAGGCCAGTGGGGTCGCTGAGTGCACGCTTTTGCCCTGGGGCGTCGGTCGGAAGCAGGACTCTGGGGACAGCGGCAGTGATCTGGGAGGCGATCCGGGTTTCTAAAAGTCGGTTTCAGGCTGGCCCATCCACGAGTCGAGAGAAGGGATGGCGTACAAGAGATTGATAGATAAGATGCAAGAATAGTGGGCAAGAAGTGGCTGGAAAGGGCCAGGTCTGTCCGGCGTTGTAGGTGAGGGATGGAGATAGAGATGGTGAGAGCGGATGGCTCCTGCCCTTTCGCTGAAGTGAGGTGACGGTTGTGAACCAGGAGTCAACCGAGAGGCAGGACGCAGGAAGCAGCGCAGGAGGACGCAGGAAGGCCATGGCCCACAGATCCACTGCTTCCCTCAGGGCGGCCCACTCAGGCCAAGACCTAACTTGGCAGCCGCCAACTCGCTGCGATTCGCGAAGCCCGTGCCCACCGCGCCTACCGTGCCACCGTCATCCCGTGCTTCCAAGTCGCCTTTTCGGACAGAAAAAATTCAGCTGCAGGCGGCGTGACATAGCACGTCGGCCACAACGGCCATTCACTCGAGTCTATCCATGTATTGACGGATTTAATTGGCATTTTGACTGAACGGTCCTCCCGAGGCTCTTTTGTGGTTGCCCATCGAGGACCCATTCGCTAGAAGCAAAAGTTTGCTTGGCCACGTCTTTGTCAGGGAAATTGCCTTTCCCGTCCGCCGTACCCCGTTGCTCCACGTCGCGCCGCGACCCCTGAGTGGGGGCGCACCAGCCACCTGGAGCCTGCACAGCCCACATCAACCCAACGCTTGGAACCTCAAACCCCATGGTAGAGCGGGAAACATCTGCACAGTCACTTTTCAAGGGCCTTTCCTACGTACACAAAGACATCCCTAACAGTTTTTCGCCAATATCTCTCTGTCCTTCAATTTTTTCATGACGTCTACGTTTGCTTTTAGTTCAAGGTTCGGGTGGGGTCACAGCACGCCAAGCCACGCGGAGGCGGGGCCACGGATCTCCCAACCAGCCTTGTGGATCTCGAGATTGCGCTGGTTACATCCGCCGATGAAGTGTTCTCTTGGGAAAAGGCATGATCGCGATCGGAAGGCGCAAACGTAAACAGGGGTTTGCACGGCCGAGTGTGACGGTTTGCGAGCTGTCGAGATCCGATCGACGATCTGATGACGGAGACCGAGGCATCTGCCGTTCTGTAGGTAACCCAGGGCTTGTGGGGTCATGGCTCGGGAACACCGTAGGGTCCTGACTCGTCCGGGTCTCTTGTACTCCGATCTCCATGATGTCGGTTTCTACGGTGGCTAGCCCATATTGACGACTTCGTACTGGTGATCAAGGTTGCCGTTTGATCCAATGCTTAGCTGCTGAAGCACTTGTTTCGAGTTCTTCCAGATCGTCCCGAGCAGCCCTTGGCCAAGCCCTGATCAAACCCAGTCTGCTCAAAGCATGCGTCGCTTAGGCCAAAACTAAGGACGAAATCACCATCTGCCAAGTAAGATGGTGTTTTCCCACCATTGAATCTCAGTAAAGTGGCGCATGCGAAAGTCGATCACAACTGTAGGTGGGAGCAACGATGACTGCTCCTGCTTTCGTCTTCTCTCGCGCCGGCTGTTTGCTCCTTCCCGGACAGATGTCAAATCTGCAGGCAGCCGTTTCACTGGGGGACATTGGCTTCAGGCTGTCAATTGAGATGCGACGCGAGAGGTGATGAATAGAATCTGCTGGGAGACAGCTATAGTTCTTTAATACACATTTTACATCGTCGAGAGCTTTTATGCACGACTTCTAGGCAGTCTCTCTTGGGGAATCGAATGCTCTTCAAACTTTCAGTCATGGATATCCAACCAGAAAACGGCTGGTTCACCACAGCGGTTAGACCACAGCGAGATTTTGAGCTCCGCAAAGTTCTGTTTGGCGCTACTGTAAGGCAAACTGGCACCAGGAGATGGCTGGCAAATTGACTGACATACGAATAAGATCAGCCAAATATTATATGCCAGGTATATTACTTCCGCCCGAAGAGGCCTCTGCTTTCTTGTCTGCTATACTCTAATGATGGCCTGCAAATCTAGACACTCCTTTCCGCCTCACTGTTTCCAGGTCATCCCGATCGACAACTTCACTTCTCGTTCTTTTACAGACATGGTTACCGGGGGTTCGCCTCTTCAGGTTTATGAGAAAGAGCTCCTACGAGACGAAGGCTTTTCGGTGTTTCTACGGCATGGCGCCGACTACGGAGTTAGCCGTTTCTTGGGAATTTTGGTAAGAAAAACCTTGAAGCTTGAGTACCTGGCTAACATTGATTCCGAAAGATCGACGACATTTTTCCCCTTCTAGAGAGTGAGCAGCTTGTCAGCTTCCGTATCATATATCTTAAAGAAAAAACATGGGTACAGGACAGCCTTTCTGAACATTACACAATCAATTTGAAGTATGAGTCCGATGGAAGGTGTGTGATCGATGTCTGGAGGGCTGGGATTGGAAAGATCTCCACCTCAACAGGTAATTCTGAACTGTGGATTCTGGGAGATTATCTGAGTCGTCTTCCATCGTGGAAGGGTAAGCCGCCTGCAATCTCATTATTATCCGTGATGGAGTGCTAAATAATACAGACAACAAGAGCTGGACATTAGCTTTCCACGTCAAAGAACGTCCAGATGATCCTTTGATAGGAGTCTGGAAGTTTGGTCAAACAGAGTTCAATGATGCCAACTTGATACTTCAGCAACAAAGCGAGTATACGTATGACAGAATTATCAAGTTCGAGTGAGCCAAACTCTCTCGCACGTTAAATCATTGGGCTAACTTCATCAGCATCATACCACCGTCTTTTGCCATTCCGGAGCGCCCAGCCATTCAGGAGCATGTGATTTCCAAACTTCCCGACCCGGTGGACGAGACGGTCCTTCAACCAGAAGGTGAATTACAGCATCACATGGCAGCTGATTCAATTCCAATCCCACAGCCACAAGCAATGCAGCAATCAGAGGCAGACATCGAGCTCAGGCCTTTGTTTGGGTGTGAGAATGAGCCTAATTTTGCAAATGCATCCATGCCTGAATCCGAATGTGAAGTTCCAGCTGAGCCTGATCCACACCCTGAAGTTGAACACCCTCTTAAACATGAATGTGAACTTCAGCAGCAGCTTCAACCAAAGCGCCAAAAACGAAAGCCGTCCAAACGTACAGCCGAAATTTACAAAAAAAGAGCAAAGCGCAACCAATCATCAAAGCTAGCTCAAAAGACTCAACGCTCCCAATCCCTCAGATCAGCCAAGCAGCCAGCCAGTATGCAGAGAACTTCTGCAGAGCCGGCTGCACCAAAGAAACAAACACAAAACAGGGGTTCAAGAATTGGAGCTCCCAAACGGAAGCCGAAGAAACCTGTGGTGCGTTTACGTTTTAAGCGATCCTTACCACTGCCGAATCCAGTAACTGATAGATTACAGCAACTAGATGACATGCTGTCCAGTTTGCCAGCAACACAAGTTATTGGGGACAGTCAATCTCTTGGTCTGTTAACTCAAACGCTTAGCCAAAATCAATCACAACCCATGCTGAAAAAGCCCCGTAAGAGGCTCACTAATACCATCTGTTCTCCAACCCCTGAGACCTTTCCCCTGCTGGACGGCGTACAGTTGTCTCCCGAAGGCATGATCCTCGAAGAACGGAACATTCTCCCTCAATCACAGCTCGAATCCCAGGAAAGCATGTTCGGCCAAATTCAAGATGATGTGTCAGAGATGTGTCTCAACCCTCGTTGCATTCCTGCGTCACAGCTTTTCCGTCCGGATAGTCTGCTGGAGTCGCAGGCTCGTCAGCAAGACAATCTGATCGGTATTGCGCTGAGTGACGATGATGAAAGGATCATTGAAACCACATCTGAGGCAGAGGAGGAAGAAAATTCGGTAACTGAGGCGCACAAGGAGTTTCGGTTCTCGCCGCAGACTGTCGAGCGAAGAAAGATGATGTTTTATGAGATTCCGAGCAGTGAAGATTAGGTGGTAAATGATACAAAACGGTTTCCTGGAGGATGCATGATACATGGTTTGCAATTTATTTGCTGGGCCGACGGATATATGGCTGATCATGATGAGTTCTAGTGAGATAGAATTACTTTTGGCCAACAACAGGGCTTCTTGCTAGGTCGTTGCCTATCAGATAACGATTAATGATGCTATAAACTTTTTGGGAGAGGTCATCATCGTGCGCTCATTGTTGCATGTGTGTCGAGAGGATGGTGGCATACCGTCTGAACTGTCGGCTCACCCCGAAGGTTGCTGGGACAATGGTGAGATGCCTTGATGACTCATCTCAACGATAAAGTCTCCGAAGGCGTGACACATTTTTGTTTTTAAATGCCTTAACAGAAGTATGTATGTCTGAAGTATGTTGCCTGATCTACGAAAATTATGAGTATGGGCTTGGGTATGGACTCTGTCTTGTAGCTACTGTTTATTTACTTACCCCTGCCAAGATCGCCTCTTGGCATTTGTCTTGTGCTCTCTTCATCAGGTTTGAGGGCCTGCCGAGTTACTTGCAACATCACCCGGATGGATAGACTGCTACTGATATGTTACTTAAGATGAGCCGAAATTGGCCAAGGTATATCGAGGACTTCCTCTTTGATATTCAAAATGATGGATCAAGGAACACAAGGGCAAAGAGAAACAGAAGGGGTCACGTCACCACTCGGGCATCAACGAAAGAGTGAGCGAAGATGGGTGGTGCTTCCAACGGATAAAGGAAGAGTGGAAAGGACATCAGCGTTCATACTAGTATTGCAGGAGATGATAGCAAGGCGGTGATGCTATTATTGGACTCAATGAGGTTCTAAAGGACTGAGAGATTTTTGGGCAAAGTTCGATCGCAAAGGCCTTGTTTAAGATTTGGACAGTCAGATCGGTGAAATATCCTTCCATAATATTATTGCGGTGTTATTCTTAGCATGGATGCCATTTCACCTGAAAACCAAGTCCCTGAGTTATGAAGCGAAATCATGAGGCCAACATGCTTGGAGCCAAAAACATCGAGAGGTACAGACTGCAGTTCATACGCTTCCTCATTGCATGCCGTTCTATTCTTCCCATCGGTAGACTCGTCCAACTCGTTTGTCATAACTATTTTGATATCCCAATATTCGTGGAACGATATGGATGCATCCAAAAGACGAAGATCCCAAACCGGACCTTAAGGCCAAAAAGCAAAACAAAACCGCAGAAATAAAATGTGTGACATGCAAACGCCATATCGGAGCGAAAATAAGAAAACACGAAACGAAAACCAAGAGGCTAATGCAAAACGTGTGTCGTGGATGGGATGATGTCAGATCCCTCTGACCAACGGAGGGGGGAGATATAAATAACCACTCCCACCCTGCCAACAGGATTCATTTCCCATTTTCATCCTGTGTGATGCCCTAAACCCTGGGTTAAGCATCTTCCAAGATGGCAATTCCTTGAATGCAAGACTCCAAGGTCCACACCTCACCCATAGAACCAATAGTAAGTCGTATACGGCACACTCTGCGCACCAGCTCCGGCAACCTCGCACTTTTGTGCTACCCCTCCGGCCGTAATAACCCGGTAGACTTTGCTCACACCTTGTGACAAGCCCTTGCCGTTATCCCCCAGCTCCAGCCACGAGACCGCCCCAGTACCGAGGATTCCCTTGTCCGCATTCCTCGGGGCATCAACAGCGCCGGTCTTGGCGACGCTAGCCTTGAGGTTGGCTATCTTCAGGTCGAATGTCGGTGTGGACTGGGCATCGAAGAAGTGATGGCCTAGAAATTTGATCTCTGGGAGACTGTGGAGACGCAGAGAAGAGGGCTCCGGGAACGGATTAGCTGGGTCGGCACCGAAGTGCACTGTTGGCAGAGGGTTCAGAGGGAGAGGGTTTGTCCACAGCAGAGTGGATGGGAGCTTATTCCAGACGATGGGGGAAAGGGTGTTACGACCAGTGGCGGAGGGATGGAGAGATGTGACGTCGTAGAGGACTGCCAAGGCGCCGGTCGCTTTGGCTTCGCCGGTTGTCGACTCGCAGGTGTAGTTTTGGATGCCGTGGCCAAGGGCGATCTTTTTTAGTGTTAGTGTCGGGGGCGGCGGAGGGAGTTCTGTGCCTGATAGATGTTAGCTGTTGAAGACCAGATAGTCGTAGTGCCGGTGAGACTTACCACCACCAACTTTAGGAAGTGTAAGAGTTGCGGGTGGTCTGCAGCTTGGAGCAGCAAAGCCTGCAACCGCAAATGAAGCAAAGAGCTTCCACACGGAAACCATTGTGATGTATGAAAACAGTACTTCAAGAAAAAAACCAGAAGGCGTATCCGATGTAAGTTAGACTGCTTCCAGAGCAGTTTTCTTCTAAACTACGTGACTTGAAGAGATATGTAGAAGTGGATGGAAGCAAATGAACTCAACCCAAAGAAAGGAAAATGTTAAGAGTTGTGGTGACCAAGCCTGCCGATGGACTGAGAAGTTGAAGATGGGAAGACTCCAGGCCTTATATCTCCTTGCACCACAATAAAAATGGCTTGGAGTAGTGAGCAGGGCTGTGGTCTGGGAATCCGTAAGAGGATAGCTCCTACAGCTCTGCCAATGCCACTCCGAGATCAGAAGTCAGAACTAAACTCCGAAGATGTGGGATGAATAAGGGTTAGTAGAAAGGGAATGTGCAAACGGAGCGAGGAAGCAAACGGGGACATATACTGGATCTTAAAGAACGGACTGTGGGAGTACACTTGTACATGCACGAAAAGCGAATCCACAAACCTGCAGTGGCCCGGGTTCGTCTGTCCTTGTGATGCGAGCGCTCAGGAAGTACAGGCCTCACTCAAGGAAGGCTTCGTAATCTGGAAGGACGGAGACAAGGAGACAAACGGGACCCGTCGGCGCGGCGAGCGAGCAAAACGGCGCTTCCGTCAGCGAATCTCTGGAAGCTCTGTGGGGAAAGACGACGGCGGCCAGACAGGGGGACGGGAAGATGCAGGCGCTAAGGCGGCACGGCCGTACGTACCCAGCATGCCACGTCTCGAAAGCTGCACGATGCCCCCAGAACGTTCCATCGCCTGCGAAGCATCGCATATGCGAAGGTCAGTTCGAGATGAAGGGTTTGCGCAGACAAGTGCGGGATCTCTGCGTTCCTTGTGACAGTCTGTTGTGCTAGTTGATAACATCGCCGACTCCAAGGACCTTTGCTTTAGGCGCTGGATGTGGGTAGCGCAAACCCCTTCGGTCCGCGGTCCGGGGCTAGCCCTGTCCAACGTCTTTCTGGCCGGGACGGGCTGGTGCACGTCTTACATGACTCCGCCGCTTTTCATGTGGGCTACTAATATTATGCTGATGTAAAATTGGCGAATTGAAGATGAATTTTGGCAACGCGCTATCACGATTTCTAAACAGTTCTTCCAAGCCCCCGCTCCCGGACGCAACACAGTAACCGCCTGGCCTTGACGATAGGCCGCCTGACCTGGGCTGTAAAATGAGGGTTCGCCCAGCGCTAGAGAACAGAACAGATTGCTGGTTTCTGGGTTTGGTCCGCAGCCACGGCGTGGGATCCCGAGAACGCCACACAGAGAAGAACCAGGCAACGAGGCTTCAGCTGTGACTGTAGTAGAATGATGAAAGCAACAGTCTTTCTCCCAACAGCCTTCTGAATTAACATCGAGCTGTGCGCTCCTCAATAGTTCGGTGCGCGGGAATGAAAGCACCAAACACGCGAGCGTTGCAACTGTTGTGGACTCCACAAAGTATAGGGCGGCTAACAGATCTGGCTTGGCTTCTTGGCTGGTGAGCTGTTAAACTCAACAGATCAAAGAAGCTTGTTCTTGTTTTGGCATAGTCTGTGCGTTATCGCGCTTGTTGCGGCCAAACCTTAAAATTTTTTTGTATGTCCGTCGCTTTGGCTCGGTTACAACGTCCGATCTTGATGCTTTGAGATCTTCGCCGTGGATACCTTTCTCGTAGTCGTCTCGCTGGGCTCTGCATGTACAATTGGAGCACTTCAGCGTACATTGAGATTTCTTGTCAGCCCGCTTTGTGGCCTGTGATTTATAGGACATCGGTGACAGGGGCGTCCGCACCACCTGTCCGCTGCAACGAACGTTCCTGACTTGCTTCATCCGACCTCCACCTCTCTTCACCACGAGCCCGACAGCATTCCATGCATACTTGCTCGTTGACGCTATAGATTCTTGGATCTGGAAGCAGTAAAGGAAAGTTCATGAGCGACCGGATAGCTCCGTCCTCCATGGCATGGAGTCATGTCCGTGTTTCATGGAAATGGCTTGATTCTCCCCAACACCTTCTATCCTTCCTTTCGCCTGTAGGTGTAAGGGAACAGTTGTGACCTTCTAGATTTGGGATGATGACAAAAACAAGCAAGGATCTACATCACTATGCTAACAATTACCGATGTTGAAACCGATCACGCTCCAATTTAGCCTTAAGATCAATGAAAGGCAGTACACAATCTTTTAGAACAGCAGCTGAGGATTTCAAGATGGTGATCCTAAATGCGAGCATATATGTGTCTTCCGCAAGTGGCAAGACAACGCAGACTCGAGTGGCTAGTCTTCCATTGTCCCGAGACTTCGGGAAACTGGAAGCATTGGTAGCTTTCCCGACTCCCCATCGCAGATCCAAACACAAGTTTCTCGAAACCTTTTCAAAACCGAAAATATCCGTTTCAAGACCGCTTGTAAGGAAGCCTATCCGCACAGACACGGTGTTTCGAAACATCACCATTAAGCAGCCTTGCATTCAGCTTTCTTTCCTGTGCCGGTCGGATATGACTTTTTGACTCCAGCTCTTACATTCGGACCGGTTCGCAATCTCCGCGGTCCAGCGTGGGGTACACTGCCGGCCCCGGGTAAGGCTCTGGAACATGTATGCACTGACATCATCTGCGATTTCGATCGCCCGCAAGTGTTCGTTTCGAGGTCTTTTTACCCGGGTTTGGGTGTAGTGCTGCTAACGTGCGTTTACTGGGATAAATTGGGTTCTTCAGATCTTTCTCTTGGCCTTGTCGGCAGAGGAATGAGGCTTGAATAGTATACATGCTGCCTTGAAATTTCTTTACGTTAGTCTGACTATGCTCCATGCTTCATGGCATTTTGAACGCTTCCAATTTCCTAACGAAGTGCTTTCGGCTCCGTTAAGCAGGATGTCGCCTAGGAGAGGAATCTCCAAGCTTTCTTTCTCTGAAAAAAATGCGAATAACGCCCACATCCAGGACCAGTCACCTCACCCACGTGGTCATCAACATCCCGGCAACTTGCATCATGATGTCACCCTGAATATCATAACACAAACATCGATGATCGAACGTTTATGCGAGCAATCGGTGTTTGCACCGCCACTGCTTTCCTAAATATCCTTTGCTGGGGTCTGGCGTAAGATGAGCCAATCGTAGAGGCGGCAGCGCAACACTCGGCGCTTAATTGATGGGCTCTGGGCAGTCTGACCACCACCATCGCCAATTACACGCAGCAACTTGCATTTGGGACCAGTGCGATGGGTGTGGCGATCAGCTCTAGGCTTTTGGCATTGAACCGATGGGATTCTTTGTTGCCTGTTTGATAGTTAAGAACCAAGCCGCGTGGATGTTGGCCGACTGTAGCAACCGGGATACTTTCCGCTGTGGGGCTCTTAAACGCTAGAGACGCGATAGCCGCGCTTTGGCGACGGGCTGTCAGCGTGAAGGGCGTTCAATAACATGATCCTTCTTCACGAGGCCAACGAGACTGCTTGCTTGCTGACAACGAAACCAACAGATATTTGGGTAATGAGGCCGAGCGCGGTTGAGGTGCCAGGCGTGTTTTGCTAGCGGTGCCGATTGCGACTGGTGGAGTGGTGTTCATTCTTCCGCTTCGAAGAGTTATCTCTATCCCAATCATGCGCCAATGATATCTCACGCTGTGAATGATAGGTCTTCTGGCCAAAGATTTCATAGCCACGTACATCGAGAGATGAGGAGGAGGGAGCTGTCACAGCGCTGGCATAGAGCCTTCTGTGCTCGCATGAGGCTTGCATTTCTGCAAGGATCTTACACACTTTCACTTGCTCTTGCGGCGCGACAGTTTCCCGAAACCACTTCCTCCAGTGCCCCCTCTCCTCCTTTAACAACCCACTTGCTGGCCGCCTAGGCCCTAGAGCTTTTTGCACTCATACCAGCTACTTGAAAAATAGAAAATCCCAACTCGGACTTTCCGGCTCAACCAGGGACCATCAGACAGGACAAACCATCCCCATTCTAACGTCCTCCCCGCTCTCTCTCACGCATAACTCTACAATCTCGAACGATGCGCACCCCTGATGACGAAGAATGAAAATAAGAAACCTCTGTATGGACATCTACATACCTTACTCTCTCCCTCCTAGCCCATCTTTTTTTTCCCCTACATCTCTTCCCTTCTCTAACACCACCCCTTTTATCTCACGGATATACTCCGGTTATCCTTCTTGCGTTTTCCTCGCGTGTACACAGGTTAAACTAGTCAGTGCATATTTACCTTTTGGCCGCTGGTGTCGTGGGCACGACTGAGCACCGTTATGGGTGATACGAGTCGAAAATGCATTTCAACTCAATTCGATTCTTTCACTTTTCTTGAACCCGTACAGGTCCATACCATCGTGCCACTTGAGCGCGATATCCTGCCCATCAGTCATTACATCAAAGTCAATCAATATCACCTCAGGGAATATTGAACACGCCGGTAACTTTAACCCAATAACAATTGTTGGATGCAAAAAAAGATGGTGATGTGGATGGGAGTATTGGGCGTTGCCCTGCAGGACACGCGGCCCTGAGGGAATCTGTCAAGCACTATGAATGCCGCAGAATAACAACACTCTGCCTTCTAAACTACACACGCGTGAGGGCGAATGAGCATGGTTCTTATATAAGGTCAAGTGTGCACCTGACCTCAGTGGAGCACAGGCTGACCCAAGCTGGTCAGCGGTGACCACACCGTGGTCACTTGCAGCTAACAACAATGTACCTGGTGATGACTAGGTTTTATTGATACCATCAAGTTAGTTTTCTTAATCTTTAACTCAGTCGTGTTGGATGAAACCAACCTTATCTTGCCAAACCTCTTCTGCACTACGTCTAAGCGAATCGTGAATGAAAAGCAAGCATGAGGCTCATCAATGCAACATAGTTCAGCTCGAAGAATGTATTGACCTTGATGTCCTCATGCCATTTTGTCACACACATGGGGCAATCAAGAGATTCTCTTCACCGATATGTCCAATCTCTCCCAAGCCAGGAGAAATTAGATTGGGCTAAGCTTGAAAAAAGCTGTAATCTTGTGAGACAGCAAGATTTTCACCACATCTGAATTGATGCAGCATGCATCAACAAAGTCAAGCAGTGCTGAGTTATCGGAGGCCACTAATTTGATGTACCGTTGATGCGCCGAGTCAGGGTGGTGCTATGTCTATCTTGTTGATGTGGATTATGATAAGGGCTTCGGGACCAGCCGTTAGTTTACGTTTGGGTGGAAGTTGTAGGAGCTTATTGCTCCCAAACAAGTTGGTTTCTATACAGAAAGCTGGCGATACCTAGGTGGAAAAACAGACAGTGCTCTGATTCCACTGATATCTGAAGCCAGCCTAGTCGATAAGTGCGTTCTTTCCGGAGAGGTACCATTGAGCCAAATCAGTGCTCCAAACATGAATTGGGTGTCAGCACATCAAACAAGGAAGACCAGGCTTATTGTTTGCTCGGTCTCTTTGACGTTGATATGCTGTCACACGGACACGGCAGTCCAAGGAAAAGGGGTGTCCACTGTTACCTATGCCCTTGTTATATGGCGAGGGCGGTAAAGCCTTCCTTAGACTTCAATGGGAGATTATCAATTCTACGCATGATCCATCCAATCTGGCATGGTACTGCGCTGGCCCGGATGATATATACGCACGATGGCCTTGGACGGCAGAGAGATTTTTCGACTGTTCCTGCACCATCTCCATTACTTCAAACCTCTGGAGATATCTGACCAGCGACCTCCCTCTTTTGTGTCTTGATAGCGAGAGACTAAGGAGCATAGAGCGTAATGGTAACTCTGTGGAGTTTTTGGGTATTCCAAGCAAACAGCGCAGTATGGAAAGTCAACACCGTTCACGGTTCAAGATGACGATAATTACAAAATCGTTTTGCTATGTCAGTTTGGGCTCCAACCTGGAAGACTTCCGATAGTTACACTTGTTAGGAAGCATACTCGCGAATTGGATCTTGATATATAAAACCTAGTGACGTTTTTTCACGTACATGATCCAAACGAATTATCTTTAAAGCCAGGCCTCCCTTAGACCCAGACATCATTTCGAAACGATGGTTTACAAGAAAGGATGGTCTTCGCCATCCCAGTTCCGACGTTGGATTAAGATCTGAACAAGGCTGTATGTCTTAGGCTCTATCAGAAGAATTGAGCCTTGCCTTCCTCCTTACCTTCCTCCTATCAAGAAAACTTGCCTGTGCCGGATAGACACTGTCGAGTATAACCTGCACTTTGTGATTCTATTTTGAACAACCCTATGGTAAGGCCAGTAGTCATAAAGCCTTTGGTATTCAGACCAACGTTAATAATATCGAAGGACGAAGATATAAAGTTGTCATTTGAGAATATGGAACGCCAACTCGATGGATATGATTGGATTGCGTTTTGGGTCCTGGTTTTCCTTGAGCTTGGAGCGGATATGCCAACATTAAGCAACTATCAACGGGAGATTTGGTCTCTGTGGACTGAAGAAAAGTGCTGGGATGGCTTTCAGGTAATTTGAAAACTTCGAAGAAACACCTTCCTGGTTAAACGGATAGTTGAAGCTCATTGCTATGTTAGTCGAATGTTCAGGGGCTGCTTACGTGCGACTTAGGCACCAGCTAGCTATAACCCTAACCCTGGCTGCCGAGATGAACGATTCCGGCCCCACGTTGCAAAAAAGTGCCCAACATCAGATTTCGCAACCGAACCGCATTCTCAAAAACTAATTTTGGCCAGCAGCCCGAAAACCAATCCAATGGTTCAAAGGAACACCATCTCGAGATCGCTGCTCGGGCTAGTCAGCACCGAGCGCGAGGGTAGCGGGAATCGGAGGAGGAAGCGCAGCGATTTCCGAACCTCGGCTCTTACTCTTTCAAGATTGGCCAGATCTTGTTGGGTGACCTGTACCCCACGCGCGACCCCGTCGGCGCGAACATAAGCGCATCTTACCGCAACTTCCGTGTCCACACAGCCGCAGCAGGGTCAGACCTGTCACAGCGACGCAATCGACGGCGATACAGGCTCCACGACCTAGGAACGCAGCAATACGACAGGCTGGCGGTGCGAGCAGGTTCGGACCAACTGGCGCCAGTGATTTGGATTGCGGGAGCCCACTTTTAAGAGCCGGGAATCTCCACTCCCCCGCGACAGCGAAAGTGGCTTCAGAGAAAAATGGTGGTTTAAAACACGGCCCGATCCTTCCGGCGTGAGGTGATGCTCCTTACTTGTTTTTGAGCAACCTCTGTTTTTTTCTTCTTTTTGGTTGTCGTCGCGGTTCTGTCGTTGACTTTGTCGTTGTCGTCCGTTTCCTGCTATTTGGCATCACACTCCTTGACCTTCGGGCAGCATCTCGACGTCCTTGACATCATACCGTCCCTCCCCAAAGCCCGCCCCTGAGTCCCAACGGGACTGTTGTCAAGATGGGTGTCGGCACGCTCTCCCTCTTCTACCCCGTATTCCTGCCCATGAGCGCGGCGGCTGTGGCCTACGCTGGCCACCGCGCCATGCAGGTCGACTGGTCGATAGTGGTGCATCAGTTCCTCACTGGCCCTGGCCGTACGAGTCGTATCCTGCTGTTGATCTTCATCATCCTTAACTGGAAGAGTTTACCGCTGGCCTGGACGGTACGTTGCCTTATTACGATGCCTTCACGTCATAGTTACTAACGTCAATAGGTCCGCGTTTTCCACACTTTCCTTTACCACCTCTTCCGTCGTCCCAAGTCCCTCCCGCAACGTGCCCTCTTCCACTACAGTATCGCTTCCTCGCGCACATCCCTGCTCGAAACAGACTATAACATTCACAAGTCCAACAGCACCTACTTCGCGGACCTAGACGTTGGCCGTTCCCATCACGTCACTCATTTGCTTGGTCCCGCGATCCCCATCATTGCCAACAATGAGAAAAACAAGCTCGTTCTCGATAAGGAGGGTAAGGTGGTCAAAGGTAGCTTCGGCATTGGCTTGGGCGCAGTTTTCTGCTCCTTCCGTCGCGAAATTGCCCCGCTGCAGGGATACGAGATGTGGAGCCGCATTCTGGCGTGGGATCGCAAGTGGTTGTATATTATCACGCACTTCGTGGTGAAGGGCAAGGTCAAGCCGACGAGCTGGGACGGCAAGAAGGTGGGTCCAACCAGGCCAAAAATCGTCCGTAGCGAGGACGGGAAGGAGGTCAAGGACGAGGACTGGAGCAAGTACATTTTTGCGACGGCCATCTCGAAGTATGTCTTTAAGCTGGGCAGGTTCACGGTTCACCCGGCGCTGGTGATTGAAGCGGGCGGTTTCTTGCCGGAAAGGCCTGGTGAAGGATGGAGGGGCGGTCCTGAGGGGGTTGGTACCCCTGATGACCTGGGAGAGATTGATGAGAATGGTGAGTGGGATTGGAGGAGGGTCGAGTATGAGCGCAGGAAAGGCATGGAGTTCGCGCAGCACTTTGCTGCGTTGGATGGCATCAACGCGCTGTTTGATGGTGGTGAGGATGGTGTGGTTGGAAGCTTCCCTGGTCCGCTAGGCCTGTGAAGCCCCAAGGGGCTTGTCAAGTGATAGCCTGAGGTATTTTTGAATTACCTATTTTGCCCATAATACTAGACTCATAGACTTAGACATGCAATGGTCGATTAGTGATCATAGAATCTGTCCTTTTAGTCTTTTGAAAACCCAACGGTTATATATAGAACATTCGTTAGATGTATCTATGCACATATCGAGTGTTGACTGATCTCCAACCTCGGCACACAACCGGCTTTGGTGCGTCGGCGCCCACGGCAGCTGTGGGCCTTGTCCGTCTCTGGTGTCCACCGACCCGGGGGCCTGGCCTGGCCGTACTAAACCACGGGGATTCCCTTTCACATGCCTTGAATCGGATTTCCGTCGATCTCAATACTCAAATCGAATTGAGTTCATCGCAACTTTTTTTTTCCATTACCAGTTCTAGAAGCTACACTGCAGCCTCATACATAGATACATACCTCCTTATAAAGTCACACGTACCACGCCATCATTAGGATCAGGGGTTCAGTCAGCTCACTACTTCACTGCAAGTTCTCGCTCTCACAATGTCAGAAACACAACAACTCCCATCAATTCAACCATCAACCCCCTCCCCAGCCCAATTCATCCCCCCACCACCTGCGAACCTCACAACCGCCAACCTCCCCCAAGAAAACGCCCGCGCCGCCGCCGCCCAAATTGCCTTCTTCCGCGCCATCCCCTGGTGCAATGCACTCTTGTCCCGTCCGCGCATTGTCATCGACCAGTCAGTCTCCCGCCAATTGAAGCCCCCGACCTCGGGGCTGGATACGCTTCTGTCTAAGACTCTCAACACGTTGAGTACCATCCCGGCGTACGTGACTTTTTATGTTCTCCCGGAGACAGCAGAGGATCTGATCGGAGAAGTGCATTCCCTCCTGGCGCTGGGGCATGATGTGAATGGGTGGGAGGGTATTTGTCATGGGGGGTTGGTAGTCACACTCATTGATGAGGTAATGGGGCAGGTATTTGCTGTGAACAGGAATTCTGGGAGGCTCAAGGGAGGGGATGATGTGATGCCTGTGACGGGGTGGTTGAACACGAGGTTTGAGCGGCCCGTGAAGACGGGGAGTGGGAGAGAAGGGGATGAGGTGAAGGTTGTGCTTGTGAGTGCGAGGTTGGTGAAGCGCGATGGGAGGAAGTTCTTTTTGGAGGGCGAGGTTAGGGCTGATGAGGGACGGGTGGTGTGTGCTAGAGGGGAGGCGTGTTTTGTGTTGGTGAAGGAGAAGTTGTGAGCTTGGGAGAGTACCTATGGATGTGAAGGGTAGGGTTATGGATTGGAAAAGTGTTGGTAGGGGAAGGGGCCATGAGTTTGAGAATTCGGTTTCGGCGTGGAGGATGGCAAGATCTTGATGGGCGAGGGCAAGGGGATATGTTTTGGTTTGTGAACAAAGCTATTTGGCATACATTCAATGTTTTCGGCCACGCCATTGGGCAAGATCGTTGTGTTAATGGGGGCCATCAAGGCTGGTAATAATATCCCAGCGTTGGATCGGCTGCTAGCAATAGCGACATCCTGTATAAAGTGATCTGTTAAGCTTCTGTGCCTCCTTTATACAGAGCATAAACGCACGGCACTTTAATATCGACATCACCTGCCCAGCCGGAGCACATCTGCCGATCTTCCTTGTCAACCTTTCGGATGGTACCTTATGCTGCACCCCAGACGGCTGAAACGAAACGGCGTAACGGCGCCAGGGGTTGCCAGTGAACCCTAATCTGGGGGAAATGCTAGTTCGTGGTAGCACGGAAAGCGGTATCGGTTCTGGGACAATGGTGAATTTCCACGAATCCTGGTTTGCAGGCATGAAGAGAGAGGGAGGGGAAAGTTGTGTTTTCGGATGTTGTCCTCCGTTGGCGATGAGTTCAGAGGTATTTAAAAGATGTGAAGGGCTCGAGTCAAAAACATCATTTACTACTAATTCTTGAGGTTCAACAACGTTTGCGCATTTATCATTGACCTCACTTACACTTCAACACGTTCAGTAAACAGCCAACATGCACCTCCCAACTCTCTTGGCGGCCGCCCTGGCCTTCACAGCCCCCACCTCCGCCTGGCTCACCTACTCACTCCAACGCGTCTCCAATCCCACACCCGACCAACAAGACGCCTACAACCGCATCACCGCAGCCATGGACAAGGCCGTGGCACGCTACAACCGTCTCGCCCCGCGAGCAAACAAATACATCACCGTGCAATACGTGCCCAGCGTGCAAACCGCCGATGGCAACATCAACGGCAACATCCGCTTCGGCTCGAATCGTGCCTACATGAACGAGCGAACTGCGCTGCACGAGATCAGTCATACCCTGGGTGTCGGCACACACGCATCCTTCGATAGGAAGTGTGCTGCGCAGGACTGGCCTAATGCATTGAGACTGCTGAGGAGCTGGGATGGACAGAATGCTAAGATCAACTGCGGTGGTGGGCATTTCTGGCCGTATGGGTTGAATTATGATAATGAGTTCAGCGAGACGAATGCGGATCGGCATTGCTTAATCGTGGATGCTATGATTCAGGATGGGTTGGGGAGGTGAGGGAGTGTAGTGGGGGATGATGCCCGTATGAGGAGGGGAAAAAGGGGTAAAAAGAGAAATCTGGCAGCAATTTGACGACTCTACATGACAATCTAATATATCTGTGTTATACAACATCTAGAGGAGCCAAAAATAAAATGATCATACCAAGGAACTCAGAAAGCCAACCAATACCCCAGCCAGAACCCAACTACAAAACCTTGATCATTGCCAGATTTTTCAGCACTAGCATGTACCTTTGGCTAGTGCTTGAGGACAGATTGTTTGCCTGTCCTTCAATTCGGATATTGATACGCCGCTGAGCCGAGCCTGGAAGACTCATTGGGTTTCATGTGCGTCGTCAGTATTACGCCACGAGATCTGTACCCAGAGGCTATTCCATCCCCTAAGGCTGCTTCGCCTGCTGACCGCCCTCGACGATGATTCTGTACTCCCTAGCAACCTCATTCCCAATCTCAATGGCCTTCCTCCTACTCTCGCGACTGACAACAAGCAAATGAGCGACATACGTCCTTGCACCATCTGTCTGCAACTCAATCTTGTCGCCAGGAACGCAGTAATCCACACCGAGCACAATGTAGTTCGCCAGATCTGGCCTGCGCTGCTTCAGCTCTTCGCACGGAGGGACGCCTGTAACAGGCCAGCGAACAATACCCGCAGCGGGGGCAGGTATATAAACAATCCGAGAATGGTACTGAGCGGCAGGAAGAGCCATGTGTTCGGGGTAGTCTTGGAAGGCGAACGGGCAGGCTGCCAGGCGCAAACGATCTGTATCGCCGATGCAGGCCAGCATGTGGGCAGCAAAGTAGTCGACGCCGTAGGTGTGGCGGGCAGGAACCGTCACACGGTAACCGGGAGGGCGAGCATTGATCTCGAGCAGTTTGCATTCGGGATTTTCGATATCCCCATTTGTATCAGAAAGCCGATCAGCTGGGGTCATTTTGTAGCATGAGTCAGAGACTTGCAACCTGGCAGGTCCTGCCTTATGTTTGGGGATCAAATCAACGACGCCACTGCCGTCGACATCTTTATACACTGCTGAAGAGCAGACGATGCGGGCCTCAACGTGGAAAACCCCAGTGTGGAAGCCTGCCTTGAGAAGGAGGTCACGAAGTGTGGATTTCGCTATCTCCTGCTCAATGGTTGGAAGAGCTGAGGGCATGGTCAGCGCTTCGGGAGAGAATGTAGAGTCAGGACTAGCTTCCGGAGAATCGGCTTCGAAGGGCGGCTCATCAGCAATCTCGCTGAAGAGAATTTCGCCGTCTTGGAGAATAAAGTTAGCGTCGATCTCGGGACCATCGTAGAAGGGCTCGATAACGGCATCTGTTCCATGGCGCGCTATGGCCTTGCTGATAGCTGGCCACAGGTCGCCTACCCTTGTGACTTTAGAAACGCACTCAGAGCTCCAGCCCTTGGTTGGCTTCACAATTAACGTCCCTTGCCACCTTTCTGGAGATTCAAGATACTCCTTGCAATCTTTCATCGTTTTGACTCGGCGAATTCGGCCAGGCATCTCTTGAAGCAGACGTGACCGATATTTGTCGACTGAGATCTCAAACGCCGAGGACGGGTTGCACGGAAGCCCAAGCAGTTCCGCAACACGAGCAACAGTGACGAAGAAGTTGTCCGACAGGGTGAATACCCCATGAATTGGAAGAGGGTAGGACCGAAGTGACTTGACAATCCGGTCAACGACTCCCTCGTCTTCGGTCATGTCTGTTGCTAAGAAAGCTTCTCGATACATTTTGTTTTCTTCCGTATCAGGCTGTAGCCAGTGGCCCGGCTCATCCACAATCACAAGCTCTAAGCCAAGAGCTCTTGCTGTCCGATAGATAGGGCCACCAGCTGTGAGGTTCGGCCGGCCGCGTATAAGGGCGACGCGCTTGCGGGGGATTGGCTTGGACGTTAACCAAGGAGCGTTGTGCAGACGGCAACGCAGCTCTGTCACCAAACGCTTCAGATGGTCGTACATATCGACGACGGATAGGGTTGCTTCAAGTGAAGCCCACTGGATGACACCTGCTACATAGCCCTGCTCGATAGCACTTGCAAGGGCCTCCTCCGTCCTCAGTGTCGTGAGTGGCAAAGTCCAAGCTTTGTATTTTTCGAGAGGCTTGACATTTTCGTAAATCTTGACTATCGGAATAGGGCAGTCTTGGAGACGGAGTTGAAGGAAGTCAGATCGGTAGATGTAACCATCCTGTAAGGGCAGGATGGCAGTAAAAACAGTGAGGGAACTGGGGCTCCAGTTGGCAGGCCCCAAACTAATGGCTGTCAAAGCAGCTGCAAGAGGGCTAAAGGCCTCAGAATTAGAAGCTCGATGATCGGTACCATTGATGCCATTAGAGCCATTGACTCTGTGAAGCCCATTCTGATTACTTGTTCCGTTTATGGTGCTGTAATTGGATGATGGAAAGATGACGATGTTGATGACAGAGTAAAGGTCGCAAAGGGGAACAACATCGACCAAGATCGGTGGACAGAGAGACACAGTTGCTGGACAGAAATTGTCAATAATGAGTTTATAAGTAGACTTCACGGTGTGTAGCATAACTTACATTTCTTTCGACGGCCATTATTGTTGGAAGTCAATGCACTTTTTGAGGACTGGAACTCTTCGAAGGAGCGCTTGAGAGGCTGACCGTTTGGCAAAGTATGGCCCTTGTCCATGGCAGTGGGCTGCTCGAAAGCCGTGGAGTGGGGCATCTCGTGTAGTTTCTCAGAACACGGTATGGTGTCGGTTCCCATAGTTGAAGTTAGGCTCGAGTGATGGAGAGAGTGCCTAACCTTTTGTTTTGCTGCCTGTACGATACTTTGTTAAGTCAAAAAGTTAGCATTTGCTATAAATAGCTTAAAACTCGAAGGATGCTGAATATGTTGGCCGGCAAAGTACCATAACAGAAACTATGGAGCGGATTTATTGCAGTGATGGAACCGAGGGGAGAAAGGAAAGGGATGCCACGAACCTGATGGGTTGAAGGAGCACGAAAGTTGACCCGAGTTGACAGCGAGATATGTTTCGGATGACCTACAATGTCATTGCGCAGCCGTCTAGTGGTCGAGTTGGTAGCTTGCTTGTTAAGCTTCCTGTTTCGACGATGATCGTCGACCGCAGGTTGACTGAGCTTCGCGACTTGCAGAGGAGAAAGTTAGAGAGCGATAACAAACATCCGGGCCCGGAGGGTCGGATTAATGTATGTTTGCGAGAGGAACGGACGATAATCGGCGGCACAGTAGAGGCCTCAAGCCCCGCGGGAAACGAGCAGAGCAATGTGTGAGTGAAACCACCAAACGCAGCAGCCGCTTGCTTGCTTGGGATCCTAGGAGCACACGGGAAGTTTGTGAGAACCTTGATGGCTTTAGGCCTCTCCAGCTGCAGGAGCGTTCCGGATCGCGATGGATCTGGCAATAAATCTGATAAATGAGGACCCGCCCATTCCCTTGCTTTCGTCCAACGCTCCTGCTACCCTGACCGTTTGACCGCCCTTCTCTCCCCTCCTTCTTTCCGGTTCGTTGGACGGCTTGGAAGTTCTTTCGTCGGCGAGATCTCACCGAGCGGTTGCCCTTCGATGAAACATTGAGAACCGTAATGGCCAAGCGAAGCAATGTCAGCGTGCCAGATTTGCAAGAACCTTGATGGCCAAAAGTCCACAACGCCGATCTACGGACCACACAGCTCAGTCTCCTCTCAGCGCACAATGCCCTTCGCAGGACTCTCCGTGCCGTCAGCAGTGCCATGACAGGCAGGAGGAGACGGGAGCCGGGAGATTGAGCGCTCTGGAACGCTGCCTTGAGCAGGCGGTGGGTGCACAATGCAAGATTAGGTGCTACTAGCGCTAGTGGGTACTCGATTCGATGAATCGGTCCTGTGTTACATGCAGCTCACAATTTTTCTTCCCACAGGACACAGAGCGAATATGCAGATATAGAAGCAGCCAATTGTCCAATTGTCCGCCCTCTTGCGTTTGTCTGTTTCTGTTTGCCCTGCTCGCCTTTCATGTTCTATATCTTGGTCCTCTCTTGTCCAGGATTCTGGAATCGATTGTATTCTCCTGGTCCTACCATCCTACTTATATTCCGGTGCTACCACACTTAGCACATGAACTGACTTCCACACCGTCAGTTGTTCGCATCCGATCCCAGGATCTGATCATGTTGACGTCGATATCGCAAGCGAGGATGTCATTGCTTGCCTCGTTGTGGCGGTTGGGGAGCACCCCGTCCAAGCCCCACCCTTGTTGTCCCTGTGACTCCCATGATTCTCTCACCATTGTCGAGAAGGCCGAGCTGTTACAGGATGAGCTGGCTGATGCCAAGTCACAGAAAGCCAGGTCACTCGTCCAAAGTATTGTGTCGACCCACGCAGAATTGCTTAAACTCAAGGACTTGAGACCGGGGAAGACTATCAACCGTCTCTTGGGAGATCTTGTCACACTTTGTTCCGATATCTACGACCAGGACATTGTGAATCAGGTATGACAGCTGCGGACTGAGAACAATGAGGCTCTTCATGACCGACTAATCCACCTCAGGTACTCAATAATCCCACACTCCAGTCTCTGCTCCCCTCCCTTCGGCAGATATGTGCCGAAGCGGAAGCTTGTCTTGAGCACCACTGGACGGACTACATCCTGCGTGGATGCACGCCGGAAGAAGTCCAATCCCGCCTAAAAAGCTTCCCCTACTACCATAACTACGAGGACCTCACCCGCCTCGAGCTCTGTGCCATCCTCTCCGCAACCAAGAGACCACCCTCTCGCATTGCCTTCATCGGCTCCGGTCCCCTGCCACTCACTTCCCTCTGCCTTCTAGACGCCCTAAAGCACGACCCATTGGTTTCTCAACCCTTGTCAGGGACCAAACCCTCATCTGGTCCCATAGTCCTCAATATTGACTGCTCCCCCGCGGCCATTTCCTCCTCCCTTTCTCTGTCCCTCGCCCTTGGCCCACCAGGCCAAGGCATGGAGTTCATCTGTGCAGATGTCACAGACCCAGTGCAAGAGAAAGACCTAGTGGAGTTCGATGTGGTCTACATGGCCGCGCTAGTCGGCATGTCGCAGGCCGAGAAGGAGATGATTATCTTGCAAGTTGCAGACAGGATGAGGCCCGGCGCGCTGTTGGTTGTCAGGAGTGCGTGGGGCATGAGAACTTGTTTGTATCCAGAAGTGCAGATCGCTACGGAGGGATTACTTAAGAGGTTGGAGATTTGTGTGGTTGTGCATCCTTATGGGCAAGTGGTGAACTCGGTTGTTGTTGCTAGGGTTAGGGTTAGGGAGTAGGAGTCAGAGCTTAAGGGGAAAAGGGATGGTGTGTCGAGGTATATGTGGGACAACATTATTAGATGTTTTGGTATGGATAGAGGTAGGATGGGAGGCATTTGTGTGTTATTTCAATTATGTGGAATGAAAATACTGTTGTCCAAGCCAGAGTAATAGCTTCCTCCTAGATCAGAATCTATGCGCCTTAGCTCCCCCTTCCCCCCCTAACCCAAAAAAATCATATGTTGCTCCCTCCAATCACCGCTCTAACTTACCATATCCAAACAATAACCAAATGGTTGGTGTCGACACAGCACATATGCAGTCATTTATTTGAACAATAGCCTTTTATGGACATTAGAGGCTGAGAGATGGAAGCAGGATTGGTTGTAAATTTCACTAGTTGGCATACGAACAGTGTTGGATATCAACCTGCCTCTTTTACACATGGCACGACTCTTGGCCAAACACGCAATCCATCAAGGAGATTATCACAAGCCGCAGCACCAATCTGACAATATAATGCCTCGTACAACATGCAGAATGAGCATCTCCTACATGCCATATTCCACAATGCTCATTGTTACACAGTACCAACGAAATGGGCGAGACTGCATGACTGATGGTGCATCGACATCGCTGCCGTCAAGCACGACATACTGTTCATTTCTCTCTATTGTAATGTTACCTCATCTTGTTCCATTGAAGCCCTCTTGGCTACCACATTGATGCACTTCGAAGATTTGTCAACCCCAGGTTGACAACTGTTGTTTCTCATCGACATCACCGTTGATGCCATCTGCCAAGGGAGATAACAAGTGCAATGGTCCAACCACCAGCTGGAGAATGTTGCATTACACCAATAACAATGATTTTGACATCACGCAGCAAGATGGTGATACCAGTAATAGCCAAGATGCCGTGTTCCAGCGCAGGAGGGAAACCTCTCATCGAGAGAGGACTTTACCTCGGAGATATCGGGGTATCTCCTTGGAGATGACGAGTAACTGACTACATAAATAGACATATCATCTGCTGAAGATCCAAGAAACACGAAGAGAGTAGTTACATCTCGTTGACAACCTGCCCAAGCTGCTTTACCTTTTCTTAGAGTTACTCCATCAACCGTCCCCCATCATTATGGCTCCCCAGTCCCACCAAAACGACGAAAAAATCGCCGTCCACATTCACACCTCTCACAATCCCAGCTCGTCCAACACCTCTACCAATGAAAAAGACAAAAAAGACGAAGAAGCCCTCGAAGACCCCGAAGCAATCCGCCAACGCATCCTGGAACAGCGTGCTGAAGAAATCGCCGCGCAGCGTCCCGCTACCAATCTCTCTGCCCTCTGGTCCTGGTGGAGCAACGACCCCCTCAAGTCAGGCATCAGCCTCAATGACATCGCGACCCAACCTTCGGTGTTTGACGATCCTAAGTTGGCGCCATACTTTCAACCACATGAGAAGTACGAGAATAAGCATCGGTTTGATCCATCTTTCAGATGGACCTGGGCCGAGGAGCTGCCACTTGTGAAAAGGATTGACTGGAAGGTAACGGCGTGGAGTTGCATTGCCTTCTTTGCGCTCGATTTAGATCGGAGTAACATCAGTCAGGCGAACACTGATAACTTTTTAGAGGATTTGGGGCTAGACACGAATGACTATAATCTAGGGCAGACGGTGTTTAGGGTGGCGTTTTTGTGTGCTGAGCTGCCGAGTCAATTGGTAAGCAAGAAGATTGGACCGTGAGTACCTTTACCCCAGTTTGTCTGACTTGTGGAAGGAACTGAGAATTGACCTAACAGTGACCGTTGGATTCCGATGTGCATGATCATGTGGAGTATCGTCAGTGCTGCTCAGTTCTGGCTTAATGGACGAGCGAGCTTTTTAGTGACTCGCGTCTTGATCGGCCTTCTTCAGGGAGGGTTCATTCCTGATGTAATCCTAGTAAGTGCCCCTAAAGTCAAGGTCGATAGGAGTTACTACATGATGCTAACTCGTGCAGTACATGTCTTACTTTTTCAAGAGCACGGAGTTGCCCTTCCGACTGGCTCTCTTCTGGATGGCCAACCGTCTGACCGACGTCATTGCCCCTTTGATGGCCTATGGTCTTCTGAGACTGCGTGGTTACCATGGCTACGAGGGTTGGAGATGGTATGTAGTTGCTGTTGTATCCAAATGAGACTGTTTTCCTGATCGGGTACAGGATGTTCCTCATCGAAGGCCTCCTCACACTCGCCATCGGTATCTGGTCCATCTTCGCCATGGTTCCCTCACCAACACAAACCAAAGCTCCATGGCGACCGAAGGGATGGTTCACAGAACATGAAGAGAAGATCCTAGTCAACCGCATCCTGCGTGACGACCCGTCCAAGAGTGACATGCACAACCGGCAAGCCATCACCTGGAAGCTGCTGTGGGAGTCACTCTGTGACTATGACCTCTGGCCGATCTACATCATTGGCCTGACCTTCTCTATACCGGCCGGTCCTCCCGACCAATACCTTACCTTGACCCTGAGACAGCTGGGGTTTGACACATTCGACTCCAATCTGCTCAGCATCCCATGCCAAGTGGCCACAACTGTTAACGTGAGCTCATTCTGTTTCCACTCTTAGACACCAGTTACTAATAACCCCAGATGCTCGTCTTAACTTACCTCTCTGAGAAAATAAACCAGCGCGCGCTCCTCGGGGCCTTCGTGCAAATCTGGCTCCTTCCCTGCGTTATTGCTCTCGCAGTCCTCCCCAGCGGCACTGATCGCTGGGCTGCCTATGCCTTGGTCACTGTTCTGCTCTCCTATCCCTCGCCACATCCGATGCAAGTTGGCTGGTGCAGTCGCAACTCGAACACCGTTCGTACTAGGACAGTATCGGCGGCGCTTTATAACATGGCTGTGCAACTGAATAGTATTATTAGTGCTAACATCTACAGGAAGGATGACCGGCCGGAGTATAGACGTGGAAATAGAGTGTTGGTCGGAATTGCGAGCATGAACTTAGTGGTTTATTTGTTAGTGAAGGCGTATTATATGTGGAGGAACCATCAACGGGAAAAGGCTTGGAGTAGGATGACGCCGGACGAGAAGGAGCATTATTTGAACACGACAAAAGATAAGGGGAGTAAAAGGTTGGATTTCAGGTTTGCTCATTAGGTGGTTGTTTTCAATGGAGCATACGCCAAGTACTCTTAACTGGTGCTAGGAAGTCAGGATTCTGCCCTTATAGGGTTAGGGTTAACTCGTCAGGCCCCAGTGTTGCTAAGGTTAGGGTTCAATGCTGGCTTAGCTAAAGTGAATTTCACCCCTCATCGTCTCATTGATCCGATTTTCGACCCCAACACTCGACTTGTAAAAGTGAAAGAACTCGCCAAAATGACACTCAAAACCCTACCTCCTGAGCCCATAATCGACCCCGACAACACAAAAATCCATCGCTGGCCTGACCTCGGACTCACCCTCATCCACGACTTCATCTCCCCCTCCGAAGAAGCAACCATGGTCGCCGCCTTCCACGCCCGCGACCCCGACCTTAACCCCAAGCGCCGCGTCTCCCAGCATTATGGATACCACTTCGACTACACTACCTTCGGTGCATCCGAGACAGAGTACTCCCCCATTCCCGATTACATCACTGCCTTTTTGCCACGACTGCCCCTGCAGGACTGTATTCCGGATCAGTTCACCGTTCAATACTATCCTCCCGGGACAGGAATCCCGCCACATGTGGATACGCACTCTATGTTTGAGGAACCGTTGTATAGTTTGTCGTTTGGGAGCGCTGTACCGATGACGTTTCGTCTGGCGGGGCCGAATGATGCTAGGAAAATGAGGTTGCCTAGGAGATCGGCCATGCAAAGTGAAGGGGAGGGGGCAGCGCCGCCTCCTCCCAGTTCAGTGTCATCTCAGACGGGAGGAGATGAGACGGTGCATCCGTCGTGGGATCTCATGCTTCCCCCGAGGTCGTTGCTTCTGATGATGGGCCCATCGAGGTATGGGTATACGCATGCAATAAGGCCGAGGAAGAATGATGTCGTGGATGGAGTTGCGGTACCGAGGAAAGGGAGATACTCCATAACTATGAGAAAAGTCAGGAGAGGGGAGCAGATCAAGTGTGACTGCCCATATCCCGGGGTGTGTGATGCTAGGATACGGGAGGAGATGGCGCTGGCGAGGGCGCAAGCCTGTCCAAAAGGGCAAGATGAGAATGATAAGCACACAGGAGAGTCAGCAAAGTCATAGAAACGGAGGAATCTCGTATTTCTAAGCATATGAAGCCCGTTTCACTGGAACCTCCTTCACTCTCGCAACAACCTGTTCAATTATCCCACAGTTCTCTACACGTATTGTAACAGGGGACTTGGTCTGGTGTAGACAAGGATCGACGATGGGTCAAATAGTTAGATGATAGCCACTGACGATGTGAGATGCACAGCGAAGGTAATCAATACGTGTAATAATCTTTCTTGGCCCTCAGTGTCCTTGTGTTCGGGAGGGGAAAAACTAAGAGAAGTCCATCGTGTTCGGGCATCTTTATGGAATTTTCTTGCCCTTGTGAGTGCCTCGGCCTTCCAGGCTTTTCACAGGTCTCGTCCTCCTGCCTCGGCCATCTGGCTCATTCGGTCGTGTGGCTCCATATTTCTTCCAACCACGTGTTTATGTCGTTCACAATCGTTCTATCTCTGATGTCCCTTGTGTTGGCAGTCGGGTATACCCCTTTCCTTGAACTGCTGTGTCCGTGTAACGGGTGACTTGGTCTGGTGCAGGAAGGGATCGACAATAGGTCAAATAGGTTAGATGATGACCACTGACGATGTGGGGTGCACAGCGAAGTTCAATTACTACGTGTAATAATCTTTCTTGGTCCTCAGTGTCCTTGTGTCAGGGAGAGGAGGAACCAAGGGGAGACTATCATGACCGGGCAGCTTCCTTTATAGAATCCTCATCATGCCTCGGCCATATGGCTCATTCTCTTCGGTCATCCGGCTCTAGACATCTTCCGGATCAACCACGTGTTTGTGCCGCTCACAATCATCCTGTCTCTGGTGTCCCTTGTGTTGGCAGTCGGAGGCATCCCTTTCCTTGGACTGCCGTGTCCATGTGACAGTCCGTGCGACACGTATATATAAGATCATATACTCCCCAGCCAGCCAACAGCTTATCTGTCCCACAAAGTCGGACCCAATGACCAACCGTTATTACACTTCCGTATGAGACATGAGACCCAAGGCCCAACAATGCTAACGGTAGTTTTACAGCCGACATAGCACCCACGACCTAACTAAAATTTCTCCGTATAGATCAGTGAAAAGCCGACCGAGCGATTTTATTATTATCTTTGTTAGGCTTGGCCTCAAATGAATGACCAATCTTCGGCGGGGATTTCTTCTCTGGCTAACTCCAGCTTCCAACTGGGCAAGTTGCGGAGCCATATTGTATATGTTGAGGTGTGGTGTTTAACCTGGGTTCGAGCTTGCTTTTTCCTTATGCTTTAAACTTGACGTGAGCACAAACAGCATTGCAAATTCCCCATTATGGATGAATAAGAGCAATGAGCGCTTGGTTGCACTTTTTAGAAGCCTGCTCGAAACCTTGAGTCTCAGGGATTGAATGGACCGAGAGCTTGGCTTAGGGTTAGGCAGATGGAAAGTACGTTTCTTGTCTCCATGGCTTTGATTTTGTGGATACAAGAACGAAAGACAAACACAAGTCATCGTACCGGTTTAGAGTTTATCATTCATTCGTGGAGTGCAATTTGAGTTGTCATAAGCCTTAGACTCTCCGGCCGAAATACCCTAGGCAATTCTACTGGGAGAAATGGCCTCTGAGGTCCCAAACTTATTGAGAGCATGAAAGAGTCCGAAGAAGCAACTTCAACTGGCGGCGCACTCCCAGGCAGCTCAGGGAGGTTCATGTTATAGGCCTTTGTCTTCGAATAGGCTGGTGGCTGTTCTCATAAGGTATGACGATACTAAAGCATCTGTCTCCGCTAACCTCTTATTCTGACACAAAATCCAAACAATAACGATCATGGTCATGCATATCAAGTAAGACCGCCAATGCTCCGACAACGATAGCCCCGATAGGTGGATTATTGTAGCTACGGAGCTCGATGATTAGGATTTACTCGGATTAAGTCGAGTTTAATGACGTGCAGCCGAGTTGAGAGTTTATTGGTTCCGAGACTTTCGCTGTTGTAGATGATGAAGCAGAAGCCAATGATGTTTGTCCGTCGTTTGGGCAAAATAGACCTGTGAGCCTGGAGCAGATGTGTTTTGATAGTTGTACGTCATGAACAATCTGAATCATTTGTAAGGGTCAGGCGCAATGACACATGAAATTGGTTTGATATGCTCTTAAAAATGAATGAATAGTGTTAGCAGGATTTTTAGTGCAGAAACAGTTACAAAGCATACGTTTCTGTCTCAACATACCAGGTTTCATATGTTAGTTTGCCCTCCTCCTTCAACTTTCTCTCACATTCAAAATTGCAATCATGTTCATCAACACAGCTGACATTTGCTATAAACTAATTACCGTAGATTGAGTTACCGGAATGTTTAAGGCTTGTGGAGTTGACACCGCAACACCAGCTGTTTAGAGGATGTAATATGAAAGAAGAGTGTCCATCTACATAAAGCAAGGTCATGACTCGATAAGTTACCGGGCGAGTATAGTAAAATTACATTTCAGGAGTGAGAATGAGATCGCCAATCAAGGTAAAAGCCAGATATCGACAAGAAATTATTCAGCGTAGTATTTGGGGAAAAGGCAGAAGTTGACGAACGTCGGATTGTGCTAGGGTTTGGGAACGTCTCCTCTGCCGAGTGATACGTAACGATCCTTTGCCCAACTATTTCCCAACCTATTTCAATTTCTTTGCATAGTGCAGGGCGCCTAAATATTAGCACTTCATGGATGTGCCCAAATTTCAGGCCTTCAAGCAAAACTTTGTTGCATGTTTTATACTGTAAAATCTGCGGCTAGAAAGCACAGAGACACCAGACTAGATGTATGCAATCACATTGTTGGTGCTACGCTGTCAGCATGCACTCTGTTTGGTAAAGCTCTGGTTGACTAACACAGCTACTGCAACATAAAAATGTACCGAACTGGGTGTCAGTCGGGACGGTGCAGTTTGGCTTAAAGCTACGAGTGTATAAGGCAGCCAGGTTTGCTTGACTTTATACTGCAAGGGAGAGCTTCCATATGCCTGATGTCCTCCGGGCAGATACAGCTTACACTTTATCGGATACTGACTGGACGCATGCGTTTTTCCACGTCGATGGCTTCTGCTGTCACATGGACACGGCAGTCCAAGGAAAGGGATGCCTCCGACTGCCAACACAAGGGACACCAGAGACAGGATGATTGTGAGCGGCACAAACACGTGGTTGATCCGGAAGATGTCTAGAGCCGGATGACCGAAGAGAATGAGCCATATGGCCGAGGCATGATGAGGATTCTATAAAGGAAGCTGCCCGGTCATGATAGTCTCCCCTTGGTTCCTCCTCTCCCTGACACAAGGACACTGAGGACCAAGAAAGATTATTACACGTAGTAATTGACTTCGCTGTGCACCCCACATCGTCAGTGGTCATCATCTAACCTATTTGACCTATTGTCGATCCCTTCCTGCACCAGACCAAGCCACCCGTTACATCTGCATAGCGTTGCAAGATCAGAATTAGCATTGGACAGTGCCAAGCTATTGGATGTTAAGCTCAAATAATATAAACGGAATGAGGGTACCCTGCCGTGCAAGCATGCTATCAATAAATCAACAATTAAGTACACAAAAGCTTCTATGTATGTCACCCATGCCATGCCATTGCCACTGAATTGCCACCCCTGGGTAATGGTCAATCCACATGCATGTGTGCCAATAAACCTAAGACCTAGCATTTTCGCCTGTATTCTCTTCACTAGGCTCAATAAGTGCCATGCTGGCCGTGGAGTGGAGGGTATGATGAGCCAAAGGACGTATAGTAGGCCCAGGAAAATGTTCAGAATGAAAAACCTTTACTGATCATCTTAATCATAGGCTCCTGATTCTTAGTTATCGTGTCATTCGGACAACGTGATAGACAACTTACATGCACACACCTGCACTAGAACATCTGCGTCTATCTATTAATTCGCATCACACACTCTCATATCACAGGAACAGTACGAAACTCGGCTTCTAGAACGAGAGAAACTGTCCAGCAGTTCTATATTTCAAACCGGAAATGACCATGTCATCAACACCTTTATGAACAACCAGCTCTCGCAATCCATCCTGGAATCCCAAAGCACACATGATAGCGACCGGGGTGGGAACGACAGCGATTCAACAGTCATCTTGCTAGCAATCTCGACCACAAAAGGTCACTCATGTCCATATCTTTATTTTTATACCTTAGCCCACAAAAACAGTTGACTCGGTATTACCACCTTGTTGAGGTTATCGCTTGGCACCAGCCTTGGTACCGGAAGTAGGACTAGTCTGTCGATGAAGCAGTACCACTTTTGGTTGATGAAGTGCTGCCGCTCTTAGTGGAGGATTCCCTCTGCTGGCTGGTTTCCAACCTGGCAAGTCTGTTGAGTTTCCTCGAGTCTCTTAGCCATCACCTGGAGCGCCGTGATGCGGTGTTCGAGTTCGAGTCGGACCTTCTTGGCTATGCCCTCTGCCTCTTTCTTTACTTTTGCGGAACTCTTGGATGGCGTTGTGAAAAGCCTCAACATCGAGCCTTTTCCCATATCTGGCTCCTTTGGCTTGTGCATCAAGCAGTGGTTTGAGCTTGGTTTTGATGGCCTGTAGCATGCTGTTCTGTGCTTTCATCGTTGCCTGCAAACCTCTGATGCGAATTTACTCATATTATGAAGAACTTCTCGGTACTCTTCAACCCCCTGTTTGGTAATCTTGAGTGTTTGGCATTGCACTCTTTCCAGCTCTTGGAGATTCTGGGAATTCATCGAGGGTGCGACCCTCCCAGCCCGACACTAGGCCTTGTGTCACTGCCATGTTTCAAACTGACCATTATCCTCTTGTCCTACAATGAGCAGAAGATTCATAGAAGCATGATCATATAAGCGGTTTTCATCTTCTCGCTTCTCCTAGGAGCAACATCTGAGTCTTATCGCCATCCATCTCCCAGACCGGCTTCACATTGCTTCATCATGGCCCACCTCATAGGTGACTCCAATGGAGGTGGTAATGCATTCACTTAATCAATGGCATGTTCATTAATTCTAGTGGGCAGCAGAAGAAGGGAAGAAACCGTAATTTTGGTCTGGTGAGAATGGGGGGTAATCCATGCTCCGCGAGCGGCTGCAAGAGAGCATTCGCTCTTGCCTTCCAGACAAGGCGTTTATTCCACAGAAAAAAAGGAAGGAGCTGGGAAAAGAGAGAAAGAAGAAGCTACATGCATCATACACATGAGAAGCCCTCTTACCAGTTGATATTTTGAGAGGAAAGAGAGAGGTCGACTTTGGAAGGGAATACCCAAAACCCACATCGTACCTGCTGGGTTGGTGCAGTTGGAAGCACGTGATCCATTATGATCCCCATATCAATCCTTTGCTCATTACTGAGCCAACGTGAACACGGATAGAGACCAGCTGTTTGGACAAATTCTTCAAGCCCTTCTACAGAACATATCACCCTTTTCATGACCCGTGTTTCTTACTGTTGGTGCTTCCTGCTGACATTACGTTTGGTAAGTGCTGTGGGGTTCCTCTGTAATGTTGCCTTCGAAAAAGATCGGAGATGGGGCGCGCTAACATCACGGCTCCATACAGCAGATCTGAGCTGGGCAAAAACGATCCACCCAGGGGTCGAACCTGGAACCTCCTGATAACTGGTCATTGATCTCATCATTGATGGATGGGAATCTCAAACCGTAGTCAGACGCTCTGCCATTGAGCCAGCGGACCTTGCTGAAGGTTCAGGGCAATGTCTAACCCTAAGAGCCGCGGGACTCCTCGAAAAGCTGGCCGCTTGGGCCTCTCGTTAACGGCTACGCGATCGAATCATGACGACAGCCAACAAAGATTGGCATGGTAATAGTTTGATGCATGCCTATTCCACTGCAGCAGTTGGCTGTGGCCGGGGTTGCAACGAAAGACGGTGGATGACACCTCGTTATTAACTCGGCCAGGCTGAATGTAAGCGCGGAATTCCCCTCGCTCACACTTCTCTCGCTTCAAGCCGCCCTCAACCTCCAATTCCATGTGCATAGGCTGATTCTAGATTCCTTCTCTTCAACTCCGCCCAGTCCTGAACTTTCTGGCGCTCTCCAGCCGAGTCCCACGATTTTGGGTTTTCCATCCTGCAGGTAGGGCTCGGATGATAAATCTCCAGGGCCAACGCAGTGTCAACTGGCGCCACGACACGGCATGCTGATCCTGCTGCACCTGCATACGGCCGTCCTCCCCGATTGGTTCGCGGCCGGCGGGAACGCAACCTGGACCGGCTGGCCGGGCCAGGAACACCCGGAACTGTGTGGCTGCGTCGTAATATCGACTCGACCAACAGACGAGCGTCCCTGTCTGCGGGAGGTTGAACTGCTCGGCTCACCGGGCTCGGCGACGGGGTGACTGGGCTGGTGGACGCGTGGGTTCGTTTCCGTTTCATTTCTCTTTCTCGGTATCGGTGCTTCCCCACACGCCACGAGGGATGCAACGGTGCATGCAAGGATCGCCGAGAGCGCAGCGATGTTGCCGGAGTAGAAGCACCGCATGCAAAGGATGCAGTGATGCATGGGTTTTTTGCAGGGGATAGTCCGATCTTGATGCTGACGAAGAGGGGAGAAAATTTCGGGGAAGAGCATTTCCGTCCCAGAGTAACCTCGAGGGACTCTCACCGCGTCAACAGCGATGAGAGACATTATTTAAACCGGGGATTATCACATCCCCCGGGTAGTGATGCCTGGACTTGTCTGTGTTTTCTGGGATCCAGTTCGGCCTACAGCAAGTCCTTCGGTGATCGACTCCGGCCAAAGTAGCCCCCGACATCCAAATGACCGGCTTCAACCTCCGGTCCCTCACTCTCACAACCCTCATCGCCGTCTCCGGTGTCGAGGCGACAAAGTCCAAGCTCAACCCACCCCCTCAATGCCCATACCGCTTCGCATGGGAAAATGTCCAGCTCTCCTCCCGCGACATTTCCCCTTTTGACGCATTTCTCTTCGGCTTCAACACGTCTTCGAAGCCCTCTCTCAAATGCAAAGCTTTCCCAGGCGAGTCATCCTGGCCCAGCGCACAAACCTGGGCAAAGTTCAACAAGACCCTCGGCGGCGCCCTGATCAAGACCGTGCCCCTGGCAGCAGCATGCTACCCTGAATGGGGCGAGTACTACAACCCTGAGGAATGTCAGCGCGTGAGAGAGAGTTGGACAAATCCCCGTTTGCATGTTGAGGACCCTGGCTCGGGGATGTTCCCTCTCTATCAAGGCCGCTCCTGTCTCCCTGATGGAGGGAACTGCACGTTGGGAGGGTATGCCTCGTACTCCGTGGCGGCTGCCAATGTGAAGCAGATCCAGCTGGCGGTGAACTTTGCGAGGAATGCGAACTTGAGGCTGGTGGTGAAGAATACGGGGCATGACTTTAATGCAAAATCAGTCGGGGCTGGGGCGCTGTCGGTGTGGACGCATAAGCTGAATGATATCCAGTTTGTAGAGGACTACAAGTGTGCGCATAGCGGGTATCGAGGGCCGGCGTTTAAGTTGGGAAGTGGTGTGCTCACGGAGCAAGTGTATGCTGCAGCGGAGAAGTATGGGGTCTCTGTGGTAGGAGGGGAGTGCAGGGTAAGTTCACTAAGAGAGATGTTGCGAGTGAGTGATGTGTAACTGACAAGGTAGACTGTCGGTATTGCTGGCGGCTTTATTGCCGGCGGAGGACACTCCCCTCTCTCAAGCCTACTCGGCATGGGCGCCGACCAGGTCCTCTCCATGGAAGTAGTCCTTCCTGATGGGAGGTTCGTGACTGTCAACGAGCGTTCGTATCCTGATCTCTTCTGGGCTCTGCGCGGTGCCGGAGGGAGTAGGTTTTCTTGTGCTCCTTTTCTAACTTTTGCTGATACCTGACATGACATCATAATAGGCACATACGGCATTGTCACCTCAGTAACTGTCCGCGCCTACCCCCGCATTCCCGTCTCAACGCTCACCTTCGCCTACGGTACATCTCCCAATGTCACAGCCGACACTTTCTGGGAGAGCATCCGCGTTTACATGAAATACTTTGACCGCTTCGCCACCACCGGCGCCTACGGCTACTTCTTCGTCTTCAACATCGGCCCAGACCAGTTCCTCTTCATTATGACTCCCTTCTGGGCCAACAACATGAACTCCGCGCAACTGATCTCTCTTGTACAGCCTTACCTCAACGACCTTGCCAACCTAGGCATTGAAATAACCCCCAACATCACGTCCTATCCTTCTGTGTTCCAAGCTTATCAGGGCGCCTTCCCCGGTCCCGAAACCGTCGGCACGGTAGACAACCACTCTGGCTCGCGTCTCTTCCCCAAAGAAAACTTCCAAGACCCACGTAAGCTCAACGATACCCTCGCAGCAGTCCGCCACGCGATCTCCAACGGCGGCATCCTCGTTGGCTACAACATTCGCTCGGCACCCAACGCCATCGCGAACCAAAACAACGCAGTCAACCCCGCCTGGCGCAAGGCTCGTGCTTTCTTCATCCTGGGAGCAACCTGGCCTGCGAATGCCACTCTGGCACAAATCCAGCAGGCGAGCAAGACGCTCACGACAGATTGGTTGGCCAAGTGGAGGGCCGTGTCGCCTGGCAGTGGAACATACATGAGTGAGGCGGATATTAATGAGCCGAATTGGCAAAGGGAGTTTTATGGCGAGTATTATCCTAGACTGTACTCCCTTAAGAAGAAGTACGATCCGAACGGGGTGTTCTACGCGCCTACAGCAGTTGGGTCCGAGGATTGGTATGTGACGGGGCAGAAGGAATGGGTGCCCAGTCAGGATGGAAAGTTGTGCAGGAAGTAAGGGGGCAGGAGGGAGTGCCGGCACATAAGATCGAGGGGATCTAATTGAGAGGTTTGAGCTGAACGTGGAAGGTACCTGCATCTCATAGGTGTGATGTACATGTACGTATGTGCATGAAGTCATGCACAGATTGCAACAGCTTGGGTCATCACACAACTCAGATACAAAAAAGCAACTAAAGCAGAACTGATCCCATAGTTCATCATTGACCACAAGTTCCGGACATTCCCATCGATCGATAAGGTTGAAGCATAGGCCTGAAACGCCGGTAAGCGTAACAGGTGGCGTAGAGCAGGCTTTCACAAACTGCCAATACAATTAGTTGGTGGGGTGACTGGTCGACTCCTGCCACGAAGGGGGGGGAGTTAGTTGGGTTGTACAAGCGAACTTCAACGACATACTGCATAGTGTACGTCAGGTGAATCCGCCGATGGGTGATTGCGATTGTTGTTTTTGGAGAAGACCGGCATAGGTTATCTAGGGACTAATAAAGTCCTGGATATGATTGTTGACGGCTGTAAACGTTAATGATGTCGGCTATGATGCTAGCGCCGTCAGTGTGATGGGAACGGCGTGCTGTGCTGGTTTGCAGCTGTCTGGTTGAGGCGGAGGAGATGTGGTGAAAATGAGATCCGATTCAGGAACTGTGCCTGGTGTGAAGTAAAGAACTCGATCATGTCATAATAGGTCCAAACACAAGAGCCTGATATTGTCGAAGGAAGTGTCGGGGCAGCCATTGGGGCGATCAAAGAGTAGCCCGATGCTGTCGTGCTATACATGTGCAGCTAACCAAGGATGTGCATGTCGATTTTTACACTGCATATGTATTACATATCGGTGTCTGCAGTGTGTACATATGAGTTGTGCTTATCCAGCTGTAGGTCAGTTGCCAAAAGAAGCTCATTGTGGAAAGACCGGAGATTGGTTTTGACGAAATAAGTGTCGCTGTACCACTTCTGGTAGAACCAGGCGCAGGAGATGCTGTTATGCTGCCCAAACAGAAGACAACCCGAAACAAAAGAGAAGGATCCTCATTAGGAGGCGTGCACTATTACGTTCCCAAGATCTCGCAGTGTCTCTCATGCTTCCAAAGAAGTGCTCAAGCAGATAGCTGACAGAGAGTGGGTGAGTCTTCGCCTGTGCGCTGTGTTGAGAATGACGCCATGAGCGTCATGAAAGAATATTAACCTCTTAGCGTCCATATTTTTCGAGGAAAGCACGAGCAGATGAGCAGGTGAAACCACTAACTTAAGTATCCCGCAAGTTATACTCCGCCTCAATCAACAAGTGATGATGCATTCGCTCATTGACTGGTACTGCCGCCCGGTGTGTGGCACACATTGCGCAGGCACTGTCAACTAGCCTTCACATGTGAAAAGTGGTCTCACTGAAAAGTAACCTTCCAAAGGGTTCAAAGTTAATGATGGCGCATGGAACAGGGCAGTAGTAGTTAATGAAAAAGAGCGAGGTGTTAGTAGTTGGGGTTGAAAGGTCAGAACGGGTGCCAGTAGGGAGTTGTGAGTGTAGACAGCTTGTTGAGAGAGGGAGCCCAAGCAGCAAGAACTGGCTTCTGAGAAGTCAGATTGTAGGTGCAGGGTATTCTTTGATCCTTAAGTACATCCAGCCTCTGAGGTCAAACCAGGCATGGCCCAGGTCTAGACGAGACGATGAAGAATTCGTTGCACATGGTCTTTGTCTGACCTGAATCTCCAGTAGAAATTCAGAAAAGCAAACCACAAATTGTCCCAGGACCAGTGAGTCAACACATCGAGACTGGCTCATGCGCCTCAGGGGACGGAGACGGCGAAGTCAACCCATAAATGGCAGTCGCATCAAGGAAAGATGTGGTCCGTGCCCCAATGTAGTTTATGGCGCCATCGAGGGAGGGGTCCAAAAAAGGTGGGGCAAGACTCACGCCCCGCAATGCGCGATTGGCGCGCTGGTTTTCAGGCACGCGACAAAACAACCTGGAAGAGGGGCAAGCGGCAGGTACAGAAAGCGGAAGCGGAAAAGAGGCTCTAGGACGGAAGGTAGCTGTGACCTAACCTGGAAGCCACTGAAAGCGAAAAAAAGAAAGTGAAACGTCGGCGCTGAATTGACCGACGCTTAGGCAATTTGGGCTGTTGAGACTGAGTCACCGCAGCCACAGCTTGACACGCCGACACGCTGACCTTTCTGACTCTACCAGCTCGCACCTCGCAGGCGACTCGAGTCGGACCCTGCGCGCCGGACGACTGCTGGAATTGAGAGCCTTGTCTGGATGAGATTCGTGGCCGCCGCCAGCGCCATTCGACCCTTTCCGCCGTCGCCCAGCCCCCAAGCTCTCCGTCGTGCCGCTGCCAACATCAGCATCAGCAGCCGTAAATTTGTTGGATACAGTTCCTTTCGTTTCTGTTCTGGTTCCTCCTCTCTACCCCGATCACGGGCCCCAACCATGGTTACCCCCATCACGGTGCACAACTCTCTCAAGCCCGGCGCACCCGTGCCGTTTGTCCCTCGCGAGGAGGGCAAGGTGTCATGGTACGCCTGCGGTCCGACCACTTACGACCTGAGCCATCTCGGCCATGCTCGCAACTATGTCTCGACCGACATCATCCGCCGCATCTTGATGTACCACTTTGGTTACCAGGTCAAGTTTGTGGTCAGTAAAGGGTCAAAGCGTGAGGTTTTAAAATGAGGTGACTGACGAGTGCAGATGAACTACACCGATATTGACGATAAGGTGTGTGGCATGCAATCCTCGTTCCAAAGCTCTTTCTGACTCTCTAGATCATCATCAAAGCCCGGAGGAAGCGCCTGCTTGAGCTCGAGAAGGAGAAGCCCTATACCCCGGAACAAGTCCGCGAGCTGGTCTTCAAGGCCTTCCAGGCCTATGCCAAGAGCAATCTGCCTCTTTTGGCTGGCGCCGAGCCTCTGGACGAGAACAATTACATTGAGCGGCGCGATGCTGCCTACGGTCGCGTGCTGGCCGGCGGCACGCTCTCGGGCGAAGGCAAGCCGAGCGACGCCGAGGCCAAAGTGAAGATGCACATCAGCGCCATGGATGCTGCTGCGCAGGCCCTTCGTGACGGCACCGGCTTCGATGGCGCGGAGGAGGTTCTTCTCCCCTACCTTGACAGCCTTTACAAGGACACTTTCGACACAAGCGACCAGTCCATCTTCACGAACCTGACACAGGCCATGGAGAAGGCGTTCAATGACGACATGACGGCACTGAACGTCCTGCCTCCCGATGCAGTCACCCGCGTGACCGAGTATGTGCCACAGATTATCAACTTTGTGCAGCGCATCATCGACAAGGGCTTCGCCTATGAGGCTAACGGATCTGTCTACTTCGACATTGCCGCCTTCGAGAAGGCTGGCAACACGTATGCGCGCCTCAGGCCTGAGAGCAAGAACGACAAGGCCCTGCAGGAGGAGGGTGAGGGCTCGTTGAGCAAGGGTCTTGAGGGCAAGAAGCGTTCGGGTGATTTTGCGCTGTGGAAGAAGTCCAAGCCGGGTGAGCCCTGGTGGCCGAGTCCTTGGGGCCCTGGTCGTCCCGGCTGGCACATTGAATGCTCGGTCATGGCGTCTGACAAGCTCGGTGAGCAGATGGACATCCACTCGGGAGGTATCGATCTTGCCTTCCCTCACCACGACAACGAGCTGGCTCAGAGCGAGGCCTACTTTTACGAGGCTGGGAAGGGCGAGCATACTTGGGTCAATTACTTTCTGGTAGGTTCCATCTCTTGCCGTTGAAGGGCCTAACTAAACTGGAGTAGCACATGGGGCATCTGTCCATTGCCGGCAGCAAAATGTCCAAGAGCTTAAAGAACTTTCAGACGATCCAGGATGCTTTGGCGACGACGTACACAGCGCGAAACATGCGCATTGTCTTCCTGATGGGTCGCTGGAACGACGGTGTTGAGATATCCTCCGACATGCGCAAGCAGGCCGATGCTTGGGAGAGTACCATTGACGTATGTCCTAAAGCCTGCCTCTGATAAGTCGAGTACTGACAAGGCAGAACTTCTTCACCAACATCAAAGCCAAGATCGCTGCCGAGGAACTTGCCGAGGGTGTCAAAGACATCTCCCTCGAAGACGGTCCCGGGAAAGCTCTTCTCGATGAGCTTGAGCAGGCTAAGACCGACCTTGACCTCGCCCTGCGCAACTCCTTCGATACCCCAACCGCCATGCAGGTCATCCTGCGCCTGGTGCGCTCTGCCAACATCTACATGAACGACAAGACCATCGAGCCCAGCTTGCGCGTGCTTGAAGCTGTTGCCCGCTGGGTGACCAAAATTGTGGGTATCTTTGGTCTGGATGCCCAGGCGCAGCCGCCGTATGATGGGTTGGGCTGGTCGTCAGCCACAAGCGGACCTGCAGCGAACGTGGACCCTAAGACGGCTGTTAAGCCGTACAAGGAAGTTTATGAAAGAGTTAGTGGGGAGATTAAGGCCCTTGGGCTCGACGCTCCTGCCATCCAGGTCCTCTTGGACGAGCAAACCCCCGATGCTGAGTTCTCCAACCTCGAGACATCTGGCGAAAAGGACATGGAGAAGCTTGCTCTTCCGTACATTCGCGCGACGTCCCGGTTGCGTGACGAGCTGCGCTCGATTGTGGGCACGCTCGAGTCAGAGAAGAAGAAGGCGGTGCTTGCGCTCAGTGACCGCATCCGCGACTATGACTTGACTGATCTTGGTGTCCAGCTGGATGATCAGGTCGACAAACCGAGTCTGATCAAGTTTGTGCCGGCGGCCAAGTTAATTGCTGCCAGGGAGGAGAAGATTGCCGCTGCGGCGGAGAAGGCCAGGCAGAAGGAGGAGGGTGAGTCCCCTGTTCTTTTTCTACCAACTTCTGACAATAAAAATATTAACATAGAGTAGCCCGCAAAGCCCGTGAAAAGGCCGAAGAAGAGAAGTGGGCCAAGGCTAAGGTCCCGCCTCAAGAGATGTTTAAGAGCGATCCTAAGTATGCCGAGTTTGATGCTGATGGGCTGCCGACGAAGCTGGCGGATGGTGGCGAAGTGCCCAAGAGCCAAGTCAAGAAGCTCAAGAAGGAGTGGGAGCGGCAGAAGAAGCTTCATGAGGAGTGGTTGAGTAAGTTTGGTGGGCAGTGATCTAGCATAATGATTTAGTTGGTTTGGTGGTAAAAATATGTGTATATGTTGGCGAGAGAACTTTAGTGTTCCGGTGAGCGATACTTGCTGTTGCTTGTCACCATCCGAGGCCCCGCTCAGAATCGGTTTGTATCTGTGTCTTGGCTTAGGGGACGGAGTGTTGGTTTTTGAATGGATGACTTGCAGCGGGGCGTTCTGTACGCTATGCGCCGCAATGGCCCCCAAATGTCTTTGGCGGGTGTCTCTCCAATGTCGGATAATACAAGCAAACCCAGCCAAACTCCCATTCGCCGATCGTACTCTCGCAGCGATCTTCCACAAAAGCATTTTTCCTTGCCAATTTTTTATGAACTGCTAGCCTTCGATGAGTATAGAAGATCCAAGTAGATATTAACCGCGGCTATTCTCCCGAGCCAAGTTTGCCGCCACGCGCGCGCTTACACAATATTACTATGATCCCCGGTCCATTCGGTAGAGGGGCATAGCATCGCTGCTACGATACAAGTACGGCGCAGCAGACGCTTCGTTACCGTGCCGCAGGCCTGTGCCTCGCAGGAACGAGGTCCAATGTTCCTCGAGTTGCAGCAACCCATGCTTGGCTGCTTGGCCCCCCATGCAGGAACGGTTTAGGCAACCGAATAGCTGAAATGCGAGAGGCGGTCTTAAGGGCTATGTACGCGATTGCTTTGGATCTCTCAGCTTAATAGGGAATTCTTGCTCCCGTTGCAGAAATGGGGAACGAGAGGGTCCCGGGTGTGCCTGGTTCACCGGTTTCAGAGCCAGTGTTGGGGGTTCGATCATGGTTCGTGTCGGATGTTGTGCGAACAGGCAGCAGGTTGGGGACTCGGCGATGTGTGAGGGATGAGGGCAGTGCCGCATTCGATTCCCAGGGAATGCGGCGTTTTCTGAACAGTTGGGAGTTTGGGTTTTGGGGGAAAAGGGAGGGTTTAGTTGGGCGAAGGGAAGATGCACGGGAAAGCAAGCAGGCATCAATCTTGGTTCTATTTCCTTTCCTCTTCATGGAGTTGTGAGATGATTAACGCAGCCGATAATCTTGTCGGACCGAAGGACAGGTAGATCGACGTCGTTGACGGTTTGGATGATGGGAGGATAAGAGATCAGATCACACCACATCCTGTCTTTGGTCTGACACAAGCTTCGCCTAAAGGGCATCCCGGTCCAGACTGAACGGGTTATCGACGGCGACGAGGATCTGCTCAAACATTCGCTTATTCCATAGACAACGGATATCCTCACTTCCTCTAATCCCTCCGACTCAAGTCTTGCGATGCAAGAGGTTCTAATCTGTTACTCTGTCAATCTGCGACGACATAGCCATCGACAAATCGGTGTTTGTCTGAAATCACTCAAGCTTGACTCATAACCTACCGACAACGTCCTTCTCTCAATTGGCGATACCCTCTAAACCCCGACGTTCTCAGTCGACTTCTGTCCGCTGGAGTGCCCACCGACACACTGTTAGGAATGTCCTGCACCTCAAGCCCAACCATGCCCCCCTCTAAATTCCCTCCCCGAAGCAGCCCCCTCCCCCAGCGCCCATCTCGACCACAACGACCACAGCAAGAATGCTTCGACGGTCTCATCCCCGTCACCACGCTCCCCGCTTCTCAAACATATCCATACCCTGAGGTGGTTCCTCCAGAAGAAAGAGGTCTCAAGAAGGAAAAGAGTTACCCTGAGGTTGTGGACATCGTTTTTCCGACAGGGACGTTGTTAAGTCCTGGGACGGGGGTACAAAGTCCAGATGTCGTCTCTCCTGTATCGCCGGTAACACGAGGAACAATAGGCAATTGGGTATGGAGGAGCACAGGGAATAACTGTAGGGAGCTTAGCAGAGCGGGAACGACTATTGCCACGGGGTACGGGCATAGGACTGGGGAAACTTTGCCGCGACCAGCAGCATTCGAACTACCCTTCCCGCCGCCTGTGCTGAGCCATCACCAGGTCGGATACTCACGCGGTGATAGGGTATTGTCGCGGGATTCAGAAGGGATTCGGTCTTTGCAAAGGGCGTGGAGTGAAGTCGGGAGTCCAGAGACCTCTCCTAAGTCAATTCCTGGGAAAGGGGAGAAGGGGACGCCAGATCAATTGGGGTCGCCGGGAAGATGGAAGTGGAAGCTCGGTATAGGAAGAAAGGAAAGGAGGAGGAAACGACAAATCTGGAGGAGTTTGATGCTTTGGGCGTTGGCTATTGCCGTGGGGATAATCCTGTTGTTAACTGGGCTTCTGGTGGGTGTCGTGTCTGGGGGGTTGGGCGTTCGTAAGGGGCAAGTTCTCTGTCAATTTCACCATTATTCTTTAAAGCTAACCCTTTTCCAGCAGTGACTCAGATACCGTTACGACCTCCTCAACCGGCATGCCCTCTTTTCCGGAACACCGAACATCTGATGTCAACTTGGACCTCGACATCCCCTCCTGCTCATCCTCCCACAACACAAACTACACCACTACGGTCCCCTCACACGACTCCAACGCTTCACCAATTCCAGAAACATCCACAACCACAAAATACAAAACCTTCCGCATCCACTGTGGCGCAAACTATCCCGGTGGCGACGGCTCATTGGGTTTGTTTCCGGGGCAACGAAGTGGGCCCACTTTTGCCCCTGAACAAAACATCACCTCCGCTACTAGTAAAGATGGGAACGGGGTGGGCATTCCAAAGCCCAAGAGTTTGGCGGCTTGTCTCGAAGCGTGCGCATTGTACGATAGTTGTGTAGGGGCAGTATTTGCTGTCAAAGCAGAATCACTGAACGGACAGGGGGATGATAACGGGGCAGAGTGCTGGCTTAAGGAATGGCTTGGCAGGGCGATTGAGATGCCTTTTGATGGAGACGGGGATGGGGAGGGAAAGATCTGGGCTGCTGGTGTGTTGTGGCAGTAGTAGGACGGTGCGGTGAAGTAGCATACTATTCACAAGGGATGTCAATAAGCATGTCGGTACTGGGATGGGGACTGGAGTTAAGCGTTCCGTTTTTGTGGCTGTGATCTTTGGGGAGGTCAGGCATGGTTGTAGAGGGCTTGGTTAGCAATAAAGTAGGCTTTAGTTGTGTACAAGCGCTGCAGGAGCACAATGAATGTCGCGTATAGCTGTAGTATGATGGTCAATTGGTCGGTGCTTAGTGCAGGTGCCCAATTTCGAACAGTCTCGGTAAATCGCACACAAACTACAGGCCACATTAACCTGGCTTCCCAAAGACTACTCCGCAAACTCCTAATTCATCCCCACTCGACCATCATGCAGCAAATATCTCTTCTTCCTCCACATCCTCTTCCATCCACGGAGCCCCGTTATACCAACCGCCATGTTCCTGCGCCATATGCCGATAAATCTCCTCCGCACTCTTCTCCTGCCCGCAGTAGAAGCACCAATGGGCGCCGCAAGGACAAGTGATATGATCACACCCGATCACCTTCTCCGTAGCGACTCCACACCGCGGGCACATCTTCACAACAAATTCCTTCTCTTTGCCCCGAACAAGCCCCTCACTAGCCCTCTGCTCCTCACATTCCTTGCATAACCAGCCCTCCGGCACATCCGTAACCCCTGCAGCGCAGCGCCGCTCCGCAAACCTCTTTGCCGTGCCACACCCGCGACACCAGCCATATACCCATTCACCCTTCTCACGCACCGCATCGCCCAGCCCGGCAAGAAATCTCACCCGTGCCGGTAACACACCATTGCCTCTCGGCATCCTCCGGCAGAAGGGACAGCACAGCGCTGACGTGTTGATCACCCGGCCAGGTGCATTGACGCCGTACCAGCCATCCACACAACCTGCGCAGATGGGTTGTCGGCAGCCGCGGCGACCGCCACAAGCCAGACGGAGCAGAGATGGTGCAAAAGAATCGAAGCACAGGGTGCAGGTGTGGGTTTGCACGCTGCGAGACGAGATCCAGTTGTTGAGATCGCGGAGAAGGGGGAGAGTGTTGTGGAGGGGCTTGCCGTTGATTGTAAGGGTCAGATCGGACTCTGCCTGCAAAGCCGGGAGAACAACGAGCTTCTCAGGTAGGGCAGCACGCTGTTCAGGCGAGAGGGGGGACAAGAGAGCGAAGATGGAACGCCCATTGAAGATGACATCCCCGGGCACGGCATCGTCGTTACGCAGCAGAAAGGATAAGCCGTTTTCGGCCATCAACTTCCGCGGCGTAATCTCCTCGTCGATGATGGTCTTGTCTGGCGCAGTAACGCATGCGGGGCAGACATAGGCTGCGGCGTCAAAATCAGCAGGGCGGTACTCTTTAGGCCAGATGACGCGGTTCAAGCACCGGGAGCAGGTCACGCACGGCGCGGTGGTTAACCGGGGGTAAGCTGGATCATCCTGCGACACAATTCCCTTATTGCGGCAGTAGTGGCATTTGGGCCGTGCCCGGAGTCCCTCGATGTCGTACACCACATACTGCGCACGGCACTCTGCCATGGAGCACTCGACCCAACTAGCCTGCGTCTCGGGACCATATGACTTGGACACGCCGATAGCAAGATATTCGTCTGCAGTCTTACCGACGGGTAATTGCTTATTCAGCTTTAGGCAGCGTCCGCAGACCCCATCTCCAGCCATGATGGTCACCGACCTTGAATAGCCGCACCACCTGCACATGACAATGGGGCCAAGGACAGACTTGGTCTTGTTCGGTGTCCAGCCAAGACGAGCCGTCAGCTTCGTATCGAGGTTAAACTCAAGCAGCTTATAGTCGACCAGAGTCTCGAACATCCGGCGATCGACATCCTTTAGCACACCGTCCGGCATGCCAGCCGCCTGAGCCTTCTTGTCAGCCTCAAGTAGTAGCTGCAGACACCCAAGGCTCCACGTCTCCGGAAAGTCAAGGGTATTCCACTTATCACGCCAATGCACGAGCTCCTCCAATGCAGCCTGCTCCAATGGCTTGATACCCATGCGAAGGCTGAGCGCGGCAAGAAGGGCGGCTGGCCGAGAACCAAGCATGGTTCCAGGGAGTATGGTGTGCAGCAGGATACGCCAGAATTTGCGGCCGTACTTGGGTGAAGCCAAAGCCATTGGGACGCGGGGAACGTCCTTGTCCGGGGCGGCAAGGATATGCGTGGGGAGGGCATCCGCCGTGTCAACGTATGTCAGACGCGTCAAGACACGACCCATACGGCGAAGGATACGCGCATCACAGGATCGGCCGATCTCAAGAAGCTCATCGCGAGTGAAGGTTGTGGAGGTGTCTTCGGACAACGAACTAGGTTCGAAACGTAGGGTGGGATCAAGAAAGACACAGGGGAAGCGAGCGTCCTCAGGAACTGAAAGAATAGTGTGAAGAATCTCGCCTACAAAGTCGTACGATTCCTCCAGCCACTTCTTCATTCGTGCCTGCTGCTGAGCATTCGAAATCTTGTCGACCTGTTGGCTAAAGCGGGTGACAAGCTCCTCACGCGCGGGGTTCTTTCGGTCGCTGCATACGGCGCGCCAGAGAGAGCTAAACACCGGGTTGAGAGCCATAGTCAATACATTCGAGTCGATGATACCGCTTAACTCAGCGACAACCAGTTTGCGGTACTCCTCATCCTCGCGGTAGCGCTTGGAAAAGTCCACAATAGGAGGTTTGCGGCGTGGCACAATGCCATTCAGTGCCTCAAGCGTCACGACCGTAGAAGACCACATCCTCCGCGACCGGGTTGATGAGGGACACATTCCGTCGCGACCGCAACCACGACCACGAGGATTAAAGGTGATCTCAGAGCGAGGAATGTCTTTCAAGATGCTCTGCGCTCGCGGGTCATCCTCCGGCCCGAGCTCCCCCAATTCAAAGTTTTCCTTGCCACCTTCGAAGACGATGTGATTCGCCAACCGCTCAGTACTTAGCGTCGCGCATTGCTTGGTGGCGCCCATCCATGCCATTATCAAGCCGACAGATAATGCCGAGATGGACGTGGAATCATTGCGCGACAGCTTCAAGCAGGTGCCGCCGGTTCGAGCTGACAGGTAGGCATAGTAGGGGAGTGCTTCACCAGGGCCATCGATTATGCTGAAGACAATGGCCTTCTTTTTGGCGTCGGCCAGCATATGCCCGGCGTGGATCCAATCGGCGAAGCACGCAGCGCTGGGGCCATATGGTGAATCGGGCCTCTGAAGCTCTTGCTGCTCGGCTTCGTACCAGTTACTGTATTGCCATCCCACCGTCCTGTTCTTCATGTGCGGCGGAGCATCAGCGTACAGAATGATGACGGTTGTGGCGTCGGGTCGCATGACGCTGTATGCTTTTGCCAGGGCCGTCTTGGAAGCCTCTGGGAAGTCGCACTGGCTGTTACTAATGGGTTGGAGGGACATGGCTGTGGAGAGCAAGGAGTCATGATCAATCTCACACAGGTCGCTTCGCTGGCTGTACCAGCCTGACCAGACGATGACAGGTCTGTCCACCAAGACTTGCTCGTAGTCGCGATAAGCCAGCAGACCGATGCGCCCAAAGCAGCCAGTCAGGGCAGCCAGGCGAATGATCTCGGGTATCGAGTCATTCAGCGAACGTAGGAAGGAAGTCATCGACCCCGTAGCGTCCGTGATAATGAGGAGATCGTAAGCCGTTGTCGTCTCCATATTGGTCTCTGTTCAAATTACTATGACTCTAAGATGTTGGCTTGGTCTTGCCTGATGGTGCTGGGTGTTTGTGCTAGGATGTTAAGAGCGAGAGTGGTTTGGGGAGACAAGGAGAATGACTGTTTTGGGACCGGACGAGGAAGTCTTGATGCTTTTTGTAGGCGAGAGATAATGAAGCGGCGGCCAACTGAATAGCCTAAGTGAAGTGAGGACTTAATTGCCGAACGCCGGCTGAGTCATGTTAGATTTATGTCCTCATTGATGTTACTGATGTTACGGGATGGATACTGTCCATTAGGCAGCAAGCCAAGAGTTGTCCTCAAGTCAGCCGCAGCGCTCCCAGCCTGATCCTTCATGCCAGGCCAATACCAGAAAAGGGCAAAGACGCCAGCCAGTCCACAAGAACAGATGCAGCGCGATAAAAATATTATCGATCCTTTTAGACATTGTTAGAGTGTTTCATAGAGCGGTATTTGCAAGACGCGATGGATGATGCGCTGCTTGAAGGAAGGCTTCTGCTCATTGTCAATGATGGATGGTCTGTAGAAAACAAAGAGAATGGGAAGATTCCAACAAATGGTGATTGCCCGGAGCCGGCGGGGCCTGTGGCGAAGGATATCCTGAAAAAAGATTGCTTACTCCTGCCCAGGAGCACACTGGGGGACGATTTCCTCCCCCCCCCCCCTTCAGGAGCAGGTGACCAGTGCCTGAAGGCATGGAAGGTAAAGGCTGAAGGCAAAGTTCATGTTTTCTGTTCGCATGCTGACTTAGCTGTAAAGCAAACTCTACCCGAGCTATCTTCCAGGCCTGGATTTAGGGCATTTAGGTCCCGCTTGCCAAGTAATTCTAGAGCCCTGGTTTTGAGGGTTATGCAACGAGTAATAGCCCCTTTTGCCTGGACAATATTGTCAAGGCAAAATCAACGACAATAGAGTCAAGATCTTCCTCTGAAAAACATGAAACATATATTGAATGAACCATTGTCACTTGAAGATCCCTCTCTTGTTGTTCTCTGTCGTTCCGAGGCCACTCCTTAACCATCCACAACCACTACCTATACAACAACCTCCTTCCCAGGATGTGGCTCCCCCGCAAACACAGTTGACCTCCCCCGAGTCGGCTCCCACATCTCGACCTTCTCCTTGCTCTTAGCGCCAGCGCCAGCCGCCTCAAAGTTTCTTTCCTCGTCTGGACCGCCTCGTCCTAGTCGGAACCAACCTTTCTCAGCCTTAACATGAACAGATGCACTTAAAGAAGGAGACCTTTTCTCTGTCCCAACACCCACCAAGACAGCTGTCCCCGTTCTTGCCACAGATCTAGCTGGACTACCTACACTCGACGTGTCCCTCGTAATACTGGTAGTCCTACGCCTACCAGCAGACCCAGAGATGGACCCTACAACTGTCCCACCATCTGAACTCGGAGCTTGCATGTGTCGATGCCCACGCCCATGCCTCTTGGGCTCATCCTCGCCGAAATCACCACAGTTGTCATCCTGGCGACGGAACCTTGCAGAACGGCGAAAAACTAAAAACCAAAGGGCCGTGATGATGAGAATGACGAGGATTGGGACCAAAATGCCGATGGCAATTTGGCCTGAGATGGAGAAGCCGTGGCTGTGGTTTGGGATGATGGGTTGTAAGGACGGTGTTGGTAAAGATGCGGAGGTGGGGTTCGTTGGAAGGGGAGTTGGCGATGGTGTTGGAGATGAGGACGGGAGCTGGAAATGTGAGGGGGTTTGGCTGGTTGAGGAAGAGGTTGAGGACGGGCTGAAGGGGCCAGAGGACCTTTCCGTTGCTGACGTCACAGAGCGAGTTGAAGAGAATACCACTGTGACACCGTTAGTGAAAGTCGTGATGGTTGATATTTCCAGCGGCGTCTGTTCCACGGCACCTGTTGCCGCAAGATCCAAGCAATATCCTCCCCCTTCACCGCACGCCTGTCCAAGAGCACAACAAACCCCTCCACACTCAAAGTCTCCTTCAGCACAGACCCTGCTGCATCCTCCAGACGCGGCAGCCTCAATAGGACAGCAATGGAAGGCACCAACGATGAGCGCGCATGACTCGTTCGCACCGCCTTTTCCAACAGGTCAGTTGCTAAGCCATGAGGGTAAAGACGAACAAGGAAGGGAACATACAGCACCACCCTCCTTGAGGACAAGCGACCTCATTACTAGCACATTCGGGGTAAGGTAAGAGAAGCGAAGTTAAGTGGCGGCGACCGGTACCTAGACGGATCTGAGAAGTATGGCGGGCAGGCCGAAGAAGGAACGCAGCTGGCTTCGCTGGGACAAAAAATGTCCCATTCATTTTGGTCATTGTTTACTGTGAGTCTACTTCCCTTCTTGGCGATAGCACAGAGAAGAGTAAAAAATAAATCGACGTTTCTCCTCTCTAAGCCAAGGTGAGTCCCCCATAAATAGATCCCGACACCACCGAACCGTCCACCAACCCCTGTTACCCGCAAGCCACGCCCATCACCATGATGCCAGTCCCGCAAAAGAAAGACCTCACACCAAGGATCGCTGTGCGCAGGCCGTTTAGCCGGGGACTGTGGCGTTAGAATCGGCGCCGGGGATTGGGCGGACCCAAATAATATGCAGGTCCAAGCTCACTCTTTCGTTTGTCGGCGGGTGTGATGTGTTGCTTGGCGATGTGAGAGATCGGCATTGAGTGTTCAGCTGCGTTTGCGATTTGATTCGGGCTGAGAGAGAAAAATTCAGTCTGTTTGACAAGTTACGGGTATCATGTTTTACATCAGTTGGCGATCTGGCTAGAAATTATCCGTCTTTTTATGGTAAGCTGTCCATTTGTTTGGAGATAGAACTGCGGGTGATGGCCGGTCGTTTGTGTACTAGCTGGAGATCAGTACTGCACGGATTGTCTAGGCTCTATATGAGCACACATCCAAATATCTCCCAAAATAAAGCCCACATCCTTCCTTTTTGCGCCCTGGTGTCTGGTAGACACTACTAGCATTAGTGGTAGAGGTCAATCCACATCCGCGTTGAGATCTTAATTCGGGCGGCGGATGAAGGCTTGTGATATTTGCGTAACATCCGAAAGATAATGGAACCTGGCATCTGAACACAGGCCGACTGTTTCCTGTTGTTCGCGACTGCTATATCGATGTTGGAGTCCAGAATTCCACCGATACGGTAGGCCTCCAGCATCATCAGTAGCTTTTAAACCAGCAGCTTGCTGCAAATAGCGGGCGGGAATGCAACGGGTTGATGTTGTATTCCCATTGATGTTCCGTTTAGGGGTGTCGAAAGCAGGCCAAGAAGATGGTGGTGATTCTTCACATCGAGCTTAACATGATCATTCTGCCCCCTTCAAGTAAACAACGCGTCTGCCTCCTGCCAAGCAGCAATCTCCCTCCTCTCGGCAAGCGCTGCCCTCTCCACCTCAACAGCCTTCCGACCGTTGTCGTCTTCGACCTTCGGGATCTCGATACTAGCTAGACCCTCGATCAAGCGTTTCGCCTTGTCAACGACGGCGCGCACAGCAGCCGTCTCGTTGCGCTTGGCATCCAGATGGTCTTGCATGAGCTGGATAAGCTGCTCACGAGCCTGGTGCGGGCGGTATTCATTCAGGATGTGGTGGAAGTTGAGGACAATAGTCTTAATATCTTGGACTTTTTCAGAGGCCTGGAATACGGGATTAGCTAGGGTTCTCTAACGATGATCTCGGGTAGCAGCAGAACTTACATGGGCGGGATTGATGCTCATAATGCCCATCAACTCAAGATAGTTCACAAGCAGGGACTTAGCCAACTTTTTGAGCTCAAATCCGCGATCAAAATGCTTGCTGTCAGAGGTGGTCTCGCTAGCTGGAGCCAGCCGCTGAATGCCCGCATCTTCGAGGCTCTGCAGAGAGTTTGCGAGCTAGATGAGTGTATGTCAGCATAAGTTTTGCCAGAAAAACAGTGGTATCTAGTAACTAACCGCTTCTTGCTGACCATACAGCTTCCACTTCCCATCAACTGGTTCTGGCGGTGGCTGCAGGTTGATCAAGTCCGCTGGGACATCAGGGATCCTAACCAACGCGTCGGAGCTGAGGCCATGTTGCTGGGCATAGGTTTGCTTGAGCGCGTTATACCGTTCAATGTTCTCTGGTGTAAAGTCCTTCCAGAAGGCCGGAGGGTCAGGCCAAAGGTGCGCGACCTTGTTGCCATCGTCTTCGCTGGAATCCATCTTGTCAATGGAGTGATGTGCAAGGCTTATGGGGTGTGATTTTTATTGCCGCGGCACTGTCGCATTTGGTCGCCGACTGGATCGGAAAAAGATTCGTAATGATAAGCTCAACTGAGTCTGGCTTATACTAGGGGATTCGCTCCTCCATCGGGGCGGCGCGAGCTTCAAGTTCGTGAAAGCTAATTGTGCCGAGTCTGGGTTGGCGGGGCAGAATGCAGCGTTCACGCGCAGCTATCGATGGTGATTGTAATAACGTTGTGTCCGTAATACAATATTTCCTTTAATTGCATTGCTTCGCTCGGCCCAGGTACTCTATCGGTGTATTAGGACTTGGCATGATTGGTGTTATAGAATGTCCAGGCTCTTTTCAAATCAATTTCCCTCACAACAAGTGACTCAGGTCGTAAGTACTTTTGCTCAGTATCGAATCTTCTCAATTTTCATTATTTTCGTTAAAACACTCGCCGCGTTGTTTGCAGTGTTCTATCCGACATCGTCAGTATACATGCGACTAATGAAGATTTACGCCACAGAGAACCTCAACGGCTGTGGCTGCAGCTACCCATATGAAGTGGCTAGTGAGTGGACCCTATGCAGACCCAAGTTTCTTGAACAAGCTTCAGCGCAACAGTTTCGTCTCCCTTCATTCTCGACTCTTTATCCATGCCGACGCGGTTCCCAGCCATTTAATTATCCAACTTGCTCACATCACCATAATCAAGATTGTCGGATTCACTAGTCGCCTTACGTCATCAATTGACCCATCGCGCAAGCCTCAGTTTTCTCCCCGCCACGCTCTAGCCTCAACTACACCCAACGACTTACACCGCTTTCAATCTCATCCTTCGACTATGGCAGATGCCCGTGCCCTATTACGACAACAGCGCGCCGCACGCCGAATAAACCACCCGCTCGCTGCATATCTAGACAATGGCAAGCTCGTCTGTACCCTGTGCCAGGAGTACATCAAGATCGAGTCCCTTTGGGACACCCACCTACATGGCGCGAGCCACCGGCAGCGGTTACAGCGCCAGCAGCAGCAAGCACAAGCTTCCACACGACCGATTGAACCTCCCCGCGCGGGGTTTATAGGCGACGTTGAAGGGGAGAGGGCAGCGCCCAGCGCAAAGAGGAAGCATGATGAGCCGGGACCCGTAGCGGAGAATGGCGAAGACGCCAACGATGAGCGCAGAAAACGCCCCAAGCCGGATGACGCCACCACTCTCTCAGAACAACGGCGCCTACCCGGCATGGGCTTTGGCCTCGAAGTCCAAATCCCTTCACGCCCCGCCACACCAGGTGGCACATCCTCCAATACCGGCTCCGGCACACCAATGTCCCTGACACCTAAAACCGCGCCCCTCGGACGCTCCCCCCTTGTTACCGAAGAATCAGCCTCCCAACCAGAGCCCGCCCTCCCGAATGGCCCCTCCCATACCCAGCCAAACGGTCCCTCTTCCGAAGAACAAGTAGACGAAGCCCTCTGGTCAGCCTTCGAAGCCGACCTGCTGCAGCCGTCCGCCGTAAAAACACTCACCAACCCGGAGATGAACCCGGACGCGGTAATCTTAGCACCAGCGATGACCGCAGAGGAGGTGGCCGCCAAATCAGAAGAGGAAGAGCAGGCGCGGCGGAGGGCGCTGGTGGATATACAGCTGGAGGATGAGAAAGAGGAGGCGACAAGGAAGTTGGAGGAGGAGTTTGAGGTTATGGAGGAGCTAGAGGCGCGGGCAAGGAGGTTAAGAGAGCAAAGAGAGGCGTTGAGGGCGAGGGTGATGAGCGCTGGTGGTAGGCAGGGGGTAGCAGCAGTTGAAAAGGGAGACAGGGGGGGAAAGGCGACCACCCTTGTGCAGGAAGAAGAGGAAGATGAGGATGATGATGAGGATGATGATGATGATGATGATGATGATGATGATTGGGATGGGTTCCGCTTCCGAGCTTGAAAGATGAACGGTTGGGCAAGCCGAGTCTTGAGGAACGCAAAGGAAGAGCATAGATATCGGAAGAAGAGGCTGGCAAAAGCCTCAGTGGCAGCAAAACGGACTTCGGAAATGTCTGTACAATATCGTGTACCATGACGGTACGTGTCATAAATAATTCTAGTTACATGATTTGGTTTATGGAATCATTCCAAGATCATACATCCCATAACCAAAAACCTCTAGTATGTCATACCAAACCGGAACGCCATCCACATATTTGCCGCCCAGCCCTTAAAAACTTAAGCCTCTCCCCTAGCCATCCGTTCCCAGAAAACCCTCATGCGCCATACCCTCCCAATGCCTTTCCTCTCGAGCCAAGCCCTCGCCATCTCTTCCTTCTTCTTCACCTCAACCATCCACACTTTCTCCAACCAGCCCCTCAATTGATCCTTCACCCGCTCCCTCTCCACAGCCCTCTTCTTCTCCACAAGACTCGGGGCAACTGCCGGCCCATTCCTCTTCGGTAACTGCCCGCCTCGGAACCACCATGAAGGCACGCACTCCTCTGGCAGGACGGCACGAGCAACGAGTTCCTCGGCCGAAGGCCGCATGGCCAGTCGGCGGGCAAGACGGGCTGAGGCGAGGTTATGAGCGAGTCGGCGGGAGGCCCAAGCTGTCCGAGTGAGCAAGATGGAGCGGCGGACAAGCTCATCATAGGATGGCCGAGTTGCAGAGAAAAGCATGGGCGGCAGAGTGTCGCGAACGCGACGTAGGCGTTGGCGATGGAGAAAGGGAGAGACGGAAAGAGTTCGTAAACGGCGGCATACCTTTGATTGTTAGCGGGGTACATATCAAGGTTGAGGATTGAACTTGTAGTAACGTGGGAAGGGGATGAAGAGAGTGATGAAGTTTTGTAAGTTCGACTCCTGAAGGAAAGATCAAGGGGGCAGAGGGTAGGGAGGACATACTCTCGACACTGACAGCAAATCGCAAACATCCACATAGGACAGTATGTGAAGCAGGATCTCGTTTGGCAAGTCGAGCAGACTCTTCCAGCTACCACACGGCTTTTTGCTTTCCATCTCGACGTCTCCCGAACCTTGGACATTGTGTCCTGAGAGCTGTCGAATCACAAGGGAACACTGAACAGACATGTCACTGGGAAGCTCCGATGGACTATGGCCCAAAAGAGTGAGCCTGTCAGTCTTGTTGATGAGTTGTACACTGACGACATGGCCCAGATCCAGAGCTGAAGTGTCTGTCTGCTGTTGTGCTAGCACTGGCTGAATCTGATCCTGTTGGCCTTGACGTGGTGTCACTAGCAATGGCGCCATCACAACCAAGTCCCCTCTAGAGGACGTGTATCTCTTCCTCAAAGGGTGAGGCGCGTGTGTGAACCAGCTTAGGACTGATGAGTTGGCAGCGGGATACTGTCGTCGGCACACGCAACAACAGCTATCTGGGCGTCTCCAACCTTGCCGTAGCGCCTTTTTGCTGGTACCGAGAACTATCGCTCCTGCGGAGGCCAGACCGAGCGCGGGGCAACTAAACGAATGGCCGATGGTCTCTTCGATTTCGTGCTCAACTCGCCACCTCACCAAGTTTAGCCCTGAGCCGACGGTCGCTTTGGGGCCAGCAACGTGAACGCCTATCTCATGTGCTAGCCCAGCTTACTTAGAGCCAAAGCTTTGTGTGATCTGCTGCGAACAGATCTGTAAGACGGTTGTGCAATGGGGAGCGTGGCGCGGCTGGCGGCAATGATACCTCGGACAGTGTTAGACGGATTAGGCAAGGGAGCACAGAGTAGCGTCAGTTCCGAAGACAAAGCAGGTCAAGCAGTTGGTCGCCGAGATGGCCCGCGCGATCAACCAAGTCACCGAGGTGGCTGGTTCTTGGGGATAAGGTGGGAGAGGATGGAGGGTGCACAGTACAGGCCGATCGAAAGCAGGAGAGGAGGACAGGTATGTATAACCGGCAGACACATTCAATTGTGAGAGTTCAGAATCCTGTGAACAGGTTGAGAGACTAATGACATGATCAGGGCGTTGTTGTGAATGGGGAGTGAGCGTGACGAAGGGATGAAGGTGACGGCGTCTCCGTGTTGACGTCGCGATGGTCACAATACACGCTCAGATGACTCTAGCTCGTCTGATTGTTGACTGGCTGGGACTGCCGGGGAACTCAAGGCTGACGTAGGCTAAGAGAGCCAGAGAACGAACCGGAAGATGCGTTACACCAAGCCAGCATGCAAGGCAAGAAAGCAGAAGGCAACAGCAAGAACATCTGAGACGAGGACCTGCGACAGGCAGCGCAGCCACAAGAGCGCCCCTGTCATGACCCTGGTTGTTTCCCCGCCTTCCCTTTTTTAAGCGCACGGAAGTCGTGATGTTGTTCGGTCTGTCCGGTCAAGACAGGCATAACCTCCAAGGGAAGACGTGCAACTCTTAAATTGTTGGAACATAAAGCACGAGCACTGCTTGACGTTATATTATCATTTTGTTTACCAGATAAACTTTAGTAGGGATTAATACGAAATTCGCTGGAGTGCACTACCAACTGGCCGGCACTTCCCCCTCGGTGTTACTGTTTCTGGGGTAGGTCACTTATGTAAGCTTCTGTCCGGACTTTCCGCGATAACGTTCGATAAGCAAATGTGGGAACGGTGGAGCCGATCTGCGAACCATAGTTAGCTCGTTAGTAGAGTCTTCCAGCGCCTCTCCCAGCACAGCTTCTCGCAAACTGTCTCAGATTTCCAGACTTCGCGAAGAGAAAAAAACCAGTCAGTATGGCTCCCTTGCGAAGCCCGTTGCTGGAGTCTCGAGGTGTTGGATTAGAAAGTCTTTGTGTGTCCAGTCCATCAAGTGCTGCGGTCCTCGCCTACATACGGCCAATATCAATGCATCCTTCTCCCAGACAAGGCAGCCCGTAAAACAGCTCAAACCGAAAAACTTACCAATACTGTAACAGCTTCCCCACGTCTCGCAAGCTCTCTCTCTTGTCTTCAATCAGTCTAAGAAACGCGCAAACGGCACCTGAAAACTACTCATATAATCTGTCTACGCCTAGCATCTCCTGCACCGTGCCGCTGCCATCTCCCACAACCCGACGCGCAGGGGGCTGCAAAGGGCCTGCTTCTGCGAGTCTTCTGTTTAGCGGCTTTAGCGTCGTACTGACGCGCGGCTGGCAATCCAGGGTGCCACAAAACCAACCTTCCAGTATAGCTCTCCGACGGGAAGCTTGTGCCACTGTTCAGGCATCCCCTCCAGGCCCTTCTGCAGCCGCCCGCCATGCACGCCGCCCGTCTGCAGGTTGCTGAGACTTTGGGTCCAAGCTAGGCGTCTTTTCGATTATCCATTTCCTTGACAGCTAATGCTCACTTGCGGAGCATCATAGCTCTTCAAGATTGAGGGTAGGCATGAGCTAAAAAATACAATCCCCACTTCTTGGCTCCATCACAGCATTGACGCGTTGGCCGGCTCAAACACGCGGGGCTGGCCTGCTCGTCTGCGGCCGGGTTTCTTCATCACTCACACGATGCCTATTCAGTCAAGGAAGCCATCCCCTCGCAGCAACACACCGGCTTTTTCTCTCCTTTGGGCTTTCCCGCGTGTATATAGTGTAGTTTAGGCAGTCCATAATCATCTCTTGCCCGCCGCCGTCTGGGCACGATCAAGGACCCTTAAGGGTGAGACGGGCCGAAAATACAATACAATACAATACAACAGTCAAGGAAGCCGAGGACCAACAATATCTAAAGCACTCCGACTGTCAGCTTTTCGAGCTTGCTTGGGTACTCTCATCATCATCAATGCTTGGCGCGGCAGGTTTTCATCATGTTGAACGAGGGCCCGAAGAGGTTAAGCCCAAGCCAACTCAGAGCCCTCACGCAACGCATCGTAGGCTATCGACGCTATTTCCATGAACAGGCTCCAGCTATATATTGACCGTCAGAACCTCAAAGTGCGCAAGGAGCCAGCAAGACAATGCATACCAATGCATACGCCGGCAGCCATGACCATCTGAAATCCAGCGTAGAGATCTAAGTAATTTTTTTGCCTCTGTCTTGTATATTAGACATCATTCTGATCACCAAAAGGTCTTTTGATGGAAGTAGTTCCGCGACGTGGGTGCCCCTGTGGCCGCGTCCAGGGCCCGCTTCTGCCGAAGTTAGGGCTGGCCAATGATGTTGCCCAGATGGGCTCGTTGAGGCTGTGCCTAAAACGATTGATCCCCGTTACCCGCTGTTAGCGCGCCAGGTCGTTTAACGTCAGTTCATATGTTTCGACATGTCTTGCACCAGATTATCGCTGACCAAAGAGCTTTCCTTAAGCATGGAGATGTCTAAATCCGAAAGTATAACATTTATTTTGGTTGTGTGTCTTTTTACAGATCCACGAAGTAACGGTGCACTATGAGTGCAGGCCGATCTCGGTTCTTGAACGTTTCAAGGCTGCACAACAGAGCTGTGTCTACAATCATCAGCATTGGCAAGTGGCAGATACAGATTTCAAGTCATTGAGTGTTGTCATGCTCTGTTCGCGCAAAACTCTGAGCAACATGTTTGGATCAGTCCCATGTGCTTGTAATTACCATTCTGGGAAGCCTTAGATTGACAGTTCGACAGCCACAGAGAGAAGTTGATCTGAAGCCACGGCTCCGCATGCCAGCAGACGAGGGAGTTAAATGATTTTAAAAATGACAAAGGTCACCATCCATTCTCAAAAATGGGCCGCTCCCTCTCGATTGACTGAATCTATTATAGCCACTCAATCGGTGCAATTGATAACTGGATTCATGCGTCTGGGAAAATTCAAACTGTGCCCTCTGTTCAGCTCATCATTGGGCACAGAAACACACAATGGCCTTGCGGGGGGCGACCAGCTTTACAACCACCCCTGTGTCTCTCACTATGCTCCACTAGGTTGCATTCTTAGCGGCCATGTCCACATTGATTTCACCGCGCTCTATGTTTCGCTTCCTATGTGGTCAATTTCAAACCCAAGTGACCAGCTTGCAAGGGTCCTTGCCGTTCTTCTGCCCCTTCGAGTTCCTCTTGAGTTGTTCTCCCAGCTGATATACAGACGCTGGCCGGAAGATTGGCGCTGCCGCGGTCCGGCTGCGGCCACTCGCTAGCCTGGCATTGGCAGAGATCATTACGTACAGCGGGAAGGAGTAAAATCTCCAGATACGGTCACCAAATCAAGGCCGAGTTTGTGGGCCTTTCATTTGGAAACATGGTTCATACGGTATAACAGTGAAGAAGGCCGGCAAGGTTTCGATATTCTCGATCCGAGCTCAGTCTCAGTTGCAGCGGGCAGCTCGCACCTAGCAGTGGACAATGTAGCACTACCCCACGACAAACTCTACGAGGTGGAAGTTACTGTGACCAGAGAGGTCTGCGAGCTGAGCCTGCTGGTTCCTGTCACGCCAATCATCACTCTTCAAAACCCTGCGGTCACGAAGAACCGAGACTAGAGTCTTAAGGACTCGGACTGCGAGGGAGAGGCCGCCGACACCACGACGAGAATGACATGCATCGTGGGTCGGTGTTTGGTAATCTGGTTCTCGGTTCCGGGGCCGCTTCCGCTGCGGCCCAGTCACATTCTAAGATCAACGCGGACTTGGTCGGCTAGATAATGAATGTGGTGAATTTTTCTTTTCCTGTGTCGATTTAGTTTGGGTTCCTCGTTCGTTTCTACGTGACTTATCTTGACTAGCATACAAAAGTCAGAAACACGAAGTTCGCGGATGAAGCGCTTTACTTCTTTCCTATTGTGGGAAACATCCTTCTCTAAGTGAGGCTGACAGACCAGAGAAACCTTCCCTCTGAGATACAGACAACGGGAGAGAGCTGGCTAACGGCTGAAGACGCCGGTCCTGATCCAAAATCACGTTCAATTGTAACCATATCTCCCAAAGCTCCCCCAAAAGGCAACAGTCGCTAGCTACTTAAGTGTCGCCACGTCATTTCTCTGGCACACAACCCTACCCACCCTCCAGGGCTCAGAGCGGGCCGTTTTGTGGGGATAACTCTACTACTGCCTGTCTGCCTTCCCCCTCCAGCTGCCTGTATGGAGAGGCTTTAGCCTCCGAAAACTTACGCAAATCACAATTTCACTCCTCTTCCGTGCTTCCGTGATGGACTGGACTCGTGGGATAGTGGGGAGCAGGCCAGATGGCCGCTCGTTCATGTGAGCGAGATGTCCTGCGAGCATGGCGCGCTTAGCGGAAGATTCTACTCCATATATGTGGGCAAGAGCGGAGCTCTCTGCAGCTAAAGAACTTTGTGAGAGCAAGGTTGAGGCGTGAGGGGTCAGGCCTTCCGGGGAAGTGAGTAAAATCCGGATTGGACTGCTGTACCGGCTCTGGAGAGTGACAAAGTTGCATGCACCGGAACCCTGTCCCCTGGAAGACCCGTTCTAGCAAACATGTGTAAGCCTGTAAAATTGACACTGTAGAGCGTAGACGCCGGCAAGCGCAGATTTGTCCCAGGTGTGTATTGCCACCGTATATCATGGCGTTTTAAAACCTTGATTAGGAAAAATCTCTAGTAGTGTTTGCCGCCATGAGGAGGTTTGGGACCAGGCAATGAATGTCTGTTGCCTCATCAGGATAACAGATAACTTAACCTGACATGATTTGTCCCGCACCGTGGCAAACTGCGGGTGCATTCCATGATATCCGAGTTGGGCTGTCATTGTGCTTTGAGCGTCCAGCCCGCCTTTCTCCTGATAAGTGTTTTGGGGATCAGAGAACTACTAATGAGTAAGAAAGCATCCTTGGATATCATTATGTCCTTGAAACCTTCCTAATAACTGCAATGGCATAAGGTGGACTAACAGGACATCATCCTTCTGAACAATTCACACACTTATTCTCCTATTCCGTTCCTCGGATCACTAAACGTTTTCAAGAGTGAGCATTATCCTCGATTGTTGTCGAGAAGTTCACTCAAAGCTCTGGCCCCCCTCTCCTCATCCTCCCCCAAATCATGCAAAACAGCCACTTTTTTCCTATCCCCTATTGGTGGGATATGCAAGGCACATTCTCCCCGCACGACAAGAGCCTTGTCTACATGAAAAAACAGTTGATACAAAGTTTTCTGTCTTTTTTTCTCTTTCTGTCTGTGTGTGGCATCATGGACACATGTCGGAGACCTTGCCCCTCCTTGGCCCCGTAACCGACCCGTGGCCGCGGCCAGGGCGGCCAAGGCAAGGACCAATGTTTTCCGGATATGGAACGATACCGGACGGGGGACCCCGCCCGGCCGGCTCCCCGAGCTCAACGGGCAGATCCCTTTTTCTGCTAGTGAATGGGTCTTGTCAGGCCTAGTCGAGAATCAAGCGCGGGGCTGGTTGTCAAGGCCTCGAGCAAGACCATGTCCGGTCTAGGCAGGAACTAACAAAGTGAATCCCTGGAGATTCATAGTGCCCCATTAAGGATGTTTCTTGAGGTTTTGTGGGTCTCATTGTCCAGAAACGGGCATTAAAGACCAGTGGCATCGGCAAAGAAGCGTGCCCCGCTACCCCGTGCATGGAACATGCATGGAGACCTCTGCGCGGAAGGGAGGCATGGTTAACGGAATATCAGCGGGCTAAAGGTAACCATGGCTGACCTAGTAGCTCAAAGCGGGAATTTCTCTACGATAAACCTATCTCGGCCCAATTATACAGGTCCTGCTCAAGACAGACGCGCGTGGAATCTGGAAGGCTACGGAGCAGTGTGACAAGCGTTTGCCCCTCTTCTCTAAGCTCTCTAACCTGCCCCCCCTTTCAAACATACTGAGACAATATATTTACGTGTAATACGCCCCATCTAACCTCGTTAAGCCTTTTCTCCAGACGAGCACAAAGCAGTCGATGGCGTCGCTGTGCAGCACGGTGGGGAAGCAGGACGGACGGGCCTTTTCTTGTCTCTCATATGCCATGAACGACGTGGCTCCTATGGAAGGCCATCCCAAGAGATGATGGCCCCTTTCCGCGGGCCAGATCAACGGGACCTGTCTGCCGGCTCAAGTCGGTGGCTGCCATTACGCAGGATGGCTCACCCGGGGTGTGGTTCGAGGACTTACTTCACTTACAACATAGCCGGCAAGTACATGCCTTGACTCCCTACAACAACCGGCTGGCCTTCTTCCTTATCGACATCCTTTGTGGACTTAACTAGAGGTTAGTGAGTGACCTTCCCAAAACATATGGAGTACAGGTGTCTATCCCTCTGGATAAGAAGCTGTCGAGCCTGCCAGCTGGCTGAATTGCGCCCTTGGCTCTTTTCTTTCTTTAACGGAGTGTACGTACAAGCAGGACACTGGCATCTTTCCCCTTCCTACTTCCCACCCTTCCATGCTTACCGCGCCATTCCGGGGAAGCGGGAAAGGATCTTTTCCTTCACCTTGCTTCTAGCCTGTCGGCTATGTGTCTTTCATACCCTTGACGCCGATTGATGCATGGCGAAGTTGGCCACTTCGATCAAAATGGTCCAGTCCGATGGAAACCGGACAAAGGACACGGCGAGGGTGGTATAAGAAGCGGTGAATTAGACGTCGAATTGTGTCGGTGGCAGTTGTCTAACAAACACAAAAAGGGACACATATCATTGACCTCCAAGCTACCCCTTGACCGCTTCGACACCTTGAGCCTTGTGGAGCAGATTTGGCTCACGAGTACAACCGCCCTTCTAAGATTTTAACAAGCATCCGTGGCCTATCCATCCAGTATATTTGCCTCAAGGTAATTGAAGCAACCCAGAGCAGTACGTACGTGGGCTGTTGTGGTACCCCAAGTGCCGTCAAGTGCTAAAGTTCGTAGGGCAACCTGACACTAATAACTATTGTTTTATATCTAGAGTATGGATACCACCCACTGAGAGATATCGGTCACTTAATTTCCACTGTCATCACTGTCTTCTAACGAAGGGTCATCCTCATCATTGCGGCCGCGCCCATCACCAAGTATACTCCTATGTGAACCCCCTGAACCAGCTTAGGGTCACATAAACAATCTTGCTCATCAACAACGCCCCTACAAACTAGTCTTCAATATCATTCCAGGGAGACCTAACACATAAACACAAACACAACAACCATATATCCAACCTAAAAACCCAGAATGTGCTACTACGACCAACTAGTCTGGCGCTGCGGCTACTGGAAATGGTCCGTCTTCCGCGAGCAGTGCCCGCGCGAGCGGCGCATGGGCGAGACGTGCGGTCTGCGTCTGGTCATGACGGCCTATTTTCAGGAAGACATTTGCAAACTCTGCGACGAGATTAACAAGAAGCAACGGCGCATCGAGAAGATGTCGCAGGACATTGCGCGCTGGAAGCTGGAGGGCAACCGGCGCGCGACGATCGATCGGACCACTGCCGAGATTAAGGAAATCGAGATGAAGTTGGATCGGTTGAGGGTGCAGCATGAGGGGAGGATTAAGGGGAGGATTTGATCTGTGGGTTGACAATAGCGTCATGTCTCTTCTGCTCGTTCATGTTTCACTCCATTTTTCTTGTTTCTTTTTTTACACTATCGTTTGTCCTTGATAACGTCTACCTTCTTCCTTGTTATCCTTTTCTCTCCTATGTTTCTCAATTCTCTGGGGGATTTAACTCGAGAAGCATGGAAAGACAGTCATGGAGGATCTACAGGGTCCGTTCTTACCAATTTTCTCTCACGAACAGCTGGTAGCTGTGACAAGACGCTAACCACCTTGTCAACAACCATTTAGCGGCCTCGTTTGACGGTGTCTTACACACATAGCCGTGAAGCCGACTTGGCAAGTGAGCTTCCAGCCGCGGTTTGGGCGCACGTCTTATGGATTAGTTGATGGGATGTTAAAGGAACAGGCTGTGTTCAAATCTGATGGCCATGTTGATAACCTGGGCAAACGGGAAAATGTTTGGTTATGATATGAAGCTTTGTGTACTCGGGGAACCGATGACCACTCATTTCATACCTTGACTATCATGTCTTTTGTCATATATTCCTACCGAACAGCCACAGGGAAGAGAACGGGACTTCCAGAAGACTTGCTCATAATGACGCAAAAGATGCTAGCTCACGCAAAATGCATTTGCGAAACAAAGATAAGCTTTCTGTGCTAGATACGGTTCGTCCAACTTTCCATCGACCCAAGATCTAAAATTCGACGAGGTCCCTCATGGAATCTACGAGAACATGTTAATAATCCTTTCACAATCCAAGGCATCGTTTAGTAAACTTTACTCGTGTCACCTCTGTTCTCTATCAAGTCACCACAGTTTCCCTCTTAGCCGGAAAACACTGGTCCGAGTATTCCAGTTTGTCCTCAGCATGCTCATCTGCATGATCCAGCTTCGGCAAGGGACCCTAGTGGCTCATTTATTTCCTCTACTGGAGACAACAAGATAAAAGAATGTGACATCGAAGTGTAGGAAATGAGGGTAAGTCGGCCGGTGAAGATGTGAGATGAGAGGATAGAGGCGAGTCATCAGTCGATAGATGGGGGAGTTGTGTGTTACCCAGGCTAGAGGACTGGGTCACTTACACTTGGGAAGAAAGGAGCATCCAATAAAGACCAGTTATTTGAGGCTGAGAAGAAGAGAACTCGGGTAGTGCATCCAGTGAGGTTGCTGCGGAACTGATGTACTAACTGTCTCAGCCTGAGTACATGGAGGTTCCTCCTGGGGATTGGAGTGCAGCCACATGAGGCCAGAAGCTTCTTTTACTATCTGTACAGACGATTATCTCAGTTGATAAGAGAGAAGACATAGTTTCCATCATCGGCAGTCCTGAAAGTGCTGAGCCGGAATCGAGAGCAAGCATCATCACCGTGGCACTGTTCGAGATAGGGCTGCATTCCCATATTCGATACCTCGACCCCAACCATTCATGAGTTGATGCGAGCAAGAGGCACGACAGGTCCCCCAGGACGCGTTGGCAATTTGCCCTGACATAATGAGGGGGTTGCAGCAGCCGTAGACAGTCAGGCATGCAGCACAGGGAAGTGTCGTGACTTGCTCTCCGTGCGGTGCGTGACATGCTCCAAGAATTGCATCTCGTGCTGCAGCTGGTACTTCTGATCCCCTGTCTCACTCGGTCTCAGACAGAGGGCCCATTGAACGACCCTGTAGCCCTCGAATAAGGGGAAGTCACCGGAGAAAGTTGCCAAAGTTGAGGAGCCAGTCACATAACGTGGACTCATTGAAGACTAGGGAGTCTGTTCTGTCTCAAAGGGGTGTTGGCACAGTACTGAGATGATTCTGATTCAGTCTCCACGCGCGACAGAGAGACTTTGACGAAGGCTGACGTGTGGCTCGGAGGCATAGAGTGTGGGGGTGTTTTAATTCTGAGCTAATTGGCTGGCAAGTGAGCCCAAAGACTTTGGAGTTCAGTCAAGGGCTTTAGAATTTGTAGTGTATGTTTGTTGATCCTCGCAGTTAGCATAAACCCTTGCCAGTCGGCCACTGGGAATATGGACATCCAACAGCGTGTTATGTGAGACTGAGTATGATTGGCCGCCAAACATTGAGCCATCCGAGAAACAAAAAGAAACTTCAATTGATGCGTGATGTCTGTGTACGACTGTCTATGGAACGCAGAGTGCAGTCTCCCATCTCAATTGGACCCTATGGTGCCGGAGAGCCAACTGCACAACCAAACCCTTCTTTAATACCTTCGGTAGTGAGGCAAACTTTGCCTTTGGGGTATCCGTTTTCACAATTTTTTTTCCTTTTTTCTGAACAACCCAGCTTTTTTCGACACCTTTCCTTCCCTAAACCATATGCTCGAGTGATCAAGCGACTTAAATCTCAAATCTTGCCGCCCAACATCAGTGACACACAACCATTCCAGACACGACTGCAAAGCACTGGCAAGCTAAATGCATGCTGCCCCAAGGCCCTCATCGCATAGCAGCAGCGGCATCGGCAAAGTTCCCAAGAAGTGGTTCGCCCCCGGCGACCTTAATCGGCGGCGCGCCCTGCTGCATCTCAAAGTGATCGTCGTCGGGCGTGCCCCAGTCGATTCGGGCGGCGGAGGCGAGGTCTTCGTGGGAAGAGAGCTTGGCCAGTAAGGTTTGGAAGCGGGCGGCGGTTGGGTCCTGGCCGTGGAACGCGAACGTGCCGGGTTGGAGGACGGCGGTGGTGGCTTTGTCGTTGCTTGCTGGGATGATGTCGTAGATGTCGACCATATTGCTGTTGGGGTTGTGCGGTCAGCTGGGTGTTCCTGCCCCTCTCCTCCTCTTCTTCGCCCTCTTCCTCCTCCTCCACTGACACTGAAAACGGGAGGCTATCTGTGCTGGGAGGAGATCGGCGATCGGCTGCGGCTGCGACGTACTCTGATGTCCGCGCCACGACTCGCTGTAGCGCCTCGATCTCGCGCTGGACCTCTTGAGGGTCCTCCTGCGCCATCACGTGTTGCTGCTCAAAACTGCCATAATTCACGGTGTTGGGGTCGTCGAATAGGTGCTGGGCTTCGTCATCCTGCGCGATGCGGCGTCAGCGTCGGCTAAACGGCACAACAACCATTATAACCTGGTCAGAGCCAACGAAAATACATTGCAAAGCTGGACATTGACATACTTCGATGTATTCATCGGCGCGGCGGCGCCCCAAACAAGAAGAGCAGATTCCCATGACGTCGTAAGCTCAGGGGGGCAGGGTCCGCTTTGGTGGAAGGGGGTATCAAAAGAATGTGGTGAAGCAGAAAAAGAAAGAAACAGCAGAATTAAATCCAAAAAAATGCCGGTAGGTTCAACTCCCTTGCAGGGAAGAGCTAGCGCGGGCGAATCATAAGGAGCGAAGTGCTCGAGGATGACAGGAACGCGAGAGTGTTGGCGAGAAGAGATGGAATTGAAGATTGATTATGCCCACGCCGTCCTCGAGTTCGCTGGGCGCTTTGGCTCTGCCTGTATACTGCTGTTGCGACAGCGTCCAGATTTTTCGAAGGAATCCTTGTCCTTTGTCTTCCTCGGCACGGTCCACAGGCTCCACTGCCCCAGCTCTGACCCATGGGCAATCGCACACCTCGCTTCACACCCCGGTTTGATCTTTTCGGTCGTTACGGTTACGGATTGGCCGGCTTTTCTGGGCGCTTGGCAACTTTGACAGAGAGCTTCTATTGCCCGCTGCTCCGCCAACTGCGCATCTAAACATCGACAACGCGCCCGCCACTGTCCTGTCTGCCACTATCCCTTTACAGTTCCAGGATCGGCCTTTTCTTTACCTTGCTGTGTTAATCCAGAATTCTCCGGCATCAGATCCTGTCATTACTGCAACCATGTCTTCTAGACGGGTGCCAAGAGGAGAGTATATTGAGACTGTATGCAACCACCTCCCATATCGACATAATTTGTGCTAATGGCTCATCGATACCTTCTAGGATACAGGTAACAAAGTCGCCCGGAAGGCTACTCTTGTCGGCACCCAAAACATCATGCTTGGCGGCAAGACAGTCATCCAGCCCGAAGCCATGATTCGCGGCGACTTGGTCCGAACGATTCAAGCTCCTGCCCCGGCGAGCGGCGCACCCCCAAACAACACGGCCGTGTCGATAGGACGATACTGCTTCTTAAGTAAGGGATGCTGTCTGCGCCCGCCTGGCCGCCCGTACAAGGGGTAAGCTCGTCAATCCGACGCTCCCGCAACCCATCAACGTAACTGAAACTGACCACGCACCATTTCCAGAGCCTTTACTTACATGCCCCTCCGCATGGGTGACCATGTATATGTCGGCCCTGGTGCCGTCATCCAGGCCGCATCGATCGGCAGCCATGTGCACATCGGTGCTAAGGTTGTTGTCGGCGAGTTTGCCATCATCAAGGACTATGTCCGCGTTCTCGATGGGGCCGTCATCCCGCCTAACATGGTGATCCCGAGTTTCAGCATTGTTGCTGGGCAGCCTGCCCGCGTCATTGGCGAGGTTCCCGAGGGGATGCTCGAGTCGTTTGAATTGCGCGATTTGTACAAAACTGTAGGGAATAATCCCCAGCCTCCGCCTGTCTGAGTGGCTGGCCACTAGGGCTTCTTATGCAGAAGAGGAGGCTTCAGTTGTCATTCGGATGTCCTTTGACAGAAGGACCGAGGCACTCGTCAATGTGCTTGCCTCTGGTACACCTCCATGCTGGGTCTACAGCCATTGATGACCAAGGCAGATCGTTCCCGGCCAGGGAATTTTGAGAGAGAGGGTTGCCGAACCTTACGACCTGCAGGTGTTTGAGTGACACTTGATGCCAAGTCTCCAGCCAATGTTACTGACGTGATTCGGCACCAGGGCAGTGAACCATTTGCCAAGAGCCAAATCATGCGCTATCAATTGCCGTGTCACCGATGCAAATCAGATCAACGGCCAAGTGTTTGGAGGAGCGCTCTGGTCCTTGAACAAAGGACGCAGAAGGCATTAAATTGTCACTCCAGTGTGGTTTACTGAAAGCCTCAAGCGAAGTAAAAGAAGATCGACATCGTCCTTTACGAGCTACTCTGGGTAGCAGAGTTAGGAGCTTGCATCAGCTACCGCACGAGCAAGACAACGCCGAACCTCTGCCCAGCCGACAAGATCAATGAAAGCCCAAACGAAAGTTCAGATGGTGGCATCGGTGCCTCGCCTTCGAAGTTAGCCATCCAACTATTTGATTCCTACCAAAGGTTGTTGTTGGCCTCATCGTTCTGAAAATCGCCTTCGACAGGTGAACCTTAAGCTTTCACGCTAGTCCAACACCCCTCTCTTGCAATACCTCTTCAACCCGTTCCTTCACCACCGCAGCAAATGCCTTCACGCCGTCCTCCCCGGCATCAACATTAGCCCACTCAACCCCCTCCCTCTGGCAAACAGCCATCACATAACCACTCTTTCGATATCCTTTCTCTATCCCAACTATCATCTTCTTCCCCCTTCTGACCGCCATGCCAAACTCCATCAAACTCACTGGCGCATCTGTCTTGCTTCCAAAGTACACGATAATTAGGTCGGAAACAGATTGCATGTCCTGCTCCCAGGCCACTTGTTCTGCAAAGGGTTGGAAGGAAGGGTCTTCGGTCCAGGAGGAGTCCCAGTCGCTTCGGTGGGGGTTTAGGATTGTTATTGGGAGGGGGGCGAGGAGGGTGGTTAACACGTTGCGCCAGTTCAGCGAGGAGGAGGTTGTGCCTGCTAAAAAGAGAGAGACTTTGCCCGTAAATTGGAGTCGGAAGGGAGAGAGAATGATTTGGGCATTATGTTGGCGGAGAGAGTGGATCAAGTCGGTCATCTTTGGAGTTAATGGCCCCCGAGGTGGGATGGCGATCAAGATGGCGGTCTGGACAGATTTCTATGATTCTAGAGTCTGACAGTCAAGATCGAGGATTAGAAGGGGAAGAACTCAGCCAGGAGTCTGCTGGCTGCCTTGCAGCTGTGTTCATCCCGCCCATGCTCCAGTGGCTGGTCTTGGTCGGGCGGGAAAGCAAGGGTTAGGGTTATCACCGATCCTTGATCACGTGATATCCGTGAGCTGCCGCTTTTTGGGTACAAACGAGCCATCCATAGTTTTACAGCATTCCTATATACCAGCTGATGAGCACATATAACGATACAACTGTCCTCCTCTGGCTACGCGATAAGCCAAGTTCTTCAGGATCTCCCCTGCACTACTTGCAGTCCAAACATTTCCCCTTGGAACCCTCCGTAACTTCAAAACTCAAAAGTAGGTATCTCAGGCGCTTTAGGGCCTATTCCGACGATCATGTCGTATCTGCAATGGTATAGACTCCGTCGTGGTAAAGCTCAAACTCTTCATATGTCCGATCGGGTGGTATCCCTCCGGATACTCTCGACACTCGCTATGGGTAGGATTAGGGCTGGCGAAGGGCAGCTGCTCCTCGGCGTTATCCTCATCAGAAGACTCACTTCCACGCTTATGACGGCGCCACCGTTTCCAACACTCTGTGAGAGTCAAAGTCAACTTGAGGATATCTCAGCAGTTAACGATAACGGAGGATCATTTACTCACCTTTCAGAGCGACGAGAACTTCTATGCCGGTGAAGACGGTGAATATAATGGGTGGGACCTGGCCGAATGTCATGAAATTGTCCTCATCGCTCCGTCCGTTGTCATCTTTAGAAAGCCTGGCGATATTTGTTAGCAGAGACAGGCAAAGGACAACATCGAGGACCAGCCTTTCGCTCATTGAGTATCTAGGTTCCAAGACACTTACCAGCCACTGCCTTGAACCCAATCTCTTTTTCTATCAATCGCCCTGATGTCCAACCAGAGCACAACCGCCGAAATCAGGATACAAATATCCGGAAAGTACTGCGTGGGCCAGAACTTCCCAAACATCCACGCCAGCGGTAAGTCATATGCTTTAGCCTCCCTAAACAACTCCGACGCCGTCCGTCTTCTCCTGCTGCTCGTATGTGGGTCTACATTCAGCACTTTCTCGCTGAACCATTCCCATCTCGCCAGCAACCTCCATGCCAGCAACACCACTGTCACAATGGCCGCAATGAAATACGCTACTGTCTGCGCAATTTCCCAGCCATCCACACTGTTATCCCACCAACTCGGGGTGTCCAGCAGGCTGGGGTTGGTGACGTTGATGTACTGGATGTACTGCTTCAAGTTGGCATCAAAACCTGGACCGAAACGGTCCAAGTTACTGCCTTCGAGAAGACATATCTGCGGCACCATCATGAAGTTCTTGTCGCGAAACATGACAGCATAGTCTGGGTGGCGCGTGATGTCTGTCGGAAATTTCATAACCCCAAAGATTGCGCCTCGTCGTGGGAGGAATATCATTTGCACTGTGATAATGAACGTTGAGACCAACAGGCGCACGAAAGCTAGGGCGTTCTCCTTCAGGTATTGTCTTGTCAAGAGGAGGGCTAACAAATGTGTGGCCGTACTGACGGAGAGAAGGTCGTTAATCAGATTATAATGGTAAGCGGAGATGGTGCAACTTTGGGGACCGATGGTCACGAAGAGGTAGGCCAGGCCGAGGAGGATTTGTTGCGCGCTGCAGCTGAAGATGACGGGTTCTAGGGGTAGGGTGATGTCATTGCTGGGATCTTGGGATTCTTTAAGGTTGAGTTTGGTGTTGAGCGCGGGGAACCAGCCTGCATGTAGGCACCAATTTTTGAACCTGGGAATGTCGTCATAAGCGGTCAGCTTGGGAAATGTCTCTATTCCCTGGATAGTTATGGTACTCACCGTGTCTCCTCATCCCTCAGATGCCTATCTTTTCGATGCTTTAGACACTTGCCGCCGAACAAACGACATGCCAGGGTGTACTTGTATGCCTTGATCACTAGCTGCTTGAATAATAGGAAGCCCATCTCAAGATTACGGATGAACGTAGCACTGAGTGAAACACCGGTGATGAAGATGAAGGCATAGATAACCTATGATGTGACCAAGGATTAATTCTGCACAGCTATAGGGTCTAGCATGTCCCCTGATGGAATGTTGTCTCATTAAGACTTACACCAACACCGGCTATATCCGCCTCGCCCTCGAACTGTCCTAGGTGATTGTCACCGACGGCGATTATTTTCGTGGCATTGTCGTTCCAAACAACTGTGCAGTCGGGAGTGACTCCATAGTGGGTGCGACAAGTATCAAGGGAAGGGAACCATCGGCGACCCCATTCGATCTTTGGGAAGATGGTCTTGCTGGACGACATCCTCAAGATGTCATTGCCAGGCTGTCCGGTGGTGGTTCAAATTGGAGGGATTTCACTCTGGCAGCGGATCAGCTTTTACACAAGATGCTTGATAGACCAAGGATCAGTATGTAAGCTCATAAAGCACGGTCAAGAAACGAGGCAAAACACACCATGATGTAGTTAAAAGTTCGTTATTATAGGTGCAACATCAATTCTTATAGTCAAGACTGTTCTCCCCTATTATCATACAATCATGCGTTCGGAAGTGGAGGCCTGATCTAGCATCTCATCTGGATGGCATGCTGACTACATCGAGCGTTCTGGCCCGACCCCCAAAGGCACGTATCACACATCACACGATACTTCTGGCCCAATCCCACGGGGCGATGGCTTGGTCCAGCCTTATAATTCTTAGCCCCCAAAATGATAATGTTATCTTCGTCTTCTCGCCTGGATCTTGTTCACCAGGCAGCCTAACTTCCTTTAAAGCTGATTCGTCCGGCTGGTTTCAGCTCAGCCCCAAAAACATAGGGTAGCAGGGGTGGGCGGAAGGCTGGGCGGCAAAGCTGAAACGGTTTTGCATAGCCAAAAGGAGGGGTAACTTGTGAGACCGGGTGTGAGTAATTGAGGGGTACCTAGGCCACTTTCGCAGGAAAATCTTTTGGAGGCTTATAGCACCTTAACTCGCTGTAAGTATGATGACTTGGAGTTTATAATGCAATATGCAAGGCCTCTGGAGCTTCGCTTCTAGCACTTGGTAAGAAATGATGCTGTTAAAGACTGAACCAATTTAAGTTTATGTTCCGATTACCATTTCTGCTAGATCTCGTGCAATGTATCTCATCGGTGCTAATTACAATAAGGTACCATTAAAGTGTCGCAAGTGCTCTATCTGGAAGAGTGGGTCCCGTGCAACCTAGATAACACCAGTCGAGAGGGCCGGTCTTAAGCTTCGAACGAGACTCGGCGTTGTTGCGATGGAACGGAGGACACCTGAAATGGGAAAATAAGACAACAGCTACGTAGATGTACAATGGAACTTCTGTAATCCACCAGATACGAGGATTTCTTTCTCGAATGGAGTGAGACCCTTGCGCCAATGTGTAGAGGATAAAGATGGAATCAAGTTTCGATGAATCACGTATCTCCAAATTGGACTTTACATCGGGGCCCAGCAAGTCAGTATAGTTTTTTTCTGCAAAGAAACAAATAGTTGGAAGTGTCATAAACGCAGGATCTCTGAAAATGATGTCAGATGTTAACTAATTGCTTAAAAGTTCTGTGGAGACCCACGACGAGGAAGGTCGCCGCTCGTAATCTAGGAATAGCGATCAAAGAATTATTGAAAAGAATTATTGAGGTATTCATCAGTAGCAAGAAGTGCCATGATGTGAGTTGCAATCGTAACACCAAGGAGGTCGAGAAGCATGCTGTGATGATATGCGGAGATAGTGCATCCAGAGGATGTAGTGAGAGTAATCGCAAGGCCTATCCCAAAAAAACAGCTGTTGCTCGCTACAGCTTAGGATCACTCGCACAAGAGGCCGCGTAATGGCTATCTTGTCAGCGTTAGGAGGGGATGTACCATCAGTTCTAATTGGGAAAAGTTCGGCCAAACTCTTCCTGACATGTTCGTGTAATGGAGGTGTAAATCTAAAGTTGTCAACTTTAACCATACGTCTATCTAGATAACATGACATATCGGCATTTGGAGCAACACCTCACATGTACAAGTTCAGCTTCTTCACTGGATAGGTCAGTCCAGTGAATGCCCTTTTCAAGCACTCGAAGTGCGGTGAGGAAAATACATATTGCAGTAATTCCAAAGAATGATGTGAGCGCCTAAGTATGAAACATGTTAACTGCAGAAACTGCTTGGGAGGGGTAGATAAATATGCATTATTTTGGACGTTTTCATTGATGCGGGGGAATGTATATATGTGTATTTTTTTCGACCACTATCTACCATATCTAGGTACTCGGGTCGTGCCCACGGCGACGGAGGGCAAGAGGTTGCTAAGTACATTGCGCGGGGAAAACCCTTTTTTTTGGGAAAAACCCGCGCGTAGCTTGTACCCGCTGGTCCAGCTGGTCCAAGGGGGGAGATGGGAGGTTGAGCTGGTCGAAGCCCAGTTGAGTAGCTTGTACCCGCTGGCCCAAGCGGGGAAGTCAGGGTTGATCGCGGATGATGCGGGGGAAGATCAGAACTTACTCCAATACCCGCAATGTCTACTAGTCCTTCAAAGTTACCACGAGTGATGTTGCCAACTGCAGTGATTTCAGTCAAATAGTGGGACCAAACAATAGTACAATTCAGCTGGCTTTCGTACTGCCGTTTGCAGATATCGATAGAAGGAAACCACATGACGATCGAGTTGCTTGGTACAACAGGGCTTTGCAATAAAGTACGACATACAGTGTTGTCAAAGCGATTGTTGTCATTCAAGAGGTAGTAGGGGAGAGTGATAGGAAAGAAAGGAGTGAGGAGCATTCAATAAATATAGAGAGCAGCTTATGATATCGCTAGCTTACTGATCATGCTGGTCGCACCCTAGTACTCTTATCGACAATTTTATTGGACCTCTTAGTGACAATCTTTCAGCACATAGGGGACAATTACCAAAAGCATTGCTCCTTCTTTATCTTTCTTTACATGGTTCATGTCAGCCTATGAGCCAAGGATGACTCTAGCACGACATGGTTATTGAGCCTGAGGCACGAATGTGGCAAAATGCTACGATAGGTCAAGTTAGCTAGGATAGTTTGTTAGGGCGCATGAGGCTGAATGGACGAGGGGGCTACGGCTCAGCTGCTTGCATGTCGCTTTTTGCCGAATGTGCTTAACCTAATCGGCTAAGTTGCCCCATAAAGGACGAAATGTGAAAACGAGCATGTAAGCCCAATATCAGTCGCCCAGGAAGGTGTGTGCACTTCATTCTCCCAAAGCCTTGCTTTTCTTGCCTATTAGAACCGCTCCCAACCCCCCCATGACCTGCATCTGACACCGCATCTGGGGTAACGCCACAGCAGAAACTAATTTAGACAAATTCAGAGCGCTAGATAGGTTGCGCTCTGTGTAAAAGACCGTATTAGCCCTAGGAGGGGCGCCAGGCGCCTGTCATGATCTTTCTCCTTGTACTACTTGACAGATGCTTAAAAAGGGTTACAACCTGAGAGATGCAAAACTGTAGCCATGTGAACTGAGCTTCAAAAGGGAATTATGCATTGATAATACTATTAGTACAATCAAGTGACAGAACAACGAGAAGAACTGGAACAATTGTAAATGAGAAATCCGTCATGCATGCCAGTGAAGATAGTCTAAGCTTCGCAACCCTCTAGAGCTGTCACCGTCACTTCCAGACTGCTGTGAGACTTACCCCGTATTAGTTGCAGATAAGTCTGGGCGGTATGTTGTAAAAGACCCCCAAACTGATTCTCTGTAAAGCTATGTTACCCACATTGAACCCATAGGAAGGTAAGCCTGGAGATATTGAGACCGAACCCTGTGACTAGAAGAGTAACGGTCAATCTCTGGGTCTCCAGCTATGCTTTCCTCTTTGGGAGTTTGATAATCAAGATGCTATGTTAGGAACTGAGCTATACACGCTGTAAGTAGAAGGGAGGGTAGAATTTATCACGTGCGACTAGCATCGAAAGTAGGCAACGCACACATAGCCGCTTTGATAAAATTTGGTACCGAGTAGAATAGCAAATTTGGATGGTGGTAGTTGGCCGAGAGTAAGCGGGCTATCCTCGGGTGTTGTAACGGGTGACTTGGTCTGGTGCAGGCAGGGATTGACAATGGGTCAGATGGGTTAGATGATGGCCACCGACGATGTGGGGCGTACAGCGAAGTCAATTACTACGTGTAATAATCTTTCTTGGTCCTCAGTGTCCTTGTGTTGGGGAGAGGAAAACCAAGAGAAACTCTTCATCGTGCCCAATAGCTCCCTTTATAGAATCCCTTTGCCCTAGTGAGTACCTCGCGGTCTCCTGGGACCTTCAGGGGTTTTTCTTATCGTGGCAAGGTTATCTAACTCATCCTTGCTACCCCTTATATTTTCCGAGCTCTACTAATCAAATATGCCTTTGCCCTTTTTGGCTCTTGTGTCATCAGTGTTCTATATGTTGGCTGTCAAGGTTATTTCTTCTTGGACTGCCGTGTTCATGTGACAGGTGTATTGCCATCCGAATCCTTAATCGGCCTACGAAGACCGTACAGTTAAAACCTGGTATGATCATTCCTTCTAGCTGCAAAATATAATAGATTCATGTAGAGAGGTTTTATTTGTTATGCAAATGCTTAATTGAACTTTACCACCCATCTTTCGTAACTCACAATCATTTGTCCAGCATCTCCTTGACATCAGAACCGGACATGCCAGTTGAAAGTATCAAAGACCAACAGTAGCAAATGGGTGTATATAACGGCATTGGCGAGCCAAATGCAAGAGTTTTGTCTAGTTTCCTCGACCATGTTGAGCTGCATCCACAAGATCTGCCAACTGAGCCTGTTATCATACTTCATCTCTTCTCAACTTTATGAACAGATATAAGAAGACTCAACAGGTCATGTAATATCAGCAAACACCTTTGTCCACACAGTCAATTCCTCTACCATTTACGAATGTAGCTACTCTCATCACCCAAAATAACTAAGTTGCCATCACTGCACTTAGTCGCCATTCCTTCAATCACTTTTGGAATACCACCGGTCTGCGATATCACTAACTTCCACATATTCTCACTTCTCACGTTCTCTCACATAAACACCCACAATTTCACACGCCGAACACTTACACCCAACTGAACTGTCCCACTCCGACAAAGGCAGAAAATAGGAGTAGATCACGGACAATCCGAACCCAGACGACAACTTGTAAATTCGGTTAATCCCCGAATCACGCCTTTGTCAGTGGAAGTGGTAGCAGGACTCGGTATAGCTACGTCGCGGTGTCTAAGAATAAGGATAAGGACTCAGGCAGGAACAAGAGAAGGAGGAAAGAGCGAGAGGAGTAAGTACGAGAAGCGATAGCCTTCAAAAGGAGTGGTTTTAGATGCACAGTGTGCATAATGGTGACTGCATAGCTCTTTGTGAAGGTTCCCTGAGGAGGCTGGAAAAGGGGCATAAGATAGCTGACGTGAACTTGTACCCAGAGCTACGGCAGAGTCTTTAGTTATATATGAGGGTTGTGCATTAGGAGCCCAATAAGTTATAATTGGGAGCTTTCCAACGACCAAATTGGCAGTGAGATCCTGCGAACAGCAAAAAGCGCACGTCACTTAGACTTATCGGTGAACTTCAAGGAGAATATGCACTATTACAGTCTTGTCTGAATTAGGAGAGAACTTTTTGAGTCTAGATCACGATGTGGACTCCCAGTGAGGGTTTCGTGTAATGACACAGTATCCAGCTGAAGCGGTTCTGCTCTGGGCGATGTCTAACACGAACAGTGTGACGATTCCACAACCTCCTGAGATGGTTTCGGAGGTAGTGGCCAGGTTGAAAAACCTGAGGGACTGGGGTCTTCACACAGTAGGGTATGGGATTGACTGCGGTCACCAGTCGTTGGTTGACAACTGGTTTTATTGCTAGTTGGAGAGTCCTCGTCATGGCTCTGAAGATGGGTGATTTTGTATACATATTTATATGCGAAGCTGTCAGTCCGCCTCTCCTTCTGCCATTTACCTGTTTGGGTTTTGTTGAGGAGTTTCTCACAGCTGCCGCAGTGCGTCACAGTTCTCCGACTTCGATAATTGCGCTTTTCCATCGGTCCGCCTATCGACCCACTTTGAACCTTCCTATTGGTCACTTCATTCTCTGTGGGGCAGCCGCCGAGCCATTACCAACCTCGAGCTACAGGCTGGAGTTTTGTCCTCAGACACTGACTGCGTGCCCTTACCCTTCATCAAACGCCAATGCCCAAGCTTCCATTGGCCACAGAGCTCACTTAACATTCACATCGCCGACAAAGTCTCATCTGGCTCCAAAACATAAAACATGAAATGAAGTAGCATCGAGAGTCCAGATCTCACGGCAAATTGTGTCCTGTCCTCCATTTCTCAATCTTATGCACTCAGATAGCAATTATAGCATAGCTAGTTTGCTCGAATGCAAGATGCAAATAGCACATGACATGCAACTAATCCACAAATGTCACATACCCCCTAAACATGTCCACAAGCTCAGGATCAAACTCAGCTAACCAGGCTGGCTCATCACTCGTGGCTGGAGCGATCTGCTGCTCAAGAGAATCTTGCTCCAGAGATGCCTGACAAAAAATGAAGCTGCCGACTTTGATTTCGTCGCTCGTTTCCTCGGAGGGGATGCTACGTGCTTGAGGATGCGAGGCTCCCTGCGTGTGACTACCAGGCAGCAAGTCTGTCTTGGAGCACCCCTGGGGAACAGAGGGAAAGCCCCCGTGCCTCTCAGTCGTATTGCAGGTGATTTTGTCATGCAGTGTGAAATCGGCCTTTGTCTTTGAGGTGAGTGCGCTTCCGGTTGACCTGAGCCCCTCAAAGCGGGAAACTTCGTCACCGAAAAGCGACTCGAGGTCATCATCAAACCAATCTGGATCCAGCTCAACAGATGATACATCCTTGGTCCGTTTATCTACTGGATTCTTTCCAGTCTTCTGGTTAACAACATCTGCTGCTCGATGGGCGTTGCTTGCGGCTGAGGTCATCGTTTTGGTTTCCGTCGGCGTGTGCAATCCATTGCCAATGGCAATGGCGAGCAGATCATCTTCATCGTCGGTCCAGGAAAGGTCGATGCAATCCGCTTCCGATTTTTTGAATTCTTTCTCGTTAAATGACCTGCAGTTCGCAATGGTCCATGTAAAGAACTGCGGGGGAAATGGTTTGGCCAGGTTTGATGGAGCCAGGTAGTTCGCCTTGACCCGTTTGGCCTGGAAATCCTCAGTTGTGGACAGGGCACGCTCGAATGCCTGCTTGATGCAGAGTTGAGAAAGCGGAGACTCATTGGAGTCAACAGGAGCAGACTTTTTGGTGTTAGAATCTGATCTTTTTCTCTTTGAGTGCTGAAACGGACGCCGCCGTGGTTTGTCCAGTCCCTCCTTACAACACTTATGAGTGCAAGGTCTTCCAGACTTTGTGTAAGTACCTCCACTGCAAGGATGATTGCACTGCCACTTGCCGTTAGGCAATTTCACGGGCTCCCGATATTCTACGGTCATGTTGTCCTTGTCCTCGTCGGTGTCGTGGGGATAAGACCAGTGATCATCGAGCACTCTCGTAATTGGCTGGTTGCGGCTGCTTGAACGGTTGAGGACCTTCTCAACAGGGGGATACTCTTCTTCCACAGACTCACAACCCTGCTCGGGTGGTTGTCTCTTTGACACCAAAGCCATTGCCCTCTCCTCAGCCATTATCAGGTCAGCATCATCGAGACCATCATTGTCTGGATCATCTATCTCATCGACATAACTGCGTCGGCGTGGGGTCGTGTCGTATCGGGATAGACGTGTCGGGAATACTGAAGCCGGGACATTATGTTGGAGAGTCTTGGACACAATCGTGCCAACGATCTCCTCACAGGTAAAGTAGCAGATGACGCGATCTTGTGGCTCATGAAGCCCGACAGCAAACCGCAGCTCATGACCGCTCTGTGGGTTGAGTTTTTTCATGCTCCCGCGCCAGAAGAAAGCCAACACTCCTTTGCCAGCTTCAACGAAAAAGGTTAGCGCTGGCCATCGGTTTAACCAGGTGGGAGGCCCCTTGCGATTGAGATAGCGAAGGGTGGCTTTGACCTCGATCAAGACGGGTTCCTGATCATTGGAGACAACTTTGCGGTCAACGACCTCAAGGTCCATGTCAAGACGGGGGAACTTGTCAAGGTGGGCCTTCATGTCCTTGCCGAACGGTGGTTGACGAGACATCAGGCGCTCAATCTCGTCGTAATCCTTGTCAGCAAGTTCCAGGACGCTGCGGATGCCCCTGCTTGCCAGCTTGCGCATGCCGACGGGCCCAATTTGGGGAACCTGAATTAATTGGGTAGCTCGTCCCTCCCAGGACTCAGCAGCCAGGGCTCTGGCGAGCTCAAGGGCATTTCTCGTTCCGATAGCATCGCGATCATAACCCTTGCAGTCGATAACGGCGCGAACAAGGCGACCCAGCCTCTCAAACACGGCCCGCCTTTCAGCATGGAGCTGGCGTCTGATTTTAGAAAACTCTACGGAGTCAGGATATTGAACGCATCCGAGGTGAGCTTGGAGCATGAGCGAGATCTTGTGCCAGAGCTGGGTCACGTTCTCTTTGATTGGGTACAGGATGAGGGGAGACTGATTGACCTCGCGGAATAGTGCCCGTTCGTTTGGCTTGAAGCGGAAGTCTTTGAACTCCGTGGCCTGGGAAAGAACAGTGATCTGCTCAATTAGTCTTCAGGGTCTTTGCAGCATGCACTGGCGCACTTACCAACACTTCCATGCTGGCCGCACGAGGGATCTGTAACAGCAGTTTCATGGTGTTGAACTCGACCATATACTTGGACATGGCACGGCCATATTCAGTGCACCAGAAGATGTCGCCATCAGTAACCATTTTGGCATCCTGAAGTTGCCTGATGTCCCTTTCACAAATCTTCTCGAGATTTTCATCGATCTGAGAAGGACTCGTGGTGCTGCCTGTGAGCTGATAGTACTTGGGGTTCTTCCTCAGTCTAACGCTCAGAAAGGTACCGGAAAGCCAGATTTTGGCGGATTCGAGGCTGTTGATGGTGCCAAGGCAAATCTCGGAGTTTAGGTGCTCGATAAGATGCAGGTGTAGTGTGCTCTCGAGGATCTCATGGCCCGAGACCATCTTTTCGTAGCGCTGCCTGTTGGTATTCCGTGTGAGGATGATAGCTGTGGCACTATCATCAAACTGAGGACGACCAGCTCGTCCGAGCATCTGCATGACCTCCAAGTCCGAATACTCCTCCAGCTTTTCATCGGCAAAGCACACAGTGCCCTTCAACACGACGGTGTGGCAAGGAAGGTTGATACCAACTGCCAGGGTAGATGTGCAACAAATAACCCCGATCTGACCCTTTAGGAAATTCTTCTCGATAATTGTCCGATCCTGAGAGTCCAAGCCAGCATGATGAAATGCTACTCCCAAGTGAATGATCTCCTGGAGCTCTTTGCTGATGACCGGAATTCTCTGATTCGGTATGGGCCACACTGGAGTGCTGTCAGATCTGCTGGCTGCGTAGTCAGCGAGCATGGTAGCCGTAGTTTCGCAAGACTTTCTGGTAAAGCAAAAGATGAGGATGGGCTTCCGCTGAGAATGGCGGGAAAGCAGACTAGGAAGCTTCTGGTCCAGAAATTTGTCAAAGGTGAAATCGTTTCCGTTGTGGTCAAATCCGTATACGAACTTCTGCAGCTTCACGGGGCGAAACTCTTCCCTAAAGACCTCTCTATGGGCGGGAAGCTGCTGGTTGGTGTTGTTTCGGCCAAGCCACTGGGCGATGTCCTCAGAGTTGGGGACGGTAGCGCTGAGAGCAATAAAGCGGACGTTCGCTCCGATTGTCTTCATCCGTGAGACGACGGCTTCAAGGGTTGCCCCACGAACGTCCTTGAGGATGTGGACTTCGTCGATCAGAAACAACTCCACCATCTGGAGGAGCTTCTGGTGGTCTTGCCACTTCCGAGTGACAGAATCCCATTTCTCTGGAGTGGTCACGATGATGGAAGCATCACTCACTCGCTTCATCTCGGCATGGGACGTGTCCCCGGTCAGCTCGGCGCACTTCAAGTTCATATGGGCAAACTTCTTCTCCCAGTCGCGCGCTTTCTCAGAACAGAGGGCTTTGGTTGGAGCTTGGTAGACAATTTTGAAATTTTGTGAGCCTCGGTCAAGCGCGAGCTTGCAGATAGCCAACTCCAGGATGGCAGTCTTGCCACTACCTGTTGGGGCAGCGATTACGACGTTGTCATTGGTCTCGTAGACTGCGCTGAAGCACTTCGACTGGACGGCATTAAATAGTTCGAAAGGAAAGATGGCTCGGAACTTCTCTGGCAGAGCCTGACGCAAACTGACAAGGGGAATGCCATGAATGACAGGTGTATTGGACAGGGAGCTGCCTTGAGCCTGACAGGATGGAAAGGTGGCTGATGACTCCAAGGGCTTGGATTTGCTTGTCGCAGGAACAGAGAGCTTCTTCTTAGGACTTATTCTTGTGGTTGGACTGGAGCTTGCCGGTAACTGAAAGTTGGATGACAGAGCAGAACTGCTTCTTGGACCTGGTTCGTATACATCTGAGCCAGTCAGCAGGCCGCGGTGTTGGGCAGTTTCAGTTCTTGTGAAGTGACTTGAGCTTGGAGGTGTTTGTTGGAAGGCTGCTTGTGGAACGGGGTAGCTGAAACTCTGCCTTCTGTCCTCCACGTATCTATTTTGCCCCCTGTGCGCAGTCAGCTGAGGGGAGGCTGGGAAGACATGCTGGTAAACAGGTTGGGAATGAGGAAGAGGATATGGAAGCAGAACATTCTCGTAGTTGATGCCGTATCCGTCCGTTAGCTCGCATGAATTGGGAGCTCTCGGTGAAGGGAAGTAATTGATGGGGTTTTGCTGGTTTGGGAGATGGTTGAAGTGTTGGATCCGATGGGGCAGCTGCAGTGCGTTATGACCAAGGAGATCGCGGTCTTCGTCAAGTAAGCGGGAGTTTGGATGGATAAACACCAGCAGAGGGTGGCTTACCGAAGTCATCGAGCCCGTTATCGTAGATACCGTCCATGGTTGGTGTATGAGTAAACCAAGGGCGCTCGGGGGCTCTGCTGCGAGACAAGACACGACACAAAAGCTGGAAAGATCTGTTTATAGGTCCACAAGCATCCGAGGCAGAGGCCGGATGCCACATAATCTTGACTGTCCGACGATGAACTGCATCGAGGCCACATTTGTGCCTTCCATCTGAGTTGAGAGCGGAAAGACTACTGGTACCTGACCGTCCAGGCAGACAACAGCCTACCGATGGCAATTCCGGCAACTACTCCTTCCCCTCTTTCCGTCAAACTCGAGCAAGAATCTCTTCATCCACCATTCTTATCCAGTCAACTCCTTGACGTAACAGACACCATGCTGAACTTCGGCAAACCCGTCTTGCTGGACGACATCCCATCAGGTGCCAATGAACGCAGACATGTCCTTGAAGATCACAGGGCCATGGATTGAGGGAATTGGTCAACTGCCAGTGAACCATTGCCCCTGGCAGTAACGGAGTTCTGTTGGTGTTAGAGTGCCCCTCAGCATACACAGAGTTGCTCTCGATCTCGGTGTCGTGACGAAGGATGTCGGTCATCGGCGAGTTGTAATGTGGGTCCGGAGTGGGCATGACATTTCCGAGAGACCGCGACGAAGATCATCCATGCATGCAGGGTCAGGCTTGAACCATCAGTAAACATCACCAGAATCACCGTCGTCGCTGGCCCATATATACATGGGCGAATCCTGACATATCCTGATTTTTTGTCGTGCCGACTGTCGAGTGCCGAGTTATCAGGACGTCATTTCCGTCGACAATGCGGGATCGTATCCATGCATTACGCATGCCAATCGACGATGAGCCTCTAGGAACGTGACTTTATCTTTGACGTCGCAGCAGTGACAACGTCGCACACATCGCCTTTGCATCACCCCGCAGCAGTGGATGCGCGCCTTGCATCGAAACGGCAGGCAGGCGACGCGGTACCCGCCGGCGCAATGCTGTGGTGAACTTGGCCCTGCCCCACCTGTCTGTTAAAGGCAGGTCTTTCTTGTAAACGCTCATACTCAGCCAGTCAGAGTGCTTACCCTGAAAACGCGCCCCTGGTTTCTCTGTTCGGCCGCCTGCTCGCCTGTTTAAGATAACAGATGCAATGTCCGGGCACCATTTGCCCTCCGCCCACCCAGAGGTAGGATCAGCATGTTTGATGAGAGGCCTATTGATGAGGCATGGAGTTGACTGTATGTTGGCGCTTGCCATTGCATGTGGGGAAATTCCTGGCTACCTTGCGTTATACTTGCTCTTATACATATCGCCGTTCCGCGCTGCAGTAATGGACGTCGCTCAGGAACCGTTACGTTGCATCATCCCGTTCAGCGCATTTAGACAGCCGTCATGAAGCCAACAATGAGGGCGCTCGTCTGGGCCCTTGCCAGCCTGCAGTCACTGGCCGTTGCTCTGACGATCGCCGAGATCAACGGCAACAGGTTCATCTCTCCCTACGCTGGACAGACAGTCACCAATGTGACCGGCCTGCTAATTGCCAAAGGGCCCAGCGGCATCTGGATTCGCTCGACGACACCGGACCGAGACCCTGCCACGTCAGAGGCCATCTATGTCTACAGCAGTAGTGTCGGTGCCAAGTTGTCTGTCGGCGATATCATATCTATGGACGGCAAAGTGTCTGAGTATCGCTCTAGCGAGAGCTACATTTACTTGACTGAGATCACTTCGCCTAAAAACGTTCAGGTGTTGTCCTCTAACAACACCGTCAAGCCATTGATCATTGGGAAGGACACATTCTCCCCTCCAACCGTCCAGTACAGCAGTCTCGACAGGGGCGACATCTACAGCGTTCCTAATGCTGTAGCCAACATCTCCGAAGTCAATCCTGTCCTCCAGCCGTCCAAGTATGGCTTGGACTTCTGGGAGAGCTTGAGCGGCGAGCTGGTCACCGTTAGGAAGCCGAAGGTCATCAAGACCCCGAACAAGTACGGCGACACTTGGGTTTACGGTGACTGGGTCGTATCTGGCAAGAACTCCCATGGAGGCTTGACTATGACCAATAAAGGTGAGAAAAAGAGTCCTTGTTTCAATAACGTCCTGGCTAACAGCAGCAGACTCCAATCCAGAGGCTATCATCATTGGTTCGCCCCTCGATGGCACAAAAAACCCCACCACCTCGAAAATGGGCGACCAGCTAGAAGACATCATTGGCGTAGTGCAGCAGGCCTACGGATTCTACTCCATCCTCCCCCTCACCGCCGTCAAGGTCAAGGTCAATGCCTCCGTCGCCGCATCGCCTACCTCCCTTCGCAGCCGCGGCCAATGTAACGCCATCACCGTCGGCAGCTACAACGTTCAGAACCTTGCCCCGACGTCTGCACATCTGCCCAAAGTCGCAGCTCATCTGGTCAACTACCTGCACACACCGGACCTCATCTTCATCCAGGAAGTGCAAGACGACAGTGGACCGACCGATGATGGTGTCGTGTCTGCCAATGCCACCCTCACTGCCCTGACTAATGCGATCTACGAGCTCAGCAAGGTCAAGTACTCCTTCGCCAGCGTTGATCCTGCGCCTGGTAACCTCGACGGCGGTCAGCCAGGCGGCAACATCCGCCAGGCATACCTCTACCGACCGGATGTAATCAGCTTGTACAAGCCCAACCAAGGCGGCGCCAACGACGCAACGCAGGTCGTTCCCGCGACCAAGAGCAAAGGTTCTACAGTGACCGGCCCGTCGCTGTCGTTCAATCCCGGCCGGATTGAGCCTGCAAGTGATGCTTGGAAGGGTAGCCGGAAGCCGCTCGCTGCCGCCTGGACTGCGAAGAAGGCCAAGAAGCCTTTCTACACGGTGAATGTGCACTGGAGCAGCAAAGGCGGTGGCACCTCGTTGCATGGGGACATTCGGCCGCCGATCAATGGGGCGCTTAATGTTAGGATTACGCAGGCTAATGTTACAGGGGTGAGTATATCCCACTGGGTTGTGCTATGTACGATATCTGACGCGAGGTAGACATTCATCTCCAAGATCTTGGCTCTCGACCCCTCTGCAAATGTCATCGCTGCTGGCGATTTCAACGAGTTTGCTTTTGTCCAGCCTATGAAGAGATTCTCATCTGTCTCAAAGATGGTTGACCTTGACGAGGTTGCTGGCATCCCTGCCAATGAGAGATACACTTAGTGAGTTTTCTCAACTCCGCCCTCTCAGTAATCACCTGCTAACAGAGGAACAGCGCATACGACATGAACGCCCAGGCCCTCGACCACATGTATGTCAGCCCGGCCATTGCTAAGACCAGATCGGTCAAGTTCGAACATGTCCATGTTAATGCCTGGGCTGCGTATGATGATGTGGTTTCGGACCATGATCCGAGTGTGGCCCTCCTCAATCTTTGCGGCAATTAGAGGGCTAAAATATTGTCATTTCTAATGTCTTGACAAGTACCAACAAACCGGAGAAATCAGCATGAAATCCCATCGCCCATCATGTGATAACTTGCCGACGTATAGTCGCAGTGTAGATAGAAGATTTGGTAGACCAGTGAATGGGAAACTTAAATCCTATGAAATTCTTGATGGTCGAAGCTAATAAAAGGGAACGAGACAAGATTGCGTGAGTGAGGAGAATGGGGGATGTAACTCTAAGTTGGGCATCTGGTCAATCATACCCATATGCACTGACTGTGACAAAGAGACAAAAAGTGGCTTTGCTAATGGCTGAAGTTACTTGACATGAAGCAATACATGCATGATCAAGGAAAATATGGTTGATTAGCTGGAAGAGCTGGATGGTGCGGAGGAGATCTTAGTAAGAAGGTTCTGCTGATGGACACAAACTGGATTTTGACTAAATTGGGACCAGTATGTGGACAAAGCAACAAAGAAGTATTAGCTCATTTGCCGAAACAAACAGGATTTACATTAGACCAGCTGAGGCGCGGCACTGAAACCTCAGTTCCATGGTCACGAGAGGCATCATTTCCCTCCTGACCCGATATAATCGCTAAAGGAAACTAGGATGTGAAGAATGCAACTTAGACACCAGTCAAGAGTACAGACATGTTCAGTGCATGAATGTGAAAGGCTGTAGCTAGCTTTTATTGCAGAGTAGATTACTTGTGGAATTCTGTGCAGTCTAACCTGTCATGAGAATGAATGCCCTCAACCGGCAATTGGCTCTCTGCATCCAACGGCAGAGAGGCACATAAGCAGCCAAAACCTGGCCACCAGGGATGCTGGCATATCATTGGTGGTTTACCATTGACGGCCAGATCAGTACGGGGATAGCTTCAACATCTCGTAACTGCTCTGAGGCTTGGTTAATTAAAACAGAATTCTTGTTCCCCGATCCCAAGCTAACGCCGCAAAACAATAAGGAAGTTTCCTGGGCTGATGCGCCTAGGACAGACAGTTGGTTGCACACTTTCAAACCGAGGACTTAGGTGGACGATTTGATCGGAAATTAGGAACAAAGGGAGAATGTCTTCTTTTGGGTGTTTAGAGGGAACTGTCATGTGGCTTCCAGGCATACACATCACCCCTGCAAATAGTACGAGATCATAGATAATTAGCCATGTATCCGCATTGTTTGCCCAGAGAACTCAAGTTCCTATTGTAACACATGACACCACGGCACTAAAATTTGAGCCTATGTCATCGTTGAGAAGATGTCCATAGCAGCGGTCATATCCATCTTTCAACTAGTCCTCTTGTTCAATAAATCCTGGCAAGTAGGTATTGGCAGGATGAAAGTTTTCAACATTGACAGTTCGCATGTGGAAAGTGTGCTCAGTCTCGCTTAAAATCTGTCAGAGGTGAAATTGATAGGGGTTACGAGGCGTCTGATGGATATCTCTGAGATATTGTTGGGGCCGCTCATGGTGTGGAACGAAGGAGATGAATTACCATCAGAGCTCATATGTAATTTTCACCTCAGTAATAGAACAGTTTTCAGGGAGTCGAACTGTTACAGAATGATAGTAATTGTAGAGGATAACTAGAGAGCAAAGATTTTTCTTGGAAACAGATCATTTAGTGCTGTATGATCTAAGAAGCCTCTATCAGAGGCTCGAGTAACAAAGACAGCAACAAGGCATAATGCGGGCACAAGTCAGCCCCAAGGCAGCCCGACACTTGGAATGTAACCTCGTCGTTGTCGGCCAAGAAATGCCTCTAAAACACCATCACTTTACCTAAGCTGTCATTGTTCAAAGTTCATGAAAGCATATCGAGTGTGAAGAAGAGAGCATGTGGTCATTCGATTGCATCACAGAACAGGTCTTACGCTACATGTGAAGATGAACATTACAATGTTGACAAACCTTAAGAAAACTAGTTTTTACAAACCCCCTTTTCACTGCTTTGTTGCCCCCGAATGACATCAGCCAGCTGTCAGACAACTGTTATCAACTGCACCTTAGTACCCAGCTGCCATACTACCCCACCTCTTATGCGCCCCCACAGCCGCGGTTGCCTGTGCAATTGCCCCGCAGCGCAACCAATTGGGGGCGGGGTAGCACATCTGTTGAGCTCAACACCTCTCATCAGCCGGCTTGACCTCGACGGGACACCTTCATCTCACCAGTTTCTTCTACTTAGACTTTCGCCTTGCCTTTTATTTTTTCCAACAAAAATTTTAACTATATACTTATTGTTTCAAGTGTTACATAATGGACGACCAATTCGGCGGCCGAACCGACGACGACCTGTTCGCCGACGACATCGAGCCCGTCGACGAGGCGCTTGCCGTGCCAGTTGTTATCAGCGACACTCCAAGTCCAGCGCCTGCAGTGACGCCGGCTCGGGATGCGCAGACGAACGAGCAGACAGAAAAGCAAGCTGCAATGGCGCAGGAAGAGAAACCGGCAGCGCCGGCAAAGTCGTTAGCCCACTCGCGACATAACCCCCGTGGAAGAGGAGGAGGGGCAGAGAAGCCTCCTCGTTCGACCAACCACTCCAAGCACAACAACAAAAGCCACAAATCTACTCACAATAACAACACAGACAATGGCAATTCAACCACCGATTCCTCAACAACACCGACTCCATCTTCATCCACCCCAAAACCAAAGCGCTCCAGCACAGGCCAAAACACCTCCTCCGTTTCTAGCTCAACGCGACTCACCTCCGGCGCGAATCCCCGTCCCAAACTCACCGAAGCCGAGCTCACAGCCCGCATTGAAAAAATGCGTCTCCTTGCTGCCGAGAAGGAGCGCCGCTTCGAGCAGGCGCAGCGTGATGAGAGTGAGCACCAGGCTGCGATCGCGAAGAGTATTGAAGAGGATCTCAAGAGAAGGAAGGCTGCTGAAGAGAGGAGGAAGAGGGAAGAAGAGGAGAGGAAGAGACTTGAGGAGGAAAGAGAACGCAACAGGGAGAGGAAATTGAGGGTTTTGAAGGAGAGGGGAGGTTGGACGGGGGAGAGTCACGACGAGCCGGATAGGGGATTTAGGAGCGCGGCTGGGGGGGTAAAGGGGTATAAAGGGATGGGAGCAAGCAGATTTGCTGCGGAGTCTAATGATCAAGAAGACGGAGATAGCTTTGGCCGAGGAGGGATGTCAGGCCGAGGAAGGGGAGGGCGTGGCCGCGGAGGGGGTCGCGGCGGTCGCACCCTCTTTGAAGCATACCCTGAACGAGAACGTGAGAGGGAAGAAAGGCGGCACTGGCGCGACCGGGGGCAAACCCAGTGCGAGAGTGCTGCTGACCAGAAGATGGATCAGAAGGATAAGAACCCCGAACTTAAGCCGGAAGACTTCCCTGCTTTGCCATCGACCTCAGGAGTACCTAAGAAACTTGAGGTGACGTGGCCTGCGAAACCAAGCCCAGGGAAAGCGACGAGTATGGCGGATATCCCGCTGTCGCCGCCGGTTGGGAAGTGGGATGATGAGGTCGCTGCTGCTGCGGAGGTTTATTCTGGGACCTAGGAGTCCGGATGGGACAGCCAGCGAGAGAGCTCTGAGATTCTGGAATGAATAAGCCCGTGAAGGTGAGGAATGACAGTTGGATAGAGATGCCAGTTTGCCACGGTTACAATCAAGAAAACCAAGTCTTTGTTCTTCCGTCCCAGCTTTTTATTATACTCCCACAAACGCCAAACGCCGCGCGAAGAACCCCGATGATAAAGGCTCTCAACGATCCATCACCAACCCCTCCTCGACCGCCGCCCATACCCCTCTCCCCTGCGTCCTCTGCCCCCCTTCCCCCAACTATCATAGCCGCCAGATGGACCGTCCTCGTCATGATGCACCGGCGGCGGCCCTCCCCTACCAGCCCGCTGCCTCATCTCCTTGGGGAAGGCCTCATACGCCTTGCGCATCTGCGCGAAGCCCAAATGCATCTTGCCAAAGAAGTGGTCCGCCAGCCGGCGATCGTTGTCGAGCCGACTGAGGTATGCGCCGCAGACGTCGCAGACTTGTAGTTTCTGGTGACCGGATGGACCAGAGGTTTCGCTGAGCGCCTTCAGCTCCTTCTCGCGTTCTGCCTTCGCTACCATTGCCTGGCGGACTTTGTAGTACTCGTCGTATGCTCGCGCAACTTCGCCCATCTCGCCTAGAATTTCCACTTCCAACAGCCCATTCGTAATGGTTGCGCTGAGGTCGGAAATTGCTTTAAGCAGCGCATTCGTCTGCCTAACCTCATCAGGAGTCTTCTCCAACCTCCTCTGCAGTGTCTCGATATTCCGATTGCATGCCTCAATCCGGTTCTGCAGATCCCGCATATAATCCCACTCGAAGCCTAGCTTCTTTTTTTCGGCTTCCGAGAGCGCTTCGTACTCGTTTTTCAGCGGCTCGGAGTGCACGCGCGGGCAGGGTCCCAGGTCGGCTTTAGTATTGGTGAAGAGGTCGTGTGGACAGGTGCCGACGATGTACGAGCGGCATACTTTGGGGTCGGTGAGGGGGAGTTGTGCGGTGCGGGCGGCCAGACCGCCGCCCATGAGTTGTTCTGTCGACAGTTAACATTGAGCAAACAACCGATGACGGGAGGGACGAAAGATGGACTTACCTAGAAGCTTCCTTTGCTCTGCGGCCATCTTGCTAAGGTGTTGGCTAGAATATAATGAGAGGATTAGAAATTAAATGGTGCACTGGCTGCGATGATGGAGGCAGAGGAAGAAAAGAATGGATGTCGGTAGGTTCGCTGAATGTTGCCGGCGACAGGACGAAGATCGCAATGGAGCTCGAAGTCTGGAACGCTCAAGGCTGAGTGGAACGCGTGCAATGGCGACCCGCAGATCCACTTGGCGCCCATTATCTTATCAAAACCCTTGTCGGCCTATCTTATCGAGCCCCTGTCACTGTGCCGGCCATCTTTCGCCCAACTCTAGCTCTGGGTCAACCAACGTCAACTCTACGGACCGCGACGATTCAACGCGCCAATGGACCGGGCGCGGTCCAACACACAAAATGCGTCAACCACTTAGCACTCTCTTTTTGTTCTTCTTCTCCTTCCTCTCCCTCCCCCTCTCCCTCTCCCTCACAACCCCCGACTCCGACTCTCAAGCCCCCCAGGACTACATCCACGCTGAAACTGACTACCAAGAACAACTGCATCTCCGTCCCCTCCCTCGCGCCGCCCTTCTCGCTTCCTTCTCCTTCCGCTCCAACACTACATTCAGCGAGTTTACCTCCCGCAACTTCCGACTCTTCCCCCGCTCCCTCGGGCAAATCCTCTCCTATGCCAACACCCGGGAACTGCATCTGCGCTTTAACCTCGGCCGATGGGACGCTGAGTCGTGGGGCTCGCGCCCTTGGAATGGCGCTCGCGAAGGAGGGACAGGGGTGGAATTGTGGGCGTGGCTCGTGGCGGATAGTGAGGCTGAGGCGGAGAGGAAGTGGGTTGTGTTGACGAATGCTTTGTCGGGGCTGTTTTGTGCGTCGTTGAATTTTATCGACTCGACCCGCACGACGAGACCGGTGATGAGTTTCCGACCGGAGGGGAATCATAACGATGTTGACCCGGGAAAGATGCACCTGCTACATGGCGTGCTACCGCACGAGGTGGTATGCACAGAGAACTTGACGCCGTTTTTGAAACTGTTGCCGTGCAAGGGGAAGGCGGGGATTGCGTCTCTGTTGGATGGGCATAAACTATTTGATGCGAGCTGGCAAAGTATGGCGATTGATGTCAGGCCGATTTGTGTTGGAGAGGACGAGTGTGTGTTGCAGATCGAGCAGACCATTGATATGGTACTAGATGTGGATCGCGCGAAGAGGCCTAGAGGTAAAGTTTTTCTCCCCTCACTGTCCAGGCTAGTACAGCTAACATACCATTGCAGAGAATCCCATTCCCCGTCCTCTCCCATCTCACTTCCTCCCTTGCGACACAAGCAAACCATACCACTCTCACGACACCTGCTTTCCCCTCGATCACACTCGCAACCGGGACTGGTCCCTCACCCAGGTCTTCGGCCGTCCCCTGAAAGGCGCCTGTCCTTTATCCAATCCCTCCATTCCGCCCATCTGTCTCCACGTTCCCTCTTCTCGCAAGGTATTTTTTGCTGGCGTAGCGGCCGAACAAGAAAACGAGAGGGAAAACATTCGGTGCTACCATCTTTCTCCAGAAGAAGAGTTCAACCTCGTCCTGCCTCCTCCAGAGTTACCCGACGCAGACGAGTTGGATTTGGTCGTGCCCCCGACTCCGCCACCTCTTTACGCAGAAAGAAGCTTCACCGGCTACGGCCAAGAACGCGGTGGCGTGCAGGCACTGCTGCACAACCCTTCGAAGGCAGAACATGTCTCGTTCATCTACTTCGAGACACTTCCTTGGTTTATGCGGATTTATCTACATACGTTGACGGCGAGGCTTATTCCAAATAATTCGACCACTTCCCCCCCAAAAGATATTAAGGTCAAGGAGAGTGTCGATCTCATAAAGAAGATTAACTACCGCCCTGCTCTCGACCGCGCAAGGCCGTCTCATCTGGAACTCCATCTCACCGTTCCTCCTCTGTCTACGGTTCAGCTCACCTACACATTTGATAAGACCATCCTACGGTATACTGAGTACCCTCCAGACGCGAACCGGGGCTTTGATGTCCCCGCAGCAATTATTACCGTTTTGCCTGATGACTCCTCAGATCCCTCTGCTCCCTCTCCCGACTCCAACCTCCAACCGCGTTACTCTCTAAGAACCACGACACTCCTCTGTTCCCTGCCCACACCAGACTTCTCCATGCCATACAACGTCATAATCTTTACTTCAACCGCCATTGCCCTCGCCTTTGGTGGCGTGTTCAACATTCTGGTGCGGCGGTTTGTGGCTGCCGATGAGGGGCCTGTTGTTGGGATAGCTGCGTTGAAGAGGAGGTTGATGTTGAGGATTGGAGGCTTGCTTAAGAAGTTGGGGGTAAAGGCCTAGGGGGACATTTGGGAACTTGTAAGACAGGAGAGTAAGCAAAAGAAGGAATAGAGAATATGTGGTGCGTGAAACATGTTACGGTTGCAAAGATGGTATTTGGATGCATTGACTTAGCACGCTGTTTCTTACAAGACTCTAGACGTGACTATATAATAATATCCTTTTCGTTCTAGTGCCTGGCTCCCTGATGAAGCCGGACTGTTTTATTGAAGCTTACCGACACTGCGGAGATCCGCGGGCGGCAGTGATGTTTGTGTTGTTAGATCGCTGCGCGCCGTTTGCTCCCGAATGGTTACCGTTGCCATCGCTCCAATCACCAACCAGAACATGCTGCGAGACTCACGGGAGTATGCTACGGCTTGGACGACACGACATTCCCCGGCTGTCCCGTGAGGTCACCTCGGTGAGTGGAGAGCCAACGCGCGTCAACTACCGTGCTCCTCGACTTGGTAGATGGAGTGAGGTGCTCGTCCGCGCATGTAGTGATTACTGTGTCCTCCATTATCGGCGACAGCCAGCATCACATATCGCACATGCACGTCTTTACCGTCATTTTGTCCTTGATCTTTCGTCCTCCCACAACTTCTCTGACTCTTACTACAACTTGCTGTCCCTTACAGCAGTTGATATTTTCATGCAGTGTCACATGGACACGGCAGTCCAGGGAGAAGATATATCCTTGACAGCCAACATATGGAGCACCGGTGAAACAAGAGCTGAGAAGGGCAAAGGCATATTTAATCGATAGAGCCCAGGATATACAAGGAGGTGCCAGAATGAGTTAGATAACTTTGCCACGATAAGGAAAACCCCTGAAGATCCCAGGAGACCGCGAGATACTCACAGGGGCAAAGGGATTTTATAAAGGGAGCTACTTAGACACGAAGGATTTTCTTGGTTTTTTTTCTCCCCAACACAAGGACATTGAGGACCAAGAAAGATTATTACACGTAGCAATTGACTTCGTTGTGCACTCCACATCGTCAGTGACCATCCAATCCATTTGACCCTGCTTGCACCAAAATAAGTCACCCGTTACATACGGAGACTTCTTAGACTACCATGTGCGCTTCAACCGCCCTCCGGGGGCTGTCAAGAGTGTCCCTGCGGGGCTGTAGTTTCCAGGGAACATTTCTTCTTGTGATGGGGGACTTGGTCTGGTGCAGGCAGGGATCGACAACGGGTCAATTGGGTTAGATGATAGCCACTGACGATATGGGCGCGCAACGAAGTCAATTGATACATGTAATAATCTTTGCTCCTCAATGGCCTTGTGTCAAGGAAAGGGAAACCAAGAGAAGTTCATCGTGTCCGGCAAGCATCCTTTATACAATCCTCCTAGCCATCTGGTTCATTCTTTCGGTCATTCAACTCCAAATATCTCCTGGGGTCAACCATTGGTTTGTGCTGCTCACAATCATTCCATCTGTGGTGTCCCTTGTGTTGGCAGTCAGGATATCTCTTTTTCCTTGGCCTGCCGTGTCCGTGTGGCACCCAACCCTAACCCCGATGTCTCCCGTCAACGGTTCGACAACTCGAGAACAGTGTCATCTCACCTCCGATCCAAGGGAATATCAAGGTTCTCGTAAGCGTCATAGACATCATATCCGATATTTCTCGCGCATTTGAGCAAGGAATATGGTCGTTAGGGTTACTTCCGGCTAAATCATCGCGTAAGCGCCCTGCGTCTGGCAGCAACCTTATCGCTTATGTTTCACTAGACATGAATAAGATATGTCTCAAACTATATCTAACATGTACTGCCATGCAGGTTTTTTATTCAAAGGGAAAAGAGCAACCTTGTTGGTTCTAAGACGAGGGAAAGCTGGGTTCCAGTAGCCAGTGGATAGGCGTCCGTTGTTCAAGTGGGCTCCTGACCACACTTAGTGGGGTATATTAGAGTTTCAGCTCTACGCTTACTCAGCTATGTTACTCAGCACTGAGTGTTGGGAACTATAGTTGATCCCAACAAGGAATCTCCGTATCCGGCAAGTCCAATAGTTTTTCTGGCGTCCTGCTGCCTCAACAACAAGCGATCTCACCGCATGCGTCTGTAAATGCCGCACGTAGCAGGATAGCCATCGATGTGACTTGTTTGTGGGGAAGATTATCAACTCCAGGGCGTGTCGAATGGCAGGAGGCCCGCCCTCACTCAGAGGCCGACGTCAATGTCCAGGTATAAATGAGTCCTCCGATCCATTTTCTCGTCCCCCAACATCACCATCACTACCCAGGAGCTACTCGGAGGAACACATCACGTTCTCGCGTCATCTTCCAACTATAATGTTAAAGTCAATCCTCAACGTCGTCACCCTCGCGGCCATCACCTTGCTCCATGGCATTACCTTCGCTGCCCCCATCGCAGAGCTGGTCCCTGTCTCTGCCCCTGGGCGCATCCCATCCCTCAACACCACCGAACTCGAACTCTTGCCCCGTCAATCTGGCGAAGGCATTCATCTAATGAACTGCAACCCTATTATGGGCGGCGCCGACCCAACCCGCAAATGGACTTGGGTATCAGCTGTTTTCGTAAGCAACATGACTCTGATGTTGTCTACAACCAACATGTCCTAAATCTTCCTCAGTACTGCCCCAACGACGCCGACTGTAGCCGCCTCAACTACTCCCCCGACTACAACGATGTCTGCATCATGAAAACCTCTTACACCGAAGGGGACTTCCACAGATGGGAGGGAGGTGAGCAGTCTTGTAGATTTCCCACAGGCGTCACCTTCAAGTGGGGTATCATTCCAAATGCGCAGGCATTCCGGGATTATTCACACGTTGGGTATGTGTTCGACTTAGGAGCAATGCAATGAAAGGATATCAGTTCACTAACGGCAGCGGTATTCTAGTTCCGGATCCAATGGCTACCGTGACTTTAGGGGTTATAAGGATAATAAGGGTAATGGTGCCAACATGCCTGGACTTACTCATTCTTGCAAGAAGATCTATTACTTCATCTGACCTCAGATCTTGATTCGGCAAGTTCGCAAGTAGGGTGGAGTATTACCATCTCGCACTCAGCGTATGTTACTGGAAACGGTAGAGAGCCCATCATCAAAAATAGGATCAGATTATTGTATGAGAGAGAGGAGAGTTGCTTTCAGTGCTATTAGGGACAAAATACAGGGCTATCCGACTCCTAAACAGAGCAATTGCGCGTCAAGGTTTTCACAAGGCCGCGTAACAGCAATACAGCGTGGTTTCGCGTCTCCCACTCAAATTTCAGTCACAAAGCACCACGAACTCCAGCTCCCCTGGATACAATCCCTCGACTCTGTAATACAATATGCGAGCAAGGCTTCAACCACAAGATTTTCTTAACACTCAACGAATAGAGCAGCCCTTTTCTCCTCCAGAGCGTCTAGATCTCTAACTTTTTAGGCAGGTCTTGGCAGAGATCTGTATGGCTGCTGGGCAGCCACGTCATACGTTGATTGGGCGTTGAACACTTTGCAACGCCGGGTTGGACAGGCTCCTTTGATTGTGGCATGATATGAGCATGCTTTCAGCCTTGCAAACAATACTGCGTGTCATTCGTCCATGGTTTAACACATCTAAGACGCGCTGAGATTCAAATTCTGGAATAAAAGCCAGGAAGCTGCCGAAAAAAGATCAGGCATTTCGGTACAGGCCTCAAGATATCTTTGACACTTGTTCAAGAAACCAGCCCCCCTTGACAATACCCTAACATGGGCAACAAGCACAGCATCCATATCGCCAACGCCACCTCTGAGGATATCTACGTCTTAGCCTACCTCAGCCCAGACTGGGCCATCGTTGACGCCATCACTAACATAACCGTCATAGCCGCCGCCTTACAGCAATTCAAGACTTGTACTGCGCTCGGCGAGCTCCCTGCCAAAATCACTTCCATCCGGGACATTTTCCAGACCTTGTTGGCCGTGAGAAAAGTCATTGTGTCAGGGGCACAAGGCGTCAAAGCTGCCATGGCGGTCACTGAAGCGTTCAAGAAGACTGCCGTCAAAATCCCGGCGGGGACGTTCAAAAATGTGAAGTCGGAGGATTTCTTGAGTATCTATCTCAAGGCGCATGGGATTGCGGGGTTAATTGGGGCAAAGACGGTTACCTTGATGGTAATGGCGGGCGAGGGGAAGGATTTACGGGCTGCAATGTGGAACAGCGGGAGCGATCATAGCTGGATTGCGACGAAGAGGGGGGTTATTGTGAGGAGTAGGTATGGGACGTTGTGGCAGGAGAATCCAAGGGCGGGGACGATTGCTTGGGGGAAGTAGAGATTATTTTTGGCGTGGAGGACCTCATTTTAATGTTTCGAGTAAATGCGCAAGGGAAAGTAGTACGAATTGCGCACCTATAGAAGTGGATCAATCATGAGATCTTATAGTTATCTAGCCTATCAATATTATACAAGGTTGTTGAACTACATCAAATGATCTTAAATTCACATGATATCAAGGCGCCGCGCTATGTTTCTCTTATGGCAAGACTGAACGGCCACCTCTTCGCTTCCCCTCCATGACAGAAATTAGAGATGTATATACAATCCCATAGTTCATCCTTTTCCTTTTTCCAGCTGTCTTGCATAGCACTTCAATTTTCATCAACCGTGATAAGTGGCTTATCTGGATCCAATTGAATGTCTGCTGCTTGCTGGATATATTTGGATTCAACTCTACGCTTTCAGGGGTACAGATATCTTTTGCAAATCTGTCACTCTATAGTATTCCAAACGAGTTCGGATTTGTAGCGATAACCCACTTTCTTGAGTCTTCTAGTTCTCTCTATCCAGGTGTGCCATCAGGCCAGAACGAGGCCGATGACCCTGCCGGCTCTGTGTGTAGAGCCTGGGAGATTCAGTATGTGCAAGCCCTGAGAGGCGATTCACGGTTTAACCATGTCTCCCCTTGGGTTGGCTCGGGCCCTTGGGTCCCAGTCGGGGTGGTGGGTATTTGAGTCCCCGACTACCACGGTTAGTCCCCGTGGGAGCAAAGCTGGTGCCAAGTGTCGATAGCTAAGTTGAAAGTCGGGTGTAAGTAAACATTGGTAATCGTTAGGCCGTTCTTGGTCACTGGGACCGAGCGGGCTTAGGAGCGCTTGTGGCCGATGCTGTCAACTGGCAGTCAATGTAGATTGCAGCCATGGTTGAGTTGTCGATGGCGTATAAGGTGAAGCCGGGGTGCCGTCTGACCTTGCCAAAAAGGACCGGCGGCTCTTGGATGCATACCACCTAGTAACGGTGTTGGACCGCCCTTTGAAGAACACCGTCTAGGTTGGCGTTGGAGCGTTGAGCATTAGCTGATATGATTCTAATGGTGCATACCATGGTCGGTATATACCACTATGCAACTTTAAATCGGTCCAACTAGGTCCGACAAGGCGCTCCTCTGGGCGGGGGTGGGCCTGCCGGGTTGGGCTGGATGTGCCTCGGTCGTGGGAGCGCGGAGCCGCAGGAATCCCGTGCCTCTACCTTAGGAGGCGCTGACCGGAGGGTAAAGAACATTGAGGGTGTTGTCTGTCGGGGGTGCTGTCGTGACCCGGATTGGGGCCGTCGGCCGGGGATCCGGTAGTGTAACGGGTGACTTGGTATGGTGCAGGCAGGGATCGACAATAGGTCAAGTGGGTTAGAGGATGGCCACTGACGATGTGGGGTGCACAGCGAATTACTACGTGTAATAATCTTTCTTGGTCCTCAGTGCCCTTGTGTCAGGGAGAGGAGGAATTAAGGGAAGTCTATCATGACCGGGCAGCTTCCTTTATAGAATCTTCATCATGTCTCAGCCATATGACTCAGTCTCTTCGGTCATTCGGCTCTAGACATCTTCCGCGATCAACCACGTATTTGTGCCGCTCACAATCATCCTGTCTCTGGTGTCCCTTGTGTTGGCAGTCGGGGACATCCCTTTCCTTGGACTGCCGTGTCCATGTGACAGGTAGCGCGGTGTCCTCCGGGGGGTGAGCCGAAGCCTCGGGGGTCGTGGGATGTACCGGTGGTGCGTCCGGGATAACCGTGTCCTCAGCTTCCAGCCTAGCTGGGTTGGGCGTAGTCAAGGGGTTGGAAGGAGGGTTTGGGGGAGAGTGTGAGGGATTTGCTTAGCGGTCGGACGCCGCATTCTTAGTTGCCCAGTATGCGGCGCTGCCTGCTTTCCTGACCACCTTGCGTTAGTCCTCGGTGAGTTTGAGTATTCTCCCCTGCCAGACCTTTGGCCTCGCGTGGCTGTTGTTGTGCCCGGGTTTATATTGGCCCAGACAATGCAGGCATTGCGGGATTTGCGAGGTGTTTCTTGTGGCTGTGGAGGGAAGCGCCGTACACTGTGCAGCGGGAGCTAGAGCGACACTTATCCTTGTAGTAGAAGCCGAAGTATCGCTTGCATGTGTAGATGCGCACCTTCCTTTTGAGGAGGATCGCTGAGTCCGAGTCGAATAGCCTGAAGGGAGAGACCTTGTGGTGTAGGATAACCAGGTAGGTGCCAGGCGAGTCTTTGACTACATGAACGCTCACCTCCTTTCCGTTTGGTGACAGAGATGACCTCGTTGTCCATAGCGGGGTCGGTTGGATGGCGGTTACCGTCGTAGGCCAGGATGTATCCGGGAACGTTCTCAACCAAGTGCGCATAGGTAACCGTCTCGGGTTCGATTGTGTATCCAGCCTCTTCGGCCTTGTTGGCGAGGGTCCCACACAGGGAGCCCTTTTCTTCCCTGGGAAAAGGTCGTGCGTAGTTTGTGCCCGCTGGATGAGCTGGTCCAAGCGGGGAAGTCGGTGTTGAGCTGGTCAAAGACCAGGGGAGTGCGAAGCGGAGGGAGCCACACTCTAACCGACGACCTACCGGGCCACAGCAGGATTTTTTCCAGGCGTAATGCACTCCAGTTGCGCCATCCTGCTAATGCCGCTTTGTTCAAGCACACATCAGAGGTTTCAATGACTCAACATGATCAAGGAGAGGAGTAGATGAACAAAGAGCGTGACAGAGCTGTGGAGCAGCTTCCCCAATGGATGTGTCCACAGAGAATTCAATGTTTATCGATCAGGTAGAGTCCGTGCTTCTTGCCCGAGAGGCCAAAAACTATTGTTGAGCCTGCCATTCCGTGTCTACATAAGCAACCTCCTCCTTCTTTGTGCTATGGGCGCGAATCTTGTGTTGTTGCTCTCGGGTGATGCTTGTTTGCTGTTTGTTGCCAAGGCAACAAACGGGACCCCTAACTGCCAGCCGTTGGTTTCAGGGGCAGAATCGAGACGAACTGTCCAGGCCAACCTCCCAAGTAACGACAAATGTTAGATCGATCAAGTAGGTAAGTAAGTATATTCATGTAACTAGGCCACATAGCCTGTTCTGGGTATGTGAGCCAAGCAAATATTGCATGCGTGGCATGATTGTCTCTAAGGAACATTAATACAATCGAGCAGGTGTCGATTTACAAACCAACTGTCTTCAAAACCCCATGATCTTCCCCCGATTCCAACATCCGCTGTACCACCTCAAGGTCTTTTAGCCCTTCGGCAGGCATCTGCCGAAGATCCAGCCTGCCGGACTCGAGAGCCTGAGCAAACGATGCCACTTCGGCTAGGACACCCGAGCAATAGGGGAACTCCTTTGTCTTCACAGCCTTATCTGCCAAACAGTCTCCTTTCCTGTTCACGGTCGTCACAGCGTTTGGAGTCCAAGTCACGGCACCGTTGGTTGTGACAACTTCTACTTCCAGCACGTCCTTGAACTCAGTACCGAATGTAATATTAATCGTACCGCTCTTTCCTCCCTTCGTGAATGCGACAGCGTGGACGGTGTCTGCGGGAAGCAGTCTCGGTTCCAGGAGGGAAGTGAAGGCAGCGACTTTGTCAAGTTCATGCCCGGCGGCTCCCAACAAGAAGCGAAGTGCGGCGACGAAGTGCACTCCGCCGTCGAGCAAAAAGCCGCCTTGATATTGTGGAACTCTGCGCCCTGACAAACATGTCAGTGGAGGTCCTCCCTGACCTGTCCCGGAAATGGTCTGGGAAAGCGGGCAAACTACCCTGGGGCTATTCGACGGTCGATGCACATACACTCGGTATTGAAGTACTTATTATCCTCCCCGACAAAGCCGTACTTTTCCAGGCGGAAGGTCCTCAACAACCCACCAATTTCCTTGACCTTTTGAGCCGCATACGCTAGCGATTCCAGGAAGCGGAAGTTCTCTGCTACACCCCAAACCGGCTTCCTTTCACCCAATCCCAAGTACCATTCGAACAGCTCCTGACCATCAACAACGTTTCCGGCGATCGGCTTTTCGGAGAGGACATGCTTTCCTGTCGCGAGCGCCTTTCTGATCACACTCGGTTGGTGAGGAATCGGCAAGACAATGTCAACAGCAACGATGTCTTCCCGCTGTAGCAGATCGTCAAGAGACTTTCCTTTGACCGCGGGAACATCGAAGTAGATGGCAACGGAGCTAGCGTCCTTGGATGCAGCAGCGAGAGCCTCAGCGGAGCGCTGCGACCGGGAATAGACAGCCTTGAGGGCAAGACCGGCACAGGACTCGATAGCAGGCAGGTGCTCTGGTCCAGTGGGTCCATGTTAGTCAAGATGCTTCCGGTGAAACATAGAGGGAACTTGGATCGCGCTGCATAGACTCTGCAAGATGAGTCACTTACGCTGCCGAGCAAAAATACCTGCTCCAATAAGTGCGATTCCTGCCATTGTTTGACCAGTTGGTGTTACAAGAGAATTTCAGGGATGGAATGAGGTTAGGGATGATAGTTGATAATGACTGAGGGAGTTGGAAGAATCGGGCTGCACTTACAGTTAATTGATTACAAAGCAGCTTAAAGGAACTCCATTCCGTGTGGAGACAGCCTTCATGTTGATGGGTCCGGTGGACACTGGGATAACCGCGAACATGGATTTTGAAGTTGAAAGGGGTTGTGCTAGAAGATTTGACAGGTATGCACAGCCAAATACCTTTGATCCTTTCCCGATGTGTGCACATTGAGTTGATATTACACACTCCAATAACAACTATATAAGTATGTCAAAGACCAATGGTCTTAGGGGAAGAAATATCTAAGGAGTAATCTTCAGTCCATTATCCCGCATGGACTCATAGTGTTTGCTTGATTAAACAAAGTTACATGTATTCCTTGATCTATATATCAGCTAAAGTGACCGTTTCCTCAGAACAAGTAGTAACTAACAATGCTTTTACACCTGCTTCTCATCTCTCGCCAGATATATCGGTGTTTAATTCAATCTGTCAATCACGCTGTACGTTTCCACGACTCGACGCCTCATATTCCTACTGCGCCAGAATGAAAACCAGTACGCCATTCCTTTGAAGTGAATACTGGCGATGATAAATACTCAGAGGTACCATCAGAGTATACAAGTTCAAAGCGAGCTTTGGCGAAATTTTGGCGACGAAAGTGAGGACTAAAAGTTCTAGACGCGACAGAAAGGATGTGTCAAGTGGCCTGAAAACACGGTATGGGAATTGCCGCTACCCAAGCGTTTTGCTTCCAGACGATGGCATAAATTAGTAACCTGGTTGAGCAAAAAGTTGACCGGTGTCATTTCAAGACAGGACATGACGGTGTAGATGGGCCTGATAGCGAAAATTCACTTGTCTATGTTGTAAGCGCTACTTATTACATTCCTTCCTACAATCAATTGTAAGGTAAGACGGGCTGAGTTTGATCAATACTTCATAATAAGCTGTCGCTTACTCATGATTGTTGTGGAGACACGCCAGTTTAGCCGCGACCGTCTTGGGATTTTACTTACGGTCTCCGTTTTCCGACGGAGCTACGAGAATGCAAGGGCTTGAAGGTTCCATTCCTGTACAAGCGGAAGCTACAGAAATGGTCCTTGTAATACTTACAAATACTCCAAGCTCATCCAACAATTCCCAGACGACCATTCAAGGCAGTATTAGAATTGACGCATTCACCAGTATGTCAATATATACCTCAGCCCAAATTTCCAAATACCTCGAGCACATCGGCTTCCGCCACCCCGACAATGTTTACCAGCTAGCCGCCGATAACCCTCTGCAACTCCTTACACAGCTGCAACTCCTTCACATGGCCCGTGTTCCTTTCGAGAGTCTGTCTCTTCATTACTCACAATCGCGACTCCTTTCCCTCGATCTCGAGGATCTGTTTGACAAAATTGTCAACAAGGGCTGCGGCGGCTACTGCATGGAGGTGAACGCTTTCTTCGCCACCGTTCTGCGGAGCCTTGGGTTCAAGCTTATCAGTGTAGGAGGGAGAGTGGCGAGGCCGGATGGGACGTATAAGGGCTGGTATGTCTGCACGTTTAAGGATGCCGAAGAATGTTAACCGACACTTATACTAGGGACCACATGACAAACCTGGTCAAGATCAACAACCAACGTTATGTTGTCGACGTTGGCTTCGGCTCCAATGGGCCCACAAAACCAATTCCTCTCGAGCATGGATACAATTTCACCACTATTGCCCCGGCCCGTGGCAAACTCATGTACCGCTCTCTCATAGAGCACAGCGATCCCGACCAGCGGGTGTGGGTCTACTCAGTGCAGGAGCATGCCGATGCCCTGTGGAGGGATATGTACTGCTTCGTAGAGATTGAGTTCTTTCCTGGTGACTTTGAAGTTATGAACCTAAAGACGATGACCACTCCACAGAGCTTTTTTGTTCAGAATGTGATGTGTATCAAAACAATATTGAATGAGGAGAAGACAGAACCTGTGGGATGGGTGATTTTGCATAGGGATTACTTGAAGAGACGTGTAGGAGATAAGTCGGAGATTGTTGAGACTTTCAAGACGGAGGATGATAGAATCGGGGCGCTGGAGAAGTATTTTGGGATTGTGCTCAGTGAGGGAGCGAAAAGGGCTATTAAAGGGCTGGCGAGTGAGTTAAGGCCGAAGGGGGAACATGCTTGATAATGTCCTTACTCGATCTAACTCTGTACTGCCTGCTTGACTATATAGGGAGGTAGTAGAGAAGAACCATGTGGTTGCAGGGTTAGAACCCTATCGTAGAAGCAGTGACGCAAATAGAGGGGAAGTTCGACTTCGCCTTAGGGGTTTGTTCCCTGCTCGCTAATTCTGGTCGAAGTTGGTGTTAGTGATGTACCTCGACAAAGTGCTTGTTCACAGCTCCTCGAACTCTGTAGAGTGTAATCGATAGCTTAATTTCCCGCAGTTAGATATTTAGAGATCAGTCCGACTGCGTTAATTGAACCATAGCACTAACCCTCCTTTCTGATAAACAGTCCAAACGCGATCAATCATCATCTGCTGCACTATGGTCTTTCTCTCTCCTGCCTAGCAATCTCCTCCCTAAACACATTCCTCTCCTTCTTCGACGATCCCCAACTCTCCCGCTCAGTCAACTCAACTCCGGCACTGGTCTCACTCTTATTCTTTTCCTCATCCTTTCCTCCAGTGCCAGAAGCCATCCACAGACCCTGCTGCTGCCACGTCTCTCCCGTTCTCTCTGCTCGGCTTTGCTTAACTCCATAGCCCCCTCCCGTATAACTCCTTATTACCGCTCCAATGATAGGTACTGTACCATTCCTCCTGTAACAAAGTAGACACATACCCAAACCCAACATGGTGACTACAACAATGGACAATGGGAGGGCAATTACCAGCGGATTCACCCCGCTCTTTTTGGGCACGGCAGTGTCCGGCACAGGCAAAAGCCACACCGACGGACCGACACGTACATGATGGTCGGTGGAGATGTCAGAGGTAGTGGTGTCTTCATAGGTGAGGAGGAAGGTCACATTCAGGGGCACATTGGAGGGTAAGTCTGGGTGATGCAGAGTGAAGAAGTCTGGAGGAATGGACCAAGCGTAGAAGCCCGTGTCAGCGCGAAACAGGGGAGTTGTGAAGCCTGTTTTAGTGCTGAAATTTGATCCAGAAGGGGTGTAGAGGGCTGAAAGGGAGACCTGTAGAGAGGGAGGCTGGAAGTAGGAGGGTGACCAAGTTACTTTGCACATTAGCATAGGTTATTCCCAGGGGTCAAACCGGGGACGCACTGTAGTATGTTCGTCCTGGATAAAGCACACTCCCTGCCCTAGGCAAGCAAAACGGTTCGTACAATCCGACATTTGATGAACACGCCAGAAAGGCCGCACCATCCTCGTCATGACTCGTCGATCCGGCTACTGGGGAAAGGCCAGTATATATGGTGATGCTTGAGCCGAGAGAAAGGGTCCATGCCGATGTAGAGAGTAGACTTGCTGGCGGCGCATTGAGTGTTGTGCGGTGTCCTTCTGTCGTGATGACCTTGGGGGAAACGGTTGAGGCTGCACCGGCGGGGTTGACTGTTATCCAGGGGAGAGGGGCTTCTGGAACGGTGATGCCTGCTTGAGGAAAAGAGATAGACCGTTGTATAAGGAAGAAAAGCAAGAATGAGAGACGTTGCCGGCGCATTATGTCTTAATAACAGTATTTTAAAGACTGTCTGAGTTCCTCCTGGAGGTCCGAGTCCAAGTCAGAGGAGATCCGAAATTTGACTCCGATTCCCTATTGTTGCCTAGAAACGGAACAAGACTTGGCAGTTTTTGAGCAAAACAACGTAATTGATGAAATGTCGACTTCCCGAACCGACTTCCCAAAGATTGCGAACAAGCTTAAGTTTCCGCTCAGGTAGGTGGCTGGAAACAAAGTACCTATGTAAGCTGCACCACAACCATCAACTTAGCTGAATGAGCTATTTGACATCACCATCCCGCTCTAAACTCACTCACCTCATGCTGACCAAGCATCAGGCAGTCTTGGCTCCCACTGGCAACTTGATGTCACAGTCACTCACCCCTACCCAAGAATCCTTATACCTACCCCGCCCCCGCGATGCATTCATGCACCTATCTGCATTTCGGCACATATAAAGCCGGGACGCGGGACATCCAGTCATACGGGAGAATCCATCTAGTAACCCGAGAGACTCTGGTTGCCTGTTGCTTTTCTGTATGTAAGTAGCGTAGTATGCCGGCAGTCAAGGATGGCGGGGTATGCATCCAGTGGCTGCTCGCTGCCACCCATCCTGAACTCCGAGAAGAAGGGTGACCCAAATCGTGCTTGCTCGAAAAACGGATGATTGGTTCATTGAGAAAGAATGGTGAGCTGGTTGTGCGGGGAAGCGGGATGATGCATGCACTAATCAATGGTGCCGTCATGATGGTCATGATGAACGAGGGCGATACGAGAGTGTAAATGGGCATCCGGTTGGGACTTTATTAAGGACAAGAAAATGTTTCTCATGTTAGCGTCTACGCTGTGCGTTTTTTATCAATAACACGCTTGCCATGTTGCATGCTAACAAGTAGTAAATGCGATCATGTACACCATAGCTGCAGGCGGCGAGGCAGATTAGGATAAGCTCGGTAGTTGGTGTCGAGATTCACCTCGCATGGCTGAGTAGCAACTCAACATCGCGGTTACCGTAGATATTACTGAGGATGTCACTCTGGAAAACGGGCCGTAACCAGGAAGTGTGTTCGCTCTGCAGGCCACATCTTCTCGGGTCCGGGCTTGTGAATTTGATAATCTGATTTGGGATCTTATATCTTCAAATATCACCGAGTCTTCCCCTCAGTACTCGGTAAGAGCTTAGCTCAGAGCCAGGCTATCTCTCGCGGTGACACCGTTACCACACCTCAAAGATGAAGACACGCCTAGCACTCTCCCTCCTTCCAGCACTGGCCTCCGTAGCCGCTGAAACCTCTTGCCCTACCATTCTGATCCCCAACACCTGGTACCCGCCCATCACGGGCCCGGGATGGCAGGGCCAAGTCGTCGCTGCCGGCCTGACGAAGCCGCGCAGTCTCGCTTTTGACAGCACCGGCGCTTTGCTGGTTGTCGAGTCCGGCAAGGGTATCAGCAGACATCAGTTTACAGACCTTGGGGGGACGTGTCTCATGCCGAATCACTCGCATATGCTTGTCGAATTGCCGCGTGTAGGTCTCTCATCTTCGAAATCCCCATCACGACATGTATACAGCTGTTAATTAGACCGGCCCAGCTTAACCACGGCCTGGCCCTCTCCGCCTCAGGCGACACAATCTACGCCTCAACACCTGACAGCGTCCTCTCCTGGCCCTATGACGCCCGCAGAGGCCGCGTAACCGGCCGCTCGCGCATCATCATCGCCAATATGAGCAACAGTGATTTGGTCACTCGCACGCTGCTCATGTCGCGCTCGCGGCCCAACATACTGATTGTGTCTCGGGGCGGGCCCGAAGATAATATTGCGCTCGCCGAGAAGGTCGAGAATGGCTTCAACCAGATCAAAGCGTTCGATCTAGACGAGCTTAAGGACCGCGGGACAGATGCGACGTACGACTTTGTCAAGGACGGAACTGTCCTAGGCTGGGGATTGAGAAATAGTGTTGGTGTCGGCGAGCATCCCCTCACAGGGGGCATTTGGGCGGTAGAGAACAGTGTGGATCGCGTCACGAGAAACGGGGTGGCAGTGCACGAGTACAATCCGGGAGATGAGCTCAATTTCTTGGGCTACCTCAACGGTACAGGGACGGGAAAGAACTTCGGCTATCCGAACTGCTTTGCAGTGTGGTATAAGGATGAGATTCCTGAGAATGAGGGGCTCGACATTGGGATGCAGTTTGCCGAGCGGGAGACTGAGGAGCTCACGGACGAGACGTGTGCTGAAAAATACGAGCCGCCACGGCTAACCTTCCCGGCGCATAACTCGCCAATGGATATCAAGTTTGAAGGGGACGGATCCGCGGCGTATGTGTCTTTCCGTGGGAGCTGTAAGTTTTCATTTCCTTCGCTATCAAATCTCAGTTTGATGCTGACACCATGTAGTCGAGGGCGGCAAGGGTTACGGCTACGAGATTGTTCGCGTGCTGTTTGATACCACTACGGGGGAGCCCGTCTTGCCGGCCAATAGCGGGGAGGTCATAAGTGATATCAGGCCTATTTTTAACCTTGACCTATCCAAGTGTCCAGAGAACTGCTTCCGGCCAGTCGGCATGGCATGGGATAGTAACGGCAGGCTATGGTTTGCGTCTGACTCCACGGGCGAGATTTATGTTTTGTATAAGCTTCCTGGAAGGGATCGGCAGTTTATTGTACCAGAGGGGTACTACGGAAAGGATAGTGCTAGTGGGAAGGGAGTGAGTTGGGAGCTGCTTCTTGGGTTAGGCCTTGGCGTCGCTTGGTTTGGCCTTCTCTGATAAGTTGGAAGTTTCTGGTATGCTAGCGCAGTAACTGAGGGTTTCGTTCTGTTTGTTCCTTTTTGAGACGTTTTCATGCATGATGTTCACAACCCTGGGTGCAATCCAGGGGGCGGAGTGGCGTTCTGGCTGACTGCCTGGCTTCTTCCCTCGCCAAGTTCCATGTCTGGTCGCCGTTTTCCGTTTTGGAAGTCTTGACAATTTGGCAGCATGTTGAGCTGCAGCTGTGGGTTGAGTCACCGCAGGAGCTCGGGTGAAATAAACCCGAGGACCCGTGGTCTGATCTAAGCCATGTCTTTAGAGAGGCCCTACTGACCCAGTTGGGCTGATACGATCTTTTGTATCGAACACTCTTGTTGGCTCAGAGTGCGAACCCGAAGACATCTTCATAGATCGGTATTTTAGCATTTTATGCTCCTCATAAGACTCAGCAATTACAAATTTAAATACTCGCAGGCAAAGCCAGCAAAGAGGCCACCAGTGCCAGTCCAGAACCGAAATACCATCCGCTGAGCCCTCCGGTAGTCCTTCAGTGTAGGTCCATCATTAGATCCAAGTCATCATCCTCGATTACCAATCCCCATCTCCATCCAGATCCAAACCCCTTCCGTGCTTATACCGCGTCTAACTAAACTGAAAGGAGTATCCATCGATCCATCCAAAACTTGAACGTATCATCATCCATACACCTATCCAACACCGTGATCTTCATAATGACTGAGATTTAACAAAAATCTTCTATCCTAACCTACCGCCCCGTTTCATTAGGAACTCATTAATATCCCACCGCGCTCAACCTAACCTGTTTATTTCCCTTCATGCCATTCCCCGTGCCTCTAGAACCCGTCATGTTAGGAACAGGGAAATCCGCCGGCGATGGCGAGATAGGCGAATCTGGCCTCGGTACGCCAACTTCTTCTTCAACAGGCTCTTCTGGAATTCTGCCAGAGATATATCCCTTCTGCTGACCTCGTGTGCTCGTCTGATCAGAGCCAAGACGGCTTAAACTTCCATCGCGAGCCGGACGAGTAGAGCTGATGGACTGGTTCCTGCGGGAAGATGTTGTAGACGATTTGCTACCCCGCCGTTCATGTTCTCCCAGGGTAGGCTCATCACCCTCAACAATGGACGAAGCACCTGACCTCGATCCTGACGTGTCTCTCCTTTCAAGGACGATCCGTCCTGTGCTGCCTTGCCTCGGCCTAGCAGAGAGTACAGTCTCAGCAGCGCGCATGGTGCTCCACGAACTTTGCCTTGACATCATACTGGTGGCGATGCTCTCGTTCGTAATCTGTCTTCTCAACTGTCCTCCATTTCCATTCCCATTCCCGTTCGAAGAGACAGAGTCATGCTTTTCGGAGGCCGCAGCAGCAGCGTCCTCCTCCAACTCAGCAATAATATCCTCCCTCATCCTCGCCCTTTTCATACGCAGAGCCGACAATAACATTTCTTCTTGCCTCGTAACGGCCATAAACCTTCCATTTGATGAAATAGCTCCCTCATCATTGATACTGCTGCTCTCACTGCCGCGACGAATCCCCAAGCTCGTTGCACTCCGCGGCCCGTCAGTCTCGGGAGGAGGAGAGTACGGACTCTGTAGGTACATATCCACCACCATGCCAGGGCTCAGCAGCTGCGAAACATGGTGATCCAACGCCCTCGAGACAGAAACGGACCTCCTCCCCCTAGTAGGCAAATTCATACTTCCTGTTGTTGGTGGCGTAGGGAAGTTGAACTGGTTAAAGTCCGATTCACTCGGAATTTTCTTCGGTTTCCTGTCCTTCTCTGGGACCACTATTCTTTCTGTCTTGTCTGTAGATGCAGTTCCAACTGATAGTCGTGAATTATCCGTCACCACTAACCCAGCCAACTGCTTCGCCATCAACTTCTTTGCCGCCAGCGAGCTCGAGCGAGGTAAAATCTTTGGCCCTGTCGGAGTAGCACTCACTTCGCTTGGATGACTTGAAGGTAGATACTGCGTGCTGGTCAAGAAGCTGGTCCTCTTTGCTGGTCTGGCAAAGCCAGCCTCTATCCCCGTCACAGGGAGCCCTGCCCCAGTTTTGGGACCGATGCAGTCTCCTGTGTTGGAGAATGAATCCCTTGGGGAAGTCCCACCAAAGTCATCTTCTGAGTCAGACGACAGCGCAAGCACACTGTTCTGCAACAAATCAATCTCGTTCAGACTCCTTTCCGTGCGTTTAGATGCGCGTGACGTCCGCGTGTGCCGGCTGGAGACGCTCGCGCAGTCGGGCATGATGGGGCTTGACGGTATGACTGGCTGCTGCATCTTGGCTCTAGCAGACGCAGCAACATTCACATTCACTGGCTGAGGGAAGGGTGACAAGAAAGCCTTTCCAGAAGAAGCATTGTTAGCTGTTGTCGGTGGCAGGCTTGAAGTCGACGCCGACGTTGCTGTCGTAGCCGTCGTAGCAGTTGTCTCAGTCGTAGACCGCCATTCCGGCACACTATCCAGACTACCAATACTATACTCCGCAGACAAACCCTGTAACTGCCGATCCATTGCGTCAGCAAACGTCCGTTGCTCGTAGTGATCGTACAGGTTGTGTAGCTCGTTATTAGCAGAGTATTGCCTGTTAGGACCGGCGGGGGGAGCTGAAGTCGGGACGGGGGTGGTTTGTTTGTCGCGATCGCGGTCGCGGAGGGATTCTTTGGTGAGGATCTTGCGGATTTTGCGATCTGCGCGTTGTAGGATGGGCGGGGGCGTAGAGGATCGTGAGTCAGTGGCATCGTTGTCGGGATAATGGCCTCGGCTGGAGTCAGCGCGATGATCGCGGTCACGGTCGCGGTTTTTGGAGGATTTGTGTCCAGGTAGGAGGGCAGAGAGGTCTAATTTCGAGGGCTTTTTGCGCGCCTTGCGCATATCCCTGTCGTGCGAATCGTTGTTTAATGGGGGAGGGACGTTATTGGTATAGGTCCCGTCAATATCAAGCAGCGCCTGCGCCTTAGATGGCAGCCCGCTGGCAGCTGCGGAAGCAGAGCGATTCTCATGATGTGAGGTAATTGTAGAACTCGATTGACGTCTTGTTAATCCGGGTGACTCTATGGCATGATGTCGCGAGTTCGACGTCTCCGGCCGGTCAATCGATGCAGCAGACGTATCATCCCATCTTCCCCTATGTCCATGCCTCTGGCTCTGATCTTCTCCTCCCAATTCAACAACCCCAAGACCAGGACTTGGCTGCGCGTCCCACGGCGCGCGGTTTGGATTGAGCAGCGTGGGCGAATCAATGTTGATCGCAGCGGTACCGAGGATCTTCTGGACTTTGGTCAACGGCGCAGAGATGGGCGGCGGGGAGGTCAAGCCGGCCGTCTTGTGCTTCCGGCCGGGAAGCGAGAAGGGGAACTTGGATGGCTGGCCCATGGGGGCGGCTCGGTCGGATCGAATAGAGTTTGGATCGCCAGTTAACTGGTCGTTTTGGTCGACTATCGTTTGCGAGTGTTGGTGGAATTCAGCATGCAGTAAGGCGCGTAATGTAGAGATCAAAAGGGTCAACACATCCAGTATTGTCAAGAACCACGCGCACCTCAATTCTTAGGACTTGTCAATCGCAATGTGCAGTGGAGCGGTCGCAACTCAAACTCACTCCCAATCGGCGACCTCGAGCCTGGATCGCAACAGCCGACGCCGTTGTCAAATAGCGACGCCCTTAAGACAGAATGTCGGCGAGTATTCCCAGTCGCAGGGCAACGGCGGAGATATTGATCATTTCCCGAGCAGGGAGCGGCCTGGAACGCGTTGCCCAGCCTAGCACTCAAGGACGCGGGATGTTGGGAATTGTCGAGCTGATATGGCTTCAACTACGCCTTTCACCTTCCCAGCTTTTTTCTTGCTTTTTGCTTTTGGTTGTCCCGGTTATCTTTGGAAACGGGACGCCAGGGCCGAAGACAAGAGTCCAAAATGAAAAAGTCCGGGGCTGGCTACGGGCCACGCACCACGACGGGGAAAACCTGGGCTCCTGCAGAGCCTGTATCGGCAATAAGTGACCCTGGTGCCTGGCCCTGGCCGGGCCCTCCGCTGGCTCGTTTTCAGGGGACCAGTGGGACACCCCGCTGCGATTGGACCTGAACTTTGGACAGATAATCTCACCGTTCTCACTCGACCACTCGATCAACGCAACTTTTCTGTCGGAGCGCTGTCTCGTCATCCAGCGTCACATTGCGCCCGCCCAGAGCGGAAATAGACACCTAGCGCTGTGCATTACGGCCGTCAGATGCTACATACGGTTGTATACTTGTACGTACAGGTATACCTGAAGGTGTCTTTGCTCCTTAGGCCCCGGATCAGCACCAGCCTCACTCCAGCGAATGGCGTCCGTCCGGCTATCCTTCGCTGATTCAATCAACCACTGCTTTGGCCTGCGATGCTGGAGATCGCAGCGCAACTGGGTCCCTGAACTTCTGCGAACAAGCAGCTAGGAATATCAGCCCTGTCGTGTTTGCATTGCCTGCACGCCATGCAAGTAAAAGCAAGCCATCACGCGGCCCGTGAGGCGGAAATTTTCTTTCGTTGTTAATGTCGAGTTCCAATTGTTCATCGTCGGTCTGCCGGAACTATAAAAAAGGACGAACGGTGTGGGCAAAATGAAACAAAACCGTTTCTGCTGCCCGTTCCATCACGTTTATCGTCGCCAGATCGCAATCCAAACAGAGATCATCGTCGACCCGGAATTGAACGAAGTGGGAAGTCAACACGTGATGGCTACTGCGATCATCTCCCGTGTCTCTTTTTTTGCCCACACATTGCCAAGGCTACCCGCTGCGGAGAGCCGAGACAGGCGAGTTTTCTCGGATCCTCCGAGGCTGTTGAGATCGTCTCTGGCTCAGCCACGGCGATCGCCATCACTGGGGAACTGACTGTGTTGCGATCGTCCTCTTCATCCGAACTGCTGGATCCTCAAAGTTCCTTTTTTTGCCGTTAACTCTGGTGAAGAACATGCAAGGGCTCATGTCAAATGTCGGCTCTGTGCAAAGAAGCGGCCTGCATCTGCAGGATCATCAGTGGCTGCTGCCGCTGCTAGACTCAGCCGCGGGATGCGGAGCCTTTCGTTTGCTTCTTGGTTCGGTGGAGCCGAATACACAGTTTTTTTCCCGGGTCTTTTACGCCCGATACAGTAAGGCCGGGTCCGGATCAAAGTAGATCCTTTCCGGAGTACTTTGTTGAATCCAGGGACCGGCTGTATCACTTGGTTAAGGACCTCGAAAATCGACATAAATGTAGCCTCAACGAGGGAGAGACGATTTTGATAACCACACCCTCCCCTATCATTGCGATCAGACCTCTCATCAACCCCTCGATCTGTGTCCTGCATGCATCCCAAGACCGAAACGCTCAAGTAACCTTCCCTCACTGGCAACCAAAGCCGTCAATTCGAGCCTACATTAGCTGCAGCCCGTCCGCTGCGGCCACTTGGGGTGCACGGTCCCTGCGCCAGCGACCCCGCTCTCTGGGCACGCTTCCACATTCACGGGATGACTTGCATCGCAAATTCCTCAGTCCCCAAGTCATCAACTTGAAGCCGCGAAGATGCAAACGTGATTTCTATGTGTCGCATTTCAGGGCATCATTGACGAAGCTTTCCGTCTCTTTGTTCATTGACAACCGCTCACTTGTGAGCAAAGGCCTGCAATTCTCCAGGGAACAGATATCGGCCAATCGCTCGACCTTCCATTCCCTCTAGCAATGGCAAGCTCGGCACCCCACGATGTTACCCCGATTTTCAAGACGGATGGACAGTTAAATATCTCCGAATGTAACCACGCCAGTGAGACGTGTCTGGAGATGGTTTGCGTTTGGCTTGAATTTAATGAGGGGCTCTAGGTAGTGCGAGATAATCGCCTCGCCTGTTAGATGAGAGCCTATTGTTAGGCTACCGGCTCCGGTCTGCGGTAGGTCGAGTCTACAAGCCCCTTCTCAACCAGTTTGACGTTGTCCTAGCCCAGATCAACACGACTTTGCTCTGTGATGAACCCATGTCTTCTTCGTTACCTGCCGACATACAGACAACTCTCCCGCAGACCGGTCGCAGCAGAGCACCAGGCTATGTAGTGTGCGCATTTCGTAAACTAGCACCTCCTGTCCGTAAGCATCAATTATTATCACTGTACACACACTCTATCCAGTTTCCCGAGACCAAAATCGTCGTTTCGACCAAACGAAGCATCGTTTCACAAGCGCATGTTATGCAACCACACTATATCATGATCTAAGTTGCGTACCTACAATCGTGGGAACGGCGCGTACGTGGTCATTGTAATACTTGACGGCAACTGAGGCCGATATTGTAACCGTCAACGTTTTAAAGCTTTATGCTTTGGTTTTTGGTTTCATAGTCACGAGTCCGGGGGTAGGCTCGGTACCAACTGTTTACATCTGTGGGAAAAGGTCTGAACAAGCTATCAGAGCGAAACTTAAAGTCCAACGCTGCTGACCACCCTCTCGACGTCAATTTTGTGTCCCTTTGCAGCTTCTCAACGAGGAAGCGCAGGTTCAGTGTAGGCGTGGCAGATCATCCATCATAAACCGGCAGTTGATAAGACGAGTCGAGACACCTGCTGTCTTGCCCTGCATGTCAACAATGTACGACTTCATGCTATAATCTCGGGATCGGATCCTGGTGTCCCTGTTTACCATGTAAGAGGACCAAAATTCATCTCTTACTATGGCACTAGTCCGAGCAAGATCCATAAACAGATCTATCCAATCCTACTTGCATTCGGGGTTATCAAGAGCTGTCAGCCTGAGGGTACGAGGATACCAGGATCCATTACCAGACCGGTCAATATCACTTGCAGCCCGACTATGAGGAGCATCAGCTCTCAGCTTCCAGACAAGCAGCCGGATACAGCATGAACTCAGAGGCAATTCCCTCATCATCGTTTACAACTCAATTGGCAACTCTCGCTAGCAACCCCTCGAACATGTATGCAGCAAACGATGAGATATATGTTCTTGCATTACTACCATTGTACCATTACACTGCCCATCACACACACGTATCCAGGCAAGTAAGTCGGACAGAGGTAAAACACATTAAATTCATCGCTTCTTTTCTATAGATGCCAGTAGCATAAGTAGCAAACGGGCTAGTCCGAGTCAACTGCCTCTGCCGACATGATATGCACTCAGTCTACCCAGAGTAAGAGGTTCGGTTCGGCACCAGCACTTTGCTCAGGTACAAGACATGGACCCGGTATAATCCAACAGTTTGTCCTCCCTGCCTAAATTTCAACGGCACAAAAGCCTACCCATAACCCAAGCCCATGCTGAATGCCGAACAGCGGATAGAGAATAGGTGAGAACACGGGTAATACAGAAAGGGGAATCATCGAGTTGCGGATTGCGATGCCTCGTTAGACCTCGTATGCGTGAGAATGAAGGCCATAATGGCTCTCACATGGCTCACTTCTCCCTTTGTGATGTTCCATCCCCCTCCTGACAGTCGGACTCCTTCCTAAAAACGTCAAAGGAGAAGCTGGCCTCGACGTCGAGGAAGCCATCGCCATTCCCATGGAGCTACTAACAGCGCTCAGCGCCGAGTCAACCGGCGCCTCAACGCTCAATTTATCCCACTCAGGCTGAAAATCGAGCTGGTAAGGGTAGTAGCGTATGCGAGGAGTGCCACCCCCCTCAACGATGGTAGTCTTCTCGTACGTAGCGATGTGGATGGGCGGAGGTCGGGATCGTTTTCGTTCAGGCAGGGCATAGGCATACGTTGAGGTGATGACGAGTGCTGTGCCAAAGAGGAACTGTTCAAGTTAGCCGAGGTATCCACTTCTTCAAAGACAAAGTGAAAAGATCATAGAGAAAGGAAATCTACCCCTGATGTAACCCTCACCCCAAACACCCCAACGCTGGCGATAAATCCAATAACAATACTGATACTCGTGGCGAAATTCTTTGCGATATTGTCAGCATAATTGATGCATAACGATGTCAGCAACCCTCCCACAGCCTGCAGCACAATCGCCGTCCACACAACCCAATTGTACCCATCGAAGAACCCATGCTTGGAAATCTCCTTCCCATCCGTGATGATCACCCCAACAATCAACGCAGGAAAGAGACTGTAAAAAGCCAACTGAACGTTCCGGGTCCAGATGGAGACTGTCTTCGTCGGCTCTTTAAGCAATTTCTCAAAGTAAACTCCCGTTAGACCCGACACGATGGCAGCGACCAGCACGGCAGTCACACCGAGGGAGTAGTTCATGCGGGGAACGAGCTCCTGATCCTCGAGGATTCCTTCGTATGTGGCTGAGCGCCTAGTGAGAGGGCTACTGAGGTCCCCTGGAGCTGGAACGACGGTGTCATCTGCAATTTGGCCCAGCTCGTGCACTGAGCGGGGGAAGAAGTGGTCGCTGAGGTCAAAGATTTCGAAAGAGAGATTGCGGGAATTGGATGAGGAGGAGAGCGTGACGATGGAGATGCCGAGTGTGAGGAAGATAAGGGAGAGCCAGCGGCGGATGCCCAAGGAGCGGCCAAGGAGAAGGACCATGAAGAGTGCTGTGGTGAGGATCTAGAAGAGTTAGCCTAGTGCATGGCCCTAAGAGAAAAAAAACATACCTTCAACTGGGACAGTACCTGAAAGTGCACAACCTCCAGATTCCCGAGCGCCACATATTGCAGGGTATTCTCGAACGTGTACAGCACCGCGGGTATGGCCAGCTTCCAGCTGTCTCCGGAAAAGACAGAATGAAACAGCTGCTCAAACAGCACGGTAGCAGGCGTCTGGGGCGCCAAACTCCTTGAAGCATCGTAGATGGCAAATGTCAACGAAATAGCCAACTTGAGCACTTCATTCAACAATACAGCAGTCGAAGCAAAGTAGCGATGATCACCCGGGGGTCTCATCACCCGGGAGTAGTGGAGGATCTGTCGTGATTAGCTCATGTGCTACTGGGGGAGTGATCAGCGGACCGGGATTCGGGGAAATAGTATGACACACCAGGATGAGCGCCGAGTTCTGGAACGTCAGCTGCCGACATCACGTTAGCAATGACTCCTTCAGCGTGCAATTCTCGACTGCCAGCCTGAAGCCACCAAAGCGTACAGTGAGCAAGGAAGCTTGCTTCATGGGCAACCCAAACAGGGTCGGACCCGTGGTAAGCTTCGGGCCCCCGGAGAGCGCCATGCTGCGCACGGTTCTGCGCCTGGCTGCACGGCCGGGCCACTGCCGAGAGCTAGGCGGCGGGATCTCGGGGGTCGGGCTGGGCCAAGCAGCGGTGGGCTCCGCACTGAGGATCGGCACCGAGCAAAGCTTGGTTGCGAAGCTGTCAGCTGTTGCCGGGCGGGACTCGATGAATGGGGCACCGGCTGAGGCAGAAGCTTGACCCTACTGAAATGACGCGAGAATCGACCCAGAACTTTGCAGAGCTTACAACTGGGGCTTGGAGAAAAATTTGGCACTCAATTGCACAGGAGATGTAATGCAGGCCTGCCCGACGCTAAGAGAGCCAATGAATGGAGCTCAACTCCAGGTCCACGACTCATCAAGTGGCAGTGGCGACTTGCGATGCTCCTGCTGTGGATTGCTCGCAGTTTGCTAAAAGAGGGCTGGAGCTCAGGAAGTCGCTAGCAACGATGAAGTGATGTAACGGGATCGAGAATAAACAAAGGAAACTCCTGGCTGTTGGCATGTTTTTGCTCAACTGTCACGGCATTGAATATTGTCGGAGAGAGAATCTGGGTTGTTGGAGTCTTCAAACAGAATGCTTTCCGTCAACCTGACACCTGTCGCACATTGTCGTGATTATGGCCTGAACACTGCAATTGGCCGCGACAACACTGAAAGCAGACTTCTGTGTCTTGCAGCAAAGCTCAACAATGGAAAAGTTTCCGCATCATCTACAAGATTTTGCTCAGTGTTAAATGTGCTGCAAACGGCGTCAACTTCGGGTCCAATCAAACACCTGCAGTGCTGAGGGCAGGTACCAAGCAGGCACCCTGATGGTCTGACCCCTGGTGGCCGCCTGGTCGCAAAAGTCCTGCAAAAAGCCCTGTCGTCTCGATTCTCAACAGTCATCGATTTCCTTTTGCGAAACCCGAATGAAAATTTTTTTATTCCGTCATCGACGATGGGCCTCTCGATGGTCACCGCATGCAATGGCATGTAACAGCCGCCAGCTGGTCTCCTGTCGGCCGGGGCCGTGAACGCTCGAAACTCCAAGCTTTAACAATCTGCAACTTTTTTTGCAGGACGTCATGAGCAAACATCGCACTTACGTTTCCACAAACTTCTCCGAGTTTTGGCAGAGGCAAGAACAGGGCACGCCCAGTCCAGGTCATCTGGGTCGCATCTGCACCTGCCCAGTTTCGCAACGGCCCCACTGCTGCTGCCAAGACGCTGGCGCTGGGGAAAATCTGGAGAAGTTCTCCCCAGTTCTGGGGGGCATGGGCCCACATGTGCTCTGCTAGGCTCCAAGCTGCCCCGCTGGGCAGCCAGTCAGAGGATGGCAAGGCAACGGGTGACCATTGGGCCAGCAAGGATGTCACTGAAAACAGCCAAGAGCCACTGACGCGAGCCACTGAGAGCCACGGCAGCACCACATGTGCACCGCTCTTCCGGGCCACGACTGCTGAGTGACGGCTCAGCATCTGAATCGGCATGTCAAGATCAGCCAAGATCCACGACAACTAGCCAGGGTGAAGAGATACAGCCAGTCGGGACGTTCCAGAGCCTGCAGGAGGGTGACGACGAAAAAAATTGCGTGTGTCACGCCTTCGTCCCCGCAATTCCTAACAACACCAAGAACAACGGCGGCGGTGCATCGAGAACAAGGCCTAAGACTCCATCACAATGCTGTGCTAGTGTCTTCCATCCCTGACCGGCCCGCTACATGTTTGTCCCTGAGAAGCCAGCGGGCCATCTATCACCAGGAACAGGGCTCAAAACCTATCACAAGGGCAGAAAAATGCAGCCAAAACCAGCCAAAAATAATACAAGGAGAACAACCAGCAACGGCGGGGCAGCGGATCCATCCTGTCCGGTGCCTGTCTGGTGTCCCGTGACACGAGGCCCCGCTCGGTCCGGCTCCAGTGCTGCCAGCGCCGCCTCACCGCTGCCGGCATTACCCCCGGCGGCACACGCCATTCTGGCCGTGCGTCAGAAGGGTCTAGGTCCAGCTGCCGAGGATGGCGACGGCCCGTATTTTGGGCTGGGCTGGCATCTTATGGTTGGTGTTGGCGATAGATACGTATCTGGACTATGTACATGGTACAATTCTAGACCGCAAGGCTCGAGCACGCCAGTTTCTCGTTTTCTTGCTGTTTTGTTTTCTCCTGCATCTTGACTCATTTGTCCAATCAAAAAGTCCTTGTCTATTGTCCACACTTATAAGGCGCTGCCCCAGACATCGTCAGACCTCTCGGTTCCCCGTCACCATTCTCCAAACTCACTCTAGTGACATCACGCGGCTCTCGTCCTCTGACCCTCCTTACCCCTGAGCTTTACTACACATACAAGTTAACGCTCAACATCGCTTTGTCAATTGTTCTCGTTGACATCATCAATTCTCTCTCAATCTCCTTCCCTCCCACAAACATAATGCTGTCCTACCTTTCGATGCCGACACAACATCCCTTCGACAGGCCGCCAACAGAGGCGGCCTTCGAGCTCCTCACTCCTCAAGAACACCCGGACAAGCTTCGGCAACAAGAGCAACAAGAGAAGCCAGAGCAACAGCAACAACAACAACCACAGGAGCCTGAGCCCCAACCACAAGCAGAGCTCATCTCCTTAGATTCCGATGGTGACCTCATCCTTGTCGTCCGCGACCCCTCTAAGTCCACAACCCGCCACTTCCTCACCAGCTCCTCCAAGCTTGCTCAAGCGTCGCGAGTCTTCTGCACAATGCTCGGCCCCAATTTCTCCGAGGGCCAGCGTCTGCGGTCTGAGCCCAACAAGGACGAGCCGGCAACCGTGACCCTCGATGAAGATGACGTCGACGCCATGGACTTTATTCTGAGTGTCATTCACACCGACACATCGCGCATCATGACCGTTACCCTTACTGCGAGGGACATCGTTGCCATTGCTCTCCAAGTAGACAAGTATGACTGTGCGCATGCCCTTCTGCCGTGGATTAATGCCTGGTGCAACCCGAATTGCTTCCCCATCGACAAGAAGGAGAAGACAAGGGATATGGGGTATGCCCTGCTCGCTGCATACCTGTTTCGGTCGCCCAACTTTGAGAGGATATCTGCCTTTTATGTGAAGGATCTCCCGCCGGATTTTGTGGATACCTGGGCGAAGGAGGAGGTATTGGGGAGGTTACCTGAGACTGTATGGGGTATGTCTCCTGTTTTCCTACTTACACTTAGGTCGACCATATGCTAACATTTCGCCTGCAGAGGGCCTCCTCACCCAAGTAAACACGACCCTCCGCTCCCTGCGCCTCCTCGTCCTCCGTGTAGCCGAGGACCTCCGTCGCGAGCGCCACATGAAGCGCTGCCAAAACACCAACTGTGTCGTTTGCTCTTCACCGAACAGTCCCAATTCTCCTGCTGCCTCGGAACCCCTCCTGCAGAGCCGTTGCCCCCGCGGCATGTCAGAATACCTGGGTGTCCTCCAGGGTGTCGATATCTGGCCCTCCTTGCTGCCGTTTGAGACGCTCAGTGTGAACAACGTGGTCGAGTTGATTGAAACATTGCCTAAACAGGTGGCTCATCGTTGCTCGGATGGGACGCATTGTCGGTTGAAGTGCGGAGTGGAGGAGTTGTGTGCCAAAGTGAAGGGGGAGAGGGATTCTATGAAGGGTGTGCCACTTCCGCCGCTGGAAGGGTAATCTTGTCCTGCATCTTTGCGGTTTCCTTGGTTGCTGGAAACGCTGGGATGACGGCACAACAGCACGGCTGGATCGGTTGTTTAGGTTTATAAAATTTCCCATTTTGTTGTATTCTTTGGGAGCGCGACTTACAAGGGAACGCAAAAGGAATCTGGGTCCGGTTGGGTTGGTTTGCTTTCGAACGAATGATTTGTCTAATAGTATTTTCTGGTCTGCGTGGCTTAGGGAACGGTTTTAAAAACGAGGATTCAAAAAAAATTTCACAGGACATAAACGATACAAGTTGTAACCACTCTAATCTACTACATTCTCCTTCTCTGAGCAATCTTGTCTCCATCCCTTGTCTCGACTATATCACGATGCGCTCCTCAGACAGCCATGAAATTGAAGCCTTGTCAAAACAATGATACCGATGGATCAAGTTGCTAGTCTAGTGTTCCCTCATCTGCCGGATAACCTCCCGCTTAGGCAACCTCCTTGGCCTCATCATCAAGTACGCACCTCCCAGTCCAACCGCACCCATGCTGTATAGTCTGATATCGTCACCGTCAGTTTATGTCAATATCAACGGTCTTATGGTGACGGCGAGGAAGGGATCAAGGGATAGAAGGAGGGAAATAAGACGTACGCCCATCGCCTAGGTGTCGGATCCGTCCCATCCTTGTTGAACTCCCGGGTTACGCGTCCCATGGTAAGGTCGCCTGCCATCCCTCGGCCGGGTTTGGAAAATTCGGGGCCGGCGTCGCCTCCTGTTGTGGGATAGGAGCGAATTTGTTGTTTGGGGAACGGACGTAAGCATGAGGTTACTCGGGGGAGGGAGGTTAAAAGTCTCATTTTGGCGATAAGTTCTGCGTTGAAGTTTTGTTGGGACTTGGAGCAAGATAGAGCTTTGAGTTCGATATCCAAGCGATGACCCTGGAAAACTCGGTTGGAAATCGACTTGGATTAAGTTGTTGATCAAGTGCTTTTACAAACTTGAGCCCTGTCATCGTGTGTAATCGAGCTTCCCAGAGACGGGCCAGGGATTAAAACGAGCTATGATATCATGACTGCCAGCGTCACTTCCACCCCACTTCCGTTGCAGCGTTGCTTGTCCGGCGCTCCGCACACCCGGGTTCGTGGCTCGACTCCGTAGCTGCTGCCTTCTTTGCGTACCTGCCAAAGCAGTTTGGTATAATTATCACTGGAAAATAGGGAACTAAGGCATCAAGTTGGTGTAAGGGCCACCTTCAATGTTGATGACGTCCGGGAACTCTGGCATTGTTGGTACCCATCACTGAGGGATCCAGCGGTTGCATGATCACTCTTTGACGGATGACTCAACTGATATCTCAGAAGTTGCGCATTGGTGGTCATGGGAATTTTGTGACGATCAATCCTCAATTGAACATTGAAACGTGTGAAGCCTGATAATCACCCTCTCCATTAGCTTCAGAGATGTTCCAATGTAGCCCCCTCAGGGTGTCAAGACTACATAACGTTATCTTTATTCTCCTGCGTACGGATCTCTTTGCGGTCCGACCGCACCCACGCAGCGAGTGTTCTCGCAGACCGCGTCACACCGTGAAGGCTCGACTTCATCACAAAGCCAGATTGAATTCAAACTTATTCAACCAAATTCCTTTAGAGTCCCAGTTGATGGGAGGTAAATCCCTTCAATAATCTAGGTCCTTTATCTTAGTTTGTCTTGTGATTAGTCACCTCTTATGCTCGTCAAGTCTGCATTTTCACCAGTAAACTCAGCTTTGTACCTCTATAGCCTTCCCACCTATATCGGGAAGATGCTTGAAGCTCACAAAGAGAAAATTCCTATTCAAGAAGACTATCGCGCATTTGTCGAACACACATCACCAGACTTCCACCGTTGCATTCATAGTCTGACCCAAGCCAGCTCTCAATATGAAGACTCCGACTTTGAGTCTGTTCACATAATTCTGGATGTGCCAGCAGGCTCCCTAGTGGAAACAAGCACTTTCCCTCAAGAAGTAGACACTATCAGCATCTCTGAGTAATTCACTAGGACGTAATGGACTTCGTAAGCTATGTGTTTCTTTGGGATACCTCAGAAAAGTAAGCAACTAATCGGCTCTCTCGGTCATTATCGCCTATAGATGTGGCTGTGCAAAGAGTTCACTCGGGGTTGCATTTAAACGGCTGCTCATCATTGGATCCTGAATCTTTGCTATCAGAAAACCCTATGCTTCACAGCGATGTAGGGCGAGCCAAACAATCACGTCAGGCAGATCTGGACTGAAGCCTTGCTAACTTTAACCTGTCCGCCTTGGATGCTTTCATGGTCGAACCTGAATAGGACGTCGTGTTTAGAAGACCTAGAGATCCCAATTGAGCATTGGGTATATGACGGCAGCTCAACCTTTCATCATGAAAAAACGATCCTTGAGCTTTTTTATCAGTTCCTTCTCACACGCCTTTGTCTAGTTAATGACATCAGCAAATAAGAGAATTTCAACTTGTCCCAACCCAAACAAAACAGGACAATTCACAATGGCCGACTCCGCCCCTCCTCCAAAACGTGAAGGTCGACTGCGCGCTTTATTCAGTAAGACCAAACAGTCAAACGCATCATCTTCAGCATCAATCACTACAGAGCGGAAGAAACGTTGTTGGATCTCCCTCACCTGTTTCGGTACCGGTTCTTTGCGCTCAGTTCACGGGATGAGAGGGGTCGATGGATCTGGGAGCGCCAGCTATGGGCGGGTAGATGATGCAGCGCCCTTCGGGTGCAGAAATGAGGGCGGTGTTGGAGGATGGGGAGGAGGTGGAGCAGACGGAGGATAAGGAGGTATTAGTGGTGGTGGGGGCTGGTAAGGTCACTGGATTGTAGATAATGTTAAGCAGAGATTCATGTATCCGGTGCCTGCGAGATGAGAGAGACCAGAATGTGGCAGTTCTACTACATGTAGGACAGGTGAATGTAACGGTCACAAAGGAGAGAAGATCAGAAGGGGCCAGGAAGCAGGAGACGATGGAGCCAGGCGAGGTGCTGTCGTCTTCGGGGTACACAATATCAGGATAATAATGTATTGATTGAGTCAGCTCGTGGAAATGACCCCTGTTAGTTCCAGTCTTCCCTTCAGCCGTCCCTGCCAGCTTCCACAACCTCGAAGTAGCAACATCAATCCTGCATTCCTAACCCCTTCTCCAAGATGCAACTCGCGACATGCTTTGACTCCCCTTATCCTTGTAGTGCCGGCAGACTGTTGTTCAGATCAAACTCCTCTGGAGCCTCAACCCTCTCCTGACCCTCGCCACCACGCACAACAGGGTAGTTCAGGATGCTTGCAATAAACGAGATAAAGACAATCCTCGGTCGGCAGGGCAACGCTACAGCAAATCAGCGCACCACTTTATTCCCAACATCACTCTTTTGAAGTTTTCCAACCCACTGTTGACATTGACCAGCCAGGCATTGAGAATAATCGTGTTTACATGCAGCATGATGTCGGCAAACTCAAGCGGCGTGAGGCTAAACTGGGACTGGGAGATATCCCCTGTGAGAAACCGCACCTTGGGATGCGTGTAAATTGACATGGTTCCGGCCATAACCCAAGAAGCTCTACATCTACCGATGAGGTGCATCAACAGACCGGTTGATACAATGATTACCGTTAGCATCGGTATCCAGCATCAATTGGTGCAGGAGATGTGTCCCCAGACCTCCCGCAGAGCCTATCACCAGCACACAGTTCAAGGGCTTGGCTTCAAAATGAGAATATCGATGGAACATGGCGGACATTCTTTCCTCATGAGACAGAGGAGACGGTGACATCTTGGAACTGTCTTCCTTTGAGCTGATTACTTCCACAAAGTTCTTAATCGTAGTGCATGTGAGTCCTGACCTATTGAGCAACTTTAACAGCTGCAGAACTTGAAGCGAGTCTGGTCCATATTTCAAGACGTTGGTGAAATCTCCGAGTTTTTCTTCTTCTGGTCCAAGCACCTTGTAGAGAGCCTTGCGGACAATGATATGAACCCCGTCAAGTTCCTCTTGTGCTTCTTGGCATCTTGGGGGTTGAGCCATCTGTTTGTGTTTCCGACAGAAGTGTTGGCAGAAAGATTGAGCTTGTGCTACAAACTTGAGATCTCCTCATGATATAGCTGATATATCACCTGTCTCATAATTCTACCCTTAGGGGAGCGCTTGAAAGGCTTGTCTGGGTTGGCGACAGCAACCATGGACCGCCAGACCTTGCTGTGAGAGGGGCAGCAGTTGGTTAGTGTCCTCGATATATGTCCAAATGCGGTCGATGAACCTCCCAAAGTCGAGTTAGGCATTCTGCGGTTGTGATTCTAGGATTAATCTTGCCTGAAACCGCCCAGCTCCCGCCATTAGAGCTCCTTTGACCCAGAAGTGTCCCTCCACGACTTTCTCAAGGGGTACCGGTTTGGACTTCTCGCCATTGCTGAGCATAATGAGGTTATCAATCCGTCCCAAATGCCTCTAAAGCCTGGGTTTTGTGGGAGGTTACTGATAGAGGTCTTTGGACTGCCACTAATCAAGGTCAGGAAAGTTCTGAAACACATGCCGGTAAGTCGATCCTTGAATCTTTTGGATCACAAGCTCTGCCACGGAGTGATTCCATTCAAGGCTCCATGACAATGCCAGCATGAGGACTCCACTTTAAATACTCCAATCTTGCGAGTCAGTCAATAGCAGGGTGGAAATGTTGAGGGCCTCGGTGCTCCCTGTGGCATTAATGAACGTCGTCGCCTTATCTTGTTTCCGCATGACTTTGCAAGGGGTTCTCCCCCATAGATGATGCTTTGGACTTCAAAAAGAACGTCAAGGCCATTACGCAGATCGCACACATCCTCCAAAATAGAAGGAGCACATGCAACACAGCTTGGTTTCACCCCCAGTATGGTCTGTAGTAACCCCTTAGCGGTAGGGGGCTTCCATGGGAGGTAAAGAGCCAGTGGCTTTCGGTAGTAGATTGTCCTTAAGAGAAACAGCAGTCCAAAGACATGGAAGAAGGGCACCGTGACCAGGATAAGGCCAATTTCGAAAACCATCATGGTAGTGTCGGCGTCCAGGAGGGGTTGGGAGGGATATCATTTCGGAGCAAGCTCGGAACACACCAGCCTTTATGTGAATGGGTTTCGGGACGCCAGTTGTACCGCTGGAGTGGAGGATAACGACTGTTTTGTTATCATCTAGTTCAGTAACTCTAATTGGTGACACATGCTTTGTGTTTTGAGAGGAAAGGATTGTCCATCCAGAACCTGGGCAACCTTAAGGAGTGGCAGGTTGGCGGTGAGATCTTAGGCAAGGTCCTTGTACTCTGGGCTGAACATAAACTTGTTGCATCGTGCGGAGTTCAGCAGAATGCTTGTCTCCTCCCGGGAGTTCCTTGGAGAGATCAAGAAGCTCTGCACCCAGTGTTGATCCCTAGATGTGGCTTCATTCATCAGCCCATGGGATTGTGTGTTTATCTTGTAGCCCAGCTTTAGCAAAGCCAGAATCACGGTGGGATACCTGATGTCGTTAATGCCAGTGTATCCCACAATATTGTCTCCTGAGCCGAGGCCAAACACCTCTTCTATCCAGACGGCCAAGGTATTGACAGCCCTGGACATGCAGGATATCAATGGGAAATCACATGGGAAGAGAGTTATCATAAATCCATGGAGGTTGAAGGAAAGATATATCCGTAGGGAAGTAACATGAAGGCCAATATCTTGGGCAACTCCCGATGCCATTTTGGGCCAGGTCTTCGATGCCGCGGCCTATGGCCGCATCCTTCCATCTCAGTGTCCGTTTACCTGCAGTTTAGGATCAATATTGGTGTCCTACACCAACAGCACGATGCCCCTGAAGGATCCGAGCTGCATATGCCGTGCCACGATCCATGCCGCAAATACAAGTCATTATGCTGGATGCATGCAGGGCCTCACCGTTCCGCGGTGGCAGTCCCCAATTACACGGGAGCCTTCGCAAGAAGTCTTAGTCTAGGCGCTAGTCCCCACGTCTCGGGGCGTTTGATTGTTGTGATTGTGATGTGGGAGATTGCACAACGATGCAACATGGACTGAAGATAATCTGCGGAAAAGCTGGAGATAAGACTGGTTGAAGATAAAGAAATTCGACATCCAGAGGTATTCCTGAGATAGACAAATTGATGTGGCTTCATGTCAATGCTGTTGTTGTGGAGTGCTTGTAAAATAGGTATCGAAGACTTTTTGAATTATGCTTATCACATGCATCCTAGAACGCGACAACTAAAGATCTTCCCCAAGAAGCAAACTTGTTCAAAAACGGCAACCGCCCAAAACGAAATAGGCTAAAATCAAAATTTTATCATACAAACCCCTCTCAATACGTTGGCGCAATCTTGCTCACCTCTTGACCCCTCCCTTAACGTCGCTCAGGGAGAGGATCCCCTTGTTCACATTCCCCGACACTATATTAACGCCCATCCCCAACTTAAATGCCTTCAACGGCCCCGTACTCAATACCGTTCTATGTGCCTGTGCTTTGCCCCCGCGTTCATCACCAACAGTACTACTACCCGAGTGTGGCGCAAGTACAGGCACATGCTTCACGCTCACCCATCCAAGACTTCCACCGCTGATCGGCCGCCACTGCCGCTGGAAGTGCTCAAACTTGAATCCATCCATGAGTGTAACGCTGCCGCTGCCGCTAACGTCGGGACGGAGCTTCCTCTTGTGGAGGATGGAGGCGACGTGTAGAAGCGGGAGCGAACATTGAGCTTGCTCATCATAGCGTTCATGGCGGTTGTGGGATCGATTGAAATGGGGAGTCCGGGTGGAGGAGTGGGCGGGGAACGTGAACTGAGACAAGCTTTCGTACCATGGGATGGTGTGCCTGAAGAATTCCCAGCGACAGAATTAGACCTTGAAAGTTTTGACACCCTTTCCAGCGTCGGTGCGCACAAGGCATCTGTCGTGGTAGGCCTTGTCGCTATTCTTCTCGCGAACCCGAGCTGGAGGGCGGCGTAGGCGGCCTTCGATCAGCACCCGGATGACTTGCCGCGGCAAACTTCTCCTGCAGCTGCACGAACGAGAGCTGCATCGACGGCAGCTTGCTCAGCCGACGGATGGACCGCATGTTTGTATCAAATGAAGTTTGACATGGCGCGAACGGCAGCCATGTTCTCGTGTGTGGCCATGGTATTGGTGTCGACGGGCGGTGATGTAGCTGCCCGCTGCCAACACCCGCGCAGGTCACATCTGCATCACCGGCAAAGGTTGAGCGCAGCTTACACTTTGCGCGGGAGATAGTCAAGTCAACGGTTGAGGGCAACAGTTCCTACGAGTAGTTCGATATGGAGTATGTCCCGGGTATCTCCACGGAGATGAGCTCTGTAAGCCAAGAAAGATCACCAATGAGATCAAAGGCGCGGTTCCAGACGCGGGAATCGGTCTCTGCAACAGCTGCTTGCAAAAGATCACCAAGTGTGCCACGAACTGGCCACTCCGTCGTGGCTGGGACCTGGAGGACCGTTTTTGAAGAGGCTCAGAGCATGTCGTGGATTTTGAGAGCGAGTTCCTTCGTGATAGGAGCAAGATACCCCCGTCGGAGGATATCTCTGACCGTGAGCTGGGGAGTTGTGGAGGGTTGGCGCACAGCACTCAAATGTCGGACGAATCGCTTCCATTGCTTGTTCAGGGCCACAGGAGTGTCCAAATAGTCAGCAAGACCCAGGGCGGCAGTGACCTTTGCACACTCTCCCCAACTGTTCAGAGGCATGACGGCAAGTCGATCGCCAGGCTGCTATGTAATGCCTGTGTTGGTTAGGTCGAGCGTGACCATGGCGATAGACCTGTTGGGATTTTTGTCGACAAGGAGCGGCTAAGGATCCGTGAGCGGTACCGGCATTCCTCAAACGTTCCTCGAATCTCGTGTGGCTCGATCGTCATTTCACCACGGTATGGTTCAAGTCGTTCCTTTATCGCTTCGGAGAACTGCTTGTGAGTCACCTCCCACGGCCTGGCATTCTTATCAGGGGCTCCTGACAGACCATTCGTCTCGGTACGGCCAGTCTTGCTGGCAATCCCGAGAATTCCAAAGACCTTGTAACGATGAGCGCCCAAGAACCCTTTCACCCGTGTACGTTTCCAAGTTTCCTTCCCAAACGCCCAGGAGCCTGGAGTCTCCTGTCTGCTTATTGAAGTCGGGAATGCTGTGGTAATTCTCAACTGCAGCGATAAGGCCCGAAGATTTGTCGGCAGCCAGGCATGCAGATGAAGACCTTCCCTCCCGAGAAACGAGTCGTAGCGCTTACGCTGAAGTAAGGCATCCATAAGGAGGAATGGAGGGAACTGCAAGCCGGACGCGGCTGGGCAACGCCGGCTAAGCGGTGCCGAAAACTTGCCCCACCAGATCCATTGGTGACCAGCAACGTATTTTTCGCCGCTGCTAAGGTTCGTATTGATGCTTGCAAAGGCCGTGGGCATGCGCTCAAGGATATCCTTCAGTCGGATCAGCTCCCGCAAGAGGCCTTCAACATCCTTGTTCATCCCGCATTCCTGGCAAGCAGCGATAGCGTCAGGGCCGTACTGAAAAGAGGCTGAAGTCTCTGCACAACCCTTCTGGAAGGCCATCTCCGTTCTCTCACCGAATATGGGCCAACGCATCTCATATTGTCGAACTGGCCAACGTACGGGTAGGTAGAGTTGGAACCCTTGATCTTCATGTCGAGGGAGGATTGATCACAAAAGCTCAAGAAAGGAATGGCACGGCCAAGACGCCTCGAAATCTGCAAGTATGGGAGAGCGATGCAACGAGGAATGCCCGCCGATTCCTCCCCTAGATCGTCGCCCATCTCACAATCCGGCCGATACTTCGTGTTGTTGACTGTGACGCCCTCGTGATCGTCGTTTTATCTTCGTACGAATAAATATGGCAGAGCATGCCCAAGGCAACAACGGCGGCCCAGAGTGCCTGGTCGGGAATGACGTCCTCCGTACCCTCCACAAGAGGCAGCGCTGCATGGTTTTCCTGACCGTACCCCTGGCAACAATACCCGGCATGCGCTCGCAGAGGTAAGACCAAATACGACCGGGGGAATATGCGAGAGCTGCAGGGGCCTCTTCGTAATCGCAGGACAAAAGCCATGCTCAGCGCTGAGGTAGCCATCCTTCCAACCAGTACGTGGGCCAATTTCCTCTGCCCTAATCGTAACCTGGCGTGCGGGTGCTCCAAGTGCCAGAAAGAGGAGATCATGGTCGTCGGCGTTCAAGTGATCGACATTTTTCGCGGAGGTGAGCTCGCTCGGGTGGGAAGTCGCGGTAGAGGATCTCGTTAATGGACTTGCGTTCTCTGATTCGTAATCAGCAGAACGCTTTTTAGAGGGATCAGATGTGTTTCCATACCCCCGCAGTCATTCTTCCGTATCAACACCACCGGGGATCTAAAGTGGTCGGCAGCGTCAGCTACGTTGACTCACATGGGGGAAGAGGACTGGACACATACACCGAAGGCCGTATGGATATCTTCCAGTTGACAGTAGCCGAAGAAAGAGCAGCCACGAGGGCCTATGATGCTGCTCGATCTGCTGTGGCTAGCAGCTGATGCGGCAGGGCATTGACCACCGGACCTGCCGGAAACTGGGCACAACTGAATAAACATCGGAAGACTCCACACTTTGTGTGGATCGAGATAAAACAATAGACAAAGAAGTAGGGCCTCCAGGGCACTCGAAACAAAACTGAAGATTACCAGAGGGTGTGGCAAGATGGAGGCATAGGGCGGCCGTAGGAGAAGCGAGGAACCACTGCAGTTCAATGACTTATACGACGACCTGGCATTGCGTCTTAAGCCATCAGGGTTGTCACCATCCCCTGTTGAATGTCAATAGGAACTCTGCAATCCACATGTCGACGTCGTCATAATACAGGGGGACGTCTCCAGGGGTTATGGTAAAAATTAGAAAGGCGTCAACCTTGAGCCATTCAAGCTTCTTTGGTTTCTGGGGCGGATTTCTGAGCTGGGACAAGTACCCGGCAGAAGCGTTGTTTTTCGGCCCTGTCTGAAACTAGCCATCGTCCCACGTGCTGGCAAGCTGGTAGTTGGGGCCATCGAATGGTAAGTTTCAAATGCAGTCGACACGAAGGCCCTGGCGTTGTGATGCCATGGTTTCAAGTTGCGCTGTCGTGTTAGGAACTCTGACGTGCTTTATGGGGTTGCGGGTATATGGGTCGAGGAGATCGACCGCCGGCCAATCAATCATCGCTTGCGGGTTGTGTCTTAGAAATCTCAACACGAGGCTGTGTCAACAGGTTTTGAGCTCTCCCGGGCAACTCCCGGGTAGGGCATATCATCACGAGCTGCTCTTGTAGTTTACGACGCCGAGGTATCCTTAATCTTGTGAGAGTTGTGGGGCAACAAGTCTCGCGTTTCGATGAAAATTCTTGATGCTATGTTTGTCTGTCATAGAGTCTAGCAAGAACTAACGTGCTTCCAGTGCATTGAGTCGGACGGAAAATCATCAGCCCACTCGCTGTCTGTTCAAAACATCACCCAAGCAGCCAAAATTCCAGACACACAAGGTACCTGTCATCCAAGCGATCGCGGCAGGCTATGTTGAAGAGTAAAGCGAAGCCTATGTTCCAATCCAGATTACGCTGTTTCATTTTTGGTCGAAAACTTTCCGGTGTACTAGTCTCTGGGAAAAGGCAGGGCGACGATATCATGGACCGTTGGGGCCCTCCGGCACCTGCTAAAGGTGTGGAGTTCCAGCTAGTGACAGCGAATATTTCAAGGGCGTGTAGCTCATTTGGTAGAGCGCTCGCTTAGCATGCTCGAATGTATGCGAGAGGTACTGGGTTCGATTCCCAGCTCGTCCACGATAGTTTTGCCATTTTTTGCCAGCACTTGCAGCGCCGGTTTGTGTGCCTTTAAAACAATTGCTGATGCTTAGAGCCTATTCTGGCCATATTTGATCGATAAACAAAGACATAAGGATGTGGTACCTTGCGTACAGCGAAGAGTAGAATAGGTGTTAGTCGTTTGGGCGTACCAAGTTTCTTTAGACGTCTCATTCCACTTTACTATCTGTCGATAGATAGCAAACCTTTGTTGTGAAGTTGGCAATGCCTCACCCATTGGGGGCAAGGTTAATGTTACGGTTTGTAGTGGGGCTTCGTAGCTGCCCCATAGACGGCGTAGCAGAAGACCAGTGGGAAGACCCCGAGTGCAGTCAGGAGGAGTACCAATCAGAAGGAGGAGCGCAAGTGTCGCAATTCCCTCACTGCGATAACTGCAAGAAAAACAATCATGAAGGCTCAAGCAATGGTAAACAAAGCAGGTATACCAACGACTTCGAATGTAAACATGTATATAGAATGGCCCATTCCCCTGAGGCATGACGACGACTGCTCAGTCAACAATGGAAACAGTTGTCAACCAGCAACTGCTGGCCACAGTAAGCCACAGTAACTATTATGTAAGGACCCCCAGTCCCTCACGTTTTAACAATTTGCCACTATCGTCGGACCCATCTCAGGAGGTTGTGGATTCGTCACAGTTGACTTAGATTCTGAATGCATGTATATATTGCACGGTAGACATCTTTGGATCTTTTCTCAAGGGGGACGCTCGCCCCAGTCACCAAAAAAGACAGCTGACAGATGGTCTTCCACGATGGAACTGAAGAACACACTGCTGGAAGGCTCTACTTAGCCAAATGGTCGCCGACGGATCGACCTTTGTCTCGATTCTTCAATCATCAAAGCTTGAAAAGGCCGACAGAGTGCTTAAGAGAATCCCAGACTACTAAAAATATATTGTAGGAAACGTTTAGGCAGCACACCTTTGGTCGACGCCGAGATTACGGTGATCCAGCTAGCCTTCCAGAGATGGATTCGGATATGGTTCAAGGCTTATGGATATGAGAAACAGGAGTGTTCACACAGATTCAGAAAGTACTGGGGTCGCCGGTTTTTGCACGCCCGTTTGCATTGCTAATTGAGGAGTTCTTCCTCCGCTTCTCTCGCGCGGAATCTATCTACCTTATGCACAGAAGATCCGTCCTTTTTCATACTACCAAAGGTCGTTCTTCGCTAGAGACTCTTGGCTTTCATTCTCCTGATACCCCTTGTTCGTCAGGACAGAGATGCTTATGCAAGTAATCGGTACCAGGTAACCCTTACAGAATCAGTTTAGCAATATTGCGCTTGTAGTTTTCCCACGCCATCACTTCTATCTTCAGTATATGAAATATATACAGTATCAAGGTAATTTGATCCTGATTCTGTCTAATTAAAATTCTAGACGAGTCGTCGTGATGTCTCTGTTCTGTTGTTTGCTTGACCCCTTCCACCCATCAGCCGCTGCTCTGGGCGGTGGGAGAGAATCCTCTAATGGCAGGCGGTGAGCAAACTAGGAACTCTGGGCTGCCCCTCTTCGTTGCCCCACACCACATGTCACCGTAGGAACGCACGCAACGCGACATCTTATCAGTTCCACATCCACAATTTTGGTCGAAAAAAATTTGGCTGTCGGGTCCCCTCTTTGTTACCCGTGTCTCGGACCCCGAACAACAGTTTTTTATTCTGCTCTACAGCTTCCCCGTACCTCTTCCTCTCCTCGTCTTCATTTCTTATATTTGATACCCCCTCTATTGTGAAGATACCAATTAGAAAGAAGATGGATAAGCAGAGGTTGGCCGCGCTCCTTCAGGAGTCGCAAGTTCGTGAGTCAAATCCGTCCCACACCTTTGCGTCCACTCAGCAGTCGCATGCAGTACTCTTTCACGTCCTCACAATGGCTAACTCGATGTGCTGCGTTAGCCAACACCAAAAACCTCAAGGCTGTCACGTCGGAGTTGCAGAAGAACTACTACTCCCACCCTGAATCTCTGCTTCTCCTCATCGAGATCGTCGCAACCCATGAAGATCTCAATGTAAGGCATCAGGCCGCTGTGCAGGCCGCTCGCTTGGCCGTTAAGCACTGGGAGAGGATCCCCAAGGAGCAGAAGAATGCTGTGCGTCAGCATCTCGTTCAGGCCACGATGAATGAGCAGACCCTTCGCACCCGACATGCAAATGCGCGCTTGCTGGCTTCAATCGCTACCATTGACCTCGAGGAAGGGGAATGGGCCGACCTGATCCCAGCTCTCTTCAACCTGGCCACAAGCAACGAGGTTGCTCAGCGTGAGGTTGGCTCATACATTATCTACAGTATCCTGGAGGAGAACCCCGTCGCTTTCGGCGATCATATTGCCCAACTCCTTGAGCTATTTAGCCACACCCTGCGCGATCCACAGAGCGCTGACGTTCGTATCAACTCCATGATGTCAATTGGCTCTATGCTCATGCTCTTTGAGCCGCTGGAGGAGGAGGAGCAGGTTAAGGCGCTTCAATCACTCATCCCTTCGATGGTCGAAGTCCTTAAGGACGCCGTTCAGGGTGGCGACGATGAGAAGACGAACCAAGCCTTTGAGGTTTTCCAACAATTCCTCGCCTATGAGTCTGCCCTTCTCGGCAAATACCTGAAGGACCTTGTTCAGTTCATGATTGACCTAGCTGCAAATACCCAGGCTGAGGATGACGTCAGGAGCCAGGCGCTTTCCTTCCTTGCACAAACTGTCAGGTACAGGCGCATAAAGATACAGGGCATGAAAGACATGGGCAAGGAACTTACTCTCAAGAGCTTGCTTATCCTCACCGAGATTGGTGACGTTGAGGACGAGGATGACATGAGCCCTGCTCGGGCAGCCCTGGCCCTGCTCGACCAGCTGGCCACCGATCTTCCCCCTCGTCAGGTCATTGTCCCTCTTCTTGACGCCCTCCCCAAGTTTGCTACCTCCAGCGAGGCAGGCTACCGGAAGGCTGGCATTCTTGCCCTTGGTACCGTCTGCGAGGGTGCTCCGGAGTTCATCTCCTCCCAGATCAAGGGTATCATGCCCGTGGCCCTCAATCTTCTCAATGACGCTGACATTGGTGTCCGTCACACCGCCCTCATTGGCATTGCTCGCCTGTCCGAGGATCTTGCCGAGGAGATTTCCGAGTACAACGAGCCCGTGATGGCTGCCCTCGTGAAAAATCTCCAGGCTGCTACTGAGCCGACCGTTGACCCGAAACTAGCTAAGAAGAACATTGAGATCATACGGTCTGTTTGTGGTGCTCTCGACGCCATGTCTGATGGCTTTGACTCCGAGTTCCTGAAGAAGTATTCCCATGAGCTTGTGAGCAATATTGGCTCGCTGATCAGCCATGAGGACTACAAGGTCAAGGTTGCCGCTTCTGGCGCCATCGGTGCCATTGCTGAGGCCCTTGGCGAGGACTTCAAGCCGTACTTCGAAGAGACCATGCGTGCTTTAGGTCCCTACCTTGCAGTAAAGGAGACCGAGGAGGATCTGGCGCTGCGTAGTGGCGTGTGCGATTCCATTGGCCGCATCGCTGCCGCAGTTGGTCCTCAAGCTTTCCAGCCCTACGTTGTGGACCTCATGCGCTCCAGCGAGGAGGCTCTTCACCTGGATAACACTAGGCTGAGGGAGAGCAGCTTCATTCTCTGGAGCTCTCTTGCCAAGGTCTACGAGAAGGAGTTTGCCCCTTTCCTCGAGGGTGTCTTCACCGGTCTCTTCCAGAGCCTTGAGCTCGAGGAGGAGGAGATCAAGCTCACCCTCAGCGAAGATGAGAAGGGCATCGTCGGCACCGAGGAGGAGGTTATTACCGGTGGCAAGAAGCTGAAAATCAAGAATGCTGTTGCTGATGAGGAAGACTGGATGGATGACGATAGCGATGACGACGACTACGAGGATTTCGGTATTTCTGCTGAGGCACTTGAAAAGGAGGTTGCTATCGAAATCCTGGGTGACATCATCACCTACGCCTGCGGTCCGGACGATATCGCGCGCTATCTCGAAAAGGCGGTCGAGAGCGTCTCCAACCTCGTTGATCACAGCTACGAGGGCTGCCGCAAGGCTGCCATTGCGACCCTATGGCGCTCGTACGCGCGTGTTTGGCAGCTCATGGAGCAGGAGACCGGCACCAGCTGGGAGCCTGGTCTCCCCCTGAAGCAGACCCCAACTGTCACTCTTGTCAAGCTCGGCGAGATTGTCTCTAAGGCGACGCTGTCCCTGTGGCATGAAGAAACCGATCGGTAAGTTCGTCCGCTTTCAATGTTCCACTTCAACCCACGTCCAACATGATGAGCATCATGCGCTATTACCCAGCTCACTCAGACGCAACTTCGCGGATGCTGAGGACACGCAATTATCACTTTCTGATTGGTCTCTTATCTGTTTTATTTCTTTTACATTCATCCGTCTTCGAAAGCCATATGCTAACTGATGCAAGTTCTGTCGTCACTGAGATCAACCGCAACATTGCAGCCACCCTTAAAGCCTGCGGCCCGGCAATCCTCGCTCAGAGTGATATGCTGAAGGAGTCGATCACTGCTGTCACAACTATGATCACCCGCGCTCACCCTTGCCAGCAGGATCTGGGCGATGAGGAAGAGGAGCAGACCGTTGAGGGTACGTCGGAGTACGATTGGCTCGTCATTGATACTGCCCTTGACGTTATCATCGGCCTTGCTGTGGCCCTCGGTCCTGGCTTCTCAGAGCTGTGGAAGATATTCGAGAAACCGCTCCTCAAGTTCGCCTCTTCCGAGTCAGAGAACATCGAGCGCTCTACTGCCGTTGGTGTCATCGCTGAGTGCACGGCCAACATGAAGGCTGCCGTGACTCCGTACACCGAGAAGCTGCTCAAGATCCTGCTTAAGCGTTTGTCTGACACCGACCTGGAGACCAGGAGCAACGCTGCTTATGCCACTGGTCAGCTTATCTTCAACTCAACTGACAGCAACACCTACCTTCCCCACTTCAGCACCATCCTTGGGAAGCTTGAGCCCATGCTCCAGCTAGAAGGTGCTCGCATTAAGGACAATGCCGCCGGCTGCATCTCCCGCATGATCATGGCTCAGCCAACTGTTCTTCCCCTAGGCGAAATTCTTCCTGTTCTTGTCAGCCTCCTTCCTCTTAAGGAGGATTATGAAGAGAACACCCCTGTCTACGCCTGTCTTTTCAAACTCCGTAAGTTTCCTTGATCTAGCACGCTAGTAATGACGATAAGACTAATTGCCTTTGACAGTCGAGGCGCAGGAACCCACCATCCAGCAGCTGGCTCCTAAGTTGGTGCCTGTTCTCGAGTCTGTCCTCAACCCGCCTGAGGACCAGCTCTCCGATGAGGCTCGCGACAATGTCCGCAAGATTGTTGCCCTGCTGTTCAACGCCAATCAAGCTCTCTTCGCCAATCACCCCAACGCAGTGAAGCTGGCTGGCCTTGCTTAATTGACCTGACCACACAAGATAGATCCCCAAAAAGATCAAACTGTGGGTTGATATTTCATGATATGATCTACTCTATGAATGATGACAACAATTCCTGGGATGTGATGAATGACGGTATAGATACATGGGATTTTTGTGGCGCATTTAGCCGATGGGGGCGAAAAGGGTTTTATGGAGACTGAAAGTGGGAACTAGGATTTCTTTGCACAAAAGAATGATAGATTTTTGCTCTCAATTCCATGTTCTCATATTGTCTGCATCTACTTGACATTCCCTCCACCCCTAATCAGTTACCCAAAGCCTTCAACGCATCTTCAAGGCTTGTACCGGTGAGTCTCTCGAAGACTTCGGTATAGCGGCCCTTGGTCTTCTCGACAACTTCCGAAGGCATCTCAACATCGGGTTTGCCTTTCTGGGGCCAAGTGTTAGTAACGGGTAAAAATTATGGCTGTAAGGAGTCTTACCAGGCCATTATCCGTCAACCAATTCCGGAGGACCTGCTTGTCAACTAGTTTGAGTGTTAATACATGTTGATGGGGGTCCAAGTACAGGGTGACATACATGAATCCTGCTCCCGCCCAACTGTTTGCTGTTAGCATTGTTTGGTGTGCTTGGTATTTGTGTGTGGCTGACATACCTTCATAATCCTCCTTGCTCCAGAAGCGAGAGGAGTCAGGACTAAATCTTTGTCAGCTCCATGTGAACTGTCTACTGTGTGAGCTTGTGAAACACGTACGTGAGAACCTCATCGACAAGGTAAATCTCATCGGTCTCCTCATCCAGACCGAACTCGAACTTGGTGTCGGCCTTAGGGACAGAAGTTAGCAGAACACACAAAGCTACTATCTCCACGATGCAACATACGATAATGATGCCTCTTTCCTCCGCATACGCGGCACCAGCCTTGTAGCAAGCCAGGGCCAACTGCTCGATGCGAGAAGCATACTTCTCGCCAATGATCTTGCAGGCCTGCTCCGGTGAGATGTTGATGTCCTTTTCACCAAGCTCGGCCTTGGTGGAGGGTGTGTAGATGGGCTGCGGCAGCTTTTCGCAGCGCTTGAGGCCGACGGGGGCAGGGAGACCGTGAATGGTCTGCGTCTTCGAGTACTCCGCCCAGGCGCTCCCGGTCACGTAGCCACGGACTAGAGGATAAGCAAAGTGTTAGCGCCCATTATTGGTGGAGTGAATTAGCATGGGGCGAATGAAGAGTGAGACTTGCCGATGGCCTCGATAGGAAAGACCTTGAGGCGACTGCAAAACATCAGTCAGTACATGTTTCGCAAAGCCAGCGCTCGCTGCAACTGCAGATGTTGAATCGTACCGAACGGTCATGGACCGGCCACGGAGCATCTGCGCCTCCTCGGGGGAGACAACACCGGACTCAGAAGGGGGGCCAAGGTGCAGGAAGTGGTGCTTGAGGCCTGGCACACGAGACGAGAGAATCTCGAACCACTTCGCCGACAATAGAGTCAAGATAATCCCCTTGGTCGGAATGCCATTCTATCAATGTCTTTATCAGAGAATGTCACCAAAGAACTGGACAAAAGTCGTGCAGTTTCGCACCTTGAGAATGACGTCATAGGCGCTGATGCGGTCTACACACGGTAAGTTAGCTACGCGTCCAATTGAGAATTACAGGTAATATTTAGGTGCAGCATGCCTGATGTGACAAAGAGAAGTCTCGGCTTCTCACCGTCTGGGAGAGAGAAAAGGTCTCTGGACAAATGAAATTAGCATTTGTCCGAGCTCATGTTGTTAAAACCGTGCCGAAGGGGAATGAGTGATTGCCAATCGGCACACCAAGCCGCACTGTGTACGAGCCAACGGGAAATGGCTCGCTGCGGCTGCCAGATACCTACCGAACTTTTCCCTGGGAGACCTTGGGGAGGGATGAAAGGGGGATGCTGGTGAGGGTTGCTGTGGTCATTGTCATGGGAGACGATGGCGGCCACAGGAGACAGTCAAAAGCGGGAGGTTGTTGAGGAGAGGCAGCAGAAGAGGGGCCGACTGCGAGCGCTGAATGGGGGAGGCCGGCTGCAGACGTTAGAAAATATGGAAAATATAAAAAAAAAATCTTTGTCAATGTAGGTTATGGTATGGTATGCAAAATTGCTCAGCGCGGTCGAGGTGTTTGTGTCGCGGTCAATTATCACAAAAAAATGAGCAAGGGGCATTGGCAAACAGGAGCAAGCAACGCGACATCGGCACGTGGAGGGTACGTACCTTGGTATGATACCCCACTTAATCTGGCCCACGACACACCCAAGACCCTGGATGAACATGGGGCGAATCGTGTTGACATCGAAGATGGAGATTTTGGGTGTCGGTTTTCAATTTGAGATATGAGATCGGATGAACAGCGTAACAGAACAGGTTAGCAGTAAGCGTAATTGGTTATTTTAATCAGTTTCCCTCGATAATATTCGCCATGTTATGATCATCATGACGGTACAAGTGTCCCTTGTCTGCACTTTGCACCATGGTAGGGAGTTGCCCCTCTGCTTAACCCTAGCACCAACTGGTATGGATTTGATGGATGTGGTACATCGCGACCCTTCGCCCGACTGTAGCACGTCAACAGCTAGCTAGGCTGTCACTGCATTTTCGAACTGCCCATTACGCACCTTTTGCGGCAGCAAGAATGGCTCACCGAGTGCTGACCTGGCAACGGGGAGCGCTTTCCCAACTTTCCGGCGCAGTACCAACAGTTCTTCCATAGAGATTCTGTGCCCCACTTATGGCACAGCTTTCTTTCTCCGCCAATCGTCCACGCCGAGACATTCGCCCTCCTTTCATGGCATACTGAGCCCTAGCGTCTGAGCCTTGCAAATTCGAGCAGCAGACACATATACAGCAATCGGGAGCCCAAAACATTCCTTCAATAGTCTCGTCGTTTCCAGACCGTTTCCGCCACCTCTATAACAACCGGCATCACAACCTCATTGTCAACATGAAGCTTCTCTACCCGAACACGCTGAAGCTCGATCCCTCAGCCATCGCAGGCTTTCCCACTGTGACTTTGCATCTGTATGACGCCAGAGCACCGACCATCCCCGATGAGCTTCTTGACGCTGAAATCCTCGTTACCTGGGCCAACTCTCCTGCGAATTTGAAGTTTGCCGCGCAAAACATGCCCAACCTGCGCTGGATCCAGTCCCTGGCCGCAGGTCCCAACGATGTCCTGAACGCCGGCTTCGACCGCTCCCGCATTACCGTCACGACAGGCTCTGGCCTACACGATCGCACCGTCGCCGAGCATACTCTCGGCCTGCTTCTCAACGCCGCCCGTCGCTTCTACGAAATGCGCGATTACCAGCTGCAGGGCAAGTGGCCTGGTCATCTGGGCGGCCCACAGCCCGACCGCGAGAAAGGGACCTTCCGGACGCTGCGAGATGCGAATGTGTTGGTTTGGGGTTTCGGAAATATCGCCAAGTGCCTGACTCCGCTGCTGACTGCACTGGGGGCTCGAGTGCGTGGCGTCGCGAGACGGGCAGGTGTCAGGGCTGGGGTCGAGGTATTTACCGAGGATAAGTTACCCGACTTGCTGCCAGAGACAGACGCATTGGTCATGATTTTGCCGGGTGATCCCTCGACAAGACATGCATTGAACAAAGAGCGCTTGGCCTTGTTGCCTAAGCATGCCTGGGTGGTCAATGTGGGACGTGGGACGTCAGTGGATGAAGACGCGCTGTTCGAAGCACTTGAGAAGGGTGAGATTGGCGGCGCCGCTCTCGATGTGTTCGAGACGGAGCCTCTACCGGAAGGTGACAAGTTGTACAAGGCTCCAAACCTGATTCTGTCCCCTCATGCCGCTGGCGGAAGGCCGCAAGATAGCGAGGAGCTGATCGTGTACAACTTGAGGCGGTTCCTAGCTGGCCAAGATCTCCGCAACATCATCTAATACTAGATTTCGAAGAACAGTAGAGACGAAGCTCGAATTTTAATCGTACTATGGTGAAATGCAACTGTTCGCCCAAATTAAAAGTCGCCATCTACAATAATAAATATCTGGTTCAGCACAAACACTCAAGCCGACACCAGGTGTATATCGGACTTTGGCACACAGTGTAAACCTCAGATTATGAACAGCCGTCTATCCCCCTCGCCACCCAATTAAAGACATGGCTTCTTGTGGTGACGAGCCTACCGGGTATAGATAGCACCCAACTGCTCAAAGCCGTTTCAAGATTGCACTCACACATTGGTGTATTAGTAGGAGTGCCGACTATAACGGGCCCTCGTCGACTCACCAGAGCAACCTATGCCCCTATAACAATAGCGTTGTTAGGCATCCAAAAACGTTTGCTGATCTTGACATCTCGGGGAATGACCGCCGCCTATCCGTGGCTTATTGTAACCTTTGCTCTAAGATGCACCGTCAGCAACAGTTTGCTATTAGTTCAATGCCTTTTTCTCCGTGGTTGATAAAAGTCGAAAACGGAGTGGTTCTCAGATCTGGCTGGTTCTGTACCTCATATCCACAACGAAAGTCGCTCTTGGTGAGCAAAGTGAGCAATGTGTCAAACTTTTTTTATACGTTCTCCTTCGCCTCGAGAGATATCGAGGTCGTACTTCTCCATTGCTTCCATTTGGCCAGCTTGGGAAACTCGTACGCTGCTGACGAGCCTTCTAATCCAGGCCCTGGCCTTCCGGTGTTGCGAAGAATACCTCTGAGAGCGGTCGCCAACCGGATTGGTGGTTGCTGAAATGATGTTCAGACATCTCAAGACGAGCATCAGGGATTTCTGGAATAGATAGTTTGGTCCGTTGGGTGTGACTAACAGCATCTCGGTATCAGGGTAGCAGTATCCCAAATTTAGATACGTGCCGTCTGCCTGTTACGGGTGCAACCTAGAGACATACCTTCTGCCAAAGAAATCAATTATTGAGACGGAAATGGCCTTTATTTCACAGTCGAAGCGCACTTGCCATTCTTCCAGCATTGACACCCACTGCTGAAGATATTCTCAATGGGTATGGTCGTACTTTTAGTGGCTAGCCACTTTATGCTATATTCTTGGGTTTCCCCCGCACGTACATAGGTTAAAGTAGTCAGTGCATATATACCTTTTGCCCGCCGGCGTTGCAGGCACGATTGAGTGTCCTCATGGGCGATACGGGTCCGAAATGCAATCCAATTCCAATACAATTTCATGGTGGTAAGTTGGAGTACCTGGGCAAGTAACTTTCTCCATAAAAGGTGCCAGACATTCTATACCCTTAGTGATTTCCATATTCGTTACCTACTCTTTAGTTTTGGTACTGAAGGGTTTTCTTTCTCTCCAAGTAGACTGTGCTGTTTCCAAATTCGTGAGCCTGGGACCATCTTGTCCCAAGTCTCAAAAATGTGCTCCATCACAAGGCCTTTGCGAAACCGAGACTTCCACAACTGTTCTGTAAGAGGCAATTGTCCAAAGTACGTGAGGTCACCGCAATGCTCTCACATCCGCCGACGGGAGTAACATGGCGATCGTGGGCCAAAATGCCGAAAGGGAGATGGGAAAGTGTCCGTCGTATTGGCTTCAGTTCATGCGCATTATCGACTAGTTCAAGGGCACTGATTTGATTTGATTTGATTTTTCGACCGTTTCACCACCGAGGGGGAGGTGCTAAGTCGTGCCCACGGCGCCGGCGGGCAAGAGCTATCTAAAATATATTAATTACAGGTGACGCTGGAGGAAAAGCCCGCGTGGGAGAAAAACCAACGTGAAGTATTTAGGGGCTGCTATGTCACATGGTTGAGGGCGGGGAGAGTAGTTCAGGGGGCTGTTTCCGGCCCTGGGGTTCGAAGGGGGGTTTGGGGAAGAGGATAAGTGTGGAGAGAGGGAGAGCCGTCACTGGGCAGGGCTCACAGGCTGCCCCCAGGGTTCGGCTCCGGAGACTCTATATTTAAGAGTTGGAAGGAGGACCAGAAAGCCCTAGGGTCCATCCTTCCCGCGAGTGGGTGTCAAGGGAAACAAGAGGGTAGGAGGAAAAGCGTCCCCTGGAAACCACCGCCGCGCAGGGGCACTTTTTGACAGCCTCTGGCATATGGTTGAAGCGCGTGTGATATTCTAAGAAGTCGCCGTGGCCCGAGGCTTCCGCCAACCAACGCGAGAGGTATTGACGGAAGAACCTCTCAAGGAATGGGTTAGCACTGTGCCCAGCCCAGCAGGCCGAGGGGGGTATGTTAGTACGCCACCAGCTACACATGTCCGGGGGAAGGCCCTCGTTTCTTGGGAGGGACAGGGGGGAGGCCGAGCCGCGCCCTGATCCCTAGGTGCTTTGGCTCCCATAAGGGCTTAACCCTGAGCCCGCGGGCCGCTTGGTGCAGGAGAGACCAGCCCCGGTAAGGTGGTCGGGCAAGCCTGATCCACAGAGAGTTGTTGGCCGGCAGCATCTCTACGCGAGCTCTCCACCTTGCTCGCTCTCTGTCCAGCAGGTACTCTTGGTAGAGGCCAGCTAGCCACCAGAGCCGCGCGGTCGGGATCGTCCGCCACACCGGAAGGATCACTCTGAGTGCCGCGTTCGCGACCTTGGTGAGAGACGACCACACCGGCGTAAATCTAGATGGGACTAAGCGGCCGTCAACCGCGGCCCTAGTTGGGCCGGTATCGAGTTGGACTATGCCATACAGAAGGGAAGGGGTGACGACCGCGTCGAAGATCTTGGGGCCGGCCGAGGGGGGAAAGCCCCGGAGCCTCGTGTTGGATAAGCGCTTGACCAGCCCCACCACCGATGCTGTCGCCGCCGCCCTCGCGGCTGCTTGGGTCGCAGGGCTGAGCTTGGGGTCCAAGGGCACTGAATGGAGTATAGGATGGAAACTTCCGTATCTCTTTTGCAACAGACAGCTTTATAAAAGCACAGGATGCCGGTCCCAGCGTTCTCAGATCCGGCAAAGGTAGTAATTTGGCGATTGTCCGTAAAAATGGCAGAAGAAAGGAGAGAGAATACATCTTTTGTACCGGATTTACGGTCATTCGCATGATGGACCAACGCTGTGGTGCTAACATATGGAGTATCATCAACAGCATCAATATTTCAACGACAGAGCTGAGGTCCGGGTTCTCAGGGAATCCTCATTCGGAAGGGCCATTATGGTAAGAGATCCGAGCATTATACTAAGAACGATGGAACATTTCTCGGCACGAGTTTTTCTTAGGAATCAGCGTACTGTACTATTCCGTCATAAATATGACCCCAGTGTATGGCGCCTCCTTGGATAGGAAAGCAACGACAGAGTTTGAAGAGAAGTTTGAACCGGGGGAATCTCGGATGAACATGTCTTCACAAATATGGCCCAGAATGAAGCGTGAAAAGGATATCCCCAAGCATATTTAACGATTCCGGGTTCAAAGAGACCGACGATTCCCGGCGGTCTGTCGAAGATGTTCCGCATGAGCCAAACTGCAGCGTGAATTGGCTTGTCAGGATTGACCACTGTCATTGAACTGGCAATGGGAATGTCGATAGACACCAAGTCTCCAAAGCGGTAACCGGTAAAAGTGGGAGATAACATCACTTGATACGGCTTATCAGATGTAACCCGAACTGTATAGGATCAGATTTTTGCTTGCAAGCAATTGCTGAAAGATCAACAATGGCATGTGACATCCACAAGACGAGGACTTACGACATCCGACATGAGATGTCCACGGTATTCCAGATACACCGTTGGTCTCAAGACCACAAATTATACAATACACAGACATGTTGTGTCTTATATTGACTCTCACGATAGATACACCGGTGGTACGTCTGTCATACAAACAGCAGTCCAAGGAAAGAGGTATCCCAACCGCCAACACAAGGGACAGCAGTGATAGAATGATTGTGAACGACACAAATACGTGGTTGATCCAGAAAGATATATGGAGCCACACGACCGAATGAGCCAGATGGCCGAGGCACGAGGATGGGGTCTTTGAAAAGCCTAGAAGGCCGAGGCACTTACAAGGGCAAAAGATTCCATAAAGGAAGCTGTCCGGACACGATGAAGGACTTCTCTTGGTTTTTCTCTCCTAACACAAGGACACTGAGGGTCAAGAAAGATTATTACACGTATCAATTGACTTCGTTGTACAATCCACATCGTCAGTGGCTATCATCTAACCCATTTGACCCATCGTCGATCCCTGCCTGCACCAGACCAAGTCACCCGTTACAACGTCATAGAAAACGGGTCTCAAGTCATCGAAAAAAAAGCCGCCATATTTCGCTTCTGTCGCTGTCAGCCGCTTCCTCTCAGAGATTCCTCTCCCTGGCTTAGGTAGACAGACTGGCGCCAAGGCTTCTGACATTTGCATGTCCGAATGCAAGGGAGGAACCAAATCGCCTCTGATGTGGCACTTTCGCCAGCTGCCAATAGCTGTCGAGTACCAGAGATTGATGTGAGAAGTAAGCATGTTTGCCTCTATTGTACTTAAGCCATTTCGTTACTTTTTGAACTTTATGCTCTTCAAATATTAGTACTCCTCACAGCAAGACGCATCCCAAGGTTGCCAACATCAAAAACAGCTAGAACGTTCGACAACAAAGGTACTCCCAACACGAACAAGGGAGAAAAAGCATCAGTGACACCGATCCGACAAAGTGTGCCCGTATGGTCTCGAACCGTCTGCCGCAGCAAGTCCTGTGGTGCGAAGTAAAATGCTTGACCGCTTAGCCTAAGACCAAACCGAGGTGTTGTGGCATTACAAGGAGCGAAATATAGCCCTGTGGTGCGTACATACTGAGCCATCGGATAAAAGGAGGCAAAAAGTTGATCAACCACACTTATTATTACGTCAATCACCACTGGCCATAGCATATAAACAAACAAAGAACGAGGTTCACCTCGTAGGAGGACACTGAAAGTCGCTCCCACGTCCACAAAGACTGATATCTTGTTGTCCGGACCATCTCTGCCCCTGGCTTCTCTAA